CTAAGCCATTACCCTGCACAACTGAAGCGGGCAAAAATAGTAGTCCTGCGGAAACCAGGAAAACCTGCTTACACAGTACCAGGAGCGTATCGGCCCATCTCACTGTTAAACACACTCGGAAAGCTCCTCGAAGCAGTAATAGCCAGGCGCCTGTCCTTCTATGCCGAACACTATGGGCTGCTTCCAGACACGCAATTCGGGGGTAGACCAGGGCGGAGCACGGAACAGGCTCTCCTAGTCTTGGCAAACGCGATCGATAGAGCTTGGATGAAGTCTAGAGTAATCACGTTGGTGGCATTTGACATCAAAGGGGCATTTAATGGAGTCAACCAAAGAAGCCTGGAAAATCGATTGAGAGCCAAAGGAGTCCCACCCATCGTCAGATGGTGGATTCAAAGCTTTATGGAAGACCGGGCGGCGAGTATCGGCTTCGACGACTTTGAAACATCAATTGCGCCCCTCGCCAACGCAGGGCTGGCCCAGGGATCCCCGTTATACCCTATCCTATTCACGTTCTTCAACTCAGACCTAGTAGACCAGCCGGTCAACTACTATGGCGGGGCGTCAGCCTTCATTGACGACTACTTTCGGTGGCGAGCAGGCCGGTCAGCAGAGGAAAACCTCAAGAAGATACAGGAAGAGGATATCCCACGCATCGAGAAATGGGCCGAAACCACAGGATCCTGCTTCGCAGCAGAAAAGACGGAACTAATCCACATAACAAGAAAGAAAGGAGAACAGGGCAAAGGGCAAATCATCATGCAAAACAGGATCGTTAAGCCATCCGACACTGCTAAACTCCTTGGAGTTGTGTTCGACCAAGAACTCAGATGGAAGGGGCACGTACAGCAAGCCGTCAAGCGAGCCACAAAGGTAAACCTAGCAATGGGGGGCCTCAGGTATCTCCGCCCAGGCCAAATGAGACAGCTGTACCGAGCTTGCGTGACCCCTATCATGGACTACGCATCGACAATCTGGCACGACCCGTTGAGAGACAAGACACACCTAAGAGCGCTGAACACAGTACAAAGAGCGGCACTTATCCGAATTATGTCCGCCTTCCGAACGGTGGCCACGCAATCAATGGAAATAGAGACACGTACTACCAACACACCTAAGGCTTCAACTGAGGGGACAGAAAACAATCGCTAAGGTGCATACGCTCCCAACCACCCATCCAGTACGTGAGGCAATAGCTAGGGCTAGAAAGCGAAGCCACAACGCAGTAGCAAAGTTCCGGTTCCCCCTGGCCCAAACTATGAAGACCATGAATCTAGAGCGACTGGACGCCGTGGAAATCATCGATCCACGACCGCTAGCACCGTGGACCCCACCAGCATTTATGGAGATCGAGATCGAACCTGACCGGCAGAAGGCTAAGGAGAATGCAGCTGCCTTGAGGGCCAACAGCGCAGTAATCATTTATTCAGACGCCTCTGGGCAACACAACCAACTCGGCGCAGCAGCATTGGCGTTAGGTCAAAATCTGGATATCATCGAGTACCGCACGATCTGCATCGGACCCATGGAATTCTGGTCAGTTTACAGCACAGAGCTCATTGGGATCTTCTATGCCATCAGCCTGGCCCTCAAGGTAACGCACAACATATTAGGACCGTCCGCAACGGACTGGAAACCAGCAACAATCCTCTGTGACTGCATGTCGGCGTTACAGGCAATCCGGAACCCAGGCAACGGGTCTGGTCAGCGTATCATCCATGCTATCCTTCAGGCGGCAAGTGAACTCAAAGCACGAGGGCTCCCCCTCCGGCTCCAGTGGATCCCAGGTCATTGTGATGACCCCTGGAAATGAGACGGCAGATCGCTTAGCAAAAGAAGCGGTGGGCCCAAAGGGATCACACCCCTTCCGGCGACTGTTCTCGCAAGAAAGGGGATACATCCAACAACAGATCCTGAAGAAATGGGAACACGAATGGAAGAGCTCGGAGAAAGGCGGTCACCTTCGCCGGGTCGACCCTGCATTGCCCTCAGTCCACACGCGACGACTATACGACACACTACCACGCAACCGAGCTTACTTGCTTACACAGCTACGAACGGGCCACTCGTGGCTCGCCCCCCCATCCATGACAAGCTCTTCGGTTTCCGGGAGGACGACAAATGCGAATGCGGAGCGAAGGAGACTGTTGTTCACGTCCTCATAGACTGCCCGAGACTGAGCGTGCTACGACAGAAACTCCGCAAAGAAGTTGGCGGGGGGTTTAATGATGCGTCTTTTCTGCTTGGGGCAAAGGATCAGCAGGGAAATTACGGTTCAAACAGTACTCTGGGAGCGGTAATCGACTTTGCGGAAAGGTCAGGTAGGTTTCGCAGCCGCGCGCCCGGGGGGCCGCCATGACGAGAAATAAAGGCAAGTAGGCCACGACAGGCCCCGACGAGGCTCTAAATTCGTTTGCATGAAGTGGTGCACGTATATAGTCTTCCAGAGAAAGCTAAAGTAGTGGTAGCCCGCATATCGCTTTAAAAGTGAGGGGTCGGGGTAAATGAATAAAAAAAAAAAAAGAGTGTAAGAGAGGCCCGAAAAAAATAGCAAGCGCATTCTTTGATGGCTGAGATATCCAGCCCATGAATGAAGAAACGAAGAACACCATTAACCACAGCACAGCAAAGCCACCTATTTGAATAGGCAGTCAAAAGCAGCCAGATGCTCATAAAGATACAAAACAGCAAGGTATTTTCACCCGATAGAATTTATGAGATCGTGGGGGGCATGTCAACGCCTGGCAATGGGCCGTTTAGATGGGCAAGCGCAACGGCTAACCCCACAGAGCGTCAACCCTCCCCTGACCGCGTATACCCATACCAAAAGGTGTTTGCCCGGCAAGAATCGTCTGGACGTGAAATAGTGTTTCTCACCATATGCAAATTATCTCGATCGGCGGACCCGATGTCGAAGTGTCGAAATGTCGAAGCTCCGACGTTCACCCGGAATCCTTTATATATGCCCAGTGAAACCCACCATTCACTTTACGTCGACTGTGTTGATTCCGGCGCCGAACCCGACCGGACTAAAGGGTCTTGCCGAGAAACAGAACACATACATTCTTCAACAAACAATACTTAAGCTGATGGGCGCTCGTACTGTCTCTTCCCAGTATCCTTTTTCAAGCCAATCATAGCTTTTCTTCTTTGATCCTATCGTCGAACCTTCTACAATATGAGATCTCATCGCCTTTGGCTTGTTGGCGGCTTCTGCCTTGCATCTCTGTCGGCCGCCCGCGAATTCTCGGCTACCTGCGATAAAATATCATTGGATGATGCGCATTTTGTGACCGCAACCTGCACGAAAATGGATGACACCAGGAATAGAAGTAGGTTGGATTTGAGCGCTTGCTACACCAGTGATGAGGATGGGGTCCTTAGACCTAACAAAGGGTTAGTTCAACAATCATATAAAGGCTATAGTACTAATCTTTTAATAGGGGCGGGATGGCAAGATTCTGTTCTTGCTTCATGGATGGAACTTGGCTAAAATGAGGCTGTTCGACTAAGGACAACAGCATTAACTACCCGCTTATCAATCTGGGTAGGTAGATACCTTCTGATTTTGCTTTAGCTAACCGAACCTTTCAGATAACGACCTGTCAAACCTGGATGGCAAGCTAAAGTGCTAGATTAGGATTTTATTGGCTTTGATAGGTGCCATATCATGTGTACTTAACAACTGAGAATTGTCGGTGCTGAATATCATTTTGTCTGTCTAGTATATTCTTGATACTTTAAAAATTAGAATAACTGTCCAAAGGAAACGGCAAGCATTAAGTCTTCGCCAAGAATGCTTCAGATCTTACATGTGCCGTAACTCACATATAATCTTAGACTGTTTAAAACTTGCGACTAGATGAATTTCAACCTGGGAGGCCTGACCGACGATGGTACCACAAGGTAGCGGTACGAATGTTACGTCTCCCAGCGGCAGAGTTTGCATTTATGCGATTAGCTCGCCAGGGAACACCCCCTCTCCATCGGCGTATTTGGTGAACATGTCGTGCCACGTTATCTCCCGGCTTTGAATAATTAAACAGTTGAGTTCAGAGTTCGGTGAGATGCTACGGCAGCAAGCCTTTTCGTAATCTATATACATCCCGCATGGATACAGTTACCGATTCGTGATAATATTGCCCATAAGAGGTAAAGGTAAACGTAACGCGACTAGGGCCGTTAGGTAATATATGTTATATATTCTCATAGCTCGTACTGAAGCTTCGCCGATCTGCATTCCACGCCGCAGTAATTAGGAGAGAAGATGGGCTTACCATCTGAAGCTTGACTCGCTGCGACACTGACGGGAGTCCCGAGGATTTTTGATATCTCCCTCCGACGGCTGTCTCGTTATACATGAGGCCAGTTGTGACCAAGACGCCCGACGCTTATCAGCAGAGGGAGACTGACTAGTGGTAGCCCGCAAGGAGACAACGGAGGCGTAGTTGGCTTCCCAATGTTAGCTTCACCACGCGCACTACCGCTGGTACCGGAGACGAAATCGGGGTAATGGCCATGGCTCCCAGCAATCACCTTTTGGGTGCTCGTAACAAGCCGAAGATAATCACGACGGGAATACATTCTCCATCAAGGATCTCCACCACAGCACTTTCGTAGGAGGAAGCTAAGGGACGGTGAAAATGAAGGTCGTGTAGCATGGGGCATCGGTTAATCGGTGATCTTGAAAAGTCTTACGCTCTTTAATATTTGAAGCTGAGCTATCCCTGTCATCACGATAAATGGTGCTTGTAGAAACTAAAAGAAATTCCCGACCTTGAAAAGGGCTGACCCACCTGAATTATTAACAAAGAAAAAGTCCGGCACATTCGATGCTTTATGATGACAATTTTATCATACGAATACGCATAAATTTTGGCATAAAAGGTATATATAGCTAATTCTACATTTTTGCGTAGGATTAGCGTACACTAACTTAGATAAAGGGAAAGAGGATGGGTAACTAAAAGTGGGTGATAGATTACAATATCGCAGGGTAGAAAGGGGGAATTATAGTTACGCCCGTTTCGCCCGTACAAGTTTGACGTCAAAGCTGAGGTGGATCCATCTCAGGACAGTTTCTATTTTCAACCAGGAGATGTCTCTTATCTGACAGTGGCAGTATTAACGCAAGTCTGGTGCCAACCGTTAGATCTGTAGATCACAGGAGTGTCAATTATGATTGCAAAGATAATATAAAAGCCATCAATGCGCCAATTGTGACTTGGACAATTTCAGGAAGTCAAGTCCTCTGCCTGACAAGTCCATAGTTTGTCAATCCCTTCATGCACGATTTCGTTGAGAAATTTTGCCTTTTTTTGGGATGCAGCAGATTCGAGATCAAGTTGTGGCCAAGGCTCCGTCACGCGCTGCTCCAGCTGAGCATCGTAGTCCTTTGTACTTATGTCGGACATTGCAGACGGTCCAAAGATACCAGATCCATTGGGTTGAAGGGCCACCTCCAAAGGAGCAGGGATTTCTCCAAGCATGAGAGGTATTACCATCTGCTCCAACGAACGTAACAATTCCACGGTTCCGGGGCGGGTGTAGAAAGCACATATGGCGAGAGCATCGACTTCACAATTTATTAAGTTAATGCCCTTGCTGTGGCATCCATTAGTCCAGGGGAAACAAATGGAGTTTTGTAGAACATACATTGCAGCCATGATCTCGTCATCACACAATAGCACAATACCCATGCCGACCGCTCCCGCCAGCGTCCATAACCATCTGCCTTGTCGGAAGCAAGCGTGAACAGCATCGCGCTCACCCTTGGAAAGTTGACCGGACGGTTTGTCCAAGGAGGCGCGAGTGATGCAATCCATCGCCCATTGTGTCCGCCTTTCCCTCGAATATCGAGGGCGTGAGCAATATTTTTGAGGGTTTTGGCTGATGACCTCATAATTCAGAACAAGCAGCATCCGTGCAACGCGCCGGGCGATTGGATCGGAGGTTACATCTTGCCAGATTGTTCTGATATAAACCGACGCTGCTTCAACTCCAATCCACCCGAGTGGCAGGCCGAGTGCGTGCAAGCCTTGTGATGCGTTGCGTCGCCAATCCTGGAGTCGTGGCCTCAGCACCTCGCCTGGATCCCGACAAATTAGCCGTGCAGCCCGTCTAAGGGCTTCTTCCAGCTCTTCCTCTTTGAGCTCATATTCGAAATTATATCTACCCAACAGCGAGCGTATTACAACATACGAGTGTGTAATTGCGCTTTCGATCGGACTTGTCGAGTTTCGACTCGCGTCTGACGATCGTTTCGTACGCCGTCTCTTTAGTGGGGGATCAGTCGGGGGGAGCATAAGCTGTGAAGCACCAGGGGCGCTGGGAAGCGGGCTTTGGCCCGAGATTTGGACCACCGTGGGGTTACTTTCGGCCTCTGTCCTTGTTGTATCATGCCCAAAGGCGATGGAAAGCTGATCATTTTGTGCCGCAAGGGAAGACTCAGACCCAACAGGCTGGAGGCTGTTCCGACCGCCTGCGACCGAGGGAGCGTGACGTGTGTCGATATTTAAGGTGGTCGCTTAGCGAAAAGGTTAGTATATGGGACCACGAGATCGAGACGGAAGGGGAGGCTTATGAGTAACCGGACTATACCATGGTCTAGTGGTAGTGGTAGGCTCCCGCTATCGAAAATCTCATTATTTTCTAGTAGCTTCCAGAGATCGATAGTACCGACCAATGCGATCCTTCGTAGCACTTCGGTAAGCTGGTAAGGAGCTAGCGACCCTGCTTTGACTAGGCCATTATTCAAATAACAAGAAAGCTAGGAGTGTATAAGCATTGATCCTGAAGATATAAACTAATAGCCTACCGCGGTAATTTCTTTGTCGCAAAGAACGGTATGATTTGAATGGTTTTGGTTGGAATCCTATGATGGTTTGTGAGAGCCCTCTAGCATTCTTAATATCAAACCCACATTGACAGCGATACTGAAACGGGGCATCTTTTGTTGGTCTAGCCCCTAATAAACACGGCAGGATAAAAAACCGAGCGAGACGCCAGCTGTGGTGCGAAGAATTGGAGGCTCCCGGCTTCATGGAGTCGCTGAAAGTTGGGAAGCATCTCTCTTTATAGTGGCGTAAGGCGCCAATAACGGCTCCCCAACAACACTCGACAGAGGGTGAAAAATGAGGGTGGGAGTCGGGTATTTGGCGGGCACTATGCACCCTGTGTATCTCCCGCTGCCCAAGCTCGCTCAAGTTTTCAAGTATCCCTGCCCGCCCCATCACTAGTGAGTATGTATGTTCGCCCGGCGGATCGCCGTTTCACTTTTGACGGAATTAATTCCCAGCTTTCATACATAACTAGGCATGCCTTATGCAAGAGTTAGCTTGACCAGCAGACGCGGCTTTTGGCGCGATAGATTATCTCATTGGTATATACACTCTCGTGACGTACCCGGATCACTGGAAAGACGAAAGTTGGTCAAGCGTCCAGGGCTTGATACATCGTCACTCAGTGTCTTTGAAGAGGTCATAGATGACCGGACGGATGCCCAGCTAACAAGTGTAAGTCAAAGTGGGTCATCGGAGTAAAATGATACTCGTATAGGTCGCGTCCATCCATGTCGCGTTGCATACAAAATCGCCCTCGTGGCATGGACAGCCCAACGCGAATGACCACGAGAGCGAGAGGTATATTCGCAGGGGCGAATGGAGGGACAATGAAAAAAACCTGCCGGGCCTTTGGCAGTACATGCATTAATGGACGTTGCCAGTTGGGAGTGACAGCCGTTGGTCACAGAAGGGCATCTAGGTCACCGACACATCCGGGCATTTGATCAGAATCAAAGGCCGATTTGTTATTTCTCGTAATATTTGGTCATATGCGACTAGCAGACATTTCTACACCTTGGTTTTTGGAGGCCTCTATTAAACGCCCCGGGGGTTGGTCTTTCTGATTTGGCAAATAACAACATTGCTCGGGGTACCCTTCGCAGTAGCAAGCTCCCTTCGAGACCACACCCTCTCCTCCACAATTTGATAAGGTTTTCTGGTTCATCGGGGCGCTTGTACTTCAATGACGTCCATGATGGGGCTACAGGAAGTTGATGGCCAGGTATAGGGTTTTATAACTCTTTTTTTTAACGCTGGAGTTGACCCCTTAAATTAAAGCTGTGCCTCTAATCTAAGCGAAAGGTATCGGCAGCGAGGTTCCCTGCGAGCAATCAACATGTTGTGAAGTTGTGAAGCCAATACCCACGAGAACAGGAATATTGTTCCCGGGGAAAGGCGGGACAACAAGGATCAGACACCACAGTGTGTTTACTTCCGGGTCTCTAGAAATGACCGATCCATGTGGTCCTGGGCCCGACATTCTCTCCCTTTTATTAGCACCACTGTATAAGAAACTAATACAGAGTCGCCCGAAACTGGATTCCATAATGGATATACACCGACTTGTTCCTAAACCCTAATCACATGAGACACTAGTATTAATATGGATAGTCCGTAAATTATATGTTCCGTCTCTTACCCGAAATATTACACCATTGGGTAAAATAATAGTATCTAAGAAACAAGGGCCTGGAATCAACGGTCTGGAAGCCAGGAAGGTTCCATGCTCGCCCGCTACAGTAAGCGAAACCGCCTTCGAACTGGAAACCTGTTTAAGAAGCGTCTTTCTCCGTCCTGTTCATCTCACGGTTGTTGCACTGCAGAGACCTTAGTGCCCCCTAGGTCATCTAAGGCCAACCCAATGGGCAAAGCTCAAAATTTCTGTGGAGTTTTTTACAATTTCGACCGTGGTTCATCATTATGCTGCGGCTTCGTGTCCCTGGGCGTCTTATTGGACATGTATGGGCTAACTTATCCCTTACAGCTTGATTGCTTAGACTCCTCTCAAAGACCAGATAATGAAAAATAGTATCTCCCAGATATAATGATGCTTATTAGCCACGGATGATTGGCCCATGGGATGACCCTTCCCAATGTGTACCCACACCCGGCAACTTTGGTCGGTCGCCTGCCACCTTGTCTTCTCCCAGCCCTTCCCCGGATTTTCCCACGGACCATCTATAGTCCGAGCAACAAGGATTTCTCCCACTTTCTCAATAGGATGAGAGTAACGACTACGATGAGCAATCACCTAAATATATATGCTATAATATCGCTTGAAGGCTTCTGCTCAACCACAAGACGGTGGGTAACGTGACTGAAGAGGATTTGGTCGTAGCGCCCAGTGATTACTGGAGAGAGAGCCTGAAAGCAGATGTCGATGACATGTCGAGGACAAAGAAAAAGCGACACAAGCGGGTTCGCTCTGAAGGCACAACCATCACGGTTCTGTAGACGACCGGTCTTAGAGACCTGGAGAACTTCTACAATTTCGAACTGGGCACCAGTCGAGAAACAGTTACGTAAACATTTCTTTTAACTATCACTAACTATAAAGGCGTCTTGAAGATCAGTCCTTTTGTCTTTTGCCTAACGCCATCCTCATGCCCAATCAGGTAGAGCTCCGTCATGTGATAAAGAGCGGGGTAGCCAAATTCAAGCCTGAAGGTTGTTCTCAACAACAAACGACAAGAGAATTCATTCATGCGAATTCATCCAAGGCTCACTCGCGGTCTTAATTTCATCGACATGGTTGAACCGGTCGGCACTACTGCCAGCATTATTGCAATTGTCACCCTCGGTTTCCAGGTTGCAAAAGGCTTGTACCAATTTGCGGACGGTATCGGGTCTGCCGGTGAGGAGGTACGGCTGTACGCAGGGGAAATCAATGAATTTTCCAAACTTTTGAACTATATCAGAAACCACATATTAGATTCAACTGATATCCCGTTCAGGTTACACGGCTTAATATGGGATGTTATCGATGTCTGTGATAAGGTCCTCCAACCCTTTCATCGTCTGCAGAAAACTCTGGATTCCTTTTTTACCCAGTTCAAACAAAGCCCGAAGAAGCTCAAACAGTTTGGCCTTCGTGTAAAATGGGTATTTTCTAGCAAGAGGAAGCTGTTATTCTATGTGGACGCACTTCGCAATCAACGCAGTATCCTTAATACAGCACTTGACCTGGTGAACCTACAAATTACGAAAGATAAAAGACCGCAGAGTATATGGTAAAGCATGATTAACTCACATGCCGTTCAGGTGCTGATAATGTTAGTATCTTACAGATGTCTCTTGAAACCTCCATGGCTGCTATTAATATATCATCTAACGACGGCTCTGGAAGCCTGGCTTTTCTCGCCACGGAGACGAACGAGCAGCTACCCAGCCAATTTCTCGCTTCGACTAGCCAGTCCGCATCTTTTGCTAAAAGAAGGTCCTCAGGCATCTCAAGTCAGCCAGGTGATGCTGGAGCCTCTCTACAATCTGAGAACGATGTTGATCCTCATAATATTACAGACCTCGCGGTCACACGCCACAATAAGATTTATCATGAAGATCAACTATCTGCTCATGAAATACAGCTTCTAGAGCAGCAGATCGATGTAGATCTTGACCCTGACTCCGGCTTCACGGCTATCGAAGTGTTGGAAGATACGATGTGTATTTCGCGGAAGGCAAGATTATTTGCGTCAAGCGCTATCTTCGATCAAGCGAATGGCGTGCCCGTCTCCTTGGGAATGATTCCAGGCGCCACCTGTAAAGAATATACCGTGGCGTGGGTCTGTACCCGTCCCATAGAATTCGCAGTGGCTGAAGGAATGTTGGACGAACAACATCCGGCTCTTCCGCAGGTTGGTAATGATTCAAACACGTACACATTGGGAAAAATGAAACAGCACAGCGTTGTCCTTATTTGCATACCAGCAGGGGCTATGGATACAGGTGTTGCAAGCACCGCTGTATCAGCGATGCTCCACAGTTTTCCGAATATAAAAATACGGCTCCTCGTCGGAATCGCAGATGGACTCCCAAGTCAACATCGAGATATACGCCTAGGCGATGTGGTTGTCGGCTCCCCGATCTCAGCCTCAGCCACAGGTGGTGTTGTTCTGTTCAATAGAAGCGGTGATGATATCGTTGAGACAGGCATCCTTGAGACCCCACAAAGGGAACTCAGGAATGCGCTTTCAACACTGCAAGCTCGACATATAAGAAGACAAACTCAAATTCCGTCCTATATTGAAGAAATGCTAGAAAAAAATCCGACTATGCGTCTCACATTCTCGCCTCCAGACCCAGAAGGTGACTTGGTCTTTCGATCCACCTACGAACACGTTAATAAGGACTCCTGGGGTTGTATTGAATGTGACCCCTCTCAAGTTATACCACGTCCAAGGCACAGAGGCACACCTTCCATTTATTATGGTCCCATTGGATGGACTGGTTCGGTTATTGATAGTGGTATTGTCCGTGACAGCATTGCTCACCAGACGTCCGTATACAGCACTGAGAAGGAATTTTTGGGCCTGATCAACTTCTTCCCCTGCCTTGTTATTCGAGGGATTTGGAACTACTCCGATTCCCACCGGAATACTATATGGCAAAGCTATGCGGCTGCAACTGCTTCGGGATATGCTAAAGAGCTACTTGGAACCGTACAATCTTCGAGCAATGAAGATTAGTATTTTCTGGCAAGTTTTCTTTTGGGCTATTATACGCCATTGACAGGAACGAGGTGACTACGTGTGATGTTAGATCATTGCAAACATACTCTAGGATTTTCAGGAAGCACTGCACACATTTGTACCCATTCTTGGGCAGTTGCGCACTGCTATTGTCATATATTATGTATCGTCCTCCACTACCTCTGAGAAGTCATCCCAAGCATAGTTGTTAAATTAGCCGACGGGGACTGTCGGAGATCTTCCACTGCCGAATAATTTTATTTTCGTGCGTATGTTAGTGACGGAGCGTTCACTACATTTCGCTTCCTGGGCAATTTGTGATGTCGTGAGCTCTTTCTTGCTACATATCATATGAATTATCATCTTACGCTGCCAGGAATCGAGGGTCTTCGCCATTTTGTGATGGGCAGTTCGAATGTGAGGTGATGACTCTTAACCTCAACAACGCGGGCGACGTCCTGGGTAGTATTTTTATTTTTGGCGCTGTAATAATACAGGGACCATACAGCTGACTCAAGTACCGGATCGTTTCGTCCAGGGAACTGGTCTGCGAAACATATATTACAACACAGCTGTTCCATATATAGTCTAGTGTATCTTGGCATTTAGGGTTTGAAACCAACTCGTTGTATATAAAATATGGAATCCAGTTCCGGGCGGCTCTGTACATACCCAGGGAAACATGGGCATAGAGCATTTCAAGCGTGGACCAAGTGGTCAAAAGACTGGGATTTTTGCAGTAGCTAGGCGACTTCCGCCAGACAATACTTCAGAGACAACGGATCCTCCATATTTAAATGTCTTTATCTCTCCTCTCTGTTCTCGCAGTAATTACACCTACCAGGATTTTGTTTTTTGCGCTCCGTCGCCAGTCTCTGCAAACTCTGTTCCCCTAAAAAAACCACGTTTGGTATTTTCACTCCTGCGACTCATGGCCAGAAGACAATACCGGGCCTGGACTCCAGAAGAAGAAAAAGACTATCTACCATGGGTGGCTCGTCACGAACATCTAACATGGCCGGACAGGGCTAAGAGGTATTCGATCGAGCGCAAGCCCAGAACGAAGGAATCTCTACGGACCAAATTCCGGCTCCTCGAGAAGGACATAAGGCGATACCGCCGTCAGGCTCGATCCCGAAGCAGACGTCGAATCCCTAGTGGACAAAATCGGGGCATGTGGAAAACTTGGTCCGGCTCTATCTCGATCAGCACCCCTACCCCTTCCGAGTATAGTTCAGACGACCAGCGCTCTCTACCGATGGGCACGATGACTCGACCAGTCCCCACACGCATCGCCTGTCCGCGGCAGAAAAGCCAGGTAGCATTCTCGACTCAGGACATGAAGCCAATCGCCAAGTCCCCGACTGAACAGGTGAGCCGCGGGGAGGTGACACGTTGTCCTTCACTGCATCACCCTGGTACGGACCCCCTTCCCTCGTGGGGCGACTGAAGAAATCTAACCTCTTTGATACAGGTGAAGAGAAAGGACACCGAACGCCTCATTCTGGGGATGCACCATCCAAGATCGAACTGCTGTGGCAGTTAGCTTGCCGCATTTCCGGTCGTACGAGGCAGTAGGAACGAATCGGTGCATGGCTGCAATGGTGACTCTCGCGAAAGATCTTTGTAAATATTCGTTTCTGGAAGCCCAATGTGACAAAGCAGGTTCCAATGACAACATTTGTACTGGCGAATTATCCTTATCCTGTCATCATATCACTCGCTAATTATCGGTGCGCAATAAACAAACACCTTTCTCTTTGACCACAAATTCCAGGCTTGGTATACTCTTTTAGGTGTTCAAGTGGGGACAGCCGATAACGTAATCGGACACCGAACCGCCGCGACACCGAACCGCCGGCCGCCCGCTGCCGCGATCATCAAAGCGCTCGATTTCAACGATTTAATCAAAAATGAAGCGATTTCAACGCCCAAAACTGCAGAAAACGTAATAAAAATTAATCGTACTCTATTGTTTAATTAGGAAGGACATCTTAACCGATTGTGACCTTCCTGATTGAAATTACTGCAGCGCGGTGGCCGGCGTGTTGAAAGTCCCTGAGCAGCCCGATTTCTTGCCTCTTCCGCAGCTTTATTCGCCATTTCTTGCCCTTCTTGACCGGTCAAAGTGCCTCCTGCTTGAAGATATCGTCGTGAAGCCTTTTTCTTGTCTTTTTTATATTGCTCTACTGCACGAAGTTGGCGTATTTCTTGTTGAAGTAGGACCGCGTTCTGCATAGCCATTTCCGCACCTTTATAGACCTTCTCAAGCGCTTGATCTGCAATAAGCGATGATAATCCCGATTCTTGCAGCGCTTGAAGCTCTTCACGTTGATGATTTAGCTGATAGAGATTCACAGGCGTTTTACCGAGATACATGGATTGGTTGGATGATGAAGTTGAAGGTGGAGTAGGTGTTGAAGATCGTAGAGGCTTCAATTTAGAAAGCACTCTATTTGGACTGTATGGAACGAGGCCTGTAGCGGCGAAAGAGCTCTTTATATTGTCCGTAGAAAACGCCTCTTTGTATGCACGTTTAAAATGACGAATAAAATCACTCTTATCGATATGTTCCATTCCATTCTGTATAGCCTTGCTGATTTGCTGGCCATAGTATTTCTTGAGCGGTGAAAAACAGCCCACATCAAGCGGTTGCAATTTGTGTGAAGAATGCGGCGGCATATATAAAGGAATGATGTTTTTCACTTTGCAGAATTGATCAAATTCAGGCGTGGAATGAGATCCGTGGCCGTCAAGCAGTAGAAGGCGATATTGACCGGCCGTTTTTGAAGCTGTAAAATCATCGAAAAATTGAAGCCATTCAAAGCCGAGTTTATCATTCGTCCATCCATTCTCGCTCATACTGATCCTGTAGCTCTTTGGAATATCTTTAAACCATCTCTCTTGTTGCATTTTACCTGCAAAAATGATTTGCGGAGGTAAAACGATGCCTGCAGCGTTGATCGTGATGATTGCCGTGACCCATTCGCGATTATCTGGCTGTACTGATCTTGCATTGCTTTCTCGCGATTCTGCACCACATACAACCTTCGCGGTGGCGGCTACTCCCATTTGAAAACCCGTTTCATCCATATTATAAGTATCTTGGTCCAGAATCCCATATTTTTGTATGGTATTTCGCACTAAATCGAACCAACGATTTATGGTCTTGGGATCTTCGCATTTCGCACGTTGGTAATCATATCGCCTTGTGTATTTCGACTCTAATTCAGCTTCATGGCGAGAAATGAATCGGTTGACCCAGCGAGCGCTTATAAAGATGTCATTCGGAGCGGAGGGCTTCAATTTCGCGGCAAGGAGAATCTCTGCAAGATAGCGGACTTTTGCAATTGTAAGAGGATATCCACGAGAGTCCATATCGAGGATTTTCCACTTCAATACTAATTCATCATTAATAGAGAGCTTCCTGCAATTTGCCTCTATTTCACTGCGAGATTTGACTCCTCTTAACCGGCCTTTCAAGGTGCTTATCTTGACGTCAAAAGCGGCCGCGCAGGCCTGTTTAGAAGCGAAAAGGCCTTTTTCAAAGGCCTCAGTAGCGAGCGCTAGTCTCCTATCTCGAGATAGAGCCTCCATATTGATGAAAAGCTTCGTTTTTGATGGAATAATTGAAAATTGAATTTTTTGATAATAAGGAGCGGTAAGGGACCGGCGGTTCGGTGTCGCGGCGGTTCGGTGTCCGATTACGTTATTCCTGTTTGGATACGGTTAGGTAAACAACGTTCGGCAGTACAGGGAATTGACGGCGTACGTATCACTGGCCGATTTGAGGTAGTAGTACGTTCGCTTTAGGATTCCCCTCCTGTCTTGTTGCCCAACACAATGCAACATAGCTATTCTTACAAGGAATAATAATTTAAACCTAATTATGCTCCCTTCCTATTGCTGAAATGACACTGTGTACAGCACCGCGCACCAAAACCGTCCCCACCCGCCACATATCTATCGGCGAATGCAGTAGGAAGGCACTCCAGGCAACCGTCAGCCTCTGGATATATTGTTATCGGCCCCAATAGCGTGATAGATCTCAAAATGAGACCTATTCCCAAGACGAATGTCTAGACTTGCCCGTGGCCGTCTCGATCCTTCTAAAAGACGACCTGCAGCCCTCAGTTCAACAAACAGCAGAGAGCAAGATGCGCAATGCATACCAACCGGCCTCACATTACCTTGACTCCGCCGAGCCAAAATCAACAAATTGTGTTACTGGGATAGCCTGGTATGCGGGTTTCGTAGTATGAAAACCGAAGCCGAAATCTCATACATGAAGTTTACACACGCAATGGCCCCAAGAATAAATACTGGGAAACGCCTTGTGGCAGATGGTAGTTATATAGACAACCAGAATATTCGAGAGCTTTCTTATCAATCCACTGCCAATAGTTTGACTCGACAATGTTGATTCCATTTTAGATTTTGTTTCTGTATCGCGTATAAACTTTCAAAATGTGATAATTTATACACATGTTGAATACCAGGTTGATTTCCAATAGACCTGATTCAATACGGAATAACTTCCATGTATGAAGCTGTGTTACTTGCTTAAACGAACCTCGTTTGACAACTGGAAGGGTTTAGACGCTTCAATTCTGGTTGGCTAAGCATGTCAGAATGCTGTTACCCCAGGCATAATAGCCTAGCATCAAATCGGCTTCGGGCATTTGTCGCCTCTGAAAAATGTGTGTGGGTTGACTCCAACGCGGTTTTCTATTGTGAGCGTGATGAATGCTGCTGGCAAAAAGAAAGATTCACAGATCACGGTACGTGCTGGTTGGTTGAGAGGAAATGATAATACCGTCGGGATAGTAAGACAACCCCAAAATACCTACCAAATCACCACATATTGCCGGGCAAGACGGGATAAATATGACGTAAATCGTCAGCAAATAACCGCCGATGTCTCAGTTTCGGCTACTGACACAGTGATTTCTGCACGTTAGAATATTGAACACCAGTGTGTAACCATAGATTTTTGAATAGATATGGGTTCTAGTAGCAGGATGAGATCCAGGACCTAAAGTATAGTGGAATATTCCCGTTTCCACTTTGACGAAGCTACAGATAGCTGAGGGACCTAAGTCTAATGCAGACGGGTCACCGAGGGAAGCGCAATATTACCCGTTGAAATTGCATGGGTCGCGCTACGTGCTCAAAAACCCCTAGCACTTGGGCATGGCTAACAGGAAGAAAGGCGGTATCTCATTATATTCGAAGACTGGGGTCAATAAGCGCTAGGTAGCACCGTTCCGAGGGAACCCGCATAATGAAAAACCCCTGTGTACAGTAGAGTATATTACACATGCCCACCGTTGTGGGTCGTCGGGCAAAAGGGGAATAAATGTTCATGCCCTGACCAGATTTCCTTCTAATTTTGCTCACCCCAGGGGGTTCTCATTTGACCAACTGTTGCCAATCCTTTATTAGACTCTGTTCATCATACTCTACCATTCAGAATAAAAGTAATAATTCCCGCCAATCTGATGGCGCTGGAAGCGCGTGCCACAACACCGAATTGCTCCAAGTCTTAACGGTGCAAGTATTTAAAGGGATACACGGCCCTTGATTCCTTACGTGGCCTAGATGAGATTCCATATCGTACCGACTAGTCCTCACTTATATTACGCCAGCCATCTCTAGGAAGTCCCCCAGGGCATTTTCCTTAGTGCATGGACATGGACATGCGATAATTTGAAAAGAGACAGTGAAATAATCATACCATAGTCGTCTTAAATCATGGAGACGTGCAATGACATCGCCTACAGCGTAACCCATAAATGCTCTCGCCGTGCCACCGCAGACCGAGTAACTGGATAAGACCTTCCTGCCCGTGAGAATCCAAAGTGAACAAGTTCTCATCTCAATATGTACATTGCCTGGTTCGCTATAGTACTAGCTAGCATTGTTGGGGCCCTGTCTGTCTCCGATGACGTTGTGATTCAGTCTACTCCGAGCTGTTCGGAGCCTCGGACCAAGTCTGGGTCAAACATTGCAGTAACCGTCATGCCATCTTCCAGTGCTTATGCCTCAGTTTCTCTCGCCAGATGCAATATGGGATCACAACGACCAGTTTCTTCAAGTATGGACACCATTTCTCAGTGCGTGGGCTCGACGTATGGTAGAAATGGATTGCAGAATGGAACCCATCCTTTCTCCCTCAGTTCCATGGCGTTTACTTCAGCCCAACCAAGTGCAACAGCTGGAATTACAAAGGCTAGAAGCGAAATCAGAAGCAGTTCGGTCCGTGCAAAGACGACACCGTCCCACACACCAGTTTCCACAGCATCCGGAACGTCGTCAGCCAGCCAGGCCTTATTTACAGGGGCGGGAGCGCAGGAAATGGGTGTATCCGCCCTTGTAGGGGGGTTTGTTCTACTGTCTTCTCTTTGGTTCCTTTCGCACTAGAGCTCCAGTGAGCCCTTGTATATTGCTGGGTCTCCTAGTGTTGTGTGGATCTGTTACTTGACAGGGCAGCTTGTAGGTAGAATGATCATTAGAGTTAGCATATACAGGCCGAGAATGTAACAACGCCTCATACAATGTCTAAGAGACTTCTGCACTCCTGGATAGCACATCGACAGACTGATAGAACTAGTCGGCAATGGACGAAAACCCGACCAGGCTTACCAGAAACCCGGCGACAGAGAGCACTAGCAGCCTACACGGACAAATAGCCAAGTTCAAAACCTTGGGACCAAAAATTGAAAAATGAATAGTAGGCTTTGCCATTTGCTGTGGGGAAGTGTTGTAACATTTGCAGCTTCCGAAGTAGTCTCCTTACTACCTAAAGGGACAGTCTATGTTGCTGTCCTCCGCATACATGTCGCCCTGGATTTCCAGAACTCAAAGCCTTCAGAGGCAGCAGCAACAGCATCTTTCCACGATCCAAAACAAACTCGAGCCAACCGAAAACGCCACGGCGAGCCATGTTGTGGCCATCATCCGTGGTCCAAGACTAGAAGAGATCCCCGTTTGCCCCAACGTACTGTTTATGCCGCGCGTGAGCAGCTGATACACCACCGTCACCGTCACAGACGCACCAATGATCAAGAGAGATGATACCTATGAGCCGTCAGCGCTGCTTTACTATTTCGCCTATTGGCTTACCGCTGATGATATGATGGCAACTAGTTTTGCCAATGGGAACCGAACCAGGCCGGCAACAATAGCAACAAACGTGGTAATGAACGCCATCACGTATGCCACCACAGACCAATGTGATACTTGGCGATATCCCTTCAAAACTGGCTTCGTCAAGCTTGGTAACACACCATTTGCCTGGGCCAGCCGGTTGGAAAGAAGGTCGGCTAAGTCGAAGGAAAAGGAAGCACTGGGCCCTGAGCAGTTCGAGGACGTTTGTGTATCTCGCTTCCCTTCGCAATAACTCCACAGACCAATCACATAATATTCTGGTAGGAGTGAATGCAGCCGGTCGGATAGATCCTGCACATGCCCGCTGACCCGGCCGGCCTCATTCTCTGCCGGCCCCGAGATGCTGTCAACGAGGTTGCCCTGTTGGAGCGGAGAGGAATCTCCACCAGGAATACCAACGGATCTTCCTAGATTTGGATGGTCTACTTTCGGGAATTCCGTCAGGTTGACCTTTGATATTCCATCAGCTCCATATTTCAGACCGGGTGTATTGGGCGGATTTACCTTCATGAAAAAGAGGTCTTGTGGGGAAGACGTGGATGTGCAAGCGGAAAAGACCATAGCTAGGCAGATTAACGCCGCGGTGGACAGCACCAATGGCACAAGTTTTACAAAAGAGAGCATCCTGAAGTATAGGAGATTTGGCTGCGACTGGAGGCGTCTGCACATATAGGGCGTAGGACGTGGCTATTATGTACACGTACACAAGCTTGTGGTACGAGATGGTAGTGTCTATGTACATAGGGCCCGCAGATGTGTGCCTGTTTTGGTACATAATTATAGCCAGTGCTTTCTTGACGGCCCAACATACAATCTAACGCTTGGTCTGCTCTCGGGCTTTTTAGGATAATAGCTACCACCCTCTGGGAGCGAGTAGCATGCACTGGAGTCCATCTAGAGGCAATTATTAATTGCAAGTAGCTCGATAATAGAAGGGTCTTGCAACTGCGGGTTTGCATCTCGTTGTGGGCGCAGTTGGCCAGCACCATCACGAACTTGGTACTCAAACCTCTCGCACCTAGTTGAGATGTTATCCACCTTGCTTGTAGGGAGACTATTTCTGTGCCCAATAGAAACCCAGCAAACTCGACTTATAAGATGCCCGCCGAGGTAGTGGGAATAGATGAATGCTCATGTTTCACGAGCAGGTTTACAGTACTGTCGGCCTATGAATAACTTATCTTTTGGTGGATGGCCAGGCCGTCCGTTCGTTTTGAGAAACGTCTCTCCCTTAGCCATGTCCAATCGTAACAGCGAAACGTTAACACACCTGACCAACTGTCTCAAGGAGGCGTCTCTGTACTGTCACGATGGTGGCTACTAGGCACTTAATAGACTCGGTGGCTACCATCTGCTCCCTGACTCATCTACTCAGGAGCCCGTCAGTAACTCCCTCACAGCTTCCCAGGTATGTGCGTGCTTATCCTATCGTGGTTGGTTTAAACCTTCTTGGACCGTGGCCAGCAACATCGACACCGTAGAAACTGACAGGAATGAAGAATATTTCGCCGGTCACGGCCCAGTGTGAGCTCCAGAAATGTTGGCCCAATCGAAAGCAGTCCTTTGCTTTTTCCTGGCCAGCCTGTTGGATCGTCTACTACATCCCAAAGCGTTCCTATGAAAACGACAATACCAAACGCAGAGCAACACAAACAAGATACGATTGGTATGATGAGTGATACTTTGCCTAGCACGCGTATAAATACGCCCTTGATACCAACTCCTGCGCCCACACCGAGGCCAATCAATCCTAGCGCTGCCGATATGTTGCCTGCCCCATTTCAGTCCCATCTTTCATCCTCCAAATCATCAAGTGGCGATGACGGAATGGAAAGCCCAATAATCACTACAAATTTCGGTATGCTGAGCGTACCTGCGGACATGCTTCCCGTTGTCACCGAAACGGGACCTCATACCATCAATTTCAAGGGTTTCAAGACTTTCGTGGTTTCATCTATCCTGAGGGAGGCAGATAAAACGCCTTTAGGGAACAACATGAATACAGAGAGTTCATCCGGTTGGATAGTGTCCCTGAAGTCAGATCGTTCTCTTTTTACCGGTTGTAATGCCCACGAGCAGGGCACACACCCGGTGGGCTTCAATCCCGCCACAACACCTGCACCACTGGCAGAGGCTTTACCAACACCTGATGCAAATATCATCACATCTATTCCAGTCGGCGGAGTCAGTGTCAATCAAAAGACTGGATCACCTGAACACATAGAGCCTCTTCAGGCGGAAGACTCATCTCCAGCTCCCAGCACGTCACACACACGTCGACCATCACACCCACAACCAGCCATGTCAACACCTACTCAAGCGGTTGAATTTCCTTCAACAAGCTGGCGAAATAATGCTCCTGTCATTAAGACCCAGACAAAGCCTCTCATCACACCTCTGCCCTCTGGTCGAGGAGACGGTAATTATAGCAGAGAGACATCGAAAGTTGCGACAGAAAGGCAGATGGTTCCCACCGGTATTCCTACGCCGACATTTGTTAATGAACACGGTCAAGGTGATCCTGTTTTGCTTCCAAGCAGCACGCCACCTCCACGATCGAGTAACTCAGCCAAGGCTGAGGGGTTAAATAACCCCGGAACAAGTACGACGACGCCTGCCAGGCCAATGTATGATGACAGAATGACGCCAGAATCAATACATATGGTCTCTGAAAATCCTGTAGGTACGACAGGTATGTGCACGACTGCTGATGGCCCGGATCAGAGGCCATCGACGACGACTACGGCATCCGAGACCCCGCCAAGATCCGTCGATAACGATTCCGTGTTTGACCAACTTCGAAGAGCACAGCCTGTATCCAAGCAAAGCTTGAAAATCTCAGCAAGTGTATCCTCTGCTGGAACTGCGATTTTCATTCTGTTATTTATGTTGCACCGTTTCGTTTACCGGTGGGCCGACAGGCGACGCACAGGGGTGATATGGATCGGCCGTGAACAAAGCGCGACCTCGGAATTGCGCATAGAGCTGCTTCCACGTATGTCTCATGACCCAGAAGTTTCTTACTTCTCTGATGGCTCGTGAGCTCTCTTTTTCAGCGTGAGCTTATTTCTGTACTCGGGGAGTCTACGGCTGCCAAAGGTCAGCGTGGCTAGTTCCTGAAATTTAGCGTATGAAGGGATATTTATTAATCTGTAGCCCAGTATTATCGATATGGACGATCGATATGAATTATTGAGCTCATACGCTCATACACTCGGTTAATGTCAACCACCAACAATGGCCTTCCCGCCCGAAATATCCGCCGGACATCAAAGATAACTAGAGATTGTCGAATGAGTCATTCTGGGTCCAGCACACGCCCTAGTGCTGCGTAGATCACAGACTAGGTGTAGATAAAAGACTGGTCGTCCTTATTGGTCGACAGCATACAGGGGATTTCTGGCTCATTGGCATCGCATTTCGGGAAAGTGAACATAGACGGTCGTGAGTCGGCCCTGTTATCTCCGTCCCAATTTCCCATAAAAAGACGGAAGCGTAAAACTTATTCCACAAAGCTCAGTTTGCTTGCCAGCTAATGATCGGGATATCTTCTCTGAGTTGCTTGGTTGGATGTGTCACGCTGAGATTTCCAGTGAATTGGCTGCTTGTACTAAATTACCCATATTGCTTCAGCTCTGGGTTTCTGCCGGAAAATTTGAAATTCTGGGCCTCCAAAATGCAGCAATAAAGGTTTGCAGGCTCACGATGGATACAACTGCGGTGTGGGTTTTTGAGTTCGACAATATCCGATATGTCTACTTGTGGTCGGTAACCGGGTACAAAACGGAACCAAATCACGCCCACGCACCCGCTAGAAGGAACTATTCCATCAATCTCTTGAAGATCTTTGCCGCTCCTTGACTGCGGATAGGGAGAGCAGAATGGATGTGGTTGGACGCATGAACTTTGCGGAACGCTACTCTGTGGTTACATCTTAAGGGGGAGATAAACAAAGAGAGCATTTATGCACAATAAAGCAACAATAGCTCCTATTGTACATGGTACAAGATGACCCTTCGCCGAGTAAATGCCGGGTGGGAGGATGTATGGGATGCCATGGGTCATCGTCGGGCTTTGTCGCGGCCTTGGTGGTAATTCGAAGGTGACCAACAACCCAGAGCAAGATGAACAAACACATCATTATTACTCACTTCCAGCGTAAATGGCATGACACTGGGAAGGATGATACCTGAGCAAGTGGCTATTAAGCAGAATGTCAATTAAAAAATGTAGGCCGGGCATCTCATCGCCCACGTTCGCGCTCACATTTACCTATTGACCGTGTCGTCTCCCTTACACTACAAATATGACACCTCAGCAGTTTTGGTTCAATACAAGATGAATCCAAAACACTCAAATACTGTAGATGTTGCTCAGTCTATTTAATTTCCTATGACTTTGCCGATGACTTGACCCAAAACCCTGTCAAGAGATAGATAGGCGCACATTTAGCTTTGTGGGTGGGCTTTTCGTGGGCGAGTATTGGAGAGGCATTTAATAAAAATACTACTCTGAATATGTTTTTAGCGTCCGAGGATAACAGAGTATGGTTATACAGTATCGGGCGACCGTCAACATCAAACAAGATCCTAACATGCAAACCCAGGTAATTTCACCCGGTCATACGTGCTCGACCTATAAATTGTAACTCACATCAGCACATTCAGGATAGTTCAAAACATTCAGATTAACGGGCTACTCACCAAGCCATTTCCCCGTTTATCTCTCTAATCAATGGATTTGTATTGGGAAAGGTGACTGCACCCAGGAATTTGGGGCCTCAGGGTTTGAAGGAATTTGAGTGGATCGAAATGGGCTATTGCGCCTATAGAACAAGCTTGACTGCACATCAAATGCCAGTCTGTTCTCTAATAGATTACCAGCCAAAGAATAAGGAACTTCTTGGTAAATAGGAGCACTCTCTATATGTTACATACTTGATTCATTAGTCCTAGATATCAGTTTAGTTGAGACTTTGTAATCCGTTACTTGTGTTCATTGGTTTATGGGACGTCTTTCTGATTCTCAAGCTTGAACCGAGTCGTAAAACTAGGTAAAACTAGCTACAGGCATGCATGTCCCTGAAAATAGAGAAGCGCTCCATGTTGGACTGTTTATTCAACAAAGCCGTGACAGATTGCGACTGTTAAATATATACTACTCAGATTCCAATGTAGAAGACTGGGATGAAAGGACAGTTACCACATACCTTATCGATGATTTCGATGTCTTCGTTGTCAATTTGAATCAATGAGTTAACTTGGTCGTGCGTCAAAGAAAGATCATCAATCCATTTGTCTACCTCACTGAGGTTCCAGTTCCTAGGAGTCAGCCTTAGCAGAGGATTTGTGACACCAACTACCTTCAACTTCGATGCAATCGCATGTCTTGTGCGAGAGAAGCCTCGGCGACTAAGGAGACCGGCAATAGGTGTAATGGTCACTCCTCTAGAGTAGAAGTATAAGGCAATGACGAGTTCTGCATCTGACCAACATTTTACCCACGCGTTAGAGATATGTCTTTTTCTGATATAACTCTGGCACCCCTTTCTAGTCGCCATTGCGATCCGCGCGAAGAGATTGCAGTAAAAGTTGGCCCCAACAAAGGCGCAAAGAGCTGAAGTGTGTGGAATTCTTGTCACAGGGTAGTTGAATGTTTATAGGTTACAAGCTTACTGAAAGATTATCAGGATGTTAGTAAATACAATATAGTCGAATATGGAAGGTATCACTCCATTCCATTTTGATTGGGGTCGCATTTGTTGCGGAGTATTTTGCCGATTTGCTGGTAACCCGCAAAAAGAAACCGAAACAGGAAAGTATGAGATGCGCTCACCGTGAGAGTGAACACCGTAATGCCCAATTTTCTGCGCAAATAAGGCCGATATGTGCTAATGGTGAACAAGATCTGACCTGGTTTTGGAACACTGCAGACATTGTCTATAGGGCACATGTGTAGTGGGTCATTGTTGCTGATATTGCTGGACGGAATTTCCTGGTCAACAAGGACCTATTGTTCCAGTTCCGTGGTCAGTGCGATGAAAAACATACATTTATGACCAGATTCACATCTTCGCATGATTTCTTCAAAGTCCATATGCAATCACGATAGCTGCAAAACATCCAATAACGAAGGTCAAGACAATTTGAATTGCAAGGAATATGAATCGAATATGGATAGTATATATGTGTTGGATCACTAGCAGTGCCGATATCAGTATTGCATTGTAGATATTGTTCGTATTCCGGAAAAATGCACGTGGCTGACGGCCTGTCAAACAGCTGAGTTGGAGGGTTTAATCGGCAAATAAACCAAGCCTCCCTTTTTTTTTGCTGTCTTGAACATCCAAGCCACAACTAATCTACTGCAGGCGGTCTCTCTTTTGAGGCCTCTTTATGTTGAGGTGGTCCATACTACTCACAATGGCTGATACAAACGTACTCCGGGCTTCCCGAATCATATGCTGGTCTGCGCAGACACTGAAAGTGGCACTGCGCCCAATATGTTTAAGAAGCCTGTTTTGGAGTATTCAGAGACGTTATCGCTTGTCCATAGTCTAAATGGTCTTATCGTGCTGACTATCTATCAACAGCATCAGTTACATTCTTAACCATGTCCTTTTCAAACCTACCACCCGAACTGGTACTCTTTATAGCCGACACCCTTCACAGCACTCAGGATAGAAATTCACTGGTAAGAGTGAGCAGAGGTCTTTATCGTATCGTTTGCTGAAACAATATTTATATCAGTATAACGTGGACTATGAAAGCAGTTGCGGGCTTGGTCATGCAGTGAAAACAGGGAATTTGTCCGCGACATGCTATTTTCTCAGCCTGCCACGGGTGAACGTGCATGTTCGAGACGATGCTAGACAGACAATTCTTCACGCTGCAGCACAGCGACCTGATGCGTTTTATATTATAATGATCCTTCTGCGTGATGGTCGCGTCGACATAAATGCAACTGATTTCCAGGGTCGAACACCGGTATATTATGCGGTGTCTAACGACGACCTTCGCCAGCTTAGCATGCTCTTACGACGCGACAATATAGATATTAATATGAGCGACATTGAAGACCAAACACCTTTTATTTCGTAGTCGATTACGGGAACAAGGATATTGTAAAGATGCTTCCTGATGACGCACGCTTAGACCCGAATCTGGGTGAGAAGTTCTCACCTTTAGCACTTGCTGCAGGCGGAAAATCACTGGAGCTACTAGAGATGCTACTGCGGGACAAGCGCTTGATTGTGAACATCCAAACATACCAGCGCATGCATCCATTAATCGCGGCGGTTTTCGGGACACGTGAGGAAAGCGCCTTTCGGCTGCTACATACCCCTAACATCGACGTTAATTGTTGTTTGGCTGCTATGAGTGCACTTGTGTGGACGATCCCATTCAAGCAAACCACGATTGCAGCCGAGCTCCTGAAATGCGACCTGATTGACGTAAATCGCCAAGATGATTCTGGTCGAACACCACTAATGGTCACTATCCAATTTGAAAACAATGAATTATTTACGACCTTGTTGAACAGGGAAGAAATTGATCTCAGCCTTGAAAGTAGTAGTGGTAAGAGTGCGTTAGACTATGCAATAGAGTCAAAGAGCCCGAGGATGGTGGAGGATATCAGAGAAAGACTGTCACTCACGAGTTAACCGTGTATCCAATGCATGTAAACTTGAGATGCAATGACTATATTCGATCATCTAGGACTGTACCTATTATAACTATACGTCATATGCATGAAATGACACATGGCACAGGAAGGTTTATACTATGAAGACGGGTTAATGGAGCAACTGGACAACAGCACCCTTCTGCTCGCGACCTGAATTTATCCGACTACTGGTCCGATATATCCTCCACAATCTCAAGGACTGAGCAAAACGGCCAACTGAGGAAAAAGTGCAGGTGAGATTTTAGATGCCATATCGATTATCTAGTCATCCCGAACCTCCAGCCCCTATCAAATGTAGGTTCCACGGTTTCTGCGGGCCTTGAGTATTGGCTACTTGCTCAGTATCTATGGTTACTATGCTTGCTAGCCGCGTAGTTGTACGGCAAGTGGGTGACTGTATGCTAGCTCGGATCAGGTTGAACCGTTGTTGGGATCGTGACCAGGGTGGACAACTCCTACATTCCAGCATTTGATGTATATAATTTGTCTTGCATATGTTAATGTGAAGATCTGCGGGCTTACTCGTCTGGGTAGAAGGGAAGAACCCATATATGAGCCTCCCATGTTAGCAAGTCTCTTGTAGAAGAACCTATAGAAAAGATAAAAGAACTATGGTACTTAATGGGTTCATTTACTGGTGATATTTGCGACATTTCTCGCTCCTTGGCCTATGATTTAGGTGGAACTCAGCCGGTCGCCGATTTAGGCAGTGAGGTGGTAAATGGTCTGTTTAACGGCAAGATCCTACAGGCTCGTTGAAACAGCAGTCTGCCGAAGCTTCCCATTCCAGCTTGTTTAGTCAGTCTTCCCGTACCCTGTTTGGCCTTTCCAACCACGAACCCAGGCCATGTACCGCCCGTGCCGTTAGCCAGTTGTGCAATTGCTAGAACTGGAGTGCTATGCCTGACATGCGGTCCTAAGAATCCGTGATTAGGTGGCCTGGAAACGAATGTTGTTTACTGTCGGGTTAGCTTGGGGGTTAAGGGTCGGCGTTAGTGAATCCAGCCGAATTAGTGTTGCGGGAATACGAGAGCGTCGCAGCAAGAAGAATGGAGCATAGGCGGAACGAGATGTATGGGTTGGAATTATATGGTTTTGACCACCTTTATTTTTGTTTTCCTTTTTTTCTCGCGCGCAAAAAGGCAGGCATTGATAAGGACGTTACTGTAAGGAAGCCAGGCCTGCAAGGTAGGCTTCGGGAAAGCTATGCATGAGACATGCAATTAGATCTCGCAAAATCGCGCGTTGGATTTCGACTCTTGGCACAAAACCCGCCAAGGAAAGTAATTAATGGTAAAATATACACATACAACGCCCCTGCACCGAAGAGGTTGCCTTCCTGGTATTGGACTCGTCACACACAAAAGCAGGAACACTGGTTCCGAGTTGATATACGGACCACATCTTCCATTTGCGGTAGATATCAGAATGGGTAGTTGGTATCACGGGAGGCATTCTGGTATGAGCTCCTAAAAGGCCGTGTACAGGTTCATACACGGCGTCACTGAAGATGGTAGTGGGATATACGTTCTTTCGTTTCCTTGAGGAAGTGATGGTAATGGAGAAAGCCGAATATATCCTGGAGAGCCTTCTGGTTGCCTCGGGTGTAGTCAATAATCAACGGATAGAGGAAAGGGAGAGATGGTTTCTCATGGACAGTGGTCCTATAGCGCCTATAATTTCCTTCACTATGGACAAAGTCAAAGAGGTGGCTGATAGGTTCTGGCCGCTGACCAGCCAGTGACAATCCACTTAGGACGGCGGTAAGGGCAAAGAAATTGCGCAGATTGTAAAGGTCCTATTACAAGTTATTCATAAGAAGTGCTGTGTTACGGGGGCCGGTTTCCATTCACCAGTACTAAAGACTGCAGTGCACCACCCAGCTCCGGAACCGCCGCTGCTTCTTCTGTCTCGCGGCACAGGCGGTCCCATCTGATACCAAGCCGAGGCAGAGCACCGGTCTTTGCCTGCACGCTGTGGAGGTTCAATTGATGAAATTCACGCAGGGCAGCTGCAGATAGTTGTAAAGCCACTGTGTCGGGTGAGCTTTCGCTGATCTGAATTAGAAACTCGGTGTTGATAGGGAACTCGTCGCCCTGGGCCAAGGCTGGACTGGCTAGATAGCGGCGATAACGGACCTCAAGAGCAGTCAGCCGTCGAATGATGTGCTTGTCCGGGTTGGAAAGGATCGCCTTGAGAGGAAGAAGAATGCAATCGACATTCAGGGTGAGGGGTTCAAAAGGTTCTAGTGTCATACGACAGCGAACCGCATAGGATATGGCCATAGTTAAAAAGAGATCATTACACCGGATCAGCTGAACAACAGGTTAGATGCGATTACGTCGCTGGAGTTTTGTGGGGACTGACGGTGACAACGACCGTATATTTCTCGATCTCCTCTGGGCACTGACCGAGAAAGTGAAACAGAGAATAGCTCAGTCGATTATAATATGTGTTGAAGGCTACAATCGCAGCCGGCGACCCTCCCATTGCCTGCTGCGCCCAGGTGTCGAGGTGCAGATGTTTGAATACATACCAGCTGTCTTGGAGAAGTTGAAAGGCTACTGCGCCCGGGTCTTCGTTCCTCGAGAAGACTTTCCATGGCAGTGTCTCACAGAACGTATGGCGATACTCGGGCGATAACACAGGGCATGGGTTGTGGCTTGTCTCAAGGTTGTTCTGTTGGTCGGCAACTGGTGTTCGAACTTCTGGTGAGACTTCACCCGACGCGAAGGCAAGGACATTGGACTTGCCGATTGGGGTCAAAAAGGCGCAGAAGGACATAGTGAGCAACACCCACGTTTGATCCGTAGATATCGCTAGCGTTCGTAGGATGTAACGCGTCACCTTGTGTAATCGGCGAGCAGTGGCATCAGAACTTTATATAACAGAAAAATAATTTGATGTGACCATCTTGGCTACCTAGGTTTATAATATCCGCTGACCAACGCTGCAGTCTGGAATTTACCCAGCAATTCATTATATGAGGGGATCTTGGACGCTTCTAAGTCTGAATCTTATCCACCGGTGTCAATGCGTGAGAGCGGTCACCACGGCGATGGCGGTTGTCCAGGAAAGTGTATTTGTCGGGTTAATGAACAGGACAAAAAATTTGGAATCTTAGATGTAATGGCCAGTGGTCGAAAAGCTGTTCTGCAACAGCAATCAATTACGCACCAGTAGTCACCAGAATCATGAACACACGGTTAGAGTCGCCGTCGTCGACCACCATTCAATCCCCGCCACAGCCGTGGTGATTGCCCAGACAAGGTGGGGTGGGACTAGGGAAAGGGGGATCGTCAGAAATGCGGTCGTTCGCCCGGTTATCTTTAATCGCAGCCGTCTTCTGATCTGCAGAAACGGTTGTTTCTGGAATACCCCACTGGCATTTAGCTGTAGGATAGGTACGCGCTCGCCAGCGAGATAAGAGTCAGTCAAGCATCTAGAACGGGATGCGACCGTTCTTGGTCCTTTTTGAAGAAGTTATATCTGATCGTACGATGTCCCTAAAGTGGGTCACCAGAGTAAAATGATGCCCGGGTAAATCGCGTCCATTAGCGGTGTGCAAAAATGCCATAGAAGTGTAGATTAGCCCTCGATTCTGCATTAACATATCACTTATTAGCGGTTTAAGGGAGGGTAAGGTTCCCGCATAACCATCGACTATGATGGGCTAAGATCTAGGATGGCGAATAGGTTGACTGAAGGCCAAGTACTGGTTGGAGGCAATGGACGTAAACGCACTCTGGACATGCATCCACAGCTCCAAGCCTAGGACGGCCTTCGAATTGGGCCCAAATCGGCATAGAGAACTGGCGAGGGCAGATAGCCTTATCCGTTGCATTGTAAATTGGGAATCCGAATTTGCTACCGGGCTATTCAACAGAGGTGCGCATCCCCTGATTGCCATTGAATTACGTGATAAGGACAGCGACTTGGAGTAACTGATCCCAATATTTTCAAGGAATGAGTACGACGTGCGCCATATCGCCTTGCCCCAGGTTCCATGGAAATAATAGCTACGAAGAATCATTGGTACAATGATATCCGTCGCTTCTTATCGCAAGGACTGAAGGGATACAGTGTTGTCCAAGTGTGGTATCGCGGTTTTAAGCCGCTCCTTGTGCCAGGGATCCTATAACGCTTGCAATTATGAGAACACGTTGTATGTGTGACGGTCACACTTGTTGATTACGGAGTCATGAGAACGAAATTGGCGTGCTTTGTACGCAGTCCCCTCTAGTGAAAGGTAAAAGGCGCGGAAAAACAGGCAATCAATTGAGTAAAATTCCAATTGAAGTCCGAATTCTGTTTGATTTGTCGGCAATATAGTGCCCTAACGTAGAAATGGGTTCCATTGTGTTGATAACTGTAGAAATTCTTTTGAGGAAAAGTGGCTGAGGCGATGTGACTAGTACACAGCAAGAATGAGAGAGACTGGAGACTTCGGAGTTCAATATCTTCTCATCCAAAAATGACTTCCCATCCGTCACCAATTAAAATGAGCGCTCCCTTTGAGTACTGGTCGGCAATATATGACGGGCAGTCTCTATCAGGCTGAACCCAAGTTAACTTGAGATCAGAGGCATATATCTCGTATTTATAAATTACTTTGCGGTAGACTCACGGAAATCATGTATTGCATGTTGAATTTATATATGGCCTAATATGGCTATACAGTAACTACCACTATTTCCGTAGTTGTTGACCTGGTGGGCTGCGCCGTGGTCTTTGTGAAATATACAGATTTTTGTTTGATTGCGTCAAAAAACTGGCCAGAGTGGACTCCTGGGTTGAGGGCAAAATGTGACGGTGGGTAACATCGGCAGGTTTCAGCGGAATTGCATGCGAGGAACCAGGCAGGGCTGGTGGTATGTACCTCATAGAGCACAGTGTTTTGGCCTTCATTTTCGATCTGCCGGATTCGAAAACATGGATCTTCAAATGTGGTATTGAAAAGAAAAAGGGATCCATTTGTTGACTTAAAGAGGACATGATCGCCCACAGAAGCATTCAGAGATTTGCGGTCGAATGTGACAATATCACCCGACGTGAGCTTCACAGTATGCGTGGACGCCGCAGACAACACGTGAGGCGAGTTCGGGGAGGTCAGAGGTGTTTTCCCTGCCGCTGTGGATGGAATTGATGGGGTAGGTTTTGTTCCTTCGTTGGCTGATGGGTCATGCGTACTGCGTGGAATTGAGCCGGGGGACGAGGGCGAGGTATTAATTGACGCAAATGATTGGGTCCAAGGAGTCTGTATCGGATTTAATACCGTGGTCTGACCTGCTATGCCTGTCAGGCTCGAACGATGGCTCGACAAAAACTTATCTGCTGTTGATGCCTGGAGAGTCGGGCAAATAAAATGTGTAGAGGTCACGGTCAAGCTCAAAAGGGCCTCAGTTCGGGGCCGTGACCTTTTTGTTGAGAGCTCAAGAGGCGTTATTTCAATGTCAAAACATGCAGTATAGATCTATCATACCGAATCAGTGCTACGGCACTGATATACATCTCCGAAAATTTATGTACTTACTTGGAACCCAGATTTCACTGATTTGGTTGTGTTCCACAGCCAATAGACCGCGTAGATGCCCGGGGATTCTAAATATTTTGGGATCTGGAACGGAGTTGGGCAACGGGAATGGATAAAGGAGGGGTACGAGTGCACTGAAAGGACTGATAGTCTATTAGACTGGAATGATGTTGACTTGCAAGTTCTACTAACCTTGTCCAGTTCCATCTGCTGGAAGGTTGATGACGTCTGAAAGTTTTTTGTGGTCAGTGCGGTTATCGTAGCTACTTCCGTACCAGCGTATAAACCCCCGGTCCATAAGGTCCCTGGTTGGCAGTGTATCTAGCACGTAGTGGGGGCATATCGTCGAACCCGGGGTGGCTTTTAATCGAGGCCACGGAGTCTGTTGAAATGGTGATCTTTGAGACGTGCTGCAGAAAAAGGATAACGGATCTGCATCAATGAAGGAGTAAGGCTCGGCATGGACCTGTTCGGAACCTATTCAATGAGTAAAAGAAACCATTTGTGCCTTGAGTACACCTACTATAATTTCTTGGGAAGCCCAAAAGGCCAGAAAATGTACCAGCCTCGTCATTTATGACCTGAAGTCCTCTTATCTGCCTAATTCAGTGGAAGAGCTTCTGGGAACTAGAACAGACCTACCTGCAAAGTATAACTGGGAACAGACTGGGCGAGAAGAAGGATGATGGCCCACGATGAGAAGAACCTCCGAAAGTCAGAATAATTCATTTTGCGCTTTTGGGTCGATTTCAAGTGGAAAGGAGAGACTTTTAGTCGATAACGCGGAACCGTATTTTCGCTGGTCTTCACGCCACTTTAATAGGATTTCCTTGCAGCCACGGGCAAAACGGTGGCCTCAGTTGAAAGCTTGAAGCTTGGCGCTGTATTACGAAACGCGTGTGCGTGTATATGTGTGTACTAGTTTACGCTTAAAATAAATCACCATTTAATTGCCCTCCAGTGTTCTCGTCACCTGGACGTTTTGCGCCGAGCAGGCCTTGAACGGCACTTCATTGCTATCGATCCGAGATTTCTAAATCAATCCACCTTGATGGAAGCTGTAGTAGGAAATGAACAGCATTGCTGGAAAATCTGTCGGAATCATGCAAAAAATTAGAGAGTTATTTTGACGATATGTGGGCATTTAGTATTCTGCGGGGGAGTGACGACCAAGCAATGCAATTTCTAGTAAGCATCAGTGCGTATGTGTTTAAAGTTGGTTGCGCATTTGCTGTACTGTGTTTCAAATCCCAAACCTGTTCTCGTGACCCTGTTATTTCGTTCTGCTGTGTAGGTATCTGTTTGGCGACCGAAGATAACAAAGCACGGTTGGATCCAACGGTCTTATTCAACATTATCTAACTGTGGTCTTCTTGATTTACACACACTAGTAATCTCATCCGATCGATATGTTTAACCAATAAGTTGTAACCGGTATCAATAACCTGAGGATAGCTGGAAACCCTAACCCTGCTTTCCCCCCTCTTAATTAATCATTATTACTTTTTTCGTTCAAGGGGAAAGCAGATCATTCCATTTAATGTCCCGGTGGCTAAGGCATGCGATAATTTGTACGAACCATGTCAGGCTGTCAGCTGGAGAGAGGGTGCCTGAAGTGCTGAAATTAACTTTATTGGAATACTCAAACCATGCTTAGAGTGTTGACTGGTCAATGAACTACTGTTTTGAACTACTGGCGCTCTCATCCCATCTCTGGGCATCGAATCTAATGGTTTTGTTGGCATTAATAGGTGGCATGACAGTGAAGAGCAATTCCAAAAATCTTACTCGCACCGCTTTAGGTTGGGAAATAGACGCAGCAAGTTTAGCATGCAGGGCTCCGGCACTCCGTGGCAAAATATGCGTATCTCTTGGACAAATTGCAGCGACTCGCCTAAGAGTTGGGAAGGTTTCATCGCCGGTAGGTCTCTGCCATTCAAGCAGTTGGGAAAGTCGCATGGTGCATGACTGATGTTAACCTGTCGAAAAAGAGTCCTAGCAACGCTGCTCCGTAAAGTCCTGGAGTTATTAAACAACGCCCACGGATCGCAGTTCTTTAGCTATTAAGAGATATTGGTTCATTATTGTGCGGGCGAATATGGGGAGCTAACATTCTGGGATATCTTCAGAAAAGATTCTAGCGGCAGGCTCAACGGCATTTTCAGGAAGGGAGTTTTCCGGTCAGATGCTGACAGTTGACCGTTGCCAAGGTCCGCTGGATGGTGGGACATTATATTTTCCGATCAATCACGGATTGTCTGTACAAAAATGTGTCTCATATGTGACATTATTGTAGTGTACTACTTTGGCATTTTTGTACCCAACGCAACATGAGTGGACGCGATTTGCCCGGGCATCGTTTTATCCCGACTGGCCACTTTGGCTCACCCTCAAATAGAGGGACATCGTCCGATCACCTCCAACCTTTTGAAAAAGGACCAAGAAAGATTTCATCCGGCCATGCCACTGGACACATACTTTTCGGAATTCGACAATTATGTGGGGTATTCTACTGCGCACAAATACCCGTGTCTGCTGTTAAAGATAACCGGGCGAACGACAGGCATTTCTGACGATCACCCTCCCCTAGTCCCAGTCTATCTTACCTGGGCAAATTGCCAAGATCGTGGTGGTTAATGGTGAACGGGCATGATTACCCGAGGGTTAATGTCAGTTACAAGCTAAACACATATATGGTCAAAGAACAGCTGGCTTATCAACCTGACATTCGAGAATTGTTCCATTCCCACAGTGTTCCTAGCTCCTGGCTGGTACACCTTCCCAGTCACTGTATAATCTTGTAATATAGTCTTTGTCAAACAGTACTCTAGTAATCCCCACAATCCCAGCTTTTTTAGATCTCGACATCCTGTTTGATAACGATTTTACTTTTGATAAGGAGCCTCCCAAGAATTGGAACTGTACTGTTCTTGTGGACTTTGCGGCCCTGTCAAGTCTTTCCAGATTGCGTCTTGAACACTTACATCTTGGTAATATGGTGTTTTGTCGCCCCCCCCCCCCCCAGACTCTCTTAGGACATTTATTCGAAATAATTTTTTTCTGAAAGTGGTTCGAACGAGATTCTCAGCGCAACTGGAGAAAGCCTCGAACAACTATAGCTGGCTGGTCCCAGGTCTCATGTCAGGCCCCGACTGCTGAGTTCTTTTCGCTGAGAAAGGTCCATCTGAAGGAGTCAAGTAACTTCTTTCCTTTTTTGCTTGGGGATGAGCTCCCAGCTTTTGAAGAAGTTTCTTGGAAGCTCCTCTTCCAGGATGAGGTTGGGAAATTTGGTTCTCGTCGTGCCTTTTCGGATGATAATAGCAGCTTGCCGGGCATGATGTAATATTTCGGTACCGATGGGTCATTGACTCCATTCTTACATTTGGCTAAACACATGTCTTTTGGGCATTCTACTGACTCCTATAGTATGATTGGTCAGACCTTGCTTGGCGATTAATTTTCTGGTCAACGTAAATCACCTTTCTAACTCGCCAAGGTGAAATTATAAATCTCCAAGAATGGATCAGGTAAAAGAAGGAAGGGGTCGGGTGACTCTGAACAAACTAGCACTAAGGGTGTAAGTCTTGACGAGGCTTAAAGTTCATCTTTATGAGTGTCTTCTATTGATCATAGAGTCTAGTCTATCGTACAACCACACTGCTGTTGTATCTGTGCAAACTTGGTATAACTCCACTCAGCTGGAGATGGCGAAAGATTCTTTTGCCCAGCTCATGATTGTTGATACATATGGCTCCCCCAGACAAAGATGCAAGGATCTTAATCAAAATGCGACGTGCTGTTCCCTGCAGGCTCCCCGAAGAAACCCGTGTATATCTCGGTCAGGATTCGCGCGTCGGCTCGCAGAGTGGGGGATATATAACGACTCTGTAGAAGGAACTTGATCGTCCGCCGCAGAAGGCGCTCGAGGTCATTTCGGTCAACCAGCTCGGACAAGTGGGAATTGTATGTGGCCGATAAAACCAGCATGTTACCAAACTGTCTACTGTACTGTTAGCATCGCAGACTAGCAGAACACGGGACGAACATACGCATGCGCTGTTCCAAATATGTTGGTCACGATCGGTCGGCCTTCGATGCCGTCAAAAGCCTCCGTGCTCTGAATCGCGGACTCGACACATACTCTGCACGCGCGACGCATTTCCCTCGGTAGCTCCCGGTACGTCCACTGATCTGGAACTGCGGTCTGCGGCATGGCGGTAGCACTTCGGCTGTGGGCCACTGACGGGGATATCTGCTGCGATTTCAGCCCGAACGCTTCGCTGCCAGCGGCCAGGGCTGCAGGGCAGCCAACTGACGATGTCCGAGCATTCGATTGACATGTGAAGTGGAGTGCATGATACAGAACGGGCCGGTGGATGATATAACGGGCACCGTAATACTTAGCCCTCATACGGGCGACATTGATATCTTTCGACGGAGGGTCACTATCTTTCCATTTCATAACTTCGGGGAGACTACTCCGCCACTCCTCAAGGTTTGTGTTTAATATTTCCAGCACTTTGGGAGGCCACCGGGCCTGGCCTTCCTCTGTCGGAGATATTAGTTAAGTATTCATATCCCAATCGATCGCAGGAAAGCTTACTTTCAACGTTGTACAGACCCGTATGGACGCGGTTGAGAATCCTCCGGAGGTGAATCTGCGCCGAGTAGAAAAACATCATCATCGTGGTAGGCGCGGAGATCTCGTTCGGAAGACTGAGAGTGAAGTGGCCCTTCGGGAGAGAAACGCGCGACCCAAATCGCGAGATATCACTAGCGGCGAGGTCCAGTTCGGCTAGAATGTCACTAGATAGATTATTAGCCTTTCGTCGCGACCAGACCAAACCCGATGCGAGCTTACCTTTCTAACTGTAGACAGGTCCAATACGCAAAACTACACAGGTCCTTCTCAGCATTGTCGGGCATCGTCTGATACTCTTTACTAATATTAATTAGCCCCCTTATCAGCAGTCGGGTCGCTTGGTAAGGCATACGATTCAACCAAGACATGGCAGATCCGCGCAGCCTGGAAAATCCACCCGTGGCTCTGTATAGGATGGGCCAGTTGGCCGGCGTAGAGGCCCGCAAGTAATGACGCCTGTGCATGGGACAGACCATTCGCGCCTTGAAGATACCCAAGAATACCGGTGGCATAGGCATAAAACGCCAGGCCGGGAATGACATCAAGGTTTCGTAGATTCCGATCGTCACCCACTGTGCTCTTCCGACCGTCTCCCATCCAGGCGGGATTGAATGATGAACGGTTCGAGTGGATGCTGTTGGATTGCGAGGCGACAATCGCGTCTGACCCTGCAGGAGCTAGCATACTAGACGACGAATGCCCGGGGATCTGTTCCTGTCGAAAGTTCACAACATAATCCAAGACGGGGCCGGGTACAGGTCGATCCCGAACTTCGCAAATACTGCCCAGCGCCAAGACGAGTAAGACAATGGCGTTGCCGATAGATTTTTCAATAATATTGGATCCTGCCTGGACGGGTGCAGGGGATCCCATTTCGCATCCTGCACCTGGGAGAGCATCGTACGAGTGATTTCGTTTAGTGCCCCTGGGCATCTTGTGGCCCGCACTGGGACAATATGTACTGATGAACCGTTCGATTTTCTGCCCTAAATCCTTCTGGTCAAGGAACGGATGGAGCTTATGCAAATGCTCCATATAATTCCCATAGTAGCGACGTATCGTAATCGGGTTGGTTATCACCCGACCGGCATCGTCCAGTCCAACGTCCGGGAGCTTCGACTGCGGCTGGTTGATCCCGTCCCATGGCCCGCTGGGGGAGGGGGCATGCATTTTCGCAACATCGGCGTCCAGGTTAATTGATACGGTCGGACCCTCGCTCGTTTCGTCGCCTTCTCCACGTCCGTAGACGCGAATGAGACCGCGCTTCTTTTCCAAACACATCACATAATCTACATCATATTCTCTAGGTTGGAGGATCTTGTTGGTGGAGGGCCATAGCAGTAATTTGTGAGCGGCAGTAGTATGTCCCACCGGGATAGATGACTCTTCATCTCCATTGAAGGATCCCGTCAAATATTGGGGAATCTGCTTCGGCGGCCCTTTGGGGACGCAGTCTTTCTCTTTTTGGAGTAAATCGTTGACCAGCTGGCTCAGTTTGAGGCCATTATCAACCTGAGCTTGTAGCACACGGGACAGGAGCTCTTTTAAACAATTTTCCAACTGATTGATTCGATTCATCATCGGTTTTTCGTATTTTTTATGACTATCTGTAGGTTAGTATAGCCCACTGGAATGGAAGAAACCGGTGTGGCACACTTATTGAGCGGTACGTTCTGGTAGATACAGATCTGGTTGGTTTTCGTGCAGTGGCCGCAAGCGGGCCGATTTCCGTCGCATTTTTCCTTCCGGGCTCGACAATGACTGCAGGCCTAGTGCGAACATTGGTTAGGAATGGCTCTCAATCGACTTCGGCTTGAGACATACCTGTTGTACGCGAGAGCGTTTGCGTATTCGAGGAATGCCAAATGCTGGATTATCATAGTAAGTTGCTGTATGCAGATACTGGGCGGACGGTGGGAGGGACGGTGGTGGTAGATAGACTGTGCCGCGGGCATCCTGATGGGAGGTATACCGTATTTGATCACCTGACGACCAGCCCCACCTGACGAACAATTTCACCGACATTTCTAACATTTTCAAACAGCCATATCTCAACCAATATGGCTCCAATTGATGAAGCGATTGCAGAATTAGAAGCCTTGACGCTTGAAGAACGACCTAGTTTTTCTTCTATAGCAAAAAAGTACGGTTTTAATCGAATAACTCTTACCAGACGGTTTCGCGGTGTCCAACATTCAAAAGATGAGCAATATCAAGAACAGCGACTTCTCAATGATCGTCAATCGAAAGTGCTCATTTCTAATATCAATCGATTAAGCGAGAAAGGCCTTTATATATCGCACGAGATGTTACGCAATCTCGCTCACGAAATCAGCGGAAATCGACCCGGAAAACAGTGGCCAAGCCGTTTCTTGAAGCGATACAGTAACGACCTTATTTCTCGCTATACAACAGGAATCGATTCATCTCGAAAAAGGGCCGATTCAGCATGGAAATACGCATTGTATTTTGAGCTTTTAACTCGCAAAATACAACAATACCGTATACAGCAAGAAGATATCTACAATATGGACGAAAAGGGCTTCTTGATCGGAGTGCTTAGTAAAGCGAAAAGAATCTTCTCTAAGCAATCATTTGAGCAGAATGGCTTACAGCAACGGCTTCAGGATGGTAATCGCGAATGGATTACTACGATTGCTTGTATCTGCGCGAATGGGACCTCGCTATCTCCGGGTCTTATATACCAAAGCGCCTCTTCAAAGCTTCAAGATACGTGGCTTCAAGACTTCGATCCTTCTCTCCATCCTTGTTTCTTTGCATCTTCACCTTCAGGATGGACGAATGATGAGCTCGGATACGCATGGCTGCGAGATGTATTCGATCGAGAGACCAAAGATAAAGCAAGGAGACGTTGGAGGCTTCTTATTCTCGATAGCCACGGATCTCATGTCAATATGAAGTTTTTCGACTACTGCGAAACGAATAAGATCCTTTTGATGACCTATCCGCCTCATTCTACGCATTCGCTGCAGCCGCTTGACGTCGGAATCTTTGGACCTTTATCTACAGCGTATAGTACGGAATTAGAGCAATTTCTTCATCAATCTCAAGGTCTTTGTCATATCACGAAAAGAGACTTTTTTCACCTCTTTTGGCCGTCATGGAAGAGGTCTTTATCACCTGAAAATATTGGTTCTTCGTGGAAAAATGTAGGCATTTGGCCATTGAATCCTGAGATCATTTTATCACGATTTAACCGAAAGGACGATAGCCGGCCTTCATCTAGTGGCTCATCTCGCTCAGTGCTAGGTGCAGAGGATTGGAGAAAGATTGAAAGGCTTCTTAAGCATGCAGTCACCGATTTATACGATCAAAAAGCGAAAAAGTTGAATTCTACGATGCATCATCTGTCTACGGAGAATATCATTCTAAAATTACGCTGCCAAGGCCTTGAAGAGGCTCTTCTTCAAGAGAAAAAGAAGCGCCAGCGAGGCAAACCTCTTTTTTCTGAATTACGGGCCCCTGAGGACGGCTATGCGGTGTTTTATTCTCCCCGCAAGATTCAGCAGGCCCGTGATCTTCAAGCAGAGAAAGATGAAGCTTTACAACTTGCTAAAACTTCAAAAGAAGAAAAAAGGCTTTGCAAACAGCGCGAGAAAGAAGAAAAGAGGCTTTTAATTGAAGAGCGCAAGCGAATCCGCGCTTCAAATAAAGAAATTCGACTTCGTGAGGCGGAGGAAAAGAAGCGTAAAAAACAGGATGATCAGCTCGCTAAGCAGGCTGATATACAACTTCAAAATGGCTTCAATTCGGCTCAGCGAGGCAAAAGTAAGCCTCCTAACACTCCGCGGGCAAAAAATTCAAATGATATCGCTCCTGTAGGCGCTGAGGTCGTTGAACAGGCTCCTCCAACGCTCAACCGCCGAGGCAGGCAAATACGCCCCCCACAGCGCTTTCGCGATTAAAAAAAAAAGTATATAGCTTCAATTTCATATATATTTCGCTCCGCTCAAAAAGTTCTATATAATTCGAAACATAAGTGGCTGTACGGCTTCAATTCCTACGTGGGCGCAGAGTTGAAAAACGTTCGTCAGGTGGGGATGTTCGTCAGGTGATCAGGTACGGTAATGCCTGGGTGGCTCCAAGCGAAGTGGTGCATGCGATGTCACATTTGCGGGCAAGACCGATGCTGACTGCGGATATGCATCTGACGCTGCGCGAGGGGGGATGGGCAGGCTTTCTTGACCATCTAGGTGGGACTGTTCTTTGTCCTAAATGGACGCATATTCGATTCGCAATAATGCCTGCTGCGATACGTTAGAGGCTGAAAGGCGTCCGGGAGGGTATTCAACAGGGGGACGTGTCTGTACCGGATAATAGCCTGAGGGTTGCGAATCACTTGGGACAGAGGCATATAGGGTCCTGGAAAGCCCTGGGGGCGGTAATTGAGGACCATTTTTGGTCGAAGTATAGAAGGTACGAACTGGGGAATGAGCTGTCCCACTTGTGTGCCAGCTCGGGGCCGTGGGAGCTGCCTTCTGCTGCAATGACCCGACTGTCATCTCGTAAGAGTCATGTGAGTTACCGTTACTGAGATAGTACGAGATCTCAGAGAAACTGAAGAAGTGACCGTTCTTGAGATGGAAGCCACGTGCCTTTGCCCTGATGTGTATACAACGCGCCTTTCACTGTCCCAAAGGCGTTTATTCCGTGTCTGAAGCTGGTGACTTTTCTGAGAAGTCGGATACTAAAGAAGTTTGTGGTTGAATTGATCAGAGCGACCGCGGACGTCAATGGTAAAGTTGCGTTGATGTAGAGGGATGAAAGAGGGCAGAAACATGCTCGAAGAGTTGAACGACTGAGGTATAAAAAGACTGGTATTATAACCCAATGCACGGTTGGGGGCTTGGATGCATTCGCTAGGGAATCGATCGCCATGTACAGGTGTTCGGAACAGCTGTAAAATTGGGAAAATCATGGATAATCTTCCATAGTCGAAGATGATTCTCTGTAGTTAATTCGGTAATGTCAAGTATAGGTAACATGGCGACGTGTTATTACAATGTTATGACAACGCGTTAATTTCGCTCGCAGTATAAGTTGGCATACTAGATGATCCTAGAAAGTTGAAATCACGGCTGGGAGCACTGGACAATATGACGGAAGCGAAAATTTCGCTTACGAAGTAGAAATGTATATGGATACATACAAAAGAGCCTTGCAGAGCCTATATGAGAGCTATAGTAGAGAATATCACTTCTAGAACAGATGAAACCAGCCTAACTGAGGCCCCACAATGATGCGATGCGACCAACGATAGTATTCCACTGATTGGGCCCATTCAATACCAATTGTTTGCATTCTAGTTATTCCAGATTAGTTAACTAAAAGGCTGTTTAGATGGGTAAACACGAAAAGCGGGGAGGGTGATAGATTACCGGGTCTGTACCCAGGTTGGATGGGGTGGAGAGTTCAGCAGATGTGATCAGACCACCATCCCCAACTTTTGGAAAGCAGCCTGCATGTCTGAGATGGACGAGATGGGCGAGATGGGCGAGATGGGCGGGAAGGGAGGAGAAGGGTAACGTAATTTTAGTTTCAAATGCAGTAGTTAAGATGTGCGTACAGAAATTATATGAAACACATCACATCATATCAACCATACCGGTACCCTACAATGTTATATCTGGAGGATTGTAAAAGTAAAACGTGAAGAGATTGCGGAAGGCAGACTTCTTCCTAACCATAACTCACTCTAATCAGTAGTATATGCGCCAAACCGCGAACATCTTGACTGTTTAGCTATCATGAATTTCCGTCGAGTCAGAACGTTGGGGTAGGAAGGGTAAAGAGGAAATCAGGGTGGAGAATTGCGGACCTTGGATCAGGAGCCAATCATCGCGAAACTATAAACTAGCAAGCACACTGCCAAAATATTCGGCTTGTGATTGTGAGACTGCTCCGCGTCGATGGCTCTACGCCTAGAGCCATATTTTGATCTCCCAACATGTTCATCTACTTTACTACGCTGGAGCAAGGCCAGCTTCGTATTCTTGATTATATATGCTCATCTAAAAAGCGAGGTTGACTAAGCCCAACACCGATTGGCATTTGCTGCACACGGCCAAATACTGGGCAGCCGTCTTCCTTCCAGTTGTACTGAAATACTCTGGCGCGTATAACATAGTCGACTCTATCTTTCTGGTGTTTGTTGGCTCTGAAAGGGACTTACTGAGTAATAGCAATCTGTGAGCCCTAAGACAAACGCTTCAATGTTGGGAGCCTTCAATAGGCTATGGAATAAGGTACTCCATAGACAGCTGTCTAGCGCATGATATGACAGGCTGCTCTATCAAAATAAGCGCTCAGACAGCTTAGGTGGGGTGCGGGAAATGGGTACTGGAGTGGAAACTGTACGCAATCTGGATATGTTATTGGTGGCGCTGGCGCTGCTAGACCCTCAGCCTAGCTGAGCGCGATACATACGTCCCAATACAGGAACAGCCTCCCCAAGCCTGTTCCTAGGACTAGTCAGCCAGCAAAGGCCTCTAATCACAAACCTTGTGGCTTTTAAACCTGCTAGGACTTCTCATTTACCCCTGTATTCCGAGGCACGCTCTAGGTTACGTACTGTGATATTCCACCTCTGCCAAACGGTTGGCTCCCGGTGCCTGACTACTACTTTGGGAGCCATCAACCAATTCCACGTAACGTCTGAGCGCCAACGCACTCCGAGACTCAATCTATTCTGTGCATGCAGGATAGTGTAATGGGTGACGCTGCTCCCTGGCTGTTCCGAACTTACGATAAAGGTGTAAGAGTTGCCACACAATCCGGCAGGAACGTGTGACTACAGCCCAAAATAACTCTTAGTACAAAACCTCATTATCCAGCCATCAACTCTCCTAGGTGATTCAAAACTCAGGCATTGATTGCCAGGGTACAATAGCTGACCACTTTTTTCCTATCAGCTATATTTTCCCGGTATGTCGCATACCGTGGGCGAATTGATGAGGCTGTTCAGTCCCGCGCAAGTGAAAATTGCTTTGTTGATGTCTGCATTATCCCCCGAGAGACTATACATCAATTACCCGACCAGTGTTCTATGGCGGAAGGCCTGCGCGCGCTTTCATTGAGAGGCTTCACTCAGCTTTGTGCTACTAGGAACTCGGTCGAGAGGGAACCGGGAAAATACGCGATGATGCCAATTCCGTTGGCGATAGAGCAGCACGAGCGATATTATGAATTTCATTCAGGGCGCCCTTTCTGGAAAGATCCTTCTGGTCGAATCCACCGTCATCATCCACACGGGCATCGACGTGACTTTAGCATAACAGTTCATCAGGGATCGAATGAAGTTTGCGGCCATTGGGTATGGATGGACAAACCCGGAAGATGGGTCGCGAATGATACGAAGAATTGTTTCATTTAGCGAAATCAGTTCTTGTTTGTGCCGGGCGGTGAGAGTTTGGGTCGGCGGATAGGGCAATGAAACTATGATGCTTCTTTACTTATGTCAGTCACTGGATGGTTTTAAGAGAGTAAATTTTGTCATTTAGCTCCTCCCCTGTTCTCAGCTACGTGACACCAGTCAGACATGTTTCATAGGTTGATCTGGATGCATCCGCAGCTTTCACAGTCCGAATATGTGTAATGGCTCGTAAGCGCCGTTGGTGGAGGAGAAATTGTCGGATTTAGGATAAGACCTTCAAGTGCCCAAACATGGTGATATGCTAAAGCGTGATATTTTAAGACTCGTATTATTCATGGTAAGCTTGCAAACGCCATCAACCTTTGCAGAGTGACTTTCTATCATCCGTTCTGGCTGGTCCATACTTTCGTGAAGGTAGATAAGTCTGCCTGGAATGTCAGGCAACGGAACTGCCGAGTAGTGCTTATTTAGGTTAGAGACACTCGATATCATCCTGCCCCTTACATTTCACAGCTCACATGATAGCCGGGCTTATCACCCATCTCGCTGCCTTTCATTTTTTTTTTTTTTGTTTCTTCCTTTCTTTCTTCCTCCCGTTGCTCCTCGGCTCACTGTATACCCGTCTAATCATGTCTTGTTCCCCACAACCTTATCAGGTAAGATACTATCTACGTGTTGGCCTGAAGACCGGATCAAGCTGACTTTTGTAGATCGTCAAACTAAACGATCAAGAAATTATTGCAACCGATGTTGAGCTATTAGATCCACGGCGAAGTACGGTATATCGACTCAAACTCAAACTTGCCTCGCATCAGAATGTCATACCAGATATGGCCACGTCTGTTATTGTTAAGCAACAGAAAGACGGGTGGGAGGAAGAGTTCGAAGTTGAAAAGATGGCCTACAACAGATTGGCGCAGCTTCAAGGAGAAGTCATTCCATACTTCTATGGCCAGGGCTCCTTCAATGGGCTTCCTGCCATCGTACTGTCGGATATTGATGGTATTGCTCCGGATTATTTGGCTCGCAGCAGCAACGACGAGATCTCGGAGGATTCGCTGGAAGCTTATCTAGAGAAAGTTTTCAGGGAGTTCTCAAAGTGCGGGGTTTTGTATCGTGACCAGAAACTGGATAGTTTCTTGTTATGCTATGACAAAGACCGCCGGCATGGCAAAGTGATGGTCGTTGATCTCGAGCAGGTTGAATTCCCTAGCGAGGTGCTTCCTTGGCAATACGGTATCAACCAGGAGGGAGCAAGGTCTTTGATGGAAGAATTCAAGCATCAACGGAACCCCACGCGTGAATCACCTCCACTTGAACTATGGAAGTGTGCATATTAAAAGATCGTAACAGAACAGGCTAGGTGACCGCCGTTGAACAGGTATTGGGGTATGCTTCTACTGAGTGAATATGTCAAGAAGGATTTTTTGCACGGTCAATTATGGACGTATCTTGTTGTCTGAAACTTCCGAACACAAGTATGCATGGTCTAAAGCAGAGCCCAGTAATGTCTATGGTCTTAGAATAAAGGACAGTTTTTGTATCTACCTCCATTTGCAGATGGTTTCGTGCGTTTGTCGTAACTCGATAAACTTGAATACCTGTCCCTCTGAAGATCAAAGCTAGAGTTAGAAGCACAGGTCAATTTTCGCAAAGTCCTAGTGTGGCCGCGGCAGTCGACTAAGCCGACACTTCACCGCCTTGCTCAGCCGAAATAATCCCATCAGTCAATTATGCTTTTCCAGTTGAAATGATTGATTATCATTTTGAAGCTATAAAGATTACATAAATACGAGCTGTACCGCACAGTTAGAAAATCAAGAATCAAGACCTTTCATTCATCTTAAACAGATGATCACGTAACTTATCCAGCGATGATGATGATGATGATGATGATTATTCATACGCTGACCCCTCGCCTTAAGCGATATGCAGGGTACCACTATCTCTAATCTCTATGTACATGCTTCACAGTAAACTATTACTTTCCTGACGAACTTGGAGCCTCGTCAAGGCCTGTGTTGGCCGGTGCCTGGGGTTTTGTTCTGCCGCCCTCGTGGCGCGCGACTTCGAAATCTCTGCGATGCCTCCGCGAAGTCCAGTACCGCCCCGAGGACGCTGCTGTCTGGCGGGACATCTTGTGGCCTACCTTCCCTACCGTGACCTGTTCCTCCCAGCATATCTGATATATTATTGAACGCTCCTCCAATTTTCTGCCGTAGGTTTTGGCGCAGTACGCGGAGCCGCGGGCAGTCGATCAATACGTGCACCACCGTTTCAGTAGCCCCGCACTCGCATCGCTCGTTGTCTCGGAAGCCGCGTTGTTTAGCGTACGTAGCTAGCCACGAGTGACCGGTGCGAAGTTGCGTGAGCAGGTACGCTCGATTCCGGGGGAGCGAGCCATACAGACGGCGAGACCTGCTGGATGGCAGGCCTCGGTCGATGTGGCGCAGGTGCCCTCCGTTTTTCGATGTTTTCCAGTCTTGTTCCCACTCTAGATGGATCTTTCTGCAAATGTATCCTTTCTCCCGCGATAGGAGGTGTTTGAAGGGATGCTTCTTTTCCTCGCCTACTGCGGCTTTGGCCAGTCGGTCTGCCGCCTCGTTTCCAGGATCCCCGCAGTGTCCCGGGACCCATTGTAGTCGTAGTGGAATTCCTCGAGCGTTCAACTCTCTGGCCGAGTAGTGAATGGCCTGGATGACGCACTGGCCTGATTTGTTCCATGAGTTTCTGATTACTTGTAGTGCAGACATACTATCACTGAGGATTGTTGCTGGCTCTTGATCTGTTGCAGTGACCCCTTGGTTCTGCCGTGCTAGCTGGAAGACTAGTCCAATAGCATAGTAGATCGCCATGAGCTCGGCTGCATACACCGACCAGTACTCCATCGAACCGATACTGACTTGTCGCGATCCTATAATCTGCTGGTTGCGATCAAGAGCTACTGCTGCAGCACCCAGCTGGTTTTCCTTTCCTGATGCATCCGAGAAGACCGCTATACTTTGTCCTGAACTCTGTCTCGCTAAAGCTTGGGCCTGTGCTTTCTCTCGGTCTGGTTCGATCTCGATCTCGACAAAGGGCTGCGCCCGCCACGGTGCTCGTGGCCTTGGATCGATGGTTTCCAAGGCCTGTAGACGCTTCAGGTCCATAGTTCGCATGGTTTCGGCTAACGGGAAACGTGCCATATTGTAATTATGCGTGCTGCGTTCCATTGCTCGTTTTATAATTCCTCGGACTGGATGATCATCGTGTAGGGTGCTGAAACGGGCTACTGTCGTTTGTCCTCGCTGTTTCAGTCGCAGGCGAGTGGGCAGCATGTGAGATTCGACTTCAAGGGCCTCTGTAGATACTGTTCGGAAGGCAGAGAGGATACGTATGAGCGCTGTTCGCTGGACGGTCTCCAGAAGCTTCAGGTGGGTTTTATTGCGTAGCGGATCATGCCAGACGGTTGATGCGTAGTCCATGGCTGGCGTAACACACGCTTGGTAGAGCTGGCGCATCTGCTCCGGGCGGAGGTGTCTGAGCCCGCTCAAGGCGATAGTTCTTTTGGTTGCCCGCTTGACCGCCTGTTGTACATGGTCCTTCCATCGCATCTCTGTATCAAAGATGACCCCTAGGAGTTTAGCTGTGTCCGCAGGCTTAATCACTTTACCATTCATAACTATCTCTCCTTTTCCACGGGCCGATTTGCGGCGTGTCAGGTGGATCACCTCGGTTTTCTCTGCTGCGAACGACGCGCCGGTTCTCCGCGCCCACTGCTCGATTCGGGGGATATCCTCTTCTTGGATCTTCTTGATATTTTCCTCTGCTGACGGACTAGTTCGCCAGCGGAAGTAGTCATCGATAAACGCCGATGCACCACCATTGCTGTCGACCGGTTGATCGACCAGGTCTGAATTATAAAATCCAAATAGGATTGGCGATAGTGGTGAGCCCTGGGCTAGACCTGCGTTTTCCAGAGACGTACTGCCTGTCTCAAAGTCATCGAATGTGACACTGGCTTCTCGGTTCTCCATAAAGCTGTAGATCCACTGTCGAGCCTTTAGTGGAATGCCCTTCATCCGCAGTCGTGCGTCGAGAGTGGTCTTGTTGACTCCATTAAAGGCACCTTTCAGGTCGAATGCTATCAGCGTTACTACCCTGGATCGTACCCATGCTCGGTCTATTGCGTTGGCGAGCACCAGCAAGGCTTGTTCGGTATTTCGTCCCGGTCTGCCTCCAAATTGTGTATCTGGCAGCAGTTTGTATTTCTCTGCCCAGTATGAGAGTCTTCGGGCTATAACAGCTTCGAGTAACTTCCCCAGTGTGTTGAGCAGGGAGATCGGGCGGTATGCCCCTGGTACCGAGTAATCCGGTTTGCTGGGCTTTCGTAGGACAATAATCCGCGCCTGTTTCCATTCTCGGGGGTAGTACCCTAGGTCGACTGATTTAATAAAGATGGTGGTAATTATCTCTTTCAGGAACCCCCACAGGTGTTTCCAGACCAGCGTGGGGATTCCGTCTCTACCCGGGGCTGTAGTTCCCTTTGCGACTCGCAGTGATCGGTAGATCTCCTGTTGGTTGATCGGCTCCCACGGCAGCTCTTCGGCTGGATTAACTTCTTCAATTTCCGGTTCGGCCATTTTCGGAAAGAAGGCGTTGAGAAAGGCATCCGCCTTTGCTTGGTTGTCGACCACCTCCTCTGTATTCACTTGGATTGTCGGGATGCTCATGTAAGCATCTCGGGGACGCATATAGGTGGCTGCTTTCCACAGATGGCCTTCGCCTGCTTTGTTAAGAAACTCTTTCCAGTGGCTTGCTTTTGCTCTTTCGATGGCTCTTGTCCACAGCCTTCTCTTCTCGCGCATCGTCTCAAACATGGACTTAGTATTTGGATGGTTAGCTCCTAAAGTAGCACACCCGTCTTGCCATTTTCGTCGGGCTTGGTTGACTTCCCCCTGCTGGGTCTTGAGTTCTGGAGTGAACCAGCGTTTTGAGTACGGGCATGGCGCCTGCACTGGTACGTGTTGGTCTAGTACGGCCACTGTAGTTTGGATCAGGCTTGTAACTGTCCGGTCCAGATCTTCTTTCGTCTCAATTGTCGGGTGTTGACCGACACGTTTCAAGATATTTTGGCCAACTCGTGCCCAGTCCGCTCGGCTATACGCCCTTTTCGGCTTAGGCGGTTTACTCCATTCCGGGTGGACACTCCATTCTGAATATGTTCCTCGGTGGTCCGACCCGTAGTGGTCATGGTAGAGTTGGCACTTGATCAACCGGCTCATGTCGTTGGTTAGTGTCAAATCGAGGACTGATGTTGTGCCGGGCTTGTTGAGCGACCAGAAGGTAGTCTCGCCGGGGGCCAGACACCACTGCAGCTCGTGGTTGTGGAAGAAATTGATCAGTTCGTCCGCGTGCGCTGCGAAGCGGTGGTGTACATCGCGGTGGCTCCATGCTGGGTGGTGGCGGTTGAAATCACCAGCCAGGATTAGTTTGGTTGCGCGCGTGCCAGATTCTTTATGTTTTTGGATGGTTTGTTGAATTTTAGTTAGGATTGTATGGGCGCTGCTGGCTTCGAATGCCTCGTGCATCTCGATGGGCGGGATATATATTGAGAACACCAGGTATTGAAGCTCTGGGGTCCAGATTTTGATGGCTACCACATCAGGGTGGCCGCAATCAATTTGACGGTGTGAAGATGTGGAGATTCTCCGATTGACATAGAGAAGACTGCGGAGGCGAGTTGTTTCGTCTGGCTGGGTAGGTCGGTAGAGTCGCCATGCGCTGTGGTTAACATGGGTGTGGTATGCTGTCTTTGGCGGTTCTTGAATAAGAAGTACGTCAAGATTCTGGCTCTGATTATCGTTGATGAGGGCTTCCATCCCGGGTTTAGACTTCATAATGTTCAACTGTAGGATGCGAAGGTTTGCTGTCATTGGGATGGACTGGGGTTAGGGGGTGCCTGGCATGCCCGGTCACCTGTTGGGTGTTCTCCATTGCAGTCTGAGCATCTCGGTTTTATTCCAGGGAAGCAGTACCGCTGGTCGTGTTGACCCGCGCAGTAGCCGCATTTTACCCGTTCCTTACACGACCAGGCTAGATGGCCAAATTGCTGGCAGCGACGGCACCGTTTCTTTTCCACCCGGTATGGCTCCACGCTGCCGATAAACCTCTGTCCCACTAACATTCCATTATTAATAATCCATTCAGCTGCCTCTGGTGAGTCCAACCAGAGTCCCATCGAGGCAGATTTGCCCAGGGGCATGTCTCTCTTCTTTAACCACGCGATATCTTCGACCTGGAATTTCTTATCGAGAAGGTCATTCTCAGCCATAATTCTCTCTATTCCCTGTTTCTTGTTCCCTTCCAAATCAAATTCCTCGGTCGGGACTCGGTGGACCACGATCCCAAACCGGGGTTTCACTACTTTAGTGTTATTCCCCAACTCCTCCAGCCACTCGGTGCTGCCCCGGGCGGTCTCAGCAGACAGGGTGTCCCGGAATCGGATAACATAACCCGTTTTGGTGGTACCAATACCCGCCACTTGCACTTCTTTGGTGTTCTCTGCATTCAGCAGGGCAGTTCGAATGTGAGTATTTGCTGCTTCCGTTGGCAGGGCTCTTGAGAATCGATCATTATCGATGTCCTGGTCTAGGGTCGGTGCGGTGCTGATTCGAACACAGTTGGGTTCTTTTCGGGGGCGTGGCACTGTTGTCTTGGGGTCTGGTAGGGTGTTTCCTGCGGCCACTTCCGCCCAGGATCTGTTCCCTAGGGTATTCAGTGGTGGTGCCTCCAGTTTGGCCTGTAGGGCTTGAACCTCTTCCCGCAGTTCCTCATTGTGAGTTCGCAGGAGCTGCTGTTCGGCTTTCAGTTCTTGGACCTCAGCCCTTACTGTCTCAATTATTTCGGTCTGGTGCTTAAGCACCTCGTTGAAGCTGTTAAAATACTGTCGGACATCTTGGTTCGTCACCCGCCCATTGTTTTCTCCGCCGGTCGCAAATTCAGGGTTCGCGATCGGCTCATTTTCTTCTGCCTCGCAGCCTCGCCTGCGGCGTTTTCTTGTTGCTGGGATCCTGGGGCGGAAGTCATAGTCGCTGAAAATTGTCGCTGTTTCTTGCGTGTTTGTGGGATGGGGTTCGGTAACCCCTGCGGGCGGGATCGCCATCGGGCCGAGACTAGTTCCCGCTCGGCACACAATGACAGCCACAACACCTCAATAACTCGCGATGGTTTGATATCCGGATTTGCCTCCCCTTTTCCAACGGATCGTGTGACAATTCAGGCGCCGAGGGGTCCCCCGTACTGTACAGCCTTTCCCGATGTTTGTACAGTCGTAACTTATCCAGCGTTTTTAGTCATCGCTGCCCTCCAAACTGCCACATGGGGCAATGATATATCATGTGACCTTATTCGCTCTTTACCTGCTGGGGGCCCCCTGAGGGGGCCTTATTCCGTTTCTTCTCTCTCCCCTATGCGACATTCACAAAGATTACCGTTCGGTATGCCTGGAAATCGATTGCCTCTTCTTAACCTGTCCAAGCCTATTACTCCGGCTTTGGCAATCGAACTAAAAACTGCACTCCGCCAATTTGGAGCTTTCCGTTTAGCAGTCCCCGAAAACACTCGATACCATCATGGCAACGTAATCCAAAATGCAAGCTGGATTTCACTCCCCAGCACTACTGTCTGCTGCTGACCGCACCCTACAGGCTTTCAACTTTTTCAACCAATCGGTCAATGTCAAAAGACATATGCGGGGATATTCCCCTTTTGCTTCTGAACGTGTCAAAGGCAAAACTGCGATTCCGAAAGAAAGTGTATATTTCCGCGATAGTATGCGATCGGAGATTCGCGACAGCCACTCTATAGAGTTATGTCGTTCGGTTGAAGGTCTGCATGAGGTGAGCATCGGTTTTCTCCTTTTACCTTTCTAGAATTCCCCGTTTCGTCTTTTTTTCTTTCGTACACTTTCAATATACACTACTAAGGTGCTTTCCATCCCAGAACTGGACCCCTATACGGTTCGATTTATTGGAGACTATACGTCATATACTGGACCCAAACACTTTGCTAACAGGGAATAAACTTCTTGATTCCGCTACAATTGGCATCCACCATTACGATTCTCTACGTCTTCACGGACTCGACGACGATTTTAGCCCTCCGCATAAGGATAGCGGCACATTAACCCTCTTAATCCGGCCTCATAATGGAAGCGATGGTCTCGAAGTTGCCGATCTCCAGACAACGGCGAAGCATGATAGCGAGGAGATAGGTTTGGAGGCATCATTCATTCCGGTTCCTACTGCATGCGACGAAGACCCTGAAGTGGTAGTTTTCGCGGGAACCAGACTGCAGCGTCTCCTTGGGCCTGCCCAAGTTCGGGCTTGTGTACACAGGGTACGTGGCCCTGGCCAAAGAGGTTCTAATGGCCATGGAGTGCAAAGGTTGAGCATCGCAATATTTTGCGCTCCTTCCGTGCCTTCTGTATAATTATCTTTATCTTGGACATTCTCTCTCGGTTCTCTGGCAGCCTTTACACTCTCGATGATGGTTGTCCCGAGAAAGTAATACAATTTTGGTTAGTTGCTAAGTTTGGGGAGTCCGAACCGACACTAATCCGCAGATTCTCAGTAATCAACGAGGGAAATTGTGCCCATGTTGTGTAGTGATCGATGTAGTTAGATACGCTTACAATCAGGGCAATTTTGGCGCTATTCATGTCGATGTTTGCCTGACAGCAAAATATTCCGCAGATAACTCGGACATAAACGCAACGACGGGCGGAGCGGCATATGGTGTGTAGGGTTCCTGTTCTCCTGTCCTGCATATGTCTTGATAATCTACCGGACAGAGCGCAGTGAATTGATAGCAACGATGTTAATCCGATTTATAAGAACGAACTTTCATGCAACAGAATTGTTGAAGTTGCGAAAGCTCAATTGCCGGGCACAAACAAGGTCTTCCGAGCCCGCATCCCACATCATCCGTTAGACAGACGCGACAGGAAATCTCAGGGTTCTTCCTAGCTGAGGGTACGATCGCCACATAGCGAGCAACCTGAGACAGACATCACGAGAATACGCTACGTAAATTGGTTGAAGTTAGCTACCTTGCTTATTACGTCTGCTAGTAAAGCTCAAAGTGTGATGTGTGAGTATAGTTATTTTAAATAGACCTGCTGCAGCCGAGAGCACCTTCCTAGTCAAGTATAGAGCGTTCATCATCACCTTCCAAGCCTGCAGTTCCTGTATGCGAATTGATCGTTAAGCTATTGAATTACATTCGAACTGAGTGACTGAGTAGCCCTAACCAGCAAGGAACTTGAAACCGAGGATTCCCGACAATTTTATATCAAATGCCTGAAGGACCTCAAGGACTCAACGCGCCGACAGATTCTAAGTATTTCAACCAGTGGCGCAAACCAGCAATCTAATACAAAGTACCACAAGCACCAGCGTATATCTCAAGTGTGCTCAGATGGTCAGAAGTCTGACGCTCAAGGTCCGGGTGTCCCTGCTGGCGTAAGATGGCGCGCTGGGAGAGGAGCATTATACGCGTTGTACGACCACAGGCTAAAGTGAAGCGATTTAGATGAGCCATGGCTGCTGTCCAGTAATTGACGGCCGCATCATATTGACATTCAACATGCGATAGCTTTGCTTGAACAATAGATAGGCGTAATTTTTCCATCTTCAAGAGTTTCAGGGGCGGGTGTAGCGTAAGGCAGAGCGCTTTTGCCTCATCAAACTTCTCCTGTGCAAACATCGATTCAGCTAAAGCAACAGTCAATGTGGCATGATGCGGATTTTGACGTTCAAGTTCGGCACGCAGACAGATTTCAGCCGTATCCGGGCAGTCTAGTTCGATATACGTATCAGCCAGATTAGAGACCAGATCACTCGCGTCCTCGAGAAATATGAGGTTCTCAACAGTGTTTTTAATATTTATTGACCTCTGAAGATGTGACAGTGATCTTGTAAAGTCGCCCCGGTAACGCAAAATCTTGCCCAGAAGAAGATGCTGGCGGAAGAGAACCACTTGTCTCATCAGTGCAAGTGGACCAGGCATAAGCTGCCAGGCTTTCAACAAATCCGTCGCTTTGTCGAGCTGGTCTATTTGAACATGGTTGAGAGCGCGTTGGATCAGAGTGTGTCCATATGTAGCGTGTAATCTACCACTGACTCTACTTGAGACGTCACGGGGCAGAACGGAAAAAGGCGAGGTTTGTTTCTCCTGAAAGCCGGTGAAGAAGTGATTGTTTTTGCGCCAGGCAAGATTTCGCGTAGTTATCATCCAGATCGATAGTGAGCACTTTGGCCTGATCGACCGCCAGTCGTTTCCAGTGCATATCAGAAAACCTCGAGGCCTCAATGATACTGAGAACCATATCAGTTCTGACTTGGGTAGGTATATCTCTGACACGACAATGACGTCGGAGTTCTTCCATGGTGTGGCGAACGTGTAATATGAGCAGTTCTTCATTAATTTGCCTGTACAGATTAGCCTTGGAAATGTGAAATAGACAGGGAGGATTACACAAACTCTAAGTACTTCCATGGAACCGAGCGATAGGCGATGATAAAAGCTTGCAAACTCCAGAATGACTCGAGACTGGGCGGAAGGTTGCTCCGTATTTCATGTCTAGTTGTGTCATTCAGGCTAAAAGAATCGTCGGATACCCACGAAATGACCGAAACCGAGCAGAGTTCGCCCAAAGCTATCTTCAAGTTATTGGTGGAGCAGATGCAAGATAATTCATGGCACAGGCCGGAGTCAACCGCATTTGTCTCCATAATGCTTCCAGCCTCAGTCCAGCGCTTCCGAGTGGAACCTCTGCGGCAAAGAAGGTCCAGCGAATTCTCATGCTCCGCGAAGAAAGAAAGAAGCGTAGCCATAAGATAAGCATTATCGGATTCCATAACCATCAAGTCTTGGAGAATCTCCAAAGTCTCTGTTATAGTTGGCGTACTCTCTTGCCTCGCGCACTTCTCGGTGACATGAAAGTTTTGCACCTGGTGTGACCCAAAGAGTGTGCACACTAATTGTAAGTACCGTTTGTCTTGGCTGCATCCTCGTTGTGCGGCGATGTCATCCAATGTTTGTTGCTCTTTCTTTTCAAGGTCAATTTTGAAACCCGTTTTAAACCGGTCGCGAAACTTCCTCATGTCAAACCTCCTGCAGGATGACACCGGAATGGCTATTATGAAAGGAATGAAAAGCAGAGGGTACTCTCCCAGGACTGTCAAATAAATATTCTGAGCTACTTTACGTTCATACCGAAGGTCGTGCTGTCTTTTTTGCAGGGGAGTCTTGCTAGGCGGCAATCGACTCGTTGATAGCTTGAAGGCAATCCAAAGACGCTCCTTTATGACGTCGTGGTATTTTGTAGGTATCACACGGCATCCGTTCAGCTCCCCGAGAACATTGTGTACACGATCCAGGTTTGTATTATGCATATTAATTGGAAAAGAATAATATAATCCGAGCCAGGCTGATGGACAGGATGGACGAGATGGACGAGATGGACGAGATGGAGGGAAATGGGGGAAGCGGGGAAGGGGAAAGAGTAAAGTAGTCTTAGTCTTAAATATGGTAACGTAATCCGATACCGAACCGCCGTTTTCCTAACTACTCTGATATGTTTCATATTCGATGCTCTTTCATCTAATGTTTAAACTAAAGGCTAAAAGCATACAGCCAAATCCTATATAAAATATATTCCCGGGGGGGTTGTTTATTCTATTTATTGATCTAGCAGATTAGTCCTCGCTCTTTAGGGCGGACCAAAAAAAAGGAATCCGGATCCGCCTCAAAGGTGGGTGGGGCGGATCCTAATGTGTGCCTGCAATCAATTAGTATGTCTTGATGAGTGTCAAAGATATTATAATGATAAATTCATTCTCTGGCCCCTCGCCTAGGTGAAATGCAGGATCGGACTCTCTAGTAGGGGTGCAGAAGTACACACAACCTGTGTCTAGGTTCCTTCCTTCCACCCCCGTATAATAGTAGCCCCGTCTTCCACAACCAGCCCATTCGTTTCCCCCTTTCTTTACTAAAATAACGTAACTTTCATACTCCTTCATCCTTCCTTCTCATGATCAGACTATTCGAAAATACTTTTTTTGTGTTATCAGTGAACAGCGTTACTCAAGACAAGTTACGCACACCTGCCATTAGTTTGGGCATCAATATGGACACCCATGATGTTTCCCAGGTATCTGAGCATCTATAACATCTATAGAGACAACAGCGAGCTCTACATAATGCCCAGTTTCGCAAAGGCTAGACTCTGAAATCAAAAAAAGTCTCGAGACGAGATCATAATGCAATTCATGTTCCGCCAAATGATAGGTAAAGGTGGAGCTGTCGGCCGGCATACTGTTTAGTTCTCATTGATCTCCCCCCAACCTACCCACCTCTATTGTTTCGTTAAGTAGGCTGTAGAAGGACCCCATAAAAGATCTCAACCTTAAGACTCCTATCGTGGTTCGTCCGTTTTGGTAAGAGCAGTCACCCCGACTGATAGAATGGCCGCGATCATGACTGGTGGAGGGCGAGACAGGTGATGTTCTTATGCTGTAGCTGTATAGCCAAGGAAAGGATCTAGCTAAAAATGACCGGCTTATCAAAGGAATAGTGATTGATGCTTATAAAGAAGTCTTAACTTGATGATAGCTGATGGAAACTTTGGCCTGCGACTTAGCCATCTTTCCGATATCAGGTTCACCCCAGACCATAAACCTCTGGTGCCGTCCGTATGGAGAGTTTACCAAAATTCTCATTCATCTGCCGATCACTGAAAAACAAAAGGGAATGATTTCTTTAACTGAGATATGTATTATCTTGCTATTGACTGGTACAATTTGATTAGAATTCGAACACAATTGGGCTCTTTTCCAAGGCGTGGGATAGTTCTGTTGGGGTCCGGCAGGTGGTTGCCAACGGCCACTTCCGTCCAGGATCTGTTCACGGGGGTGTTCAGCACTGTTGAAGGGCGAAGGCTTGGCAAGCGAGATGACTAAGCATCCGGATAGATTGGACCACTAACTAGTTAGTTAGTTAGTATATTAAGAATAGTTAACTGAAAATCCTGTAATTGACTATCTAGCGTACCAGGTCGGTTAACCAATCGCATCCAAGATCTTCCCAATCATCGTATTCACCTTTCACCTTTCGTAGATATATGAGATCTAACTAGCTCGTAACGCCACGTTCAGGGAGAAAGGAAAGGGTGGGCACAGAGGGTCTCCAGTCGTTGAACGCTGTCACGGGTATGACCGACCGCACAATACTGGGAGTCCAGTTACTCCTAGACCCGGGCTCCTCCGTGCCGTGGAATACGGGCAGTAACTATCCCTCCGTTTTATTATAATGACAGAAACTGCCTGTCGGGATGGCTAATGTGCCTCAACATATGGAAGATATCTCGATCGGCAGACCGGATGTCGAATGGCTGGAGCTCCGACGATCACCTAGACTCTATATATGAATCCTAGGAATAGATGGCGTTCAGCAGCATGGACCTCCTTGGCTCAAGTTATTCGAAGGTAACTCAGAATGCCGTGCGTGCGTCACTGCCTTACCCCTCACTTCTTAATCTGAGTCAACCAACGCTCATCACCAACCTCACTTGCACTTCTCTTCTTTCCTTCCATACGAACATTAGTTAGAAATATTTTTATTGTCAATATTCCACACATAGCCACTCGCTTGCCTGCCACCCATGGCAAGCTCCCGCGACTCTACCTCCGGCAGGTGCAGTAGAGGTAGTAGACGAGGCAGGAATCGCGGCAGGAGGGGTAGAAAAGCTAAAAATGAATCACTCAACAGCAAGCTTATGGAGAATCGTCCGCCTGAGTTACATACATCCACTGAAGCTGACCCTGTCAGGGGCAGCTTTCGTGGAAACCGAGGCCTGCAAGTACACGAACACCAGCGACGTAAATACTTATACAGGCCTGTAGGGGAATCATTCAGGTGAGATTTACCGAATTATAAGCTCTGTGGTGAAGCCACAGGAATAAGCCTTGCTTCTGACCGAAGCACGTACAAAACAGGTCGACAGCACGCCCGAGTCTGTCGCTTTCCTCAGACAGCACCCAACAATTCGACGAGTCTCCTGGTCAACTGAAAGACTTTCTTACGACCACTCTCTCGGCTGTCACTTCGTCTGACCGATCTAGAAAGGCTGCCATCAGCTCCATCGTGACTGAGAATGGGCTCGCTCGCGTGCGACGAATTGTTGAAACCAAGTTCTCGATGCGTTACAGCGTAACAATGCCTATGTTTGACCCTCATTGCCTCTTGTTTTTGCACCTGATTACGAATAAAAACTTGTTACAATCACTAGCACTCGAACAGGCTATCGGAACAATTTACAACGTTATCTACGGGCTTCATGGGACTAGAGCGGTCCTCTTCTTCCAGAATATCATGGACTGCCTGCATGGAACCCAACTTGAAACGCAACTTGGATCCAGACCAAGTGATCAGCATGGCGATGCTTTACCTGAGATTGAGCATTTAGTATTAGTCACCAAAGCGCTACTCCATGTCGTGACCGTAAACCAAGGTGCAGTGCTCAAGGCCGAATTCAAGAGCATGGTGGAGAAGCTTAATGCACATTATACCTCCAAAAAGAGTTGGAAAAGCAGTGAAACGAATGGAATGTTACACCAGGGCTATGAAGCTCTTCACAAACTCGCTGACATTTTTACCATGGGTGACAAAATCGCGATTATTGGATCGGGCAAGAAGGCTTCTTCCTCCCCGCGTTCCGACAAGCACGAGTATGTGGATTTTCCCGGCGAGCTATCAAGCTTCGGTGCGCGACATGACAATGATCACGCACTGATAGAAGATATTCGAATACTGCCGACACTGTCCGAAATTCATAGCCAACGGGATGACTTTCTCCCAACAAGGGTCACCCGCACATCCTCAAATTCTCATCACCAGGAAGGGATTCTCCGACTTCTCGACAGCCAGTTTCGACTGTTACGTGAGGATACATCTGGCCTTCTTCGGGATGCTGTTCGTCTGGTCGTGGAGCATTGGGAAACCATTGTCTCCGAAACCAACTGGGGCGATAAACGCAAACTTATACGTAACGGAAGTCCAACACCGATGCGTATTTACTACTGTGCGCAAATTCAAGTGTTGAAAGCGAGTTGGATCAAGGGTCTGGAGATTGATGTCGAGTTTAACCAAATTAAGAGAACCAAAAAGATGGGTCCATCTCAACGAAAGAAACATTGGATCAACTCCCGTGCCCTTAGAGAAGGAGGGCTCGTGGCACTAGTTGGTGGAGATTTTGATGATAATATGAATGTGGTCTTCATGCAGGTCTCTAAACGAGAGGTCAACCCGACCAAGGAGGGTTCCCCGAAGGCTGCGTACGATGTGGTGAGCAGTGGTGAACGCGCAATGGTTACCCTTCGCTTTCCAACCACACCAACGAAAGTCGATCTCTCTTGCCTCATGAGTATGAAGTCCGAGCACCAGCAGGGTGCCGAAAGACCGCTGATTTTGGCGGAATTTCCGGCGGTGCAGTATAATCAATTCGAGGGAGTCCTGCGATGTCTTCAATCACTCCACAAAACCCCATCGCTAATACCGTTTACGCGATGGCTGACTGTAGGCGGAAAAGAGCAACCCTATAATGACGTTGCCTCATACGTCCCACCGCCCTGTTATTTGAGAGGTGGCGGTCTCGATCTCGATATAGTCAAGATATCCAGTCAGCTAGACATGGAAGGAAATTCTATACGGTCCACAGTCTCAATTTCGCCTCGGGAAGACCCAGAAGCTCTGAATCGACAAATACACCAACTTACATGCTTGGACCCCGACCAAGCGAAGGCCATGGTTTCAGCACTGACGCACGAGATCTCTCTAATCCAGGGTCCACCGGGCACAGGCAAATCCTACGTGGGAATACAGATTGCAAAGTGCCTCTTGTACAATAAAAGAAAATTTGATCTAGGTCCTCTCCTATGCGTGAAAGTTACCATTGGTTCCTAAAACTAGTTCGTTACTTGCTTTCGCTGACCCATACAACACAGGTGTTACACAAATCATGCTCTTGATCAATTTCTCACTGAATTGAAGGAATCCGGGATAACTCGCATTGTACGTATCGGTTCTCGAAGTCAATCGGAAGCCATGGAATCCCTTTCAGTGGATTCATACAAGAAACGCAGAGAGATTCCTCGGATAAGAGGCCAGGGGAGGTTGATTGAGGCGAGCAAGAACAAATTACAAGATTTGGCCGGGCAGGTCAATAAAATCTGCCAGGAACGTACAGAAAGCAGCTCGGCTACGGTACATAGCTTCTTGAGATCACGAGCTTGTCGGTTCGAAGCGGAAATATGTGATGGACAGTCAGACCGCTGTCAAGGTTTAGAATCTTGGCTACATGGGGCCGGGCCTGGTGACATTGGTGGGGATGGCGCAGAGCGTTTAATTGACCAGCTGTTCTCTGTTCCAGCTTGGTCTTTGACAAACAAAGAGCGCTCGCGCCTGTGGCAATACTGCTATGAATGGGGCACCAAGGATCAATTGCAGGCCCTTGAAGTTCTGATGCAAGCCCACGCGAGCGAAAAAAAGCAACACACTGCACTCTTCGCTGAGTCCGATGCTCAAATCTTTAATTACATGGATGTAGTGGGGGTTACAACCACTGGGCTAGCAAACAACATTGATCTCCTACGTGCTGTTCAAGCTAAAACTCTAATTTGCGCAGAAGCGGGTGAAGTTTTGGAGTCGCACACCTTGACGGCATTGCTTCCATCGGTCCAACATGCAATTTTGATAGGAGATCATCTCCAACTCCGCCCCCGGATCTCACGAGTGGCTCTATCCATGGAGCACGGAAATGGAGATTCCAAATACAACATGGATGAATCACTCTTTGAGCGTCTGGCGAACATCAATCTGACAATGCCTGACGAAGTTCCATGTGCAAGGGAAGAAAGATCATTCGAATTTCCCGTTGTGCAGTTGAAACATCAAAGGCGAATGCATCCTTGCATTTCTTCGCTTATTCGCCAAGGTCTATATCCCAACCTCAAAGATCATCCAAGGACCCACCTATACCCTGAAATTGCAGGAGTCCGGCGAAGACTCTTCTGGCTAGACCATGATAACCCTGAAGATCCAAGTGACCCCGAGGAACCAATGTAGAGCAAGACAAATACATGGGAAGCGGAGATGATCACTGCTCTTGTAAACCATCTGACGCGGCAGGGCAAATACAAGCCTGGAGAAATCGCCGTCTTGACGCCTTATGTCGGCCAATTAAAACTACTCAAAGATAATCTGGAGAGAATTGTGGATCTTATTATCAGTCAACCCGATCTAGCGGATCTGGATGACTTAGAAGAGGAGATAGGTCAGGCCACATTGGGTGGCAGCAGACAGGTTTTGCATAAGGGTTCCCTGCTAGATCAAGTCCGGATGGCGACGGTTGATAACTTTCAGGTGAGCCTCTTGCATGGATATCACAATACTGGAAGCTCTTCCCAGTGACTAATTGTATAGGGGGAGGAAGCTGTTGTCGTGATAATATCCCTAGTCCGAAGCAATCGGTTCAGAAATTGTGGCTTTCTCAAGACTCCAAATCGAATCAACGTTTTGTTAAGTACGTTATCCTTCTTTCGCAGACTTGGTACGAAGCCTTCCGACTGACGTGTGGCGCCATCACCAGTCGGGCCAAGCATGGAATGTACATCATTGGCAATGCTCAAACATCGTGCCGAATTCCCATGTGGGGGACTGTGATAAGGATGCTGGAGGATGGTGCGAACATCGGTCCTCAGCTTGAGCTTCAGTGCCCGCAACACCCCGAAGCTAGAATATGCGTCGCCAAGCCTGATGACTTCTCCAAATATGCCCCAGAGCGAGGCTGTTCGAACCAATGTGGGCTGAGGCTGGGGTGTGGGCATACCTGTACCTTCAAGTGCCATTCACCCAGATTGCATAATAGCGTCAAGTGCATGGAGACCTGCATGCAGTTAAGAGAGTGTGGGCATGCCTGCCCAAGGAGATGTTCCGAGCCCTGTGGCGACTGCACTGAAGTCATCCCAGACACTTCTCTTCCATGTGGGCACACTGCTCAAGTACAGTGCCGAGATATCCAGACGCTTGGGTCGGTAAAATGCATGCGCAGCGTTATCAAGACACTCTCTAAGTGCGGTCACGAAGTTCGTGTTCGCTGCTCTCAAGACATGGCTACCGTCACATGCACCAATCCTTGTGGTACTCGTCATCCATGCGGGCATGACTGCCGAAACGAATGCTGGAGCTGCCAGACGTCCGAAACACCTGACCATGGAGTCTGCAAGACGCCTTGCGGAAGATCATTAACCACATGTGCACATACATGTACGCAGCCCTGTCATGATGGATCCCCGTGTCGCCCATGCCAGTTACCATGCGAAGTACGCTGTGTGCATAATAGATGCCCACGCAAATGCAGTGAGCCGTGTCCGCCTTGCGCCGAGACTTGTGGGTGGCGCTGCAGTCATCGCGAGGATGCTTGCAAATTGCCATGCGCTGTACCGTGCGATGTTCTTCCGTGCCACTACCGGTGTGACAAGTTATTGAGGTGTGGGCATCGGTGCCCCGGAATTTGCGGCGAACGATGCCCTGAGGCAGAGCTATGCCATGAATGCGGCGACCCTCAAGCGCTTCAACGGTGTGTTGAATTCATCGAGCTGCAGCCTTATGCAGACATAGATGTGAGTCAGGATCCTATCATCTTCCTCTCCTGTGGCCATTTCTATACGCGGTCTACCATGGACAGGATTATGGACCTACCACAATACTATGTGATCGACCCCAGCGTCAGAACTCTACTTCGCCCGAAGCCAGCCATCCAAGTTGTCGCAAGTCCCAGTCCACCGGGTTGCCCAGAATGCCGCCACACCCTGAGGGACGTTCATCGCTATAACCGGATTGTGAAAACTGCACTGCTTGATGAGTCAACAAGGCGGTTTGTCTCCAAGGCACAGCGGCATTTTACTGAGCTGTACAAATCCGTCCAGTTGTATGAAGAAGAACTAGAGAGCGAACGAAGCGTGTTCGTGAACAAGTGGAGAGCGCAGGATGTTGGTGAGGGCTTGGGTTTTGCTGAAATTAGAGCAGTGGTGGACGCCTACGAGGCCAAAAACGCTAGGATCCAGAGAAAGGTCAAGCAATTCATCAAGAATGTCAGCCAAAATGAACAACCATTTGGCCGGGTGAATGCCCTCCTAGCGTCGGCCGTCGCTCGTACTGGCAACGTCCCGTCTGTGAGCGCGTCTCCTTTCGAAGAATCGGCAATTCATACGGGATTCAAACTGCGTGGCCACTGTTTAGGCCTACAGCTATGTTGGGCGATACACTTGGACTATGAAAAAATTCGGCAAAATACCACAGTATCTTCTGAAATACGGGCTATGTTTCGCGATAAAATCAGCAACCATCTCCCGCGACTTCTGGTGAGATGCCGTACCGCTATAGATGACAGCATTAAAGGTAAGTCTATTACCCAGCAGGTCCAGGCCACAATATATTATACGTTGTTCTCTCAACTGTCTCATATCAGTACTGTTGCCCAGGACAATGTCATGGGCTCCCCTTCCATTTCGCCATTATCGGAGAACGAAATAAAAGAAAAATTGGAGGAATGCGAAAGGCTTTACCCGTTGTATGAGGGAACGCTAGGTCCTTACAAGAAACTCATCGAAGACGCCAAAAGATTCTGCAACGGCGGGACATTCTACACACCAATAACAGCTGAGGAGAGGCAACAAATCTATCAAGCCATGGCTGCCCAGTTCACGGGGACCGGTCACTGGTATTATTGCCAGAATCGTCATCCTGTAGGGACATCCATTCAAAGACATGACCAAGAGAAAACTAGCTTCTAACGTTCCATTTTTACCTAGTTCACGGTTGGCGAGTGTGGAATGCCCATGGAGCAGGCCCGCTGTCCACAATGTGGCGAGCCTGTCGGGGGCCAGGATCATATACCCGTTCCGGGGGTTCAGAGGGCGGAAGATATCGAAGCTCAGTTTGGAGTGGCTTTAGAATAATTAGGAAGTGGGTTTAGGACATGAAGACCTAATATCAAGTTGCGTATTCGGCAGCCGTTGTAGAAGTTGACTTGGAGGCGTGGAGACGCGCCATAATCTGCCTGGGCCCAACAGCCCCGTGAACTCGAACGTCAATGGTGACCTGCTGCTGTCACCGCTATAAGGCGACCGACTGTACTGTAGTTGGTTTGGCTGGCTAGCTTCTATGTGCTTTTTCTTGATTTTCTTGATCTTTCTCATTAGATACCTAGGTGTCTTTTATTTCACCGACTATAGTATCTAGCTGGGCATATCGCGGTTTCGCGGGCCGGCCAAAACCTCCTCTTTGATGCAAACCATTCTAGTCGATACTAAGATGCTAGTCAAATGTATTGATCCCAAAATATAATAACTAATGTTACCATACAAAGGACCGAGCTGTTCATCCATAGACCAATGCCGTAGCCCACCTCACCTGCTGGAAGCACACATAAACAGGGTTTCTATCCTCTGTTGCACGACTTTTGTTTTACCTACATGACATAAAAGTGTGCTTCAAGCATCAACTCGACCGTTTTAGAGTCCCCAGAGATGACGAGCTAGCGCCCGGATTTAACCGCGTCCTCGCGCGGCACGCGACCCGAACGCGCTCCGTCCGTCGTTCTAGCCCCTTACACGCTGATTCGGCCGATTCATATGGTCATACTCGAAATGAATGAAAAGCTTAATTCTTCTAACTACACGATTAGGAAGCCGATATTTATGCAATCTCAGAGGCTTCAAGATCATCATTAAAATGAACGGATTTCTATAATTTATATCGTCATAAATCATACGATTAATGTAGATCGGTTAAATGATCGGTCCGGTGAAGCAAGGTGATGATATAAGCAGATTAGTTTTTTTGGACGGGTAGGTGTTGACAACTTGGCGGTTGTGGCCGCGGGGAATGACATCGTGCCTTGCAACGTCCGCCATCAGCACACTGATCGTGATACTGTCTCCAGACGCAGGATGGCAGCAAATATTTATTGTTTAAATATAGAGATCATTTTAATGATCGCTGATTTCCTCGAATCTGATGACTTTTTCAACTTTCGGCTTTGTGTTCAATATTTCAGGAACAGTTCTCTTCGATTGTTTACAAACCGCTTCTTCGGTGAACGGACCCACTTGTTGACCCAGCATAGCCTTCGAGCATTATTGGACATCTCACAAAATCATCTGTTTTGTGCATCAGTCCATACTATAACCATCAGTCCTGACCATTTGAGCCCAAGCGGGCCATACTTGCCTCTCTCGTGGAATTGGGATCCCGATGGTCAAGTCGCAGACCAACAAGGGTATAAGAAGTATCTGAGCGAGCAAATGTATTGTCGACTCATAGGACTTGATACAGCATATCTGACGCAAATATTGAAGAATACAAGGAATTGTCGGACTCTTATTCTCGATGATCGATATTGGCCATGGGGCGCTTCTCATATCAAGAGAGAAACCGGTTGCTACCCCGCTTCAAACGCCCGTAGTGACTATAGCAAAACATTCTTCAAACAAGTTGTCCATGTCCTTATTGCTGCTATGACTGCAAGCGGAATCCCGATTCTGTATCTGGCCATAACCACGCAGCTCGAACGAATACACGTTAACCCGAGCATTCTTCATTTCCCGACACCCTACCTTAACCATGCGCCTTGGGTTACGGCGCTTGCTAGCCTACAACTCACCGTCGATCCAGGTTACGGCCAAGACCCGATAGCTTGGTCAAAGCCGCTTGCGGATTTTATCATGCTTTTCCCGCACCTAGATCGTCTCGATCTATATTTCGATACGCGCGTTCAACAGCCGGCGTTTCACGCCTTCAGTGAACTATTGAGCTTGCCGCATCTTCGGGCCTTACATATCGGAGGTGTCGATTGCTTACCGGAGGATTTACTGAGGATATTTGTCACCCATCGAAGCAGCCTGAGAGAAATATCTCTAGATATCATTGGCCTTAGTACACGAACTGGTGGCTCATGGCGAACACTGCTTGCGTCACTCCGAGAGGATCTCCATATCACGAGATTCAAAATGATCCAGTGTGATGTGGACGAACATGAGATCTTGTTTGAAGGCAACAATAATCGTCCTTCGAACGAAGTAGACTTGAGTGGCAGAGACTCCTGGCTATTGGATGATGTCATCCAGTCTATCAAGGAAGTGATCCCGTGACGAAACGTTGGACGCAATCGAAAAGATAGTTGCCTGGCGTTTGAAAGATAGTTGCCGCAGTATATATTAACGATTGCCTCCTGTTTTCTTTTTAAAAAAAAAAAAAGAAAAGGAAAGGAAAGGAAAGGAAATAGGGTCGTTCTGAAGTAGAAACAGTTTAGATATTCTGAAGCAGAGGGTTGTCTAGCCCGGACCTACCTGGAATTATATCGAAGTGCGAAGGCTTGGCAAGCAGAATGACTAAGGATCCGGATAGATCGGACCACTAAAACGATCGAATGAAGCAATTGAATTGGCTATATCAAACGAGCGGATTGAAAGTGTTAAAGACTTCTTTTCCGGCTATATAGGAGGTCTATTTATAATGCTAGGATCGCGTATTTGACCGCTATTCTATAGCTTCATATTGCAATATTGCAGAATGCTCAATACCGCAATTTCGCAGCCGAGCAAGGCGATGATCGTCTTAGTTAGTTACCGCAACTGCTTAGTCCACTCCGCACTTCAACACGTTCCTTGTCATGAGATGCCACTCATGGCGATGGCGGCTGGCAAGCCTTTGATTATTCCTCCGACAAAGCGTAATGAAGTCCGATGCAGTTGATCCGTCGTGTTATTCATTTGGCCAGGCTCCAACATTCCCTTTAAGGACACGTAAATGTTAGCACCTCTGGTGTGTACTACACATCCCCCGCGAGTCGATAAAGGATATGATATGGATATCAATTGAGTAACCCGACCATCCCAACCCTTCTCTAGGCTGCTGTGTTTCATATCCGAAACTAGGATATACACGTGATTTAGTTTTGCCCTGCCCCGTGACTTCTACCTTGACTGACTGCTTACTCAGAATATATATTCCTGCGAACCCGTACCAGACCACCGAAGCAAGAGAACCCTTGGTATACAAGATACTCCACGAGAATGAACACAACTAACAACTGATTTGCTTCCTTAGATATGCCTGACGGACGACTCCATCGCACTTCCAAAGAGGTACCACCGTCTCTCGACAGCTATCGCACCCCATCGCACCTCGTCGCATACCATAGCACCATCTAGCACCCAGCTTGATACATTGTGAGCCTCTTTCACATTCGATTTTAAGAGTTTATGGACCCGCATCGACAGTTCTCAGGGGTATTTAAACCCTACATATCCTATTATGTCCGGAGACCCCAGTGAAAGAATACGGGTCTATATACAATGGCCGTGGAACAAAAGATCAACCGCATACGCCACGCCAACAGCCTCAAGCGATACGGATATTATATAGAAAAACACAATGCCAAAGAATACACAATAAAGGAGACCGATCCTAAATCGGTACTAATATATGTGTTATGTAAAGGATAACACACGGAAATAATTAGGATAAAGTAAGCGCGATAGAATCGGCCCGCCTTTACCACGAAACGGACGATTCGAGAAGATCAGCGGTAAGAGCCCGCGTGGGAACCCAGACGCATGGCTCGATACGGACGGCAAGTCCAGTGGGAACACAGAATGACCCTAGCACACCAGTGGGCCAACAGAGCACAGCCTCGAGTCAACCACATTCATACGGCCTCAGAACATCGATAACACCACTAAGAGTATAGTCAATACCATCCTCATGGCCGTCAAGGAATCCACTCCCAAATTGCGAGTCAGCCCACGCTCGATACCAGGCTGGACGAGAGAATGTAAAGAAGCACAGCAGAGAGCCACGGACGATACTCGTGCCACTATTTTAACGTCTAGATAGAAATATAGAAATAGAAGTATCAGGAAAGCTAGAAATTTTTAAGCAGGCTTTCTTCCCGCCACTTCCTGAAGTGGATTTAACTAAAATCTGAAAATACGAGTATTTAAGCCCGATCTAGCTCTCGCTGATTATGTTGCGGGAGGTGATGGAAGCGATTTTATATATGCCGGGTAAAAAGATACCCGGAGAGGATACTGTCCTAAGTTACTTGCTTTATCGTATCTCACTATAAATTATAAAACCCCTCCAGTGTCTGTACAATGCGTACCTCCGGCTACATTATCGCCCCCAACACTTCCAAGAATCTGTCACAGTGACGCTCAGCAAACCTGGGAAAAGCGATTACAGTCAATTAAAGTCATACCGACCGGTGTAAAGCCATCGAAATCTTGGTCGAAAATGGCGTTACAGAAGAGCAGAGAGTGATTCAAGACGTCTCGATTGTGAGATGGCAAAGGGAATCGTTGATTTTTACGCCCTCGCTAGTATAATCGGCACGCCCTTAGGTATTGTTATCTGCATTATGGCATACTTGTAACTATGGCTTTGGAGAGGGAGGGCTCGGAAGATCTCGAAGAATACGATCTGCAAGCGGTGTTAACCTCTTGTCTCTACTTGGGAGAATTCATGACGAGGATAAAACGTAGAAATTATGAAGATGTTAATTGGCAGGACCTATGATTTGGGAATACAAACCGTCCCTTTTCTCGTACCCCTATAGCACCAAGCTATTGATATAAGACCGCACCCTTTGTGTAGAGTATAGCAACGCGATTAACAACTATAAACAAAACCCTGCATGTATAACGCTACAGTATACTGGGTTCTATCGCTAGATCAAGGTGGAGCGGCTGTTTCTAGATCCGTCTCGACAGCCATGGTATCCTTTCGTAAGGACAGCCCGTTTCGCGTAGAAAACTTTCTGTATGATGGGATCTGACAGAGACTGCCTGTCGGGATAGCTAGAGCTCTGGTGAAAATGCTTGTATTCCCCGGTAGGTGGAAGATAGAGCTGGCTAGGTAGACTAAATACACACTGTGCGTCATATGCGCAATCACGTGAGCAGCCATACAACCGGCAGGTTCCAACAGGATCTGTCTTAGCTTTATTACTTGTTGGTACCCATATCTTCGGAGATCTTCTTGATCGTTCGAGCTAACTCTTTATTGGAGTCCTCAAGGACGCCTAGTCTTTCCGCCAGTTTATCAAGGAGAGCGTGTATCATTTCCCCCCGTTGTAGAGAATCGTCAAGTATGGGCTGCTGGCATTTTAACCCGTGATGTACCCCTTCCCATAGCTCATATATGGACTGGGACTGTTTATCGTCTTTCATTGAGGGCGAATGGCTACCCCGTCCTGTCAATGTTTTATCTTGCGGGAACGGACTGGGATCCTATAACAAAGTTAGCATGACCAGCATGAAAACGTTGAGAAGCCGTGGATCCGAGAGTGCTTTCATACCGAGTTAAAGGTTTTTTGAGCATCCTGCAATATTTTTGAGCGGTTGGAGGCCGCCATGAGCGGACTCCGTATTGTCGAAATCCCTGGTAGATATGGGAAAACTCGTAAAATGTGGAAATGGCAAGGTGACTACTTGATATAAAAGGTGGATTCGAACGGATATAGGAGTGCCGATGATTCAGACCAAGGGATCATAAGAACATATTAAATAGAAGCAGACGATGCTGTCGATTGCCTCTCACAGACGTTTCCTTGTTCTTGCCGCCATCGCCCAACCCATCATGTGTGACTTCATGTTTCAAACGCCCATCCGCGCGAAGATAGACTGCGCGAACCAGTTCTCTTTGTCTCACAGCTTCGTTTGTAGCTGTTTTAGGGTAAGTCTCACCAGGGACCCGTGTAACTAGTCCATGGCCAGCGTCGCCGGAAGGTAGCATCGCCTAATCGTCCAGTTAGCCCAATAACAATTGAGGAAGAAATCCTTTTGTAGCACGCCACAATTTGTCACTGTCTCTGTCTAAAGGCCAATGTGACTCGTCAATACTAATTTCTTTGTTGTCCAGGCAGCGTCCGTATTCTCTCTTCATGGGTTTGTGTTGAGGAAAGAAAATCATCGGGACGACCTCAATATTATGTGAATTTATGCCACTGCGATAGCTATCTAATCATCTACTCGGGTAGAGTAGTCTGTCGGTGATTTCGTAGTCAAGTTGACTTCTGGACCTAATATGAGAGCGACTTGGAACTTTTCGTAGCTTCCGACGGTTTTGTTACGCATCCCATGACGAAGACGATGTTGAACCAGTCAGACGACAACTAGGGATGAAATCACTATAACGTAGAAAAGAATCTTTGTGATGGATTTAGGGAGAGTGCAAGGGCGCGTGACGGGGGTTGTGAGGATCGCGAGAATAATTAGGCCAGACCACGAGTTGCCAGCCACAGTGGCTGAGTGGGCGGTTGTTTCACGTGACTACAATGGCATCCTATCGATGTGCGAAGGCTTGGCAAGCAGAATGACTAAGGATGCAGATGGATTGGATCACTAAAGCGATCGAATGAAGCGATTATCTTGGCTATATCAAACGAATGAATTGAAGGATTGTTCCTTTCTAACTACACAATAAATAAGCCGATATTTATGCAATCTCAGGGGCTTCAGGATCGCCATAAAACGAGCTGACTTGCATGATCTTATACCGTACGATTCATATTAATCGGGTTGCATGATCAGTTTGGCCAAGCAAGGCGATGAGCTCTTGCTTAGTCAACTCCGCACTTGAACAATGTCCAACCCCTTTGTCCCGCCAACTCCGGGCATCGACGGGGCTGAAGTCATAGCCATAGCCTTTACACCGTCACCTTATGAAAACGATGGCGGCTAGCGAACAACCCTTTCCTGTACCGCTACTGTCCGGCACGACGACTCCGATGCTTCCACCTCCGACACGGACCCCTTCATCTGCTTCTTCTTCAAGCCTAGGGAAACGAAAACGAGTCGACACAAATGGCAACCGGCCTCCCCTTAGGCGGGCGAACTCGAGTGGAGGTACTTCATTTTCCGCTTCCATAAGGGAGCAGGTGAGAAACCTAGACGATGGTGATACATGCTGGCATTGCGGTGCCACACCAACAGATATCTGTCATGTTATCACGAAGGCAGACCATGAGGTAAGCATCTTATTCTGTGGTAGTAGTGTACCGAGTGACTCATATAATGCAGTTTTTGGCCTATAGAGCGCGTGGGCTGATTAATATTGATTGTATATCTCATGTGGACAACGGCATACCCCTGTGCCCCCTTTGTCATCGAAACTTTGATGATCACAATAACCCTGGATTCGTGTTCCTTCCTACGGATATCAAATTTTTTCAAACCTTCGAGGAGCGAGATATTGTACGCAGAAGAGAACACTATCGACGACATGGCACTCGCGTAAAGAGAATTTGCCCCTCGCATGACGACTATCGACAACATCAGATTGCATGTGGCCGTATTGGCGAGGATGACAATGGAGGGAGATATAATCGTTTCGTACTCCGGGATTACTTCCCTAAGCTTGGTTGTTGTGATACATCGCGAGGTATGCGGACTGGGCAGCTTCTCCCTGCGGCCTCATGGCATGGTGACCCTATGGCTGCTTTGCGGCGTGGCTTTGCAATCCTTGGGAGTGTGACACTAAGTGGAGTACCCAAAGAGATCAGGAGGCAATTACAGGAGCTTCATAACCTGTACCTCGAGAACGAGGAGGCTATTATGAGTGAGGAGGATGATCGGAGTAGCGAGACTGACCCGGACCCTGAAGTTACGAATGTTGCAAATGGCCCTCAGGCAACGCATTATACCACTCATAGCAATCGAACAGCCGCGGAAGACAGTTCGCAGATGAACCCCCCTCCGACTCCCTATTTTTCTACCGAAGAAAAAGACCGCTCTGCTCGACCAGCGGACAGTGAAGTCAGCATTCCCTCGCTGGAACTAGATCGTCCGTCTTTTACGTCTTCTCCTACTATGGATTCGGAATTGTGGCACAAGAGAAAGGGCACTATGAAAGATATCACTGCTGCAAAGCATGTTGATTGGAAATGGGGACCTCTTTGTACAGCCGTGGATGTAAATAACTTCTATGAAGATATACGGAGACACACACGTCAATGAAAGGGCTATATCACGCTAAGTAGTCTTTCATGACTACAAGTAGAATCACTCGGGGCTTTATTCTGTTCAATTCACATGTACGGACGGATGTCATACCTCAATATTTGTATTCTATAGTTTTGTTTGATATGTACGTTGTTCGTTTTCGTCTCGCGCTGATTGCTTTCCAGCTTGCCATATTCCTCTCCGGGAACTTTCAAAGTTACTATGGGAAGTAGGACGAGAAATAAATCAAACATGCCCTTGGCTGAGAATTCTCGAGTTTCACCTTAGAGAGGTATCAGTATTTTGAAGCCTTTTCTACAGCATAAACGGTTAATACTTGATTGAATTTCCTCTTAAAAAGACATGCAATTTGAACCTGTGATATATTGCCTTTTTTTTTTAGGGGGGAGGGCCCAAAGATCTTCTAATGACGATACAATTTATCACTTTAGTGGCATTTATGGTGCTGCCAATTATGATCTGAGAAACAACGCAGGTGCGACCGGGCGACGACTAGGCTACGGCGAGCTAAAGCTACCAACAATGCACTGAGATATCCGTATGCCAGAGAGCTATTTGATCATCATGCCATGTCAGCGATATCTCATGGCAGATAAAACTACGCCGCCTGAGAATTTTGTTAGCTCTCCCCTAACACCTCCTCCGACTGACGGAAAAACTACGTCCAATATACGCTCAATCCTCAACGGATTTCAAAGCTATTACAGAGAATCCCGACCGACTCCTTGGCTTGTTTACTCCCTCAGACGCGAGAAGTACGAGGACGTACTGCAGATTTTAAGATCTGATCCAAATGTTGACAGTCATATCAAGTGTAAAGTGCGTTTAGTTTAAAAACCTTGGGCTGACCTAATGATCCTGTTCTCACTGTCCCTCCAGCTACGATTATGACCCGCGCTGCTCGCTCTTGGCAATCCGGATGCCTACACCCCTCCATGAAATAGTGTGCGCAGAAGTGGTTAGGGAGATAAATCGTCAGCTAGAAGCAGTCAGTGACTGTCCGGAGGCCGGATTTGCCCAAAAAATAAAGCCTGTTGCGTCGTCACGAGTCGAGTTGCCAGAGGTGATAAATGGAGAGGAAAGATATATTATACGAGAGCCAGATGCATCGTTTAGACATAATACTGAGGCGCGATTTCCAGGCGTCGTTATTGAAATCTGTTACTCTCAGAAATGCGGGGCCATTAGGGACCTCGTTGATGACTATATCCTATGTACTGACGGTAGCATCAACGCCGTAGTATGCCTAGATATTGAGTATCGAAAGACAAAAAAGGCAACTATATCTATATGGCGTCCCGCATATCGCGTTAAAGATGGAGTTGGGGTGTTTGAAGCAACACCTGAAGTTGATGAAGTATGTTTTCTGCCTCCAAATGTTACCACTTGCTTACCGAGCTAGGCTTTTCCGAACGGACAACGGCCAGGCTTTGGATGCAATGCCACTACAGCTGAACTTGAAAGATTTTGCGCCAGCAGATCTTACTAATGACTGCCCTGACCTAGATCATCGTAAAATTATAGTATCTTCAAGACAACTTTATAATTTCCTCTCGCAGGCTAAGGCAAGACAAGAGTCCCAGGAGCGACATATTGGTTCTGCCAACTACATTCGTCCTGGGGTCCGGAAGCGTCGCCGAACAATAACTCCAGACCCGGATTCATGATCTGAGCAGGAAGGGCCAAAGCGGCATCGCCATGATGATAGTGAATACCATCCTAGCTCATCAACTACGAGGTTGCGCGACTGTAGGGTATCATCAGAATAACCGAAGTGAGCGAACAGGTTCTCGCTCGTTCGATTCAGGCGAGATCTTGCCCTTTGTTTGTCTGATTACGCATTTTTCCGCAAGGCTGGACAGCATACGCCTTACTAGACCTCGACAAAACCCGTCATGGGTCCAATGTCAGGACCCAAACCCACGGGTCGGGTAGAAGGTCAGGACCCATACCCATTACCCGTCAACCCGTGGGTTTTTTTGGGTAACCCGTGGGTAAACCGCCAAGAACCCAAAAATACATAAAATTGTATAAATAACCTATTTAGGAAGGTATTAGCGATAATCAACTGATGATTCATCTATTTATGTATATAACGTATTTCACAAGCGAGTGGGCCACACAAGCGAGCGGGCCACCTTGTATTCCATATAAAATGCTACTTTTTTAAACTTCAATATCTCGACAAATAAAAGCCCAAATAATCTATAACTTAATTCATAAGATATGAGTATGTATTTAAATAATATATTCGAGTTTGAAAGAATTCTTTCTACTATATATGTAGGTAAAATAAATTACGCCTGTATTTTTAGTATTCTGGAATAATTTGATACTACAAGGTAAATTATAGTAGTCAAACTATAATAAGCTACATATATAATAGCTATGATATAGCTAATATTATTCTTTTTAAAGCATATAGTTTTCTCTCTTTGTTGTTGAGATATTAAACTATAAAAAAGTAGCATTTTATATGGAATACAAGGTGGCCCGCTCGCTTGTGTGGCCCACTCGCTTGTGTGGCCCACTCGCTTGTGAAATACGTTAATATGCTATGTTTGCACTGTTTATGAACCCACGGGTACCCAAGAAAAACCCACGGGTCGAAGTATAGACCCAAAACCCAACCCGCGGGTTTTAGTGAGGGACCCAAAACCCATTCTTGGCGGGTTTTGGGTAACCCAAAACGGGTAAACCGCGGGTTGTGTCGAGGTCTACGCCTTACTCCTTCGGACCCTTCTGTTTAGGACTTCCAGTGTAACACAAAGAAGCATTCATTGCGTAAATTCTAGTTTCGAAATGTAAAGGCAGGCAAGGAAGGACATGTATTTGACTGGATCGATCAAATCTCAGCCCATCTTGCTCGAGCGCCCCGCTGGCTCTCCACATTATGAAGAACATTGTCAATCTTTGCTAATTGTTAGGTTCTGTAGGCAATCGGATAGTGACACACGTCTCCCAGCTTCCTTCTCAAGACTTTTTGAAAAGCGGACGAAGGCGTTCTTTTGGGCGGATAAATTGGATAATAACTCTCCTGTCTCATCTCGAGAGAAGGACAGGTTTAAATCTTTAAGAAAGCTGAAGAAAATATGGTATAGAGGAGCCATATGACCAGGTATGTTCGCTCCTTTTGAAAGATATTGCAGTTCATAGTATCCTCTTGGGTCGCTCCTTCTGTAGTTCTTCCGCGGCGTTTCTGGGATAGTCGACATAGTGTACCAGGTTTTAAAGTGACTGAGTAATAGTTGAGCAATCCGGCCCTTATTAGGACCCTTTGTATATTTCTCTTCGGTTTCGGCAAGGAAAAGCGATGCGTCAGCACAGTTCCAGGACAAATCATCGCCAACGAGCATTTTTAGAAATGTGTCTGTGTCGAGTTTGGATCTGAAATAGCCCAGTTTGGAGAAATTCTGCTGGATAGCAGTGAGAATAGCAATCCAACGATTCTCATCAATAGTAGGCCATCGCGGCTTTTTATAGTCTGTAGCCAGTCAGTATAAGAGATACTGTACAATATTCTATGCCTGGTCCCTTACTACTTAGCTCTCTGGCGAGGCCGACGCACTGTGAGCGCAATTTGCTCATCCATTCTTCTTCCTCCCATTCCATTGATAAATGAGAAAAAGCTTTCACATATTCCAGGAGAAGTAGTCTGCGGAAACAACTGTAGCTTTGCTGATAGTTAACGGCGTAGCTAGGATGGAATGCGTTCACTCGCATAGTAGTGCAATCATCGGTAATTCGAAGTTTTGGTTCCTCAAAGACTTTCCCCACCCCTATGCTGCGCAATTCTTTGACAAGAGGATCGTTTGAAGAACTCTGGTAAGAACACAGGACGACATCTGGCGCCTTCTGTTTAACCATCTGGCTAAACGCATGCTCAGCCTCCTTCACAAGTTCGGCGTCGTCTGAGCCTTCCGGGTAGTACGGCAGAGTATCAAATACACTGGTTTCGTCGAGAGTCATTTGCCAACCGCTAGCAATAAGCACTAGTTGCCGTATTGCTTCTGTCGTGCGGCAAGCAGACAAATCTGCTGTATAGCCGTTATGGAATGTTTGATTTTCCGGAGGCCGGTATAAGGCGATTAGAAGACCTCCTTTTGTTCCCGGCCCTGCGAGCTCCAGACCGTGATTAGCTTCAGCTGTTGGAATCGGGTCTTCGCTTTCGACGCATAACAAAGTCCTTCCGAAATTTTCGAGGGTAACAAGGTGCGAGCTCTCATCAAAGAATGATGGTACCCGTAACCGCTGGATGATTTTTTGAAGCCTGTGGTCAACGGGAATCCCCAGGCACTCCATCTTGTGAATAGTGCACGTTACTGCGAGTAGATATCTTCGACTCCTTAATTTAGATGCAAAAGTCTCGCTGGTTGCATTTTTTTTCGTCGGTTTGTGCGGGACTTGAGGCCAGCGCTAGTGTCCTGGAAACAGAACCCATAGTCTCGGAAACTCATTTAATTGGCCCAGATGACAACCCTCTACGAACGACGGGAAGCCTCTGTTACATGGTCTTGCTAGTGTCTGTACACGTTAAGGTGCGAGTGACAAGTTCCTTGCGGCATTGTGTCCGAGCAATACTGTCTGCTGCTGATAATTGGATCTTGTCAGTTCGGGTGGCATTGGTGCACCGGGGTTTTTTCTACATTGTGTCCAACCGCCAGAAATTGGTCGAAACTCTCTGCAGTATGCTAAAATGAAACATAAATAAGTACGAAAAGGATAAAGAAAATTAAAGATCATGAAGGCGAGGCGAGTATGAAAGGTATGAAAGCGGGATACAACCAGAGCGTTCGAGTCCTCGGTGCTACTCCATGCCCAATCGCATAGCTCGTAGGCCGTTTGCGGAAGCTGACCAACCTCCGAAGTATATATAACTGACGTTCAATGGCCTCAATTCGAACCCCACTTTTGGACAACCAAGATGGTTCAAAATGACCCTGATGAGAGACTTATCTACCTGGCCTGCCGGAATATCTTTCACGACTCTAACTCGTCAGTTCGAAAGCGAAAGCAGGTGATGAATTTGATTAAGCGCAATCAACCTGTTCTTACAGATATTCTGCGGGAATATAATATCGACCGCACGTGTAACGTTGTCCAGAGGCTCCTTAGAGACCAGGTTTTTCAGTCTTCCGTGAGAGCTAAGATTCGATTTCCCGAGTTGTTTGACGTGTCTCCTGCCCAGAGCGCCGACCGAGAAGTTTCAGAAGCGGAGGCAGCACGAGACTAAGCAAATGCAGTGAGGAAGATCTCAGAGAGGGAAATTTCAAAAGATTCCAGGCCGGATTCTCAAGCGCAACTGGCCGCCGAGGTAACCAAGGAATCCGATGGTTGGTATTTCGATTGTTGGTTTTGAGGAAAGCATTGACACCCGTTATTAGCCCATGAAACCACGCGCAACTCAACCGCGTCTTTATATCCAGTGTATTTACCATACCGAAGCCAACACCTCATCACAACCAATATTCAAAGAATGGTGGAAGAAGCTTGTTTCGCCTACACTCAGGAGAAACTTCCTCAACTATTGGCAAAAAAAGGTTGGGACTGCCCCGAGGCTGTCGAACTCACTGAGTGGGTTAAACTGTTACGTCAGCATGCCGGTGAGCAGATCAAGACGCCGAACGAAGTAATCGAACTCCTCTGTGAACTAAGACACTCCGCTGTCCACCGACTTCGAAAGACGGCTCGGGGGGTCCAGCGCCTGGCCGAAAACGCACAGTCTTTTCTTGAAGCATTGAACGACTCTCCCCGTTCAGAGATGATCTCCCTTATTCGCAGAGAGTTGAATTTAATAATTGAAGAATTGAGGCATAATAAGGACCTCCTTGAGGGAAGTTACCTAGCAGAAGTGCAGGAAATCCAGGCCAAACGTGCCGCGTTGGAAACAAGGGAACGAGATGCAAAGCAGGCCATGGTCGATAGTGACACCCAATGCCTTAACGTCGCTAATCAACGCATCGAGAGGGTATTTGAACATCTTGGTTCATACCGGTATATTGGAGATGAAGGTGGAGGAGGTATGCCAATAGAGCAGCACACAGGTACATCCGATTCGGAAGAAGAGTTCCTTGAGGCTATTGTGGCTGTCAACAGTTCTGATTAGTATAGTCAAAACGCATTGGGAGGGTTCTACTGTGATGGAACAGAAAATATTTTACTTTACCCATCGGCCATTGAAGAAGCTGGCAGCAAAAAGATTTTTGACGTACTGAGACGGAGAGGCTATTCGACTTTTAAGACGTGACATCTGAGACACATACGGTCCCCTTTATAGCCCAGCAGGTATACATTCACCGACATAACCGACGCTGTCTCACTTAAAATAGGTCAAGTCGTTATTTTTTCTCTTATCCAATAATGACACCCTTTTCGCGTACATAGTAAACGGATACGAATTACAAGGGAGGAGAAGGAGTTTCCTATCTCAAGGGCGTCCCTCCACGCTTACCCATCTTGAGCTTTTGTTATAGATCACATTCGAACTTTCACCTTTCCTCACTTTTGCTGACAAGAAGTGCAAGCTACGCGCGCGCGTGGGTGTATTCACTTCGGTAGCTCTATGGTATGGCCGCTGAATCCTGGCTGGAAGAGGACACAGACGTCTAGATGGCATCTTTTGGACGAAGAGTGTACACTTCAGTGTATGCATGTATCAGTGTGTGCCATCGTCTAGGTCTCTAGTCATATGGCGTGGTAGTTGTACATTGATACTGCTTTATGCATCAAGCAATAGGCGATGTTGGCTAGCAGCCTTTGGCATGATCCCCACTCTATGATCGCGTACCGCGGGGGCTTAGCAATAACGGTCCACCATAGTGCTTTGCTGAACATGCAATTCTGGGAATCGTAACATTTCGGGCGACCTACCTGTGACCTACCAATCCCATCGCCCGGGGTGGACCGAGCCTGTTTGAATGTTACACGTCGGAGATTGTGCCTGAATCCTTAGATAGACCAGGGAGGAAGACTTACATTGGAACCACTGCAAGAACAAAATCATCTGCCGCGAACAAAGAACCTAGGAATGTTCCCAGTTCGTTGAATATCTGAATTTGTCTTCACTTGCAAGGCTCTTGAACCGATCGGCCGGCGAATAACCCCTTGCCGCTACATTACTTCTACCCAATAAACTGACATATTTTAACATGCTATGCAACAGGCGGTCCAATATTATATTACCCCCCGAAACGAGCCCTCTCAAGCCCAAATCTCTCAAGAACCCGACAAAGAGGAGCTTGATCTTATGATGGATTCGCACGCTACTTTACAATGTGAAGTTGACCGGCCGGAGGATGAAATTACACGGTATCTTGCAAAGGGTTTGTATACTTCCCTGCTTTATTATAAAGCTTTCTAGCTAAGTCGTCTAATAGGTCTTACTAAAGGCAAGCCAAGGGTATTCTGGAAGGAGCATGAGCATGGATATCCAGTGCTTGCAGCGATAGCACGGGATATTCTAGCAACACCTGCTAGTGGTGCTGGTGTTGAGCGGCTCTTCAACTGTGCTCGTGATGTTTGTCACTATCGCCGGGGGCAGCTTAAACCCGAAACAATCAGATCTCTAATGCTTCATTTATTCGCATCAAAGTTCGAGCTTCAACAAACCGAACTTGAGATGATCAAAGAGTATCTCTCTAATGGTGGGATCGCTATACTCGATCAGACATGGAAGCCAACTCCGTCGCTTAATGATATCGAGCCGACCAGTGATAATGAAGAAGAGGGCTACCAAGCCGAGGATATATCGGACGATTTATATAACGACTTAGGTAATGATTATGCAGTTGAGCAGGCGACTCCTATACTTGTTACAACCCAGGGCAAGCAACCACGGCGCAAGCGGCCTCATAGTGCCGTTGAGCCTCAGGAAAATAGTGATAATGATCTCCCGCTTCCTGAGATGCCAACTGAAGAATATACGCAGGGGCGATCGGGAAGGATTCGGAAGAAACCAGAGCAACCTGATGGATTTGAATTTGATAGCCTGTAATATAATCTTGAATAATTGAATGTTCCTTATTGCAATAAAGAGTGACAAAGTATATTAATTAGCAGAAAAGGTCGTAGGACACCAATTCGCGCTAGTAAATATGGAATCAATTACACATTGAATACTTCAAAAATACTGTGGAAAATGCATAACCTATGCCAACTCGTTCGGGTTGGAAGTCTTGGACTGTTTGTAAAATTTGTTATCGGATGGATATCGGACGATTATCCAACAGCTTAAGTTGAATATCGTAGTCATATCGATGTCGGCTGCGATACGATACGATATGATATTATCAAACAAATTCACCTCGCATTCCACGGCCATAACTTATCCGCCTTCTTAACCGTCATATTCCCATCCTCCCCCTCCTCCGCCTCCCTAGCCGTCTCCATCCACTGCTCATACGCAGCCCGATGGGCCTCCCGCGCAGCCTCCCATGCCTCATTCCTAAGCCTGGGGATTCGGATACCATATCGGCGTCCAGGGTCTCCCGACCATGGGAGCTTTAATATAACATAGTGATATAATAGCTCTCCTTATTAATGGTGTTTTTAAAAACAATAGGTCCTGCCAAATGGTCAAGCCCTCGGGATGGCCTTTTCTTGAGACAGTATATACGCAAGGAACACCCAGATGCAATGAGCCAATGCAGGTGCACATCGCTCATATATCTTTTCACGTCGACCTACCTCAGTCAATCTCGGTTTTTGTAACAGGTAGAATAGCCTTCAATCCGAAATTCGATGTTCAAGCACCCAATGTCCAGGAGAAAGAAGGAGAAGGTTGCACAAATAGAGAGCCGCTCTTTTCTTTTCGGACGCGCACTCACCCCTGCAAATGGAGCATTGCCAGCCAATCATTATGTGCTTAGGTCAGGGACGATGATGCTGAACCTGGGGTGGTGCTGGCGTCTCAGCCTCTGGCGTAGAGAGGTTTTGCCGCCTGCACACCCCCCACCTACCCAGTCTCTCACGAGAACCAAAGATATTCTGTGCCTAGGCTGCCACAGTCGGTCCTCACCCGAAAAGAAGATTCGGATATTCCAAGACGCAGACAAGTAATTCGCTGTACAAGCAGGAACTACAAACCCCGCTCCGCCGAATTTCTCGTGATAGATATGGATTCCTGGCCATCATCCTTCGGAAGCAATCTATCCAGAACTTTGAGAAGTGAGGGCAGGACTTTTCAATCCATCGCCGGAGAAGAAGCATTGCCTGATTATGCAGCATTCATGTCCTATGCAACAAGTCACAACATACGTTGTATCCCTCTAGCGGAACTCATCATGGAGGCCCGACTTGGCTCGGGAGCTTTTATGGTGGTGTACAGGGCATCCTGTCCTCAGCATTTTGGCGACACCTCCCTTGCCGTCAAACGGATCAAGATCTCGCTTCCTCGGTGGGAATCGGAAGTAAGTGGGTATACTGGCGAGCTTCGGGAAATGCTGGATCTCATGTCCCTGGAGCTCAGGGTGCTATCCAACGGCCTGCTACGGCATCACCCAAACGTCATCCGCTTGCTCGGAATATCCTGGGAGGAATTATCCATTCGACAACTGACGCACGAAGAGAGCGCATCGGGTTCGGAGCAGCCTCCTCCCTCAATTGCCCCAGTCCTCGTACTGGAGCGAGCCTCTTGCACCCTAAGGGAACTGTACAATGACGTCGCGCGACAAGTACGTCCACAACTGTCCCTTGACGATAAAGTGTCCCTCTGGTGTGACGTGGCCAATGCTCTCAATGCCGTGCATTGGCTGGGTATTATCCATGGCGACCTGAAGCCCGAAAACATATTGATCTTTCAGCACCCCACGACTGGCCAGGTGACCGCAAAACTGTCTGATTTCGGAGGATGCCAGCCTCTACCTGATGAGGATGGTACAGGCGTCGATTATCGTCTCCGGGGGACTGAGTACTGGAATGCACCGGAGTCTTACGATGAAACCAGCCCTTACTTTAGGCAAGTCCTCCGCGATTATTACTCTTTCGGTATGGTGGGCGCGTACATACTCTTTGAAGAAGAGTTATTTGGGACCCCTAGAGAACGTGCAATCGAGGAAAGGGCACAGATGCGGCGTTTAAAACAGAGCCATCAATCCATGGTTTGCCTGATTGAGGCAATGCTTCGAAGGCGTCTGAAGTTTGTGGAATCCGTGCGTGCTCAAGGGCGTTGTCGTCGCTACCACAACATGATGATCTGTTGCAGAGATTTAAAGACAGGTTGGGGATGTTTCGTATACTTTTGGCTCGCGGAGAGGTAGGCCCAAGAAGCAATCCTCCAAGCCCAAGGTCTAACTGTTTATCAGGTGCAACCAGCCATTATTATCTCGAAGGACCTTCGTCAAGTTCAGATGGTGGATCGGCACGACAATCGCGCCTTTGTAATGTGCTTCGCTATAACCCAGTTTCTACACTCGGGTCCGGAGATGACTTGAAGGACCTGATAGAAGACATGTAAGCGCCTTTTTAAACACCCAATCCTAGAGTACGGAGCAATACTGATTTCCGGCATAGAAAAATTGGAGAGAGCCTTGCGATGGTATTCGGAGCAAGTAGTTGGCAGTTGTTCCTCCAGGTAGTCAACGAGGGGATGAGCATCTGGAATATTAGGTGCGTTCATGAGCAGGACTGCTTCAGTCTGAGTCAGTTGGAGAGTTTTGACATGTCCATGCAGTGCGATCGGGCAGGGTGACAAGGAGAACGTGCGCCCTCGCTTGCACTGGTTTCGAAGAGTGCCCACTACCGTTAGTCCGAGTGATCATGTAAGTTGCCATTTTTGCCTAAGGGCCGCACTAACATTCCATGGGTATAGATGCTAGCCTCTGCCTACTATGACGCCATACCTCGAAGTCTCCGGGAGGAGCTCATGGGGCAGCTTGCAAGAAAAGTCGAGACAACTGAAGGCACAGAAAGAGCGGATTATCTCGTTTCCTTTATAACTTCGAAAATGCTGCAGAGCAACGTAGCTAGAGAAGAATCCACAATTATTCTCACGGAGGCTGCACGACTGGGTTCTATTAATGCAAAGTGGGCACTGAACGTCTGGGGCTTCGCGTTACCCGCAGACGAGCAATCACCCGAAGACTGTGAAAGAAACAGATGGATTTTGGAGCTTGTGCTCGGGGAACAAGAATGTGCTTTCCGCCTCATTGGCAAACTTCAGCAGGCTATACCCGAGCTACTATCTCAGACGCCTCTGTTCGAGGACCTGAGGGCCGAGCTCCGAGCAGCATCGCATATTGACCGTTTAGCTCCAGATCTGGGCAATTCACCGTTTGCACATGCCATGCAGGCGATAGCCGATGGCAACATCAGTCGTCTACGCCGAGTCGTCGAGAGCCATATGAATACCGTGTTGAGCGAAAGATTTGGGGGGCACGCATTACTGCATGTAGCAGCCAGACTCGGTCAACCCGAGTCCGCTCTATCTCTTGTTCGCGAGTACAATGTTGATATAGATCTACTGACTGACGACAGGCTGACTGCGCTTTCGCTTGCTACCATCTACGGGAATACCGATACTTTGTACGCATTAGTCAATACTGGAGCGAAACTCCAGTACGTCCTCACTCCGCGCATACTCCGACTTGTCGCAAATGACGGACTAAGTACCACGCTACGGCTGTTGGAGCATATGTTCCATGCGCAGAGGGAGCTTCTTGGGATTGAGGGATACAAGCGTAAGAATGTTGATGAAGCTGAACTCGTTTCCATGCAGGCTTTTCTGGACTGCGAGGTTCCCGCTGCACTAGACGATCAGCCCCCACTGGAGCCCAAGTTCAGTCCACTCTGCGCAGCTATACTAGGAGACAATGCTGCGTGTCTCCAGACGTTATTGGAGATGGGGTGTTCTACAACAGTATATGCACCCTTCGCGTCGAGGTCCACGATAGCGTCGGAGAGTGTCGTCTTTCCCCTGGCACCTATCCATCTCGCAGCGTCCCAACTACGTCCGTGGCATCTTGCGATACTGCTCTATTACAGTAAGAGCCCGGAACTCTGCACGGACGACGAGTACAGACAGGTTCCATTGCACCTGGCCTGTACGGCCTACCGAAGAGTCGTATATAAATATCCCGATGTCGTCTCAGCGGATCAAGAGTCTCCTTCCCCGGACAACATTGACCCTGCGTATATGATCTGCACAAGGCTCTTCATGATACGGATTCTTGTCAAGGCATACGGTGCCGATGTTGATGCCCAAGACGCAAAGGGTCGTACGGCGCTATTCTTCTGTATGGCGATGCCGCATTGCCTTCCGGTAATGCGATATCTCGTGCATGACATGAAGGCGGATGTCCGAGTCAAAGACTACATAGGCCAGACTTGCCTTCATCACGCTGCAGTCTTGTGTCCTGAGCCAGAGTATCTTGAATTTTGCGTCACGGCTGGTTGCGAGATCAATGAGCGAGATCACCGCGGGGCTACGCCTCTAGTATATGCTGAACGGAGAGAGGATAAGTGCTTTGCGCAGTTGTTACGCAAATATGGGGCGGTTCTATAGTCGCAACATCATACGAGGGGCTGGCTCGCCACGGAAGTAGAGATTGTCAGATAAAGAGCAGGCTCGTGAGTTGAGATGAATACAATTTCTTGAACCACCGCTGGTACACATTATAACGATCAAAGACCTGCAAAGACGGGCTAGAGCGCTGCTCGAATGGAATCCAGCTTCACCCATACTTCCTGAACAAATTGATACCCGATTGGCGCTTCTGCTGACGTCTCGCTCACCTCAAGACAGTATCGCACCACACTCGCATACTTGTCCCCCATGAATGCCGCAAGTCCAGAGCGCTTGGGGATACCTCTGCGAGTACCTTCTACCAGCTCGAGAAGGGACTCCTTCATTCTAAGAGGTGTAGACGTGTCAAACGCCGTTGGGTTGGCCCGAAATGGCACCAGGGGAGTCCTCCCCCAAAGCCCGATCTCCAGCAGCAAGACCCCAACCGAGTATATATCATGCAGCATACTATACTCGCTGTTCCCTTGCAAGCCCTGTCGATTCGGATGGTGATAAAGGTTCTTATCCCACTTGCCGTCCCCTGTCCTGTCTGACTCCATTTGCACGCCCCTGGAGTGTTCGAACCCGGCTACGTAGCACGGCGGTAGGATGTGCGCAAAGTTCTCGTCGATGACGGTTGACTTTGACGCGCTCTCCAGGAAAAGAATATTGTCCGGGCGGAGGCCCTTGTGCACCCAGTCCATGACGTGGATGTAGAGAACTGCTTTGGCAATGTCACAGCAGAGCCTTAGTTTCTGCGACAGCGAGAAACGAGGCCGTTTGGCGAGTATGTCACGGAGTGTCAAGATCTTTGGTGCTGCGCCTGTTGCCGCCTCCGCCTCGCGCGGCTGCTCACTAGGTGGAATCTCGTAGATCAGGCCGAACTTCTTCATAGGTACGTCGTGGAAATAGCCAAGAGCTCGCAAGATCAGCGTCCGCTCCGGGTCTGAGTGCACGAGCGTCTTGGCTAGATCGCAGGTCGCCTGCTCGATGGAGTCTATCTTGGCTTCAGTATCGTGCTCTGTGTAGGACTTCGCTGTGTATTCGACAATGACTTGCCGTTGCTGCCCATCATCTCCGGTGTAATAGGCAAGAGTCCGATGAGACATATTTGACTCGAAACTGAGCGATTTTCTCGGCTTCAGTAAGCCTATGCTCGTGATATCGCGGGCTTTGATCTTTTTGTAAATATCAATCAAAAGCGCGACGCGGTCGTCCCCCGACGATCCACGCCCTCCCCCCCTTCCCACCGTCAATCTCTGGGTCGCCTCGAGCACAGAACAGCTGAGCTCCACACGCTGTATCCAGTCGAAGAGCGACTTTTCAAGCTCGAACATCTCCCGTTTGCGCCACCCAGCCCACGCAGTTCGACTGCCTAAACTGTACCTCTTCAGGCTGCTGCCATTGTCATCCCCGGACGTCACTTTCAGTTTAGATCCAAGCCGGACTTGAATAGTGTCGAGACGAATTTTGACGTCATCGCTCAGCTTCCGTTCCGAGTCCGAGACGTCGAGGTCGACGGATGTTTCATGCATGCGTTTGATCAGAGGATGCAATCGACGTAGCGTGTTGCAGTGGGTTTGAAACTTGAGGCGCAAATCCTTTTCATGTTCTTCTTGGTCGCGAAAGTCTTTGAAGGCTGTGATTACGCGGTCGATGACCTCGATGGTCGACTGGATCGAACTGACTAGGCTTAGGAGCTCTAGACCGGATGGCATTCTTTTCCGCTGTACACAGGAAGATATGTACCCTTTGATCTAATGTTCTAAGGTAGACTTTTCTTCTTTACCTTTCTGGCAATGTGCAGAGGAATTCAGACTTCCGGGTCTCGGTTTGTTGCCTGAAGAAAAAAATCCCTAGCCTTCTCGCGAGGGTGGAATTTCCCAGCCCCATCAGCCTTGCCAACGCATCATAGCTAATCCCTGTTTAATGCAGCAAGGCTGAATCCGGTCTACCCCACCATGGTTTGGACACCCAACGAGCACCGTTAGACTCAGAGTCGGATTTTCACGGCCCTTCCTAGCGTCACAGTACACTGCTCTCTAGAATCGACCCAAACCCCTTTGGCAACAACAAACATCCCCGCCGCGCCACTAGACTATACGATTTCACCCTAGCAGACTTACACCACGACAGCTGTCCGGAGGTGAAACCCGGGTTTACGCGGCTGCAGAAGGCATCAAGAGCTTAGGGGTATAAGGGGTCTTGTTAAGGTCGACCGGTCTGGGGAAAACACAGGGTGACTAAACGACTAAACGGCGTCATCGTTGTTGCAATGGGTAGCGGAAAGACTTGGGGGTGGTCGTCCAGGATGATGGTGCTAAAGTTGGAAGAGTCAGACCCGACGGGGTCGTAATAATATTGATGAGATATGTCCGCAACTGTTGGGCTAGAATGTTCATGTTGTTGTGCATTTATGGGTCTTTCGTGCAACGGCTCTTTTATGATGCTGTATGAAGCAAGGATGTTGGAATTATTCTGAAGCGGAGTATGTTCCCTGGCACCAGCTGGATTGTTTTGTTGTAATATACTCGTTTCGCAAGGAGTAGAGACCATATGTTCATGTTGGGTACCCTCTCGCCAATTAAGCAAGGGACCACAATCTGTAGTGTGCTGAATCGACCGTCGAGATCCAGCCGACGGACAAGGGTCTGAATTTGCATCAGTCAGAGCTCCTGTTTACTTTTAAGGGATAAGGTAAATACCCTATGAAATGTCTTCGTTTGACACATGTGTTCCTCCGTGGCCGCTCATTTCGGGGTCTGTCTGATCTTGGGTTGGATTCAATCTTGGTGTTTGCGAAAATCCCCGAGATATCGCTACGTCCAGTGAAGCGTGATCATAAGTATCGACATTGCCTAGTTACACCTTCCTCCTTCTGGAGGGTGGGTTGAAATCAGCATCACGCCTGGCAGAGCGCTCAGCATCTTCTTTCTCCAAAAGGCAATGCAAAGCCTCATCTTCGGATCTTATCATTTCAGCTGAAGATGACGATAATTTTCGCTTTCTTGTCTGCCGTTTGGATTTGATACCGGAGCTCGATTCCCTCGTTTGACGCATCTGTTCGGCATGGTTGAGAAGTTTGGCAAGCTTCGCGTAAGTGTTGTAGTCCAGAGGAAGATTGATTGTTGTCATTCACATCTGGAAACTTGAGGGTTTATATACAAGATGAATCTTGCGACAGACCTCAACACAGAAACGCCAAGAAATATTTCAAATATAAAACCATAGTCATTACACTAAATCAAGTGTGGAATATCACTCAAGTTGGTTGTTAATTCGACCGCGCCGAACTAGCAAAGCGATTAACGTGGACAGGAAATTTATCGCCAAGGCTTAGAACAAACCACACCAAACGATCGTAGAAGCAGGTCTATTTCGCTGTCCATAAGATCTGATCGACCAAACTATAGAAATCACTAGAGTCTCCGCAAGGTATTTGTTTAGCTAAATGAAAGAATGAAGCCAATGACCCATTGCTCTTGGTCCATTGCATCACGTCCGGCCGAGCTTTATTATCACCCGAGAAGGCACGGCGAAAGTCGAATCCCCCAAACTCTCCCTGAAAGGGGGTCTCCAAAATAATTTCTTCCAGAGCCGGGAGTTCGTTTTCGAGCAGAAAAGGAAATATGTCACTCGAATCCTTCAGATGAACCTTCTTCAGGGATAATAAATCAACCGTCAGGGCCTGGCATGTGACGTGAGACCAGCCAACGATGAGTTGTTCGAGTCTGATTCCAAGTATGCTGAGAATGTTGCTCAATTCACCCTTGGAAAGATTGATCTCGAATGTCCTGAGAGAATCCGGGTGGCCGCAAAATATCATATTACCAAGATGTAAATGTTCAATGCCCAATCTGGAAAGACTTGGCAGGGCCGTAAAGTCCACGAGAACAGTACAATCCCAATTCTTGAGAGGAACCCCATTAAGAGTGAATCCGTCATCAAACTGAATATTGAGATCTAAAAGAGCCGGCATGGCGGGGATGACTAGAGTACCGCTTGACAAATACTCTATAACAAGCTTGTGCAGTGACCGGAAAGGGAGGTGTACCGGCCAGGAGCTGGGAACACTGCTGGAATGGAACAACTCTCGAAGGCCAGGTTGATCAGCCAGCTGTTCTTTGACGCCATACGAGCTCTCATCGCTCCTTTCTGCGTCAATACTATTGAGTTGTCAGTTATTATATCCCCTAGCGTTGGAAAACCGATCCTCGAAGATCTCCGTACCAACATCACCGTATGTTAGGCAACCGACTCAGTAGGTTTAGCATACAGGGCTCCACAGCCCGATAGCAAAATATGCGTATATCTTGAATAAGTGGTAGCCATTGGCCTAGAAGCTGGAATATCCTTGTTGCTGGCAGAGGCTTTCCATTCAGGGACTCGGGAAAGTTGGATGGTGGGTAATCGATTTCGACATGTTGGAAGAGGCATCTAGCAACATTGGGCCGTATACTATTTGAGACATTGAATAATTCCCATAAATCGCAGTCTCCTAGCTATGGATCATCAGCACCTAATGGATCCTGTCAATATAGATAGCTCACATGCTGAAATACTAATCGTAATAACTCAGGAGGCAAATCCAAGAGCATGCTGGACAAAACTCGTCCTGGTCAGTGACAGTATCTGAGCCAGGTAGGGTGGAATTTGAGAATAGTTTGCTTTTTTTTAAAAAAAAAAAAAAAGAAAGAAAGAAAGAAAGAAAGAAAAGAAAAGAAAAGAAAAGAAAATACCGCTGTTAGCTCGAAGTATCCTGAAACTCTCAATATGGGGGTTTGATCGCTTTTTTATGTCCCTATGGTAAGTTTTAGGTACAATGAGTTCGAATTGTCCTTCAGTTTTTTTGCACTTGGCTGGACTATTTTCAAACCCTAGCCCCGAGCCCTAATTATCCCGTAAGGGGCTAGTCAAGTTTCATTGAAAATTATCGTATGTATGAGACATGAATTACAATAATGACTCATTCAATGAAACATGATGTCACTTGATTCTAGGGAAACAGAATCTTCTAGACTGGAATTCCAATGCACGCACGAGGAGTCCTAGACTGACAACCTGTCAACAACTTGCATCACGCAGCTACGTCCTACAGAGCTACGTCCTACAGAGAGCCACAGCATATCTAGGGCTATTGAAAGATACCAGATACAAAATGTAATTGGATCTTAAATGCACCTGTACTCCGTTGTTCCTTCCATGTTTTGTATTGCTGGTCTCCTTGTTTGGGCGTCAAGAAGCGAAAATTAATAGAGTATATCTTCCTTTCTTAGCACTCCACCCAGATCTAAGGAAAGAGTGGTAATTAGTAGAGTTGGCTTTACACCACCCAGTGACCATCTTCTGGTAGTCAGTCAGTACTCACATTTGTCTTTAAAATGGGCATAGACTAACGACGTATAAGTTAAACGCTCATCATGGCATCCCTATAGCGGACTACGATATCTTGACAAGTTATGATATATACGATTCCTGCTGTCTGATAACGCAGACTCACAATAATCCCATTTTTGTGAGTGATCATCTGGTATGATATAACCCTAAATAGATAAAACCATTTGAAAACTGGGAGTTCGCGGTAATTTCTCTTCGATTCAACCTATTGTCCCCAAACCACGCCATACTTTCTCCCATCTCGATCTCAGCCGCCAAAACCGAAAACCCTTTCCTGGCCACCATGGTAGGCAATGTTGATCTGAATAGAAGTTGGAATTCTATTATTAATTAGCAAGTCTCGAGGGCTATTATCGATATTCTCCTGTCCGTCGCCACTTTGTGCCCTGACCTGCTTCGTAGGTCCATGGAACCTCACCGCAAAAGCCCAGCCCGTCAGGACTTGGCCACCCTGACCCTCCCTGTCAGGCTCCTCGCCGTTCTGCACCCTATCCTGACCCTCCCCACCAGGCGTCGGAACGGTCCCCTCGCCGTTCTGCGCCCCATCCTGACCCTCATCAATTTCCATTAGAACTGGCTCCTCGCCGTTCTGCGCCCCATCCTGACCCTCATCAATTTCCATTGGAACTAGCTCCTCGCCATTCTGCACCCTATCCTGACCCTCCCCACCAGGCGTCGGAACGGTCCCCTCGCCGTTCTGCGCCCCATCCTGACCCTCATCAATTTCCATTGGAACTGGCTCCTCGCCGTTCTGCACCCTATCCTGACCCTCCCCACCAGGCGTCGGAACGGTCCCCTCGCCGTTCTGCGCCCCATCCTGACCCTCCCCATCAGGCTTCGCCGGAACAATCCCCTTGCCGTTCTGCGCCTTATCCTGACTCTCCTTGTTCATCTGATATTGTCAACTAAGGGGACAGACATGCTTGCTTGAATTACATATTAGCCTTGCTTACCCTCTTCTTTGTTGCACGTAGCTTAACCACGTGCAACATCTCCCAGTCACCTGCAGCTCCCACCTTTCAGTTTCAACTTGAATCCGCCCCAACTAGGATTCACACCACAATTCTAGAATTAAAGAAATCTAAGGTCATCAGGTTTCGGTCCCCTTTTATGTCTCAAGATTGCGGGGTAACTTCCTGCGGGCCACCACGTTAGGCATCCCTACTAACGCCTTGCCCCGTTGGGTACTGAAGGGGGGGTGGCTGCCTGGTCGGAGAAATAGTTGATCCGGTCAGGTGACCGTCCCTACCTGGAATAACTTCCGGGGGGTTAGGGGCCTAGATATGGACACCACCTAATTTAATACCACTAGGGTCATCGGCATACGTCTCGTTCATCTACTAGAAAGACCCTGCATCCTATTCGACATATCCAGAGCTTCATTTTCCTAGATAGATTGCCAGGAGGGGAGTTCGAGATTGTCAGTACTGACATTTGATGATTGCGGGGTAATGTCCGTCTCTTATTCCAGGTGTGAGTCCGCTGAGTAAGAGACGGATATTACTGCGACCCAGCTACCCTGCATCTCCCTACTTTGAATCGAGGCTCTACATAGAGATAATAGGGGTCTCATACTGAATTGTTGCCATTTGTTTCGTTTTCATTGAGATACAATACATGGGCTAGATCGACGTTAGTCAATATGTACTGGGTAGGCGGCCAGCATGTAGCAGACGAGGTTTCGCAGTGCCGTACCATCGTAACTTTCTATGGATATGACACAAAGCCTGTGCTACTGTAAATTTTGCAATCACTGCAGTTTGTTAGGTAGTTACTTTATTTCTACTTACAAAATCATAGGGAGAATCAAGGTGTCCAAAGGGGTGTCATGATGGTTTAGGCAGCAGTATTAGTCTTGTGACTTGGATAACTTCTGTCCTGCGTCGTACGTTTCATAATCAAAACACATCAGAAATACAGACTAACTACTTACGTATAATATAGGGCTTAGGGCTAGGGTTCAGAAAAAGGCCAGCAAGTGTAAAACACGGAAGGACAATTCGGGTGCTACTGTATGTTGCAGAAGCACCTTCAGAAAAACATAATGCAAATTAAAGGAAACAGGGGGGGATCATATGGCATACTCTAAGAACAGCTTTCTCGCAGTTCGATACCAAGTTGAGGCGAAGTGATCGATGAATCTCATGTCCGGGTTAGTGCATGATCGTTTATTTGACCAGTTGAAATGGCAGCGGTGGTGCAAACAGAGGAAGGAAGGTATAGTTGCCCGCACCTCGATTACAGTGAACGGGCAAGAATATGTCATCCCGATAAAATGACCGCCCTGCCCGTTCCGTCAGTAGAGGCGGGTTTGGTCCTTAAAGGGGACTTTGATGTGTCAGTCGTTCAATGCATCTGGTTCTCCTGCTACACAGTAATTGCTTATCTCAAGCAAGTCTACCCCAAAATGATAGATGTTCTTTATTAGCAGATACTGAGCGGTGGCAGAGCAGCTGGCAATTGTGCGCGGCTGCCAATGGACGCGTGCACTCTCTAATTCGTTGGCCGGCTAAAAACTGATTTTCTCCTGTTATTGCAGCTACATAGTCTGATTTGACAAGAAGGCGGGAAGACGGTTCGACGCATTTTCTATGGTGTTATTGTTTTCAGTGACATGACGGGCCTGAATAACGTCGGTTTCACTTTATTCAAATACTGGTTGGATGGTAGTCTACTGCACAGTACGAACATGGGAATTTAAACAAACAGGGAAAAAGACACCTATAGCATCAACAACTTCCCAATGTACAGTATGTACAGTAAACTAGGAGTCAAGGCAGGTCTTGGCTTCTTCATGCATCAGATGATGAATGAGTACTAGTCCCCAGCACCACGAAGAGGTGTCTTGCCTTCGCTGGGGGTCTTAGAGAGCTGCTCTAAGAGGTGGGCTGACCATACAATACGGGGCCCATGGCCTGAAGTGAAGCTCACCTTCAAGGGCCGACACAGCTCGCCTTCAAGGGCCGACACAGCTCACCTCCAAGGGCCGACACAGCTCGCCTTCAAGGGCCGACAGAGCTCACCTCCAAGGGCCGACACAGCTCGCCTTCAAGGGCCGACACAGCTCACCTCCAAGGGCCGACACAGCTCACCTTCAAGGGCCGACACAGCTCACCTTCAAGGGCCGACACAGCTCGCCTCCAAGAGCCGTGCTGGTAAGGAACCTGGTCCTACTTCCTCAACACCGGGACACGACTGGCCTTATATAGCCTGTTTCTCCAGCGGACCCACCGCGACCAGCCGCGCAGATCCAACCTCCTTTACCAGATAGTGGGTCTGTTCCCCGCAGCGAGTTGAGTATGGCCATAAAATGACCGTTTGACCGTCGGCAACACTGCACCTGGTATGATTAAAGCGAAGCGGGCAAGAACCCAATGTGACCATCCACTCCCGCCGGGAGGTTCACCATGACGGACTCGGAGGATGGAATCGGTGCGCTATGACGATGGGGTCTGGTCGTCTGAACGGAGATCTCGGGCAGCAATGTGGAGACGCAGGAAACCGACAAGGAACGCAATGCACTTTACAGTGTGCGGGAATGATCGGAAATCCTCAAGGTGAAGGAGCACAAACCCAACCATCACCATTCTCGCTCCGGGGAACACAGGGCTTGCGTGAAATGACAGTTGCAACGACACGACAAAAAAAGGGGCGGGTATAGGTGGGGGCGAGAAACGGGCAATCCATCGCATGCTCGGGTACCGTATCTGGCGCACGATTACCATGAGCATGAGTAGTTGAGCAAAAGTGGGCAAGAAACCCAGTAGGCTTGTCTTTGGGGCTTACGATTATCCCCGAGCAAAGCCTCTATGTAGCGACGAGTTGTCGAGATACTCAACGGGGCGGAAATGGACGTGGCTGGCAGATTGAACAGAAGTTCAGTAAAAGGAAGTGATACCGAGTTAGAAATGCGACGTGCGATCCCTCATTTCCTCATCACATGACTCCCAAGGCTTAGCCACCTTCTCCCTCGCTATAACCTGGCTTCCCCTTTTAGTCTCCCCACCACTATCCCGCGTGTTGGTGCTCCAGTCTCGACGGTCGTTTTCCTCTTTTCTGCTTTTAAAAAGCACCACCATGACAGGTGCATGTCCAGAAGCCGAACAACTCATTTTGAGGCCTGTGATTCCATTAGAGGTCAACAAATTAGTCGCATTTCCACGCGATTCGCCCATGGTTTGAACGCGTCAGTACGCCGACTCCGGGTCCGCTTCAATCCGTTGATCTCGTTCGATTCGCCATCGACCAAGCAGACGACTTAATGAGGCACAAGAGTATGCAGTTAATCAGTGTATCAGGCGAGTCGATACAATGTGTATTTCGTCCACTGCGGGTATGACTGCAGACTGCGAACCAGATTTTAAAGAAAAACGCGACCGACGCAGAATCCAGGTGAGAGGGTAAAACAAGGTTTCTGGCTTCATCGGCCGACTTTCCGGTGGTTTATCCCATGTAAAACAAAAGCTGATAGAGAGAATCATCTGGAAGCAGAAGATTTAGGCGACAACATGCACAGGTCTACTTGGCCATAGGCTCGAAAACATCGGACCAAGCAATGTGTATGAATTGGACAAGGTCGGACTACAAATCGGGCCAGCACAAACATAAAAGGCCATCACTGCGATCGTGTCCCAACGTCAAATACCATGCACCAATGGACGCAAAAAGTCTTACGCGAGGTATATATTTGTTCCGCGTTGGGCGATATAGCCCTTTTGGCCCGAGCGCCACCGGGCTATCGGCTAACCTTGTAGAAGCAACGACCCTTTCTACCGCGGCGAAGGGCTTCAATGGTCTCCCATTCCAAGTGATGCATCGGGTCCTGGTGGCATTGTAGCGGCGACTGGAGTGGTCTGTCTCTGCGTTTGTGTTTGGCGTCCCAAACTCTGCCGACCGAACTGGTGGGATTGCCTCGAGGCGATGAGACTGTATACTGTAGTGCCCGTGTTGGACCAAGAATTTCGAACCCATTCTAATGTTATCGTTGCGAGCTCTATTGGCCCTATTCCATCGACTGCGGGTTAAGGTCGCCTGCACCCGACATGCGGAGGTGCATCGACTACTTATCAAGCGTCGTGCCCTGCTGCAGAACTTACTCATCCACCGAGTTGCCGTTGTGTGACTAAGTGGCCCGCAGTGTCGACAAAGGCTTAGATACTGGCACACGCAGTTTGGCACGGTGTAGACACTGACTGGGACTTTCATGTCGTCTGAACGCCAAGATTATCACTCTCGTGCTACAATGCCAATCCGCTGCCTAGGTGCCTTGTAGCAGCCAGCACAGACATTGGCCATCCCGCATTCGAGAAAAAATTTTTATCCTGCACGTTGGCCGGCCGTCAACCCCGTTCATATCGGGCTTGAAACAGTACCAAGGCGGGCAGAAACCAAATTATAATAATAGTGGCTAGTATGCACAATCAACTCTTCTGGCCTGGATGGAACCCAGATAGACGATGGGACAAAGCCACCCCCTCCAAAGTTGCACAGCAATTTCATACCTATTTTAATAGTGTCACTGGTTCTTAAGAGCCCAAGGAAGCAGTTTAGTACATCGTAACGACGGTATACCCTCGCTGTCTATGGAAATTCAATTACTGCGACCAAGTAACTCGCTCACCACGAAATGGGCGAAACCTGATCATTCTCAAAGCTGTGAAACGGTCGTAGTTCTTCGTCAAACCGCTGGGGGTCCATCTCCTTTCATATCCTGTATATAATTTTGTCAGTAAGAAGCAGAAGGACAAGTGCAACCCAACACACTATTGCACCTCCTCGATCGCTGTCATAATTCTCTATCCCAAGCGATCCAAGTTGAGGCGGATGCGACTCTCACAACCCAGGGCGCCGCGACTGACCCAGTAAACCGACTCTACCCTAAGCACATCATCCCTTGGCTTAACTTTCCCCAACTACAAGAACAAGTGTGGGAGAAATTCGACCGTACTGCTGCCTTTACCTCGCGCCCACTATTCCCATCTAATACCCAAATCGACTATGTTGTTACGAATATCCAGAACAGACCGATCTATTCGGAAGCATCTCTTCGGAATTTTGAGCGAGACACGGTGGATAACTTTGTCGAAAAGGTCATTGCGGCTTTGCGAGACGATGAACTCCTTCGACATGAATTTGGAATCTAAAGCCGAGTTGCCTTCTATGATCACGCAAACCCATCGGAAACTTCGTTGGAGAACAGCCTGGGGCAAATGAATCTTCAGGACGCGCGGACACCCCAACAACCGGCGAACACTAAGCATGGAAGAGGCAGAGGAAAGACAAGAGGAGCGGCGCAGAGACAGAGGAGGGATGGCGCTGCACGAAGACGCAATCGGCGCGCGGACCAGTTCTGTGTGCACCTTGTGGCTGATGAACGACAAATACCGGTGTATGCGGTGGAATTCAAAGCGCCGCACAAGGTGACAATTCCCGAATTGGTGGCTGGACTACACCAGATGGATCTAGCTCGCGACGTCATTGACCAAGAAGGTGACACATTTGAATTTCATGCCACCCGCCTTGTCGCCGCTGTGGTCACTCAAAAATTCTCATTAGACTTAAGAGCTTTTTACACATCAAATAGATCCTGTTAAATATGATATAATTATTATATAGAAGCTACTCCTACAATTTGTTACCAGTATTTGAACTGGTTGTTGAGATATAAGACTGAAATATATCGCATTTACTATGAATGTGGAACTGGAACGCTCGCTTGCATGGAACGCTCGCTTACCGGATACGTTACAACGCTAGTCCTTACTAGGGGGTTCAGGGGTTCAACCTCGGGTTCAGCTTGGCCATTTGGAACATGAACCCCTCTAGAAACGTAAATTACTCGATTGGATTCTCGTTTTTTCCCTGTACAAGGTAAGAGATTCGTGGTCAACAAAGTTGAAAAATGGGGCATATGCACCATGAATACACTAGATTACAGGTTTTTCTTCGTGTTTATTTGATGGGCCGCTTCTTCGAGTCTGTTAACCGTTATATAGAAAACTAGGTTGCTGAATATATATCATTAACACGGCATCAGGGGATCTACGATCAAACCCAACGCAATAATCCCAGCAGATGAATCCACTACAAAGCAACCAATTACATGACAACTTATTTTCCTTTGTCAACCAGATACCACAAAAATAAATGATTCTGGTACATTTCCCGCCCCTAAACGCAGCCCATGATAGTGCTGCACAGTGCCGCCGTCCGGAACATTATATGGCCCACTGGGTTGATGCCATGCTTAGTCATACCGACCAAGGAACATTGAAAGATCTAGGAAAGATATGGAAAACACTCTAAGCTAAATATCATACTGGATTGGTCTGCAAGATGGGGTCATCTTGGGAATGGCCACTAGAAACGGGTTCTCCCGGGCGCTGAATAGGATCGTAAGAAAGTAGGCATGGAATTGATATGTACGATCATGATCATGCGCATCGGACGCGGTTAGCTGGCGGTCGCTAGACTCGGGGCCTCGCCCGGTCGCGCAGAGCTAGGCCTCTCCCAGCGTTTCAGCCAATCCCGGGCATAGCGGCAGAGGACACCGCCTTCCAGCATTTTGGTGCCCTCCCGGAGGGTCTCGCTGTCGCGTCGGGCATTCTGCATCGCGAAGGTCTTGGCGAGCCCGGCGGCGGCCCCCTGGCCATATAACTTCCGGTAATGATAGATCAGCTTCACGGCTGGGTTGATCTTCTCTTCGTGTCGGGCTTCACTCGCCTCCAGCAACTGCAGCCACCCGGCAAAAGGCACCGCGTCGAATTGAAATCCGTTTCGCTTGAGCTGATCCATTAGCGCGACTCAGGCAAAGGCGTGGGGATTCATAATGTTATAGACCGAGTCATTTCCGGTGTAGGTTTTCGACGCGACCATTCGCAGAGCTGTCGATGCCGTCGCGAATCGCCGGCTCCGCTCTCGTGAGGCATGATCCGGCAATCTCGAGGATGCACTGAGCGAGCTGATCCACAGGCAACCAGGAGCACGCCGCGTCCATCCTAGGCGGCAATGCCTTCAGCGTCAGGGCAGACCGGACAAGCAGCGGCATCGCGTCCGAATCACCCCACAGACCCCTCTGGAAGTGACCGGAAATCTGCCCGATGCGCAGAGAGTAGACACGTGCGCCCATACTCCGCGAGTGACGATCACGATTTGCGTGCAAACGGTGGTTAGAGGCCAAAACATGGGCAACGGTCAGTGACCGAGCTGCTGCCTCACAAAGTAGGATTCGGATTTAGAAACTCTTTTATTTGAAAAGGATATTCTGATACGGCCGCCGTAGGCAAGCAAGACCCATGTTGAGACAGATGTGGTCGTTGTGATATGTAGTATATTCGGTATTTCAATATAGATCACAATATTATACGGAGATGTGCATTCATATGGTACACGTTCAAGGTTATCCCCAACATTCTGATCACGCGACTTGTCTAAAAGGACACATTGACTTATAGCCTATGGGGGTCTCAGGAAACACAACACAGCTCCATTTCCTCTCTCCCGAGCAGCATCATATGCTGTTTTCCCAAAATTATCTTTGAGCCGCGTTTTGGAATTAGAGCGCAAAATCTGGACGATTTCGTGATGGCCTCCCGCAGCAGCCCACCAGAACGCCGTCCGCCCGTCACCGTCGACCGCGTTGATATCAGTGCCCTGGACTTCCAGCAGCAGATTTACCATCTGCGCTTGGTTTCTAGATACAGCGTGCATGAGGGGCGTCCAGCCCCACTCATCTCGGACACTGACGTCAAGTTTCTCACCTTGCCTCAGCAGAAGGCTAAGCACGTCTAAATGGCCAAAGATGACCGATACGTGTAGTGAAGTTGCCCCGGAGGCGTTAACTTGATTGACATCAATGTACTTGTGTCCTAATAGTAGGCGCACCATATCTTTCCTACCCGAGCGACATGCAACCCAAAGGGGCGTGACCTCGTGTCCAGATTCGGCATTCACTCTGATTTTTGGCTGCGCAAGAAGGAGCTGTGCCACAGGCAAGTGTGCATGTTGCACGGAACGTGCTAGAGGTGTATAGCCATCTAGATCGACAGCATTCAATTCGACGTCGACTTGATTTAGAAGCAACCGGATTGGGCTAGATTTACCAAACTTAGCAAGGTTATGGAGAGGTGCTCTGCCCCTGTGGTCTGGCATGTTGTAGTTCACGTTTCGATCAAGCAGTCGGCCGAACCATCGATCGGATTGAACAAATGTCACCCACCAAAATGGAGTGCGGCCGTGAAAGTCTTGGGCATCAATATCGACTTCGGGGACGCACAGCAAGATATCAATACACGCGTGCTTGCCGTATTGGATTGCTACATGTAGCGGGGTGTTTTGCCGGCTGTCCCGGGAGTTCACAGAAACTCCGCGCTGCTGAAGCAAGAAGCCCATCATCACGGTATTGCCTAAGCGAGCAGCGTGATGAAGGGCAGTGGATTGATTTTCATCCACATCCACGGCATTAATATCAACGCCTCGCCTTAGGAACATCTGTGCAATGCTTGCGCTATCGTTGGTGACGGCAAGAAAGAAGCAACGGGCGTCTTCATGTTTCCCATCCGGCTCTACCTCCTGTTGCAACAGTCTTTTAGCCACACATTCGGCACCTTTGGTGATGGCAAACCTGAGTATGGCGAGGTCGAAAGACCGCGGAGCTACCGTAGGCCGACAGCAATGATCATATCCAATCTGGTCCAAGATATACCTTATGATTACCTCATCACTGTTGATGTATATCGCATACCATAAGATACTCCGGCCTTGATCGTCGCACCCGTTGATGTCAATATTGTGGTGGTTCAGCAGTAGCCCGATCGTATCCATGGCTTGGCACCGTACAGCGCACCAGAGGAGCGGCTCCCCATTTTCAATGGCATTCACATTGGCATCGTAGGATAAGAAGATATTGGCAATATCCCGTCTGTCATGCTGCACCGCCCAACGAAGCCCGGAGCTGTTATTTTTGCCAATATTCTGTTTGAAAAGGACCTTGGCGAATGTGGATTGCATGTCGTGACAAGTAAGACATAACGCATAAAGGGTTCTTTCGTCGAGCAGCTCGCCAACCATGCAGCGAAGTTCAAAAGGGAGTCGAGTAAGCATGGACATTGCTGGATTTGGCGTGAATGGAGGTACCAGGAGAAGTAGCTGCAGCAAGACACAGCCTCCTCACTCGGCTAGTCTGACTCAACTTATATGTCCTATGGGATGAGGATCCTGGAAAGTCGGAAGACGCTGACGAATAAACGGAGCGTAGCGCGCTCCGGTGAGCCCGTAGGCTAGCTCTGGGGAGAGCTATATGGATGCCTGGGAGCGTCGGAGCTCGGAAGAGTCTATAACATTTTGGAAATTGACGTAGGTCGTGCGCTACTAGGAAACGTCATGGATGTATGCGTTGCTTCGTATAACCGTGCTCTCGAAGCACATAAAGGACGTGACAACGCACAAAATTCCTCGCACAATCACGCTCACCGATTTATCTATTCAATATACTTCCATCCCACTCTAGCTGTTTCCTCCTCACTATGGCACCCACAAGAGCATTGATCAATTCTACAACCCAGATCGGCAAGGATGGAGTCCTTCCACACCGCATTCTATTTATCTTGCACCTTGCCCTTTGTGCAGCAAGTCACGATAATTGTGAATCCATATCCGTCCTTCGAATGAATCTGACCCTGTCCACTAAATTGAATTGGGAGCTATGCCTGGAAGACATTGCTCGGCAGAAAATCCCCTCTCTGCATTGGGCCGTTCGGCATACAGCGCTCGACCTCTTTGAGAAGCTGCTCAGCTCCGGGACCGATGTGAACACAGTGCACCGGCGAAGTACCCCGCTAATTGAAGCAGCCACCCTGGGCTCTTCCGACATCCTCATGAGGCTTCTATCGCATCCACAAGTTGATATAAAACAACACGAACAGGGTAGGAAGGCGTTGTGGATGGGGGTAAAGAACAATTACCCTTCAGTTGTGCAAGGCCTGCTCTGTAGCAACAGTGTTGATGCCAATTTCTTTTGTTTCCACAGAGGGAAATTCACGGCACCGCTCACCTACGCGGTTACCTACCATGGTTGTGAGATCGTGGAGACCCTTCTTGCCGACCGTCGAACCGACCCCAACATTCGGCGCAAAGATACGCCAGCACCATTTTTTTACGCCATGGTAAACAGGAGCTTGTGTCTCGTCCATCGCCTGATTTCTGATGAAAGGTTCGATGTGACGGTCTGCTGTTCTTGTGGCGGCAACCCACTCCATCATGCTGCCGAGACAGGGTGTCTCCAAATTCTGCAGACCCTCCTGTCGGACTTCGAAACCGACATAAATGCACGGGATTTAAATGGATCGACGGCTCTTATCTATGCAGCCGCAGAAGGACATGAATCTCTTGTCCAGGAGCTTCTTTCACATGACCTCGACATCAATCATCGCGATCATGGAGGTCGCACCGCCTTGTGGTGGGCAACGCATAACGGGCACGAATGGGCGGCCCGATGTCTGTTGGCACGGAGTGGCATCCAGGTTAATGCGATTGGAGAGGATGGGTCCACCTCTCTTCACCATGCTGTTGATTGGGGATCGGCCACGCTGATCAACCTCCTGCTGGCACACCGAGACATCAATGTAAACGTGTCAGATGATCATGGACGCACGCCTCTCTGGTGGGCTGCCTACCACGGTAACGGAAGGGCTGTGGGATATCTACTTCAAGACAGTGGGGCAAAGGTCGACATCCGAGATCGTTGGCAGCAGGGACCACTTGAGGTCGCTAGAGAACATGGGCAATATTACGTCTGGCTTCTGCTTCGAGTCTCATTGATAGACGTGAGGCTCCTCTGTGTTCTCTACATCATTGTCGCTTTTTTCTTTCTCTTCATCTAAAGCAACATGCCGGCATGTTGATGTTAGATACAGAGAACTGTCGTTACCTTCGCTATGTACTCGCACCCCATCATGGCTATGAAGTAGGGTTCTAAGTCCGGCCCAAGTGCGACGGATATTGAGGGAATGCCTCAGATAGCCAATGCATGGAGATCAATACCGTTCCCTTTTCGTAGTTGGAACTATTTCGCATCAAACAAACCAATTTTGAGCGCGCCTCAGGACAGTCCCTAAACGGTTTCATTTGGGCACTGATCGGGTGCATATAAGGTTTTCAAACCCTCAAGCCATGTGCAAAACCATCAGGCTCGGGCCGTAGGTCGTCAGGTTAAAGAAGTGGGCCATCATAGAGACCGCTTGCAGTAGCAACCAACATATCGTCCTGGGTGATGTTCGCTTCGAGCCAGGTAAGCCACCCTTGATTCACCCGACGAACGATGATCAACAGGGTGCCACCCGGAACAAAGCGCTGATAATAGGAGGTGCTGAGCTTGCGGAGGCTGTGCTGAGCGCCGAATGTGACAAATGTTCGATGGCAGAGGAGCTCGACGAGGAGCCAGTGGCCCGCGACTCGCTGGTCGTTTGGAACCGCGGCCACAGCCTGAGCATGGAATGAACTGGTCAACTGAATCGTCAGAGTTTTCAAGAATTGATCCTCCAGAGCAGCGAAAGAGCCCGAGCCCAATACAATACTGGGGATGATATTGGTGGGTGTGATCGGATTTGGCAACGGTGGCGTGACGCAGCACGGGCAGCCTCCTGAGGACGACGAAGATCCCCAAGACGACTCAAACGCCTCGGAAATTATAGGAGTGTCTTGTCTCCGGGGGACGGGCTGTATGAGTGGTGTTTCTGAGTATGACGCCGGGAACGACATGATGCGTATTCAATAAGGCTCTCCTATCGTTACCATGCGAGATGACAAAACCGCGATGGGAAACGGGGGATGAAGGGTGCCTGTATAATTAGGCAGAAGGCCACGGCTGTACTAAAAAGCTTGCGGTGGGTGGTCCAGCTGAACGCTCCAGCCGATGGGGTGTGGATGCACGGAGGAAGATGGCTTTATTGTAGACATGAGCTGCCCACTACGGCACTACTGTAATAATATCTGCTTTGTGTACATTAGATACAAGAATGGTCATCTAGGCCGACTATTGGCCTAGCACGGACCCCACTTTCATCATCCAACATCTCATGTGTAGCCTGGTCATTGCAGTGTACGGCCTGCCATGCGGTAGAGCAGCTTCCACAACAGTGCCATCTTGCGCGGTGATGCTTGAAACGAGGGCTGATGCCAACCCAGATCGTTTGTGCCTATTCCCGGATGAACTGTTACCATTGCCTTGCGTACCTAGGTAGTGAAGAGCTTACCATAGGACTGACTGGGACGACTTTTCTGGCCGACATGTCGCGTCATTATTGTTTGTTTGTATTGTGAGAGGCGGTCCTCAGGGCAATATTGCGGTGATGTATAACTGTCTCGCCGTGCGTGGAAGACGGGGGCGGCCTGTTCCGGCGTCCCACCCCTCTCCTGCTCACTGTGCAGTTGCGGCAAGCAGATAGAAAGGGAGGAAGTTTCTCTACGCCGTTGCTTCCGGGCCGTCTTCGCAGTCCTCGCCGTATTACTCCCCAAGCTTGATCCCCTTGTGTTGGTTGGACGGTGTCGCTTGATCCCTTTCGTCAACTGCCCCAACTTTGACCGCAAGGATTCATCTGATCTGGGTTTGTAGGCGGCTGAATATCGGTGGGCCCTCTCCTTCCAGGACAAGTTTAAATGTTCCTCCACCCACGGCGGAAGGTTCGCCTCCTCACCCGGGGTCCATGCACGGTAGGCTCTTTTGTTCATTATGGGGAGAAGGTGTCAAAGATACAGGAGACGAGAAATCTGTCGCCGCGCCGGGTGATATGTCAACAACAGTCTCAGTAATAATAAAAGAGAAAGACCAGCAAAATATACTGCCGGTTTATTTTGCGCGGGAAAGGGGGAACGGGCGGTTCAAATAACACCCAGTGAGAGCAACCACCACCGTGAATAATGATAATGGTGGACACGCAGTGGGCATTTCCGCTTTGCCCCGATCCACATCTATTTTCACAGGACCTAGTCCCAACACTCGCAATTCAGGAACGGGCAAAAGGAGAATGGAAAAAACCAGGCACCGTGTTTACAGGGGTCTAGACAAGCTAGATATTATCCACTGCGTGGACAGACCAGTGGCCGACCTGCAGCCTCGAATTGCTTTTAGTTCCGTCCGATGATCTGCACGCACTTCCTCGCTTTACACACTCTTTCTCACGTTGGTGGGTAAAAGCCTTCGGGCTCGCCCACTGGCCCCTCTATCCCACTCGGGCCCGTCCGTACCTGGCTGGTACCTGGCTGGATCGGTGCCAGAGAGGGGGCAGGTGGGCAGGTGGGCAACTCGGAGAGACTTCCGCTGAAGGGCTAATCTGTTCTTGACCTACCTCGGTTCACTGGCATCCCGTCAGCAAGATTAGGACTTCCCTTACAGCAAACGGGACAGCCCTCGCCTTCGCCCGCCCATGGGCCCTTAAATCCCACCGTCTTACCCTCGATTGCAACCCATGATTTCCTTCCAGATCTGTTGTTCTCTCTCTATCTTCACTACTAGTATCATGCCGAGAGCCACCCATTCGCGCACAAACGCTCCTCAACCTGGGACTCGTGCCAGACGGGTCCAGGTAAATCCAGAAAACGGTCCTTCGCGACCTGCTCGTGCCCTTCAACGGCCATCAATGGTGGGTGATTTGGGATTTCTGATCCTAAACATACTGTATGTATATAATCCAGGCTAATTGCTCATCTCAGATGGCACAAACCCAATCCCCGCGTGGCACCGGAAAGAGCCCGTCTACGACTCTGGAAGTTGCCCATGCGGAATGTTTTCGAACAATAGAGGAACTTGAACGCGAAAACCAAGCTCTTCGTGAGGAAAAAGAAGACTTGCAGACGCAGCTCCAGGAGGCACAGAACTTCGAACTCTCTGACAGAATGAACACTATTGTGCAGCAGATGCAGGAGGCTATCAGCAACTTTCAGCGACAACTATGGGACCTGGAGGGCACCTCCGCTCTGCCAGACGCTACTGCACTTGGCAACATGTGGACAGACCAGGAGGGTATGGGTGACATGGAGGACCCGAATTTATCAACGGAAGATATGATGAACTTAACCACGCTGTAATTAATTTTCACATCCACCCGAAATACCTCTCGTCTGGGACTGCGAGGGATCGAATTGAGTTTACCTGGTGGCTAGGCCATGACTTTAGACGCCAGGCAATAGGAACATGGTAAGAGGGTGGCCGAGCCTACAAGGAGAATAGGTCAGACTGAATGGCATGTAAATCCGCTGCCTTGTCTAATGAAACCTCTGAAGCCAACATAGTCGATAGAAGTGAGCAAAGACCGAATCTGCCCTGCTCCCCGTGCTCCCCGAACCATCTTAAGTGGGCCGAGGCTGGGGATTGTGCCATCAACAGACCGGCATTTTATTCATCACCATGATTGCGTCCCTGTTTGGCTAGGGAAGCTAGGGCCCTGGACTGTTTACAACCTGTGGATGGCGGATGGCTTTCCCGGTACGCCCTGTCTGAGGAATTATGGTAAAATCATCCGACTGTAGCCCGCTGCACATCATTGATCTGATTACCGACAGAGTAGTCACTATTATCCCATCTAGGTTGATGTTACTATAGAGCGTGGCTGAACATGTGCGAAAATAAGTGCAGATGAGCGCACGACAATAACCACTATGTGGGCTATGCTTGTGTTCGCCGAATGGGTTATCGATGGACCGAGATTGCGACGATACGGCATTGAGTGGACCTGTAGCTGTCTCGGCCAAGTCGCGACGAACAGCTAGCTAGCCATTCCGCGGGCCTAGATAACCGTATTGCGTTAGGTCGAATCGGGCAAGATCGGCAGGCTGATTTATCCATAGGGGCTTAGGAGAACCCGTTCTAAAAGCCTCGACTTACTGTACTGAGCGTTTAGATACACTTACGGTCGACAAACATTCTGATAAGAAGGTGTCAGATTAAGCTCATGCGCTGCATCCTCTCGTATGCAGTGCATTTGCCCGCCAACACGCGGGCCAGTCTTGTCTGGCTCGGCTTGGCACAAGATCGAAACCCATTGGCCCGTTGAGGTAAGGCCCTGCGAGGAACACGTGATACCTTCCACACGGCCATGATGGGTATGAAAATTGGGCGGGGACAACCACGGCGACAATCGGGTTTCCCGGGCATATGTAGCTGTTAAAGGGGATGATGGCGGACGGTGATCTTCAATGGGTCTTTTTTGCACTAATGTTCCAAGCGGGAAGCCCGACACGAGCCCATCATTAGCTAGACGTGTGCAAGCTAGCAGCGAGAGTTCAACGGTCGTCTTGGAAAATCGGTACCGCGTTTAAATGACCGTTATTTCGATTAATGAAAACAAATTTCGAACTTCCATTAGCTTAGAATCTCCAGGGGCTAGAGATTCCACGACAAAAGTCGCTGGCGTCCCGCGCGCCGCGACCATTTCTGCGCCGGTCGCCTTGCCGCCCCACGGCTCCCATCCTCCACCAGCAGGTTTGACCGGGGATTATGGCCGAACAATTTGGTGCCCATCATACCACACCGTTCACGCGGTCCTGATACGTCCTTTCATGCAAGTATATATTTCTTGCTGGCCCCCAACGCACCAGCGGCTTGACTTAGGATGCTGAGGCGCGTAAGTGGGTCAACATAGAAGACTATGACTATATTTACCTGCCAGTGTGGCGCTGTTCTCAAGGGGGCTACTTTGGCGCCATGCACTAAGGGTCAAACGGTCGTTTCGGCTGGGCTTACGGGTAGTTGAGATGGTAAACGAAAACTTTGTGACGAGGACAGACGAGTGTGTCGGGGCCATAGCTTCAAACGCTAAGCATTACGGCCATTATTTTGGGTGGAGTGACCGAGCCAATCGGCGTAAATAACGCGCATGAGACCGTCTCTACCTGGCTGGCCACTTTCAGTAGGCGCTTGTTGAGGGAGGGACCGGAGGAAACTCATCGCGCCTGATCACTTTAATCCCACGAGTCAGTCCGAGCTCCACCTGAGTTTGTCTTGATGAGACACCCTAGGACCATTCTAGGAGCACGCAACTTTGCAACGTCCGTGTCGACTAAATGGGCACTATTTTCAACGCCAACAAACCACCTGGTCTGCATCACCCCCCACTTAGGTTGGTCAATGTTTACGGAGTACTTGCTCGATGCTCCGACAGGCGATACACACTCTAGCCTCAATAAATTCTCGGCGAAGGCTTGTGGGTCTCGGTACCGTGGGCCTCAGAGGTGCATCTTTGCCTATATTTGACGGGTAACGATGCCCTTCTGTCAAACCCCTGATACTTCTTGCCTTGACCACACTTGGTCTAACCGGCTGAAAAACCCGAAACATTCGCCCTTTGAAGCCCGCTAGGCCCACGATGACAAATGTACATATAGTTCAGCTGGTCAATAGCCCATGGCTGGCGGAATACCTTCCGCAATTGCTGGGAAGGTGACGCCAGCCCTTCGCGGCTCCTGAGTCACGGCCTTTCTCTATATCATGCAGTTCACAAGACAAAATCCAGTTACTCAGATAATCATATCCTATTGTTCTTCTCAGCGCCCTTGAGCGTGCTCGTGCCTTTGGTGGTCCAGAATCCTTGCCTCCAGCTATACCTCACCATTCCCAGCGGTTCGCACCCCATATCATTATAATGCCTTTAAGCAACGGTGCGCCATCTCGGCTCGATAATCTTCGCAGGGCTTTGCAGTGCAACAAGGAGCCGGAGGCGCCGCAGCTGCCAAAGCGTGCCTCGTCAACTGCTCGATCGAAGGACCTCGGCCATCGCTCTTCCGTGTCACGTGAGCCATCCGTCGACGCCGACGCAATCACAAGCCAACAAGACGGTGATTGGGAAGCAGATGAAGTCTATGCCCCGACAATGTCAGATCCGGTCAAGAACCTTGATCCGAATAGTGATGTTGTCGCTTGTTTGTGCGAGTAAGGCTACCGTCAAGCTATTCATGCCAGTATTATATCTGCTAACCTGGCTGTTTCAGTCTCGAAGCAAGAGTGAGGTAGGTAGGAAGTCAACTTGACAGTGGCTCAAAATCGGCTGGAGCCTGGCCTCACCACAAGGGACTACCGAGATGGATCTGCTGACGAATCATACGTTTAGTGCGGTTGAAACTTTCATGAAGACCCAAGAAGAAGCGAACGAGGCTTTGCGGCGGAGCATGGAGGACCTCCGCACGCGGGCCCCGCAGGTCGCCAAACGCTCGAGCCGGATAAGCAAATGATTCAACGACAAAAGCCCTCACGAGAATAGGGTTACAAGGAGAGCTTAACGGTATGATTCTACCATATGGCGCCAGATAGCGGAATGGAACACTTAATTAAGGATCGGTCAGTCAATCAATCAATCAATCAAAATTCTATCCCCCCGATGAAGCCTATCTATCTATTGAAACGACAGGCTATGCAGGCGCTTCGCCAAATGAAGCAGAATCTCGAGCTCGTACGCCGTATAAAACCCCACAAACGCAGTAGACGAATAAAAAAAAAGTAAAACACAACCAAATAACAGCTCCCACACGCCTGCTGCAGCCTACCGCGCCTCCAGGGTGCTGTTCTCTCCCGCTCCGTTCTATCTACACTAAGCCGGATCGAAGTAATCGCGAGTTAGTTCTCCTGAACTTGGAGGCACATTGCACCTTGGAACTTCGGTGTGGCCGAGGCTTGCTTCGGGCTAGCATTGTTCTTTTTTGGAATGAGCTGGCGCTATAATCTCTCCTAGTTCTGGTGTACCTAACACCCTTTTCCGATTGATGAGCAAGTTAGTCCCTGATGGATTGAGCTGTGTGATATTCCCTACTTTATGCGGTGTTGGGTTAGGCTCATGAGATGCATCATTCGGTATGCAATGTCGTAGGGCGTGCATGTCTACGGGCTATCGAGGTACGTGCCGCGTCTACTTTGTGGAGGCTACGTAGTTCATGTGGGACTACGAATGGAGGTTCCTTGTTCGAACGGTCCAGGAATCGCAAATCCCTAGGGACGACAACGTGTCGGCCCCACATCCGAACGTTCCGAGTGTGGTTTGAATTGCCAAGATGCCTGCTTCGTTCGCCTAGTATAATTGCATTTACTCGCTGGGTGCTTTGCAAGCTGGCAAATAGCGTTCGACGGGCCGTCCCGAGAGATTGGTACTGAAATGACGATGGTCATTGCCCCACAAACTATTGGCGGCACTGTCTCAAACGCGATAGACCGTCGCCGACGCAACATAGGGCAGTTGAGCGGCCGCTCAATTATTGGACTCTCATTACAATCAAGCAAAAGTTCTCCTTCCTAGTCTAGCCACGTCATTCTGCCACTCTCGACTAGATTTAGACCTCCGGCATACATCGACCCTTATTGCCGAGATAATTCATGACTTTTGTCGGGCCCTAGTCACTGTCCACGTTAGCCACACATGTGGATTCGTCGTGCCTCTCCATATGGCGTAGTACTATCGACCAATCATATCCCAGTTTGTCCCTGCGTTACTCTTTATGGGAGCTCCTGCCATACGAATTTCCCGGTCCCTTCTTTGCTCTCCAGCAGACCAGTCGAGTGCATTGGCAATCCCCAAAGACAAATGACCTAAGCTCCTCGCAATCGGGTTGCGATAAGACCGGATCTCGAATGTAACCGCAGCCCAGCACCTACTACATCAAACATATGATGTGCCTCTCCGAACGCCTCTCGGAGGCTGGCGTCGAAAATGCGCGGATGGACCCACTGGAAGAAACTTGTCCAATAGAGAATCTCGGGCGGGATGCCGCAGACCAATTTTGAGAGCGTCCCCCACCGTGATTCGAGGAAGATGTTCCGTGCAAGACGATCAAACACCTGGAAGCGGGCTGACACCCACCCCGCACTTGCCAGCCTCAGGACAATCAAACCAGCTGCCAAGTCGTTAGTATCTACACGTCGATCTTGTCCGAAGATAGAGAATTTGGAATAACCCACTGGAACTAGAACCCACAGATAAATCCACAATGTCCTGTATGGTGCATTCAGGCCCGAAGTGCTCCTGGATCAGCAGGGGTATTCCATCGGGATTCCCCAGGGACTCCTCCGCTGTTAAGGGCTGGGATGGTGCACTTCATGCTGGGGCGCTTTTAAAATTATAACCAAGATACAATGGGATGATCGATTATGTTGAATTGTTGACTGGCTGATTATTTCCTTCGGTTGAGCAAGGCGATGAAGTGCTGGATTAGTCAACACCCACGGCCACAGTCGAGGCTCATGTCACGATCATGGTCCGGGTGCAATCGTCTGGTCTTGGCAGGATGAAGATCGGCGGCTAAGCCGAGGTCAAGAGCCTGGGTTCTTTGACTGCTTTGTTCCCATCCTATTCTGTTCCCATTTGGTTCTCCTTTCACCGTCGAGAACAAGTCTGAACGAATGTATAATCTCTGTGACGTGACCAATAGGCAAACTCGATGGCCGCTGCTCCTGGCCAGGTGCATACGGAAGGATGGGCTCGGTGAGTTTAAAATGACCAACCTGATAGCGTTAAGTCGTGGTCAGAGCGATCGACGTTCCATTTGAACGCTCGCACGGACAAGTTGGCGGCCACTGATGACCAGCCGGCTAGCGTCATAATGAGGCTAGCTAGGATGGCTTGTGGCTGGCAGCTAAAAACTGAACCGGAAATGACGCATCAGTCCTGACATCACGATGAAGCTTTCCCAGGCGCATCCACATGCCCACCGTGCAGCCCGACCACCACAGTCTACCGTTCTACAACATCCATAACCACATATACTGCGCTTCGCATAAGTCCGTGACGGACGCTCGTGGACGCTGCTACTGTCAGTAGATACATTATCAGCAAAGAAGAGTGACTGACTTCGTAAACTCCGTTTGCGTTTTCTCCCATAAAGCACCTAGATTTACGATCCACGAGATGGTAACTCTGGCGATATTGCATTCATACTACTAGCCAGAGAATGGATGATAACTATTCGAACGTTGGACATAAAGTAGACGCGAGCAAAGGCGTGAACTGTTAACGTAGCCATTGCATTCACTTGGGCAACTTGTACTCGCCATTTTCCCCGGCTTCTGGACCCAAGTGGTCTCCATCCCACAGCCGGACGGGTAATTCAGAAAGGTTTGCCCATGTTTCAGAGCGTCATAGCCCTGGAGCGATCTGGGAATAGCTCATCGTGGGTTTGAAGATGCCCACCATGCCATGCCCACCTCGGCCATTATGGCCGAATCAACTAGTCCAGTGGGGAACTTTCGGTCACTTTTGACCATCGAGTCGCAAGTTGATCATGGCCGGTCGACAGCCCGTGACCCTCCAGCCACCATCCGTCTCTGGGCAATTGGATCCGGCGATACCCAGCGGAGACGGCTAAAGATTTTGTGTTGAACCTGAAAGACCGTTTGTGTTTCTGCTACATGACATGCCCGCCTCCTACGGATGAGGGGAGGAGGCTGGGAACTAGCGCTGCACAATTGGTCTTGCTGGTTCACCAAAGGACTGAAGATATAAGGCCGGTACCACCACCCAGTTCTGTTGATTTTAGAGCCAGGCTTCCTGGCCTCATTCACTGAATGTGCTAAGCACAAAAGTGTCTTTATGGTATATCCTTGCGGATTACCGTTTGTACTTTTTGCAACCTTCACAGGTATGGTGGCCCTGTGTTGTATCTTCCCCTTCGCAGGTATGGTGGCCCTGTGTTGTATCTTCCCCTTCACAGGGATGGTGTTCCTGTGTTGCATTTGTCCCCGACATGGCCTTGGGCCCTATGTTGTATAGCCTGTGCCCTGGGCCATCACTACGATGGATCTCCCACCCCAGCGAAAGGCAGACACCTCTACGCGGTGCTGGGGACCAGTACATGTCCATCACCTGATGGCCCTGGAAGCAAAGATCTGCCAGATCCCGTACCGATTCGTTTATAGTTTAATAATATTGCATCACTGCACTTAAGAAGATCCAAAATACGACTTGTAACTAAGCAGCCGCACGATGACGAGTTCGACCGAAATCGCCCTTTCGTATGTACAGCATACTGTAAAGTAGTTCTACACTTACACTTCTGTAACGTAATTGAGGCACCTCCATCTGATTTCTACTACTATGTAAGTTCCTAGAGCCTTTATCAACAGAACAATTGCGTCTTTTTAGAAGAATTGATTAGGAACTTGATTCGGGCATTGTAAATGCCCACGTCCTAGATTATGATACTCACTGCAGCGTGGTGGTACCCATCCGTGTGGTCCACTGCAGGCTTTGTATCTCTAGGCATAGAGTCGTAAGCTTTAAGAGGTCTTATTATCTCGCTGAAATTGTTTCTGGCCCTCCTCGTGGATAGAAGGGTTTTCTGTAGTAGCGAGCTGTTTGGTAGGCTGTTTCGCTTTTGAAACTGTCTCATCTACAGCTCGTAAAACATGGTTTTTATATATTAACAGGTTATCGGTATAAATTGCTATTCGTTGCTATTTCACATCCTCGAATGAGATGAACTAGTGCCGCTTTCGTAAGAGAGGAAGCACCCGAGGGCAATATGCGCTAACCGCTTCTAATGCTGCTTTTGCAATTTGCGTAGTCTGTTGATTCGATAGCGGGAATTGATAATGAATCTTTTCCCTCCTGCTATGCTACATACGGTAGAATACATGAACCCTTTTTCTCAGAGGACTAAGGCTCCGGTGTTGCGGTCTAATCTCATCATATACTTGTCCTTCACAAAAAAATGGAAATAAGTATTTGAAACCAATTGTCTTCGGTGCACCTTCGCCCAAGTCTTCAATTATTTGGTAGACGTGCATCTTTCAGCCCTTTCGCCTCCCAGCCGGCGACCTTGTGCTAGTGTCCCCATCCAAACCTAGCGCTTTCTGGAGTAGATCAAGCGCCCAGCTCAACTGCCTGTTCCACTGTTTCTGTTCATCTATACTATTCTCCAGTACCCTGTTGCAAATTGTCAGCTCCTAACATACGTCATCGGGCTCCATCCAAACTGTGGTCTTCTATTATTCTTCTGTTTTCACAGTATGAAGAAAAAGAATAATGAGACGGGAAGATCCTAAGATGTCATCTGACGTACTCCGTTCGGTCATTTAGCCTGAAATATGATTAACGAGGATTCCTAAATACGTGCCCATCACGACAATGATTGGAAGCTATACTCTTTCAGGAGTAACGAGAACTCTCCGTGATGATCTCCGACATCGTTCACTTGATTGACAACCTCATTCCCCTCGTTTTGAATGCTATCGAACCATTGATATTCTCCGGGATCGGCAGGCTCTTCGACGGGCCAATCTGCGTGCAACTGGTTTGATAGTTGATTGGCCTGTTGAGACCGCGTTCCTAGTATCTCTCGAAGAGCTTCAAGTCTCTTAAACGAAGTTCCCGGGACATGGTTCCATTCAGAATTCCAATTGGACATCTGGTGCGTTAGCTTTCAAGTGCAAGACAGAAAAGAGAATGAATCGGCTAGGTGGCCGGGGAAGGGTGAAATAACTAGTCTGACCGTTTCGCGGAGATGAATAGAAGGCGCTCCTAATCGCTCGGTGTTTAAGCTCAGATGTCTCCGAATCAAACAGCTTGTAGTTGGCCGGTACGCAGCAAAATGGTGCCTGTGCCAAGAGTATTGTAATCCACGGGTCCTTCTTTCCGTTCCTCATGAATACCCGCTTTGGCAATCGACACCTGTGTGGCATTTTGTTACTCCCCACGGAAGATGGCTTTTCTCAAACCTCCATGCATGGGGGTACATTCTCAAACATTGGGTCTGTTTCGGAAAAGAAAGGATCTGATGCTAATGTGCAGTGCGTCGGCTATACCTATGGTGATATGTTCGGACATCTTGCCGCCCCTGGCGTAGATCCACAGTGCTTACCCAACGGTCAATCTGCAATATAAACACATCGTGTAAACTAGTCGTTATTTGAATACAGCTACGTTCCACAGCCTGGGGACTATGATATCCAAGTCAGAAAGTATACGAATACAATTGTTATTCTTGATGTACAGCCTGTAGCAAGATCGAATCCGAGCAATCTTAGCCATGCGCCCCCTGTTCCACACATCTGCCATGAGAATCGCAGCATCTGATAACTTTCTGACACGGAGGCCAGTCACATTGTCTTGTCGGATTTAATCGGGAGACTCCAGCATTTCACCCGTCGGGCACGTGGAAAGGAACCGGGGTCCATCCAGTGGAAGCCCATCCCAAAGAGAAGAATCGTCCATACTGGCTTCTTCGAACGTCCAGCCATCCGAACAGTCATGCTTGCAACAGCATAGCCGCCTTGCTGGCCGATCCCTCTCCCCATTCTTCCGGCGAACTAGGAACTGTTGCTGACGATACCGACCCTGATGAGAAAAGTCCCCGAAGGCCAGGATTTGCAGGGAGGGTAATCCGGTTGGACTGAACGCCCACTGAGAAAACGAAACAAACTCCCGAGCTTCCACATTAACCGGGCCCGACCGGACATGTCGCTGCTCGGTTGCAGTCCAGGTAAAAGGCGAAAAGATCCGATATCGAGCGGAGGTGTGGCGATTATGCCGGCTGGTAGAGTGACTTTGGCCCCCTGCCCTGTGTAATTCAGACATGATTTCACGCCGGATATTGCGATGGGCTCTCTCTTCTCCACTGAATCGGACGTGGAGCAGTTGTATTGACGAGCGCTCTGCGACATGGACGAAGAGATTATGCTGCTCTGGTCAGTGGTATGGCTTTCATGCAGGGCGTTGTACTTACCGCAATGAGCGGGGTCAGACATAAACCTAACGCGGTCAATGAGCAGTGCTGGAGGACCTGGGGAATGTCACGGGTCCACCGTGGGGAGACATCACGAATGTCCTCGAAGAGTCCCTCCTCGTCCACCGCAATTAGCTGACGCTCATGGAAGCTCAAGGACCTCAAGGACGATCGGTGGTGGAGGATGGCTTCTTGAAACCCTGGAAGAAACCGAGGGAAGTTGGCCAGCTTGATGTGCAGGTGCTGCAGACCACGGAAGGAGAGTAAAAGTTCCACGATGGCTATATAGACGAGTCGGTTATCTGATTCGTGGAATAGGTCGCTGTTGATCTCGAGCCACTTTAACGGCGGAGGGCTCCCCATCTGCGCCAGTAGCCACAGAAAGTGCAGCTGATTGCCACATTGAAGCAGGCGCAGCTCCTGCAGCGACTGAAATGAGAGACTTCGCGTGGACGCTGATAGCTCGCTCGGGAAATGCACGTTCGAGAGGGATAGCGAAGATAGCGATGAAAACGGATTGGGTGGGTATGGTTGATGGGAGAGTTCTAGCCAGGGCTGAGTGAGCTCGGGAACAGTCAGGTGGTGATCCGCACCAGACAGCAGGCACCCAATTTGCAGTTTGCGCAGATGGCTCTGGTTCTGTCGCAGGCATTCTCGCAGGATCTCGATCTCCCAGCGATGCCGAATGCCCTCCCACATTATCTCCGCTAATGATGTCAATGTTGATAAGCCTCCAAAACCCTGTCCTGCATGCGGGCACGTTCCGTCAGTCATCAGCGAAACCCGTTTGATATCTCTCTGATGATGGATCAGATACCCGTTCGAATCGAGTATGCCCGTGGGCATGCAGGTGCCTAGGTGCCAGCTGTCTCCGTTAGTATGCATAAATGCTAGGAGTGTAAGGCCGCACCAGAATGAGTGAAGTGTGTCAGTTTTGAACAGGGCGAAAATCTGGCCCAACTGAGCGGAGAGGTCTGCCATGAAGCTTTCATGGGCAGTCGGTTCAGGTGGACTTCCCAGGAATGACTGGCCGTGTGACACAGGGGCAAGGCGGGGTGTTGTGTGGTACATGCAGCGGTGGAATCTTGCGATCTGGATTGGAGCCTCTATAACGACCCGCCTGGCGTGTTGCAGAAGCTGGGCGGTCCGTGGGTTGCCATGTTTCCTGAAGAATGCACCAATGTTGAGATCATTCAGAGCCCATTCAGAGCCCGCGCCAAACCGAACCGATTCGTACACTCGGGGTATTAAGACAACGCGCAATCCTGTGGAAGCCTGACTCATCGATCGAACGGCATGCCATGGTAGCTGATATATAATTAGCATCTGTATAGGTGAGAATTGGAGAAGGCGATAGACGCACCAAATCAGCAACCATGTAGAGAATCTCCAATGGTAAGGCGTGCAACATGGCGGCCGGGCTGTGTAGCTTCCGTCCCCGAATATGGGCTCCATTACGCTTATAAAGGGAGTTATATATTCGCAGAATATTGGATATCATATCATTTCGTAGAGATCGGGTAAATGGCTGCTCGGGGGATTGATCCTAGCCTCGAGATGATGCATTACCGCTTAACCGCGCTACTACGGTGAATCGGGGGATACGAAAATGCATTGTGCACCTTCTCCGAGAAATCAATTGGCACTGATCTTTCACTCTGTTACTATCTATCCTGTGTGTATGCGGGCTGATCCGAGGTAAACAGTACCGACCGAATTTCATATCGTAACTTCGGCTCAAATTCTACACAGCGACAATAAATCCCTGAGTTTCTAAATACAGATCCTTGCGACAGGTCCATGACTCGGCACACCGGTGCTGGAATACCGATGAGCATTTCCCAAGGTTTGAGCGCACCAAATAGCGATTAAACTGCGTCCTTAATCAGATAGTCTTAGGCATCAGTTAGGCTTGGGGGCCAGGTCGTGTCCTGGGGGCCGTTGGCGAGGTCTGGTTTTTGCCCGGAGCGGGTATAGGAGAGCTTCGGGATCGCCTTGGCCGAAGCCGCCTCAGCCAGTCCTGACGTACTTGCTCTTGCGCTTTGGCTTTTCGAGCCCTTTTTTGCTTTTCGATGCTGGACCGCCAAAGAGCCCACCATACCAGCTCAGGAGCTTCCCGGCGTGACTCTGTAGGGGGGATGGTGCAGGGCGTTCGGATACGCCCTGCTGTGGATCTCATTCGTTGAGGACCCATGCCGTCCAGTGTTTGTAGAGATAGCCAATGTAGCAATATGGAACGAGGGTAATGCTGATGCCACTCCTGCAAAAGCGGTTAAGAAGTTTCCGCAAGAACTCTGATAATTGTCCCGGCGTCCGGCCTGTTATATGTAACTGTTGGAACGAGTTTATGTGCAGTCAATTTGGACTGGGTGTAGACCACGTGCGGAAGATTATACCGACAGTAGTTCCAGATGTGCCTAGAGTACTTGGTTGCCCATCAAAAGCGAGTGGTGCTTTTATGGAACCCGTACTTGGCCCGAACTTTCTGCTGGGGACAGTTCGTCAAAAGACTAACGCCTACTATAATGTGATACGCGCCTGGTTGGATGATGTTTGCATTAGGAACTCTTTGGGCCCTACAGTATCTTTAAGATGCCAGTCATTGCGGCAGTGTCCGCTACGTGTCGGCCTTGCAGTCACTAAGTCCTTAATTCTAGACATGAAAATAAACATGTAGTTCCTTGTGTAAACTGAGTGCTATTCATGATCTTTTCTCTGACTCCCAATTGAATCAACCGACAAACGTTACTAGAGGAATAATTGTTGGAATACACTAGCAGTGCAGCCCACCGTCGAACCCACGGTCCGAGCTGTTATTACTCAAAACTGGCGAGCCGCGGGATATTCCCTGCCGGTCGACTTGCTCTGCCATTGGGTTTTCGCTACCCTCCGAACCCAAGGAGGCATTTAAAATCTCAACGTATACTATCGTGAACCGATTATACCGGGTGACAATTGAACCGTGGTCTCCTTGTATTTCAAAGGCAGTTGAATTGGTTGGAGGCAACTGTGACCGGGGACGGGTCCTGATAGCCACTGCTAGCTTGGAACCCGGGCAAGGAATACAGATACCCGCTAGCAAGTTTTCATTTAGATTTAACCGTATTTATTCTTGATTCAGACCAACTTGATCCGGGAAAATTTCTTTGCCTAGTTCCTTAGCATGCCACGGCTTAGTAGTGTAACTACACCGTGCAGAGAATAAAACGGCTTTCTCTACTATTGTAATTAATAGCCCCGTTCTCAAAAGCTAGGACGACAGGCCTTAGAACCGAGCCGAGAGTTTAGGATATGCGACGTAGGCTTTAAGCACCAGTTTCATAAGATAGGTCCAGCGGCATCCTCCGTCTGCCTAAAGGTTGCCAAATTGAAATTACTAGATCAGTTCCGTAAATTCACCGCTCGAATCAAGGGAAATATGGTTATTGTCAGGGGTTCTACAAGAAAAAGTCCGGGTATGTGGGCGCGAAGGAGAGCAGCATAGGAGGCCGTCTGCAAGTAAAGAAAAAAAAAATAAAGGTTCTGGGGCCGGGCAGTCGCTCCGCGTGCAATTCGCGTGCAACTGCCTCCTCGCCCTTCGTTGATTGCCCGGGCATTATTTTGCTTCGATGGGGTGGACCCACTTTGACTTACCCTGAGCTGGGCATCAGCCCATCTATAACAAAAAGAACCAGAAATGGAAATATCCCATCCCAAATGACTGACTCCCGTCACGCTACCGGGGTACGTACTTAGCAAAAGTCTACCCCGCGATGTACAAATGGAAATTCTATCCCGCGAAAATAACCATGTATGGTGGTCAGAAGAAGACGGATGCAGTTAAAGATAACCGGGCAAACGACGAGCATTTCTGACGATCCCCTAGTTCCACTCCATTTTGCCCGGGCAATTACCTAAGGTCAGGATGATCAATGGCGTTCGGGCGTGATATACTCGGGTATCTGCAATGACTTACTATCCATGCCACTAGGATGAGTTGACCGGTCGACGGTTGGAATATACCGCTGAGGTGATTTTGTTTCGTGTCTCTGCCAACATGTGACTTACGTAAAGTGGCTGCCACTTGACCAGCACTCTGACATGACACGTTCTGTTATCGACGCACTCGCTTCGGATCGAAAGCCCAAGACATACCCGGGCATCTGACCGCGCTTATCGCAAGGGATCTCTCGCAGTGATAATCCTACTCTTCAACTGGGCCTCTCTATAATTGTGAAGGGCAACATTATTACATTCCCGTGGTGGAAAGCCCGCGGAGTAGGTAAGGGGATGTGTCCAATCACCGGAAACGGGGAAGGCAGATCTTAGACCATCTGGAGTAGTAAGAATGCCGACAGCATTTCTTATAACGAGGAGGCATTGAGCCATTTAGTATCTTATGAGCACCGCAGCTCTACGATTCTAGTATATAAAGCTCAACATCAACCATTTGCCACCCAGCCTCTGCTCCTCGTATCCAAGCAGTTCACCTCGTTCCCTCCCTTCAAAGAAAATAAACGCCCATATTCATTCGAAAGCCTTACCCCAATTGACTGGTCCGAATAGCCCGATAGAACGATGTCTCAGCCTGTTGTCCATCGTCCGGAGACACCGACCCTCCAGCCGAATTCCCTTCAAGCACTTCATCCCAGCGTTTTACCTGAATACGCTGACGCACCGTCCGATTCCTCAGCCTCGACATCGGAGTGCCCGTGCTGTACGCCGTCCCCATTGCCAGACCTAAAGGATCTCGGCCAAGCTATCCCAGAATGCAGACTCGACACACTGGAGGGCCAGTTCCAGGATTCTGTGAGCTTTCAACCGACTACTGAATTCAGTACCCAAGCTGTGGCAATTGTCCCTCACGACCAACAGGCCAATGGTTACTGGTTGCTAGTCAACTTACTCTGTCATCGGGTATTCGATAAATGTGGAGATCGTTCTAAGATCCGAAATTTCAGCGTGTTCTATTATGGGAAGTTTGGCCCTGGCGACCTCCTGATGGCCGTCTCACGGAAGATTACCCGGGATGGACCGACCTGGCTCGAGGCTACGGTCACCCGAGGAGGCATACTGGTGGCTACCGCAACCGCTTTGTACGATAAGATTCACTCTGACACTATGGACGACGCGCAGGTTCAGGAAGCCAACCAACGCTGAGCTATTGGGTATCTGATAGGGTTTGCAAGTTACCTGTTGCAAAAAGGAAAAATGGTAGATTTTACTTTCGGATGGCTAGCTTCTAGGCAGACTCGACGAATGTGCATGGAATGGATAGATAGTGAACGCCAGAACGATTCAACCTCAACTAATCAATACCGTTCACATATAACGCAACGAAATCTTATCTTTAGCGCGTAGATGCCCTTTCATATGGCTACTAATAAAATATCATACTCATCACCGTGTCGTATGGGTGGAGCTTGATTTGACGTAACACCACGAGTCCTTGCACTTCCCCAGGAGCTACTAGTATTAGTTAGACGGCGCTTTGGAATAATTGAATCAACTAATCATCTGCCCAACACCAGGCACATCAAGCTCATCAGGCTTCAAAAAGAGCAACACAAATATAGGCGGTTTCTGGCTTTTCAGACAAAGGCCGCACTTGTGCCATGCAGGGCGAGCGAATTATGCTTACTGAGCATAATACCGAACGAACAACCGCTTTGTCTCTGCCCATGGGCTCGGAGGGACCATATCATGCGGGAATCTTCCATCGTGCGTCATGGCGCATCTATCGGCTCCGGCCTTCAATAACTCGGCGACTGCCTCCCAAGATCCTCTTTCAATTAGCCTGTGCAATGCTGTGTAACCCGAATGGTCTCGAGAATTGACGTCCGCCCCGTTCACAATGAGCAAGGAACATAGCTCTTGCCCCTGATATCCAAAACAGTCCTGCCCGACATGATGCAGAGGTGGCCGCCCCTGGCTGTCCCTCAGGTTTACCAGAGCCCCATACTCAAGTAGCATAGTAGCCAATCCGACATATCCTCTTCGCACAGCAAGAGAAATAGGCGTCAACCCTTCCAAATTCTGAAAGTTGACATAGGCCCCCAGCGATAGAAGGGTCTGGACGCATTCTTCTCTGCTTTCCCGCTCGATCCCCATCTGTCCCCTGCTTCGGATGGCACTGAAAATCGGTGTTTCCTTCATCGTTCCTTCAACACCATTCACGTCGACCCCTTCGCTGACGAGCCAGTTCAACATATCCGGACTACAGCTCAATGACGACGCGGCTAGGTGAAGCGCTGTTTTACCCTCGGCGTCTCTCGCCATCATGTTGGAACCGCTCTCGAGGAGTGTCTGCGCTTGTTTGATGGCCCCCTTCGAGATTGCGAATAATAGAGGGGACTTCTGCTCAGAGTTCACAGCATTGACGTGGGCTCCGTGGCTGATTAGGGCCCGGATAATGGCTGTGTTATCCTTCCTGCGGCTTCGCGGCTTTGTCGCAGCATAGAAAAGAGCAGTCGGTCTTTCTCTATACCGGTGCGTTCCTCTGAAATTCGGATCGGCACCATAACGTAGCAATACGCGCACCGCGCGTACGCACGAATTGGCAGTTGCTACCTGGAGTGGTGTCATTCCGAAGCCATTCTGAGAATCCGCTGGCACACCAGCCTTTATCAACATCCAAATTATCGCCGGAGCTGCGTTATTCGAAGCAGCGACATGTAAGAGCGTATTTCTGTCCCTCAAGGTATTAGGGTTAGCCCCATGCTCCAAAAGCAATGCCACTTTGGATTCCTGGTTAGTCCGGATTGCCTCCGTCAGCGGAGAACGCTTCTCAAACGCCAAAGCGTTCGGCCTAGCACCGGAATCCAGGAGAGCTTTGGTGATCGCCATGTCGGTCCGGCTACTGGTCGCCACAGACAATGGCCTTCGGGCGCGCAGGTCGGCAGCGTCTGGCAGCGCTCCATTCCCCAGGAGAAGGCGCACAACATGGGTATGCTTATGCAACACAGCTTCTATGAGTGCTGTCGACTGGACCTCATTCGGCGATCGGACGTTGATGTCAGCGCCTGCATCCAGCATTCTGCTTATCCCACGGTCGCACCCCCAAACTGCGTACCATATAAGGGCTGACCCTCCGTCAGATGTGATATTTCTTTGATACAGATCGTCGATGAGGATGTTAAAGAGGTTTTTGTTACCTCTTAAGAGGCTGTAAAGGTCCTTTATCGACGCCAGTTGGTCCGCAATGTGCGATACAATCTCAGGCGGAAGAGCGTGAAAGGGCATTGTGTAGGACTCCCCTATATGTCCATAATTGGTAAGCCCACAGTTGATTCCATCATACAATAAGAACAAGGGTGCTCGCTCTCACCTCGTTCCCGCTCCGTAGCTCAAAAATACTAAGATGGCATTCACAGATTGCCGAGGTAACCGCCTGGTATTTATATATTTGGTTGAGACCTCACCCTTGATAGCGCTAGCGTTTCATAGCACTAGGTTTCCATAGGCTTATGTATTCTTTTCACCGGTGTGTTGAGTGTATAAAACAAAATTAGGTCTTCCTGTTTGCAGATCGAGGGGTTACAGTAATCGAACGCTACCCCGAGGAACTTCTTAACACTCCCTTTTCTATCAGAGTTTCCCACTGGTGGATTCAGCGATAAGTTGGGACCCTATCTAACGTCAGATACTATGACCCAGGGGCGTGTTGCGCCTTCTGCACGCTCCTTTAACATGGGACACAGATCGTTATGACCGGGCATTTTGTGTGGGCATTTACTTGCTCTGCTGTACAGGAATAGGAATGGCTTCTTAATAGGAATGATACACGCTGCAATCATTTTTGGATCTGCTCATTATATCAGTTGCCCTACAGGACCCCGCGGCCGGTATTGACAGACAGTCCTGAAGTTGCTCGCCCCAATATACTTTCCAATTTGTGGGCTTATAAGATACTCGGGAAATGCTCATATTGCCAGGGAACAGTGACCAAACAGATAATAAGACCCAGCGAGATGAGCCCATGACGTAAAGCATTGGTTTGTATAGAAATGCCCGGTAGTGGCCCCCTGCTGTTGCATAGTTGTAGCCGAGTTCACGAGTAGCATTGCTATCACCAAAGCACGTTCATGAGGACTATTTCACTTGGTTCACTGGGCGTCTGCTGGTACACCCTACCCTTGTCATCCACAGTAGCACGCTGCCCTGCAATAACCACCCACTCGATCACCATATCGCTTTGGCTCGCGGACTGACGATCGCGCTGGACACTACGCGAGTTCGACTCCAAGACGTCAAACAAGCTCGGAAACGGTTTGTTCCCAAGGTTTGAAGGACGAGAGAGCAATGGGAGCAGCAGAAGCGAGGGGATCAATTATAGGTGCACTGTCTGCATATTTTTCAGTGTCTAACCGCCGTCGTAATTGACGTATCCCAGGGGTTGTCGCTACTCCCGTAATTCGAGCTTGAAGTGAAGCTGGCCGCCCACTGTCGCGTTTGGAGAGCCGCCCCGGAACTACGAAACGCACTACGGCAAGCTTAGGGGCACGAGCCCGTGGGGAATATGAAATGAAAGCAGCAATAGAATGTGCCGAGTATAGGAATGCCTCTGTCCTCGGGGGCCTGATAAATCCTCCCTGATCACGGATTGTCGAGGAGTACCCATCCAGAACTTGCATGCTACAGAAAAGGCGCTGCATACTGTGTAGCAGAATGAACAAGGCTGGGAATGGCCAATCTACATATGCTTCCCATTAAATGAGGCTCTAGATTCCTCGTGCCTTCCTATTCCAGGCCCAAATGCCTGCGTGCGTAACGCATGTCCGCATCCGAGATTTGTTTTCCTCGCTGTAGATATAACATTATGTCCTCCATCGTAGCGGATGCCGTTCTTACCCGCCACACCCGCCGCCCCATGAACCGTTTGACCTCATCCACAGCATCCGACTCGAGATGGGGAAAGACACCGATGAGCTGGTTGAGTGTGACGGGTCTTTCGTGCGACAGCCCAGGCCAGAGCGACCGCCACCATCGTCGTTCCATTCGCATCGCCGCACTCCTAAGCCGGTCGGCCGTAGTGTAAGGGTATTGTCCGGCCGGGTCCCAGACATCCCATAATGGACGGAGTCGGCGACTGAGACTCCTACGCTGTGGACTCGATACACCTAAGAGCCCTGGCAGTATATCCGGCGTGACGATGTGACGAAGCGTGCGATGCGATCCGGAGGCGGCCGGCTTTGGGCACTCCATCATGAGCCGATTGTGCTCCACCGCCCACTGGGCCAGTGCCATCTGTGTCGGACGGAGATCGGGCACCACACGCTGCAACCAGTCCGCGGTGAAAGGCCCATAGATCCGGAGTCGTGCAAAGGTCACCTCTTCGTACGTGAGACCCCACATTCGTTCGACCAGTGTGACCAACGTAAAGGAGGAATCCTGAAAGATTCGTGCTTCGTCGATCCACAGCTGCGCACACTCGAGCTGTGCTGGGGACAAGCATGGCAACACTATTCGGACATGATCCAAGACGAGTGGAGGACGTAGACTGGCCGATAATTCTGGTAAGGGTTGCGGAGAAGCTGTCATTGTCATGCACAATAGTTAGCCCAGTAAAGTCCAATACAGCAGCAAGGGAAGAACGTCGCTTAATGTAAAGCCCTCAGCTGGCCATAGTACGGGCAATTATGAGAGCAAGGGAAGTTTCAATCTTTAGCCTACATGGCTAGAAACTTAGCTATAAGAACAGCATTCTAATCTCGTGTTCACTCGCTGCAAAAGGCATAAAAAAGCGGGCTTTTCCAAAGATCCTTGCCCGTCTATCTCGCGCGTGCAACCGGGCCTCTCGCCAAGTGCGCATGATCACGAAAGTGATGAACTGTTGAATGCTCAACGGTAGAGATAGCATCACCAGAACAAGGGTCGAGGACATCCCCATCCGAATGCAAATGGAATATCTCTCTGTAAGAGCTCGTATCAAATTGGCACCCTTGGCCACCTCATTTGGGGCTTCGGTCATTTGGGGCTTCGGCTCGGTCATGGTTCTCAGCTTCCGCATTCCCAGTTGAAAGTGCGCGTAGTAGTTCCAATATAACCTTGATCATCTGCGGCACCAGGAATTCCCCAATGAAGGAATCCTCAAGACCTGTCTCGCTAGCATGAATGCTCCCCAATCACGGTAGACCGCGATTTCTTTCTGCCCTTCATTGCCTACAAGGCGTCGTGTCGGATTTTCCAATCACTATATGCTCCATTGTTTAACCGCGAAATTCGCCGAAATTCCAAACTACGACGGTCCCCTCCGCTACACAGTGAGAGGTTCTTATTGACATTGGCGCCAATGATAATATTCACCCCCCCCAGCCTCGGTGAAATACATACACCAACTACCATACGTACTGTAACTAGCCTATTACCAAACATATTATAAACTGCCGGTGAATGGTGTGTTTGATTCTGGTGGGTCTTTTCACAAGAGCCTGCATCTGCCCATATTCTTCCGTTCTCAATCGCTCCAGTTAAAGCAGGCCATGAGGTATCTCAATAGGAAGATGGGCTTTAGACCGCAGGGAATCAAGATTTGCGCCGCGATCTAACCGGCAGGACTCTATCCTGTTGTCTTGATAGCCAATCCCATAGATGACTTTGGCGTCCAAGGACCTTCAGAGACGGCACTGGTGGTAACGTGATGTCGGCCGCACATGTCGGCCCATAATCCGCCGGTGCTTTGTGCACAGTTGGTTGGGGTCGTTCCCGCTGAATCCATCAATATAGAATCTTATTGCAGGCAGCCGGAAACTCACAATGTCACAGTCAGTTGGGGCAGGAATGTAAGGATGGGATCGATACGTGTAAATCCGGCCATTTGGCATCTCCAGTATGGTCCAACTGCGGATCCCGTACAGCCGCCAGAAATCATTATGGCGACGGAGGAGATTATTGCGCCGTTTGCGAATTTGTTCCTGCTTCCCCCGATTCTGTGAAGACACCATCTACGCATACCGCAGAATTATCGCAGGGTAGAAACGAGTGCACGAGCGTCCGGACTATATAAATTCATAGCCTTGTGGTTATGTGGGGACGGCTACCAGCCCGCTAGTAATGGCCGCCTAGGTGTAGATGCATGCGGGTTGAATCGAAAGCTTCACCGTGCAATCAGGAAAAGAAAGAGGTCGAGTGGGCTCTCCCCAATCTTACCCTTTCGTAGGATATTGAGGTCTGATGGCTGAGCGTCATTTGTACCAGAAAATTGATTAAATCGTCTGCCGACTCTGACACTGAGATAGCTGCTACGCATGTCGCCCATGCTCATATGACCGGTACCGGAGTGTGGAAGGCAACATATTATTCCCCCTCCCATCGCGCTGGGTTCAAATCTTGGACGCTAATACAATCACCAACAGCTCCTTACCATAGAGCCATCGGTGTCGGTAATCTCCCCTATCTATCGTGTGCCGTTATGTTTGTCAATTTGTCTCATGCACTATCCAACATATTATCAGATTCTAGACTGTCATCCTAGCTCAAGACATATGTCGCCCGGAACTCAGCATCCAGTTCCCTTTGCCGGTCAAACACGGTATATAGAGATGCTTTTAGAGGTAGATTACATGCCTTGGACGTACAACGCTATAGCCAGCATAGCACATTGGACCTTGCTCGCCGGGTATCTCATAGCCCCTGGGACGTTCACGGCTCTACAGAAGTCTGGTCAGGTCCAGAACGCTCTGGCAAAGGACCAAGTCGGACAGGCAGTGCTAAATACCATCCAAAACCCCCCACTTTTGGCGATTGCCTGTATCCTGTTTGTTGTGTCTACAGCAACACTAGGATGGCTCTACTGGGAATGGCGTAACAATTACATCTGGCTCGCTCATCGACACTTCACGTAAGCGGCCCTTCCTTTTCCCGCTTTGCGTGAAGCGACCAGACTCGACCCGAGCCCAGGCCCATCATCATGAACGCAGCTGCCGGGCTTACCACCACTCTCATCAATATCTACACCGCGCGATGGCGATTGGTCTATCATGGCCTTGATCACCACTATTATAACCGGAGTCACACTGGTGACGTCTTTCTCGCTGGCAATGGTATTCAAGTTCATCAAACTCAAAGAGGTGCAAGAAGCCCACGTGCGTGAAGTGTATCACAGTGATCCAGAGCGAAATGCCTGAATCATGGGGCTCAGTGTTTCCGCCAGCAAACGGACGCACCAATTCTGTCCATTTACGTGCGGCGACTAGCCTTCCTACGTTGAAACTGTCCTTTTTGTCCTCCCAGTGAGCCAACTTCATTGTCTCTGTGGGCTTGGTGTTGCACGGTGAAAACAAGAAAATCGGCACATTGATGGCTAAACAGAATAGCTTGACTTTAAGGAATAGCTGGCACTTCCTCCGAGGGCACAATCCATGGACATTGCAGTAACCTGCCCAGATGAACGCAAAAAAAAAAAAAAGGCTTCCAACAATGCTTGTCCACTGCAGATCACCCGCTGACAGCACGGTTGCTTGGCCGATAAATCGCCGAAGTTTGGCCATGGCTTTTGAGGTTCCTAAGTTGTATAAATAGTATTATTTACAGAAGGTTCGGATAAACAAGACCTTCATCGCCTAATTTCTTGCATATTCGATTATTAGTCATTCTTTTGATCAACCCGTCCAGCCATACTTTTTAATTGCACTTCCCCAGATCACACATACATTACCATAAGGAGAAAAAAATAAAAATAACAGCACAAGCGGCATTTTCATTGAAGAAATGCAGCATTCACGCGAACATTAGAAGTGCACCCGTTTGATAGGGATAGACACACAATCTGTTTCAATGTCTTGACTATGACGAAAGAGAAATAACTTTGTCATTCCCACATATGGACCCGAGCGCTTAACTCTTCCCCTTTCAATATGCGAGGGATTAAAAGCATAGATATAAGGAAGCCCGTCTGTCACCCAATTTCGACCTGGCCTATCGCTCCTTATGCTCCACGGCAAGTAAAACGTCATGCCTGAGAAGAGGAGAATGATGCCACGCCCGTAATCTGCGAAGGTTGGTATAAGAGTCGAATCAAACTGGTCGAATACCTTAACATCAACATGATCACCACGTATAGTAGTGCTGAATTGGCCATTCGCGGCCGGGACTAAATCTGCAAACTCCGGGGGATACTGTTTGAATATTCGTTCTTCGCTTATAATCTTTATAAAATCAGAAAGCTCCCTGGTTCTTTCCTTGCTGCGCCCCCGGAATATGCCCCGCAATTTGGAAGCCTTCTGGGCATATTCTGCCGATCTGGGAGGGATTGCTATGACCCATACCTCCAACGGCCCAGGGGAGTGGTTGCTCGTTGCATAGTACCCAGTTGGGTCCCGAATCCGTTGATTCAGCAACGTGGAGTCGGGCCCCAGAATTAGAATCTGGCATCTCTCACGCTTCCAGGACTCGAATGTTCGCATTGTTCGGTCTATATCTCTAAGCGGATGAAGGAATGCCTGGTGTAATGACGGCGAAGGTTTGACATGAAGAGCTGCGAGCATCGCACTCACATCTGATGCTGATAGGGCGGTCATCAAACGGCGGGATATTTCGTAGAATCCCTCATGGGAAGCAAATTGCCTGAGCTGTTCGCCTGGGGACGGCTTTCCTCTTGTGGGATTTGGGTACTGAAGCGAAACTGATGACGACATTATAAGTCATCTTTACTCATAGAGTATCATATCAGTTGCAAGGCCCACATGAGTCGAAAGAATATCGAGTACTCACAGGCTCAATGTAGATTCTAGATCTTTGAATACAAAGTAATAACTGACGGAATATTCGGAACTCGAAAGCAAAGTGCCATGCCAGGCCAATGGGCAAGGTCGCTTTTATAATGTATCGCCAGCAAAGAATAGCCGACCTTCATTATCAGCCGTTAAAAAACTTGACGGCCACTAGTAATATAGCTTTGACTCTTCAGAACGGCCAATCTACTTCTAGGATCATCTAAATTACTGCGAGCCCTAGCTTGAGCCTATTCTTGAGAACTTGAAATTGGGTACTCCGCGGGCATAGAGGGGGATCATCATGGCCAGTAAAGCGACCGGGAAATTGCCAATGGGCACTGTAGCACTAGGATACACCAGGTAGGCCGAATGTAACAGGATTCTTCCACGCCGTGCTGCCCGGTTCTGTCCATCATCTACGGGCCGGGCCAGAGAAGGTCGATGGCTGTAAAACCTATCTCGTGGGGGCCTCCCAAATACCCACAAGCAGCCGAGGTGAACTCATTGACGCAATCCGCGCGCATGCCCTGTTTATGCAGCCGAAACCTAGACCGCTGAAAGATCCAAGGAGATAAGAGACGAATAGAATCGGATACAAAAAGTCAAATATTTATTGCTGGATGCTATTCCTATCGCTGGTGTTTGCCTCGCGTTGGGCCTATGTGGTCCAAAAGGATAATTAGGCCGTGGATCACACTCTATATCAATACAGCCTTCCTGTAGCCTTATCATCGGATGGCTTAGATCTCATCCTTACCCCCGGCAATTGAGGCTGTCAAACTATGATAATCCGTAGTAGTCAGGCCGTCTCCTGGATCTACCGGACCGGCGGAGACCTTGCGACCCAGCCCCTTCCGTTGAAGCGATCTCCCCTGAGCTAGTGACGGAGTCATTAACACCGTCAATTCCATTCTCTGTTTCCCTTGTCGTCACAGCGACGGAATAAAAAGCATCAAACCGGCGAACCCCGCGGCTGTGAATGTGTCAGCAAGACAATATATTCACGAAAGGGCAACAGGAAGAGGAACCTACCATATTGGGCAGTTGAAGTTGATCTGAGTTGAGCGTTTTTCGAGCCAGTCTCCCATGCATCCTAAGTGCACGCTATTCTCACAGTGCTCGCATTTCAAATTAGCGATTTCGTCTGCAGACTCCTGCCAGCAGATATTGCACATTATTCTGCCGCTGTCATCCTTCGGCTCCAGTGAACGGAGGATCACTGGCGTGCGGGTGTTGTCGGCATTTGTGGTCCCAAACTTGATCCGCCCTTGGGAAGATGGCATCACCTCGAATTGGTCTGGCCTTTGCCTCAGGTGCTCAATATGGATGGACTGAGGCTCAGTCGAGGGAGGTTCAACCTCCATGGGAGTCACTGGCGTCGAAGTCAGATCCCTTGGGTTTGGTGACGAGAGAATTTGCCGGACTTCCGTGCGTACAGCGACCGGACGTTGAAGCCCGACGCCTGAATCGTGAGCACTATCGCACCAGTGCTCAACTAGCGGCTGCACTTGTTCGTCCTCCTGGTCTCGGTGGTATCTTCTGCATAGTAGGAGCCTGGCAATCTTGCTCAGTTTCTGGACGAGGCTGTCATCCGGAGGTCGCTGCGCCAAAAGCTGCAGGATATGAGCAGCTTCGGAGCGAGATTCCCTTGAGATGCGGTTTTTGCATCTCGTCTTGGCCCGAGTCTTCCCACAACAAGTGGTCGTGTCCTCTGGGTTGCTCATCGTGCACACCCGGATCGGATCCCACACTCCATCCATTGTGACTGAGCTCCAGGGGACACACGGGGGGTTAATAAGAGTAAGGCGGGGGATCTGTCCTGCGGCATAGGTTAGTATGTTAATGAAAGCGTCCGGCCACCTTCATTGTGAGACGGGAAAAGGTGCGAACATACGCTATGAGTGAATGGTGATCTCGGTCGTCGCTTTTGCACGCGGTCAATGTCGAGCCTGTTCATGTTGTGATACGAAAGAATGGTGAACTTATATAACCTGAGCAAGCAACAGCGACGAATAATCGGGATGTGTCACCGGCTCTCCGGAAACCGATAAATAGATCGCAGGAGCGAGCATGTTCCTGGGAGCCATATATCGGCTCAGTGGAATGTTGCAACTGCTCTCGGGGGTATAGATTGAGTATCTTGGGGTACAATGAGTTCCTGCGAGAGAGAAGTGCCTTCTTGCGTTTGCCCAGCCCATGGTGATTTCTTTGGCGCCTATAATGGCCGATTCCCATGCAAATTGGTCCAACATAAAATGGCACTCCAGTACGCTACGCCATGCTCTAAATAACCATCGCTTCTGTGGCTGTATATTCGAGCTTTTCATCATGCCCTCTGTGCAGCAATTTCTTAACCCGATTGAACCTTTACACTATGAACGATATATCGCTTCCTCACCTGATGGTGTATGTCCGGGACAGATCGATTCTATCAAGCGGGACTTTGCGGAAAGAGAGCCGTCCTTGGCGAATCAGGCGTCAAACCCGAAACGCCGGGCGACAGGCTTCGAGAACGCAGCCAAGCTGATGATATGCGACCGCCATAAGGATACCTCAAGAGAGGCTCGAAAGATTGCGCGTCGGTGGGAAAGGGAAGCAGCACAGAATTCCCACCGTGCATCCGTCGCCAGCAAGCAACTCTCGTCATACAACCAGTCTCTATAAGGACCAATATTTATCGGCTTTATGACTAAAAGCTGTACGCGCCATTCAGCGGTCATCTAAATTCCAATGCCCCTGTTACCCCACCACATCTAATTTGAAGCCCACTTGCATGACCGGTTCGCCTCGATCAGCCCTTCTTACTTCTTCCACCGAACATCAGCGCTTCATCAAGCAAGAGTCTACCACATTTATACGTCGTCATTGTTTAATCATTGTTTACTGGCCACCTTTGAATTCAGCCAGGTGTGCTGAGGCCTTGGGCATAGGATCACCGAAAGGCATTGCGATCGATCGAAAACCTACAACATAGCCCGACATTTCTGGCGCTTCTTTCTACGACAGTCATAGCCAAGCTATATTATTACGATCTCATTAGCGCAGTTCAAGTTCAAAGAGACTTACGGGGCGTTTGGAATGGACGTACAGAGGCATTCCTTCATGAGGATACCATACCATCTAGCCAACTAGATAGTCTAATGAGGTGGCGAACCGAGCAGAGAGCTTTTTTGTTATTCCGATATATATTGTAAATAGCTTTACGTGGCAGGTGGGAGTAAACTGGGCGCGGATAGATCTGTTGCCATTTACTTGTTATGACTGCACTGGCTCAAAGGGCGATCATGTTTCGCAACCGCGTTCACTTTTACCCGATCTATGTAAGACAAAGTCCTGAGTATACTGTATAGACCCCTGGATTTTATTTTATGCCAGATAGAGAAGCTTGTTCGAGATACAAAAGAGCCGAGCGTTCGTGGCTTTTTCCAACCCCTCCTTGGGAGAGTAAATTCATCGCGTATGGTACGATGGGCTAGCAATATAATAAACAAAACACATTCACAAAAAGACTCACATCCTTCCATCTTCCGCCCACGGCCTTCTCTCCACCATGCGAATGTGTACCGCCTCACGAGCGTAATTTTCGACGAAGCCGCAGTACTAGCGATATCTGAAATCAGGCCAGACATACCAAGCAGCATGTTTCAATTTGTTTGGCAGGCTAGTTGGGTGATGGAGCATGTGAGCGCCGTCGGCGTTCATATTCCGTATCCGTGTCCCTCCCCGTTTGGTATGCTAAGGATCGTGGCTCAGGCTGCTCTCTGTTCTCCGGGAGTGCCGGTCGAGGTAAACCGCTCTCTTCTAAAGCGACCTGGAGCCGTAAGGATAGCCATCGTGCACGACAGAAACACCTCGGCCGCTTCATTCTTTAAAGGCGAATTTTGGCAGCCAGGTCGATTCGGTAGCGGTATAGTAGGAGTAGCAGCAGAAGTGTGTGAATGAGAATCGGAGTAAGAGTTGACCATTAACTGTCGCCCAGCTATATAACTTAAGGGACGTCGGTAATCGTTATCATACAGAATCAGAGGAGGGGGGGGGGGGGGGGGGGGTGCTTATTAGTAGATAGAACCCTACGAAAGAAATATTTTGTGTTTCAGGCTCCTTGCTCTTATCCTGCCGGCTGGAGGCTTTAACTAGGCAACACGCCATTCTCCCGCCTAAAAATTCCACATCAGCAGTATTGCGCATTGCTGCGCTCCCCATTTTCACCCCTTCTAGCTAGCCTTTCGCGGCCCTCAAGTTTGCCTTCGATCGTTTTCATTACTCGATAGATACATCTCCAGGAATCACCAAGCGCCTTAGGTGACCGGTGAGTGCCAACGGGCCTCTCGATGTTGTAGTGTGATTAGACGAACATGGATCTGAGGTCCCTCCTACCTGCAGCGGAGATGCTCATGATTTTCTTTATAACACTGGTAGCGTTCTCCCGATGCCAGCACCCCTCCTACGTCTATCGAAAACTGAGCATCGTGCGGTATGAAAGCGACGCCCTTTTGTCAGGAACGTCTCCCTAAACGCAAGCGTCAATCTAGACCTGCTGATAACGACAAGGGTGTGCTCTGCGAGAGAACAAAGAATTCATGCTCATCATAATTCTACTGCTGGAGGCCATCAACGACGAGGAGATGACATCGACGGGATGTAGGGGATGTTCATTCTAGGGCAGATCTACGTTATGAGGAATGAGGTCCTATACAAGTATGTATTTTGATGGTCGCTGGGTCGCGCGTCATAGAATCACACCACACGTGCTTTAAGACACAATTGCCACGCTTCTATCGGAAACTTGCAATATTTGGCCCCAGTAGTCTCTTTCTGTTATTGAGGGCTTTGCTGATCACCCGGATATGCAGATGCGTGGCTGCTCACTACCGAAGATCTGCGAGGATTGTATGGTAGTCATCAGAATTCCGCGTGCGGTTCGCTCTCCCAATCGGGGGAGAAGCTGGGAAGCTCCTTGCGGCATCCATCTCTGAGTAGCGAGGCACTCTTAACCCATGGCGGACCGACAACGCAATGGTTAGGAGCATTTGTGTCTGCCATGGAGGCCCTTAGCAAGAAACAGCGAGCAGGGCGGGACATATTACCTCTTGGGATAAAGCCCAAGCGCGACATAACACCCCTATTGCCGCAATGATTAGCAAAAGACCGGAGAAGCCAAACATGCCGTAGACTGCATAAACGAGACGTCGTTGAGACTGGGAGTTCTCGACAGTGTGTTGAGCCAAACGGAGGTAACCGGCGGCGACACTCATATAATCCGCGGCGGAGAGAATTAGCGTGGCGTAATGGGCCGGGTCATAAGCCAAGTGACTGATGACGATAACCGCCACTTTGGTGATATAAAGAGCACATAGCAAGGCATAAAATATCCTGGCTGCAGACAAGGGTTGTGGTACACCAGAGAAGATGAAGTGTAGTCGAAGATACTAAGGGTTCATTAGTGATGATTCGTGGATGTACCCTACCTGTCCTCGTGCATACTCACTTCCAGAAGCGGAGGGCAAAAGCCCGCTATAGATGTTATGATCTCTGCACCAGACACAGAATTGTCAGCGGTGACTCCCTCTAGCCTTTATTGATGAGAACTCAACTGAGCGTATGATAGTGGCTCCAACGGAGCGCTACCACTGCAGCGAGGAAGGCCACAAGCATCGCCGAGGATGTGGCGTCTAGGCATCGATAGAACGGGTGCTGTCGGAATGTGCGACTAGACAGCACGGCACGGGTCGTCGCCAAAAACAATAGTAACGTAGCTAAGATGGCATGAACGGTATTTGGAAGAGCCATCTGCGGTGAATTGCGTTACGAACTCTGTCAACTGATTACCGATTAGACTCTGATTTTACCTTTCAGAATCAGGGCCTCCTTTATGTCCGCAATTTGTCTCGGCTGGCTTTGATCCTGGAATGACTAGCGTTACTGTACTTTCGAAATTCTGCCACACCTTGCTAACATAGCTTAGTCTCGCTCATCTCTAACGCTAGTTTCCTTGAGCATTGTGCGTAGCATACTGAAAATACACCATAGGGCTCTCGGAGATCTTGGGATCTATCAGTCAACCCACAGGAACAATAGGAGTTGTTACCGGACAAATAAGCAGTCACACGAACAACACTATAACGTAAACAATTGGTCCTCTGAGGAGGCCGCAGCCCATCGGCTCATCACTGAGCATCCAGAGTGGACCAAGGCAATTTCTGATGGTGTCCATTGGTAGTGTCTCCATGCGCCGTACGATGGCAAACAGTTAGATAATACTTGCAAATTGTAGGTTAAATATGTTACAAATCCTTTCGGAGAGAGAGAGAGAGACCAAAAATCATCTACACATACACTTAGCCCCTATGAAAAGCTCCTCTGAGCCAAATGAAGACAGCTCTGACGAGGAGTTGCTCGTGGCACCTCCTTTTACGACTATAGGGCTGTCCATACCACCCATATCATGGCTGAATAGGCAGTTGGAGAAGGACGGCGATAGACCTAGCACGGGGGGCAAAGAACACAACTCGAAGGGTGAACAACCGCATGAAACCAGAGAGGCTCTGGGCCTGGATAGTCCCTGTTCTGCGGATACCTTCCGTCAGACTCCCAGCGGGAATAAACAAACCGCCCGGTAAATGGCAACAATACTCCGTCTGATGCATTCCCTAACCAATTCCCTGCCGGTCTCAGCGATAGGTTTCATGATGGTATTCTAGTTACTAGAAGGCATTCTAGTAGAGCGGCTACACGCTCACATGTCAGCCCGTATATCGATTTTACTACTGACGCGTCAAAGCTGACACACCAGCTTAAACAAGCGAGAGGTCGACAGCGCTTGCTGGGTCAGATGAGTCAACAGTGCAGTGGGGAGTACATACAGGGCTCTTTCTCGCGAGATAGAAGAGCTCTTGGCTCTGATCTCTCCCGCCCAACCCATGCAACAGCCGAGAAAGATAAGACGATTGAGGAAACAGCTCCAATCTTGATTCTGTTGCAAGGTATAGCTCGTTAATGTGGTTTTTATACTTATAGAGACTCCTGCGGGGCCTGTCATCTAATTTGTGGCCTGAAGATAGCGGACCGGGTTCTGGATGATTAACAGTTCCAAATCGAGCTTGTGATATGTACTGCAGGTTGATGGAGTATTGTACCTGTTTGCTGGATGGTCAATAGATTGTAAAGGCAGAGCTTCATCTGCGATAAGCTGAGAGAGTGTGTATTGTAGTTCATCGGGGTCACAGCATCTCCTGATCCATACATGTTTTTCTCTCGCTCGGAAACATCTCGCCCGCGTATTGGGGAAAGAGGACCCTCAGTTTCTTGTCTATCACTTTCTTAGATCCCAGCCAGCTTGCCGCAGGTCAGGGTCCAAAGATAGATGGAGTAAGATGGACTAGCCCACCCACATTAATGCCCATATACCCATTGGGCCTCCTTACTCCAACTTCCCTGTTGAAGGCATCTAGTTGAGGGCTCCTAGAAGGCACCGCGGACAGGATACAAATACACCCGTGTTCCTCAGGCTACCTACCCCGACTAGTAGAATGCCCCCAGTGACATCCCTCTGGTACGACCATATCGCCCACATACCGCAGACCGACTGGTATGGAATATGCACTACAACCGCCCTGGTAAGTTGGCTCGTACGGTGACTCCTTGGCTACTCGCCCCCGAGACCATTCTGTCACTCCGATATGCTCACATTCAACAGGGCTCCATGGCCACACTTCCGCTCAGTGAGCATCCTACCACTAACTTTGCGAGCTCGAGCCTAGGTACCCATGCACCGACGTGCTGCCAACCTCGCGGTTACTAATCCCATTCCTTTGTGGACAGGTTTAACCTTCGGCCTTCCCGCGTATCTTCTGGGGATTAATTGGTCGGCAGTAGCATGGATGCATCGATGAATTGGCCAGATGGCGGTCATCCAATCCACTTCATGGAGCTATTGCTATCCTGAATGATGACCAATCGGTGCCAGCCATACGACAGCATTACCTTCCTTCTGGTGAGATATCACTGACTATCTCTGGAAATAGCCAGTGTGGCATGTTCCCCCATACAAATCATGTATATAATCAAAAACAAGCAGCATGTTTCATGATCTTGATCTTTCCCGTGACGCTGCATGTGGTTATTCGCCGTCACCCGCAGCTAGCGATGAAGTGCCACTATCACTTGGAGTCAACCGGTCTGGCTCCGATGTCTGCCATGTCTGGATGCGTTGATCAAAATACCTCTGATAGTTGGTGGCTGCAGCAACACGGTTGATTGGCCTGAGTGCGGATTCCTTGACTGTCCCTCTAACAAGGCGCGGGGGACGCTCCTGACCTTCCATTGTCATATTCCCGGGTCAGAGGATGGACACCACCATTCCCTCTCAGTGGAAGGGTGAGCCGGGCCAATATGTGTACCTTTGCCTCCCACATGCAGGCTTGTAGATTGCCGGTCAACTGCTGGCTTTCTACATCGCATTCCGGAAAGAGACGCCAGGGCTGGAGGGTTCACCAACGCAAACCCAGGGACCGTAGCACTTCACCAGTCTGGAGTGCATATTAGGAGAGGTAGAGGCATTGGCTACAGTCACGAGCTCCTGTACGCTACATATGCTAGTCCGCCCGCAGTCTTCAGCACTCGCAGTTGCGCTTTATAAAGCCAAACGCCTTTACAACGTGCGAGAACCGTGCTCGTGCTGGGACCATACGGAAGACCGCCTAGTCTGGCTCGTTTCGAGGCCGTGCTCTTAGTTGTTGCTCATTCAGGCACTTTTCCTAGCGAGTGAACAGCACCGCGCCATGGTACGGAAACTCATCGTTGTCTGGAAAACAGAAGACCTATGTACCGCACTTTTGCAGCAACTCAATATTGTCTCTCTTAAAACGGCGAACTGAGCCAACAATATCTAAATAATTGCCATTAGGTGACATGCAACATTTGCTTAACCTCAATCGCAAGAAGGCAAGGTACCACGATAGTCGAGCAGACAGCCGTTCGTATTCTGGCCATGATATATCCTTCCATTCTTCCCCTACTGCCATCCAACCCGCAAGAACGAGCCCTCTCATTAACCCCGGTACTAGACTCCGATTCATTAAAGGATTTCTAGATGTGGCGCAGACTATAAGGAGGTGCCTAAATACACGGTGTGTAAGTATGGTTGTAGGCGGTATGAACACTTTTCGAAGACCGAGGAAGACGGATGTCTCCGGCCAAGCCATACTGACGGGTCACTCGTCCACAGTGGGTGTCCGACAGTCTATCCGCAACCAGGTCAAGGCGATCGTTCAGCCAGACGAGCGATGAGCACAGGCTACTGGATAATGACGTTGAGCCGTACTATCAGTGGCTAGACACTGACACAGCAGCCGACGCTGCCGGACCGTCCAAGGACCACCTCCAGTGGGTCGCCTCCAGAATAGCTGAAGGCCGTGGTAATTCCAAATGACCGATCTGCAGACGGCCGCTCATCTGGCAAATATTTGCGCATGTTAATCGATTCGATAATCTCCTTAACTGTCTTTATCCTACGGACGGTCCAATACCAACATGACTGAAATCGATTTCTTGCGCGATAACGGTCACCCCGGGTCCATCGCATGGCCCCAGACAGGTAGCTCTGAAATTGGGTCCAGGGTACTCCACTCTTTCAACATCTTCGTGTTTGCGCAGCCTGTCCGACGGCGAGAGCAGACCCCCGCCGCGGGAAACGCTATCGGATCGTGGTAGTGTCGGTAATGGTAGGACCGTGAACGTGTGCCACCGCAACATTGGCACCGTAGCCGGTCAAACGGCGCAGCCGACGAGGCTATATCCCTGGCACAACTGCGAGACATCAATGGAGGCAAGCGGATCCTAGAATTATGGAAGGGTGGTTTATGCCTTTCGCTTCGCTGGTTGACGGTGTCGTCTCGTATTCGGATGCTAGATGTGTCAGGCTGGATGTCAGCAGACACTTCGATTTGTGATTCAGCAGCATATACCTCGAAGTCTGGGAAGTATGCGCCCCAAGTTGGCATATAATCCACAACCACGTACCGCTTAGCCAGTTCATAATGTTATTGCGGTGCAGATGGACGCAATCGATGGCCCCGCCCTTCCGGCCGGGAGCCATTCATATGGGATAGCCTCCGGGGGGATCCGTAACTAGACGGCGATTGTCCATGCTCGGTCTTATACGGCCATCCTCGTTCAAAGAAATGCTTCGCGTGGGTGTGCAGCCCGGCGCCGTAGCCCGTTATGCCGGCGTGACACCTGGCAACCGAGAATACCAGATTTCAGAGTATGTCGAGTAGTCTGCGACACATTGTGCAATCCTCGAGTCGAATATTTCTTCGAAGCCACAAGTGATCGCGGCCAGAGTTTGGGCCCTCCACATAAAGGTGCAGCGCCGGCGGCTGGTATGGAGAATGCCGATGGTCCGGAAAAAGAGAGCTCAACAAACGGAATAATGTTCTGATCAAAATCATGGGTAACGTCGCCTTCAGTCATGAGCTGCAGCTGCTGAGTGTTCAACATATGTGCAGGGGTGGATAAGCCAACGGAATCAGCCACGGTTGGTACATCCTCGGGTGATAGGAAATCCTGAAGACTTCTTCTTGTTGGCGGCCATGTTCTGACTCTTGCACGTTTCAAAGGTGGATAATCGCCGGTCCATCTTTTCTCAGACAGTGTTGAGGGGGTATCGACGTCCAGTTGCGCGGGACTGAACAGCCTCATCAATTCGCCCACGATATAAGACATATCGAGAATGTACGGCTGATAGGGACCGAGTTATCAGCGATTGTACCTTGGTGATCAATGCCTGAATATTGAATTACCTGAGAGAGTTGATAGCTTGACAATGAGGTTTTGTATATGGAGGTTTTTTAGACAGTAATCACACATTTCTGCCGGAGTTTGTGGCAACTTTTATACCCTTATCGTAGTCCGGAACGGTCAGGAAGCAATGTCACTGATCAAACTACTCTCAGAGAGTTACACTAATCAGCATGCACAGAAAATACCAAGTCTTGCGAGGTGCTGGTGCTCAGACGTTCTGAACGCGGAATTGGTCGATGGCACTCAAAGTAGTACTGATTAGGCATCGAGAGCCAACCGATTGGCAAAGATGCAATATCATCACAGTACATAATTTAGAGCGTGACTCGGATTACAGGAGCAAGGAACGGTCCTGGTATGTTCAAAAATCCACAAGGTTTGTGATTAGAGGCCTTTGGTGGCTAGCTAGTCCCAGGAACTTGCTTGGGAAGACTTTTCCTGTATCCTATATTAGAACGTGTGTATCGCGCTCGGCCAGGGTGAGGGTCTGACAGCGCCAGCGCCACCAATAACATATCCCTAACCCCCCATCTACGGAGTAGGCTTGTTGGGAAATCAAACTATGTCTCGAGCTATCGACGCGCAGCAGTCTCACACAGGCTGCATACGCCTTGGCAGAATTCACAGTGATTGGTTCCTAATCCGAGACTCCGCAATTCTCCTTGCTGATCCTCTTCGATTTTTCTCCTTCCTTCCCTTTCCCTCCCTCCATCTTGCCCATCTTGCCCATCTTGCCCATCTTGCCCATCTTGCCCATTTTGCCCATTCGCAACTTGAATGGTAATTGGCGTGCTAAACTTCTGAAAACTCCATCAAACGATTGGTATATTAGGATTTGGGTTTGAGAAGGAATGCCTGGAGTGGGTCTTCCTAGTAGGTTGGCCGGGGCATTTCTTCGCACGTTCTGTTTTTTTCGGTTTAGTCCCCGGCACGCTAGGAGCGTTAGGAATTGGAACAGGCAGGGTTGGCGTCTTGCTTACGGTTGTGTTGTGATTTAGTTACGGGAAGGATGTCTGGGACAGAGTTTTTGATTTTCTTTCAATATTGCCTTGTAATAAACCACCTCAATGAACAGTGCTTTTTTCAAAGATACTCGGAAACTGCGGTCAGAAATGTCTGCAAATCCGTACACAGTTGAACTACATTGGCCAAATCCAGACCACATGTGAATCCGATAGTGCTGCTCCCAGGCCGTTCAGTTTACCGCTCACAAGTGGTGTGGTGAGGCGGTTCCCGCATAGCTATCGACCATGATAGGCTAGGACGGCGAATGGAATAACACCGACACCGATTAGTCGAGCAATTGAGAACGTCTTTCAACTCTCAATAAGTGTCAAACTCATTACTGGATAAGTATTTGTGTGTATTGGAAAAAGATAGGCTTGTTTTGCGACCGGTCGGGGTGCTCGGGTCCAAAGACAAAACGGTTCAACTCTCAAGAATTATGGACGATGTAGATTCAATGGCGCAACACGTCTGTTGTTTGGTTAGGAGAGACTAAGTGGGCAGGCAGAGGCTGGGCTAGAGTAATAAAAAAAATAAAAAGACGTCACTACACAGGTGTACGTATGACAATCTTGGAGCATGCTCGTGGTTGCAGGTCAGTCGGGGTGTTTCCTGAGCTGCCTCGAGTTGAAAGTACTGCCATCCGGTACCGCCTGCACCAGGGAGTTCAACTTCGCCTAGTCATAAATTCGTAAGCTAGTTAACTAACTACTTAGCAACGTCACGAGATCTGAGGTAAGTTGTCCCGAAGCCAGCGCCCGGTCGGCAACCCCACCCAGCAGTCCATGATATGAACCCACCTAACCAGCAACATGGGCGTCGCTGAAAGCAAAGTTTTAGCCCAGAGTATATTGGGTGTTTGTCAGCGTGCAGAAAGCGAGGGGAAAGACCAGCTAGACGAAAGCTCATTATGGAAAGATGAGGTATGTGCTGTGCCAGTCTGACTCGAGCCACGTCTCACGGCTTCAGGTTATTTCGAAAGCCGTGCAAAACATATACGACTATATTCCTCAGAAACTACGCAGAACAGCCCGCTATCCAAAGATCAGGAGATCTGCTTTGTGTTCGAGCTCCAAAATCATCGTTCCGCAAGCCGTACAAGACCTACAGAATAAGCGCGCAGTCCTATTTCCATCAAGAGAAACAATCCAGGACAAAGATACTGCAGGAGGGGCTCAGAATGAGCTTCAGGTCATTCAACCCCGTGCACTTCATCCTGGTGAATCGCTTAGTAGTCTATACCAAGTGACGGTATTTTACGAAGAGCAGCAAAAGTTGGACAAGATCCGTCTAAGACTACTTTGCGTAGCATTTTACCGACTAAAACAGGCGGTCGAACCTGGAAGGCAAACCACAAATTATAGCACTGCCTATTATTTAGCAGATGCCATACGGAAAACCAGACCGAAGGACGATATGATCTACAAAAGAGTCCGGGCCTGGGTTGGTAAAGGTGAAAGGTATGAGTTAATCGCAGAGGACCTTGGTGGAGTAGGTGCACTTTACATTCTTCCCGAAAATGGCGGTGAAAGCTTGTAAGTTGAGTTCTCCCCTCACTTTCAAATCTTCTAATGGGCCCCATAGTTGGACGAAAGAGCTCCCGAAATCGAGGGAAAACGCGAACCGGATATCAGTGATCAAGCGCTTAAAGGAACAAAAACTAGCTGATAATGCAAGGGATTTGCACGAGTCTGCAGAGGTGGAGATTGACCATATTGTGGGACCTCTTGGAGATGCACTGAAGCGAGAACTCCATGATGGAGTCTTGCGATCATCCTCTTCAACTACAGCACAGAGTCAGTCGTCAAGTCAATACAGAGATACATGCAACCAGACACCAAAGCAGACACCTACTACAGCAGAAAACGCCGTATCCGGTATGGATATTTCTTTTCTTTGTGTAATGGTTACTGATATATTTGCAAGATGGCGAGCACTTTCAGCCGCAAAGACCCTCACAGTCTGACATGTTCGATCCCCATCGGAATTCCCAACCGATACCAATATCAACCATCTCCCATCCCCAGGGAGGCCAAGTCGATAATGGATCCCTCAACATGTTCGATCCCCGTCAGGGTGCCCAAATAATCCCGTCGGATTTTTCTGGCCTCCAGGAGAATCAGCTCGACAATGAACACTTCAACATGTTCGATCCCCGTCAGAGTGCCCAAATCATCCCGTCGGACTTTTCTGGCCTCCAGGAGAATCAGCTCGATAATGGATCCCTCAACATGTTCGATCCCCGTCAGGGTGCCCAAATAATCCCGTCGGACTTTTCTGGCCTCCAGGAGAATCAGCTCGATAATGGATCCCTCAACATGTTCGATCCCCGTCAGGGTGCCCAAATAATCCCGTCGGACTTTTCTGGCCTCCAGGAGAATCAGCTCGATAATGGATCCTTCAACATGTTCGATCCCCGTCAGAGTGCCCAAATCATCCCGTCGGATTTTTCTGGCCTCCAGGAGAATCAGCTCGACAATGAACACTTCAACATGTTCGATCCCCGTCAGGGTGCCCAAATCATCCCGTCGGACTTTTCTGGCCTCCAGGAGAATCAGCTCGATAATGGATCCCTCAACATGTTCGATCCCCGTCAGGGTGCCCAAATAATCCCGTCGGACTTTTCTGGCCTCCAGGAGAATCAGCTCGATAATGGTACCCTCAACATGGTCAATCCCCAACAGGGTGTACACTCCATACTTCCCTCTGGTTTCTCTGATAGGGGAAAGCAACTCAATAACAGTTCTCATAACATGTTCGATAATCGGCAGAGTATCCAACCTGTCGTTCCACCAGACATTCCCATGGCAGTGTACTAGTTAACAGGTAACCCAACGCATTTGGATCCCCCACGGATAATTCCAGTGTATCCTATCGGATTCTGCACAAGGAAGCCGAACCTGGATAACTCCTAAGCTAGTTAACTGAATAACTCCTAAGCTAGTTAACTGAGTATTTCCTATTCTTAGTTTGAATCTCTAAAATGTGCATAGCCTGCCAAGGGAAAGGAGGCTCCTATGGGCTTATTCTTCAATTATGCTGTTGAACTCTGGATTACTGCTCAGACATTTCTTATTAGACTGATTAATCAATGTTATAATTTCATGCAATGAGGCCCTCAAGAATAAATTATTATAAATACAAGATCGCTCCTGAGAATTTTCATTGGGTCTCAACGCCTTATGATAAGGAGAACGGTTGCATTCGCGCTGAGCCAAGGCTCATTCGTGTGGTATGTATAGAACCCTTCCTCCAGCGGTCCTCCTGGCGTTATGGTCATGTTCTCGGACAGAGGCACCAGATACATTTGTCTCTTGTCATTTCTGACCTGCTTTACCTTCGAAAAGTGAACCAGGTTATATACCCAACCCTGTCTCCTAGTCAGTAATTGTCGGTATTTGTATAAATCCAAGTTATAGTACCTCTCCAATTTTCATCTTTCCAGTTAGATAAAAGATTCGGTCCGTCAATAATTGCCCTCCATAGCTTTTGTTCCCCTCTCCGTCTTCAGATATGATGTTGGCCTTGACAGTAATATCACCATTTTGTTCAGCAGCGGTCTCTGGTATCATATTCCTGATTTGTTTTCGAATATCTTCGGCATCGCGAGAAAGTTGATGAAGCTCCATCTCGATGGGTATTCGGCGGGTGCCGGAAGGGTGTCTCGTTGCGATTATCGATTTTCCGCAGTTCAACTAAGCATGTTTGTTAGAAGAAAACGAAAGTAGAAATAGGGTTTACCGTATATATTACGAATTAGATCTTAGTACCTTAAAGACATTTGTTGAACACTCTCCGGGCGTAAATAAATCGCAAGGTCGGCAAAAGGAGGGGCACTGGTAGTGGGGGTACGAAGGCCTGCGAGACGAAAGTCGGGCAAAAAGTCATGTGACTACCAGATGGCCCAAGATCATATGGCAGTTTGGAGGGCTTGGCAGGGATGACTAAAGCACTGAATTACGTGATCTCCACGGATTCGATTGAAGGTCTTGATTTTCTAACTATGCGATACAGCTCGTATTTATGCAATCCCTAGAGCTTCAAAATGATGATCAATCAACTCAACAGGAAGAAGCAATTATGTTGAATAATTGACTGGTCGATTATTTCGGCTGAGCAAGGCGATGAAATGCCGGCTTAGTCAACTCCCGCGGCCACACACCCCCTCAGCGCCTTGCGAGACCTATCTGCCTTCTTGGGCCAAAATGAGGTCTTTGATGTTGACAAGATTCAACATCTCCATGAATTTGCGGTGTTTCTGACCCGGAAGGGCCTTCGTGAGGCCGTCAGCGATCATTCGATCGGTAGGAATCCATTCCACGTGTAGATCGCCTCTCTGAGCTTCCTGGCGAAGCCATGACCGATGAATATCAACGTGACGCAATTTAGAACGTTGCTCAACGTCTTCTGAATTGATTAATCGAACGGTTTGTTGGTTGTCACAGGAAATGATCATTTCATGTTGAGGATCGAACCCCATGGTGTTGAAAACTCTGCTCCACCAGTAGGTGGCCTTTGCAGCCTCAGATAGAGCGAGAAACTCTGCTTCAGTTGTGGAGGTTGTAATGGCGCGTTGTTTGCCTGATTTCCATTCAATTGGGCCGTTGTATAACTTGACGAGATATCCTGCCGAACTGCGGCGGTCAGGTCGATCAGCAAAGGCGGCGTCTGATCCGATTATTACGACTTCTTTGGTGTTTGGATCGGCGGCGTATTCAATCGCAAGAAATCGAGTTGCGTAGAGGTAGGCGATGACTCTATCCGCAGCTTGAATGTGATCTGGAGACGGGTTCTTCAGCGCTTCAGATAAGCGGCTTATTGCGTGTGCAATATCGGGTCGTGTGATTATTGCAGGATATTGAGCGGATCCTATCTTCATGGAATATTCTTTGATCTTCGCCTCTGATGCTTGATCCTCGTAGGGCGAGAGGTCCAGAGTGCTCGATAGAGGTGTATCTGGCCATCTTGTAAGATCATTCAAATGGAACTTCACAGCGATATTCTCTAGATATGCATCTTGACAAAGCCAGAGCTTCCTGTGAGGCCTGTCTCGAATAATCCTGACTCCTAGGAACCAGCTCACTTCTCCCATTTCTCGTAGCTCATATTTCTCTGCAAGATCTTCCTTGAATCGTCTGGCGGCTTCACGAGCGATAGGAATAGGTAAGTTGATCACAATGATGTCGTCCACGTATACCAGCACGATCATGTATTCATTCGTGTAAAGACATTGCTCTTCGGGGACAGGTAGGAGGCCAAACTTAAGCAGGGTAGTGGCCAAGTCTTTCTGCCAAAGACGTGGCGATTTGCGTAACCCGTATAACGCTTTCCTGAGCTTCCAAATCTTGCCTTTAGTATGAAAACCGTCTGGTGATCTTGTGTAGATGACGTCGTCAAGCGTTGCATTTAGAAACGCGTTTATAGCATCTTTCTGATCGGTATCAAGATCAAAAGCTGCTACAAGAGCCATGACAGCGCGGAATGCTCGCGCGGACGCTGTTGCAGCAAAGTTATTAGCAACTGTGTCTCTTTCAAGGTCTCCTCTCACGCAGATACGTCCTTTTGCTTTTGTGAAGTTGCCATCCTCATCGAATTTATATGTGAAGACCCATTTAAGCGGAAGAATCTGCGAATCTCGAGCTTCATTGATTTCGACGAGGTCAAAGGCATCCATTGCTTTGAGATTACCTACTTCAACCTGCGCAGCATGCAAGAATTCGTTCTTAAGCGGGTGCTGTAGTATTTCTGAATAGGAATTCGGCGGTGGAGGAAGGTTGTTTCGGTGCCATTGTTTTCTCTCTCTCTGTGCCAGATCCATGGCTATAGAGAAGGCCTTTTCGATCCTTGGGGCTTCAATAAATGATTCTGATTCAATGATCATATGGCTGACGTATTGGGGATCCCTCTTTGGTTTTGGAGCTCTTCTCGTACGTAGAATATTCTTTTCACGAGTTCCATCATCAGTAGGACCTCTTCCTCTTCGTCTTCCACCCCCTGATCTCGATGAGCGTTGTGAATCGTGATCTTCCTGTATCTCGAAATCGTTATGTTGGATGGTTTGCTCAGTTGAGGGCTCAGAGCCTCTTTCTGCTGAGATAGCGGTCTGTAGCGAATCCTGCAGAATCCGTGAAGATGATTCATCTCGTAAAGGATCGTCTAAAGGCTCTGGAAATCCTCCTGGAATTGTATCGGTGCGGCTCTGGTCTGGGATCAAATTATCGTGAAATTCAGTGTTCGGATCAGGAGTCAATTGAGGTGTTGGTAGAGGTCCGATTTCATCATTTAAAGCGTCGGTTGAATCCTGCACGTTTTCTGGCAATCTCGGGATTTCTGCAGACTCTATCTGGTCCGTCTCCTGTTCGAGAAAGATCCCTTCGCCTCTCGGTAAGTCTAGCACCTCTGTAGGTGGCTCGGGTGACGTCTCGCTAATGAGGTCTTCAAGGAACGGCTGCGTGGGATCATAGAGCTTCGTCTCATCGAACTCTACATCTCTTGCCTCTTCGACACGCTGCCTCTTCGGATTCCATATATGCCAGATGTTTGAAGCCACAAATCCTAGAAGAACACCTCTGTAGGCGCGAGGGGCCATTTTATTGTTTCTCTCCTGATCCTGCCTCGTGTAGGCAATGCAACCAACTGTTCGAAATCCTGAGAGATCAGGCTTTTGTCCTGTAATCCTTTCATAAGGGGTTGCCCACTTCAAAGCGGCAGTTGGAGTGCGATTAGCAATATTTGCTGCTGCTGAGATAACCCAGGGCCAGAGGTCACGAGGTAATCTTGCTTCAATCATCAGTTTCCTCGCTTTCATGATCAGTATTGACCCAGCGCGTTCTGCCGGACCATTTTGTTCTGGTGTGTTGACTACCGAATATTCGTGTACGATCCCTTCAAGCGCTTCAAATTGCTTGATCGTATTCCCAAGAGTTTGCTCACGATCGCTCTTGAAGAACTTAACAGTGTGACCGAATAGGTTCTTGATTTGACGCGTAAAGTTGATGACCGCGTTAACACAATCGTTTTTCCTTCGGTGAGCGGTAAGAAAGTGGAATCGAGTCATCTCATCATAAAAATGAGAGATCCACTGATCTCCATTCAATGCAGGAGTCATTTGAATGAGATCAAAATGCACACGTTGAAAAGGGCTTCCTGCCTTCATCATAGGACGTCTCGAGATCTGCCGTGGGGCGTTAGAGAGCTTGCAAACTTCACATTTCTTGTCATTATATTGCTTTGCTTTAAATTCGTCAATTTGAACGCCTGTAGCAGCCTCAGGTAGGTGACGAAGTGCATCCCAATGAAGATGAGCCATCCGGCGGTGCCATAAGTCGCTATTGCCTTTCAAAACGTGAGGTCTCGCTGATCTCCGGATTTCTTGATCGTTGATCATTAGGAAGCCGTACTGAGTGCTGCTTGACTTCTCAATAATTCACAGACCAGATGAGTGTTCCTCCACGTAGAAAGCGACTCTTCCTTCCTTCAAAATCGTGTTGCGATTCATGTTGAAATCGTATCCTGCTTGCTTAAGCTTTCGAGCGCTGAGGATATTCGTATGCAGACCTGGGATGTAGGCAACGTTGGTAAGAGTGATCTCTTTATCGCCTTTCTCGCCTCCGCAGTTTGGCCGTATTTTCACGTTTCCAGTGCCTAGGATTTGGATGGTTGAATCCCCTGCATGGAGTTGTCCATTTCTTGAATAATCGATATTTTCAAAACGCGAGATCTCATTACAGACATGTGTAGAGGATCCGGTATCGATAATAAAGCAATTTCTGAGCGGAGAGTCATTCGAAGCACTAAACGCGAGCGACATGACATGGTGATCTTGATGCTTTTCTTCTGCTTCCTTCCAGTTCTTCTCAATGATCGATTTGACCCGTTGAGATCGTAGACCTGATCTTGAAGCGAAATCCCTGATGTTCTTTATGATCTTTTCATCGGGCTTCCAACCTCTCGGTCGAGTGTTGGGATAGAGATACAAGCAGTCTCTATATCGATGACTTTCTCCACACGGGCAGGGTGGAAATTCCTTCTTCCTATGATCCTGCGATTCCTGCGTGTTTGATGTTGAATCGCTCTGACCGTTGAGAGTGGCGTACAGATGACCTGAAGCTGTTGAATCGTCCCTACCGCTGTTGGCAAGGTGGGATCGAAAGTCGCTTAGCAAGTCAATGAATGACGTCTTCCTGATTTTCGCATAGTTTTGACTCGCGTATATAGCATCCACAGCTTCAATCGACCTTAGGAAGTCTCGCTGTATATAATGATCCTGACTTTCAGGCATATCGAGTCGTTTGATCACCAGGTAAGCGTGTTCGAAGTCCTGAATCCATGCGTTGATTTTGCCTCGCCGTGGGGATTTCTTGATGACTGCCTTATATTGCTTCAAGGCCTTATCTTCTAATTCCTCTGTTGTTGGCTCATATTGCTGTTTCAACGCCTTCAGTATTTCGAAACGTCTCTTTCTTTCGACAAGCGGTTGAACATGTATAGCAATTGACGATCTAATTGCTTCTTCAACCTTCGCGATGTTGTTTCTCGAATCCTTATAGTCCTGAAGATCCAATTGAAACCTCCGATAATTCGACTCAGTGAGTCAAGGTCTCGTAGGCTTCATGGGTGCCGGGGGGTAATCATCTCCCTCCGGGTTGAAATGATCCCATATATCTAGCCGTTCAGCATATTCTTCAATGTTGAGAATCCAGCTGCGCCAGTCATCTCGTCCCTTCAGGATGACTTTAACCTTCGTGGCGCTTTCAGTATCGAATGATGAAGTCATATCGTCGAATTCAGGTGTGTCGTCTTGCTCCTTGGTGTCCCACCGGGGTTGCCGTACTGTGTTGCTCCAGGCGGATTCTGTATAGCTTCAAAAATGACCAAAGCGGTAATCCCTAGAGCGATTCCGGGCTCATAACTATGGCAGTTTGGAGGGCTTGGCAGGGATGACTAAAGCACTGAATTACGTGATCTCCACGGATTCGATTGAAGGTCTTGATTTTCTAACTATGCGATACAGCTCGTATTTATGCAATCCCTAGAGCTTCAAAATGATGATCAATCAACTCAACAGGAAGAAGCAATTATGTTGAATAATTGACTGGTCGATTATTTCGGCTGAGCAAGGCGATGAAATGCCGGCTTAGTCAACTCCCGCGGCCACAGATCATTTACCTTGAGCGATGCTTGGTCACTAGGCCACGCCTATGGCATCCACGATTTCCTTTTTCTTCTTTGCTGCATGAGCGAGGTCTGTATGACCATCGGTCAAAAGTGGAATTTTATATAAAAAGAGGAAAAGATCTAATTCGATAATTCTTTTTGCCCTCACGCAATGAACCGATATATTGTCAACAAAACTCGTTTACAGAAACTTAGTAAACCCCAAACCAGCCAATATAGCGAAGAGCAACAGTCCCACCCCATGGAAGCCTTGATACATTGAAAATTGGGAAACAGCGGATAGTTAACAGAAGTAGCCTGAGCAGATGGTTTTTTAAAAGTAGAAAAATAGTCATAAGTTCTAAGATTAGGCAAGAGACAGACTCCACGAGTTTAATCTCGCCCTATTCAGCAGGCACACGTGTGTCAGGACTGGAGACTGCGATGTGTGGTATTGAACAGTCTTGGTAAAATCATCGAACAAATGAAATGGGTCCTTTCCATGCCTATTGTGCATTTCTGCAAGTCTTATAGCCAGTTTTTCATCCTGGTCCTTGAACCTGAAAATCTTGGGTCGTTTCGATAAGCGGAGGACATAGACAGGGATTGGAGTTACGTCTTTACCATAGTGGGTTTTGCTAGAAGCTGCCAACGGAAACTGGATACAATTAGTTTAACCTATTATACAAAAGACAGTAATTCCTAGTTGCTCCATATCGCACATTATCGGCATGCAGCCATAAAATGTAAGCTCGAGTGGTATTACGTGCCTATTGAGGCATCGGGACCGACCTCTACCGGTACATGGATAGGATTTGCTAGTATGCTTGCGCAGGGAAGCACGCCCTTGGCTTACCTGCCTCTTGAAAGACTACGGAGTAATACTTCTTTACTGATTAGATCTTCTGACTAAAAGTGTGACGGCCTACAAAGGAGCTAATGGAAAAGCAAGTTTGTTTATGACTCGTAGTCAAGCAATTTTCCCATGAGGAATGAAAGGTACTATCTAACAAGGGAATCTGGGGCTCTTATAGGCTAACGGGGCCTGACTAGATACAGGAACCTTCCATCCATCAACCGGGATCCTCCACCGAGATGTTGAAGCCTTCCATGAAACTAGCCGGAACATCCCCTTGCTCAACCGGGACCTTCCCTGGGGCTCTTCCAGGCAGGCGGTCAGCCATGTCACGTGCTCAGCCGAACCGGGGCGTGACAAAAAGCCCCAATAAGGCATATCTCTCTGTCCCAGAAAAAATTGATCGATTCATCTCAAGGGCGGGGGAGAGAGGTGCAAATTGCGAAATCAGTTAGGCCAAGATGCAAGTACAGTAGGACAGGCTATGCCCTATCTGGACTAGACTTTCTCCGGAGAAGACTTAAATCGAAAAGGGCTTAGGCCTAGTGGGTCGAGCCATGCCATATCTGGACTAGCCATTCTCCGGAGAAGACTTAAAGTCAAAAAGGTCTTAGCTTGACTGCCAGGTAAGCTTTGATGACGCAGTTTAACTGTCCCTAGAAGCGGCCTAGATCGTAGCTATGGAGCACAAGGAACGAAATTTCATCCCTATTTGGTTGTTGCTACAATAAAGTCCCCATTGCTTCCCGGTCAGGGTATATAATAAGATATCCGAGCTTCCTATTGTCTTTTTCCTGGTTATCCTATAGGACGTTCATGGCCACTCTGCCAAACAAAATGCGTTTCGGCATTCTTTAGACTGAGATGGACTTGACGGAGCTTATATACTTTGCCACTTTTGCAAGTCTTGTTGTGCTTCTGGTGATGCTCTGTCTGTACCGAGGGCTATTCTTTTGTCTATTCCGACGGTTCTCCCTGCTAGGATCTGCCAGTATCTATCATGTGTATCTGCAGTACCTCGTCTATCCAAGATTTAATCCCCGCATTCTTGGCCTGGCAAAGCTTTCACCGCTCCGGACGGTCATCTTCCTTATGTATGTTGTTGGCACTATTGTTGCTAACGTAGCAGGGCTACAGAACTTGCAGCAGCGTGCCACACGTGCTGCCCACCTATCTTTAATCAACCTGTGCCTGCTATTTTTGTCCGGTGGCCGCGAGTTCGGCGCATATCTGCTAGGTATATCGCGAGAGACCTATAGCATGGTTCACCGCATCGCGGGATTTATGGCTGGCGTCCAAGCCGCCGTGCATGTTGCCCTTGCTTGTCAAAAGACTCGGTTTATGACAGCAGATGATGCTCAATATTATGGACTCCTTGCAAGTCTCTCCAGCCGCTGTTCAGCCGCTGTATTAGAGTATTGGCTAATTCTTCCTATTGTGTCTAGGCTGGCTGCATGTTAATCTCGCTCTTGATTCTGCCGCTGGTGAAACGCTGAGTGTACGAGCTTTTCCTGGTAACCTACCTGGTATGCGCTATCCTAGCGCTTTACCTGCTGTGGAAATATATCTAGCTGGCTGCGGAAACGGCGCGTAGATTTGTCCTGGTATGCCTTGTCACATTCTCTGTGACTGGGGTGCTCTAGGTACTCCGCGTCCTTTTCCGAAACGTGGTATTTGGGAGGCGCGCTTTGCGGGTAAGCATTACACTGGTTACTAAAGATATAGTACGTGCGGAGCTGCGTCTCCCACGACCGTGGGCAGTGCGTGCAGGCGAGCGAGTCACCCTGGGCGTACCGGCTGTTGGTCTTTTCTATTTCTTCCAGGCGCACCCGTTTAGCATCACCTGGTGGGAGGAAAACCAGGATGGCAAAGCAGACCGGGTGTTCCTGCTCTTTCGCGCTCGAACGGGGTTCACGCGGAAAGCTATCATGTGCTTAGAGCCCGACCGCGAGTATTGGGCGTGGATTGACGGGCCATTCGGCCCATCTGCAGTCTACCGGTGCGGTGCCACTCGAGACCTAGGTGATTACGGCCATATCTTCATGGTCACGACTGGGATCGGCATCGCCGCTCAGCTGCCATACATGAAGGAACTGGTGCAGAGGCGTTGATTGGCGGGTATTTGCATGCAGAGGATCTGCCTCGTCTGGCAACTCGATCGCACTGGAGATTACAAATGCGCCAGGGATTGGCTCCAACACTTGGTCAAGCTAGATAACGGATACATCAGTGACCGATTTGCTCAGCCCCTCTTCCCGTGTACGGTTCCGATGTCTGACTTGATGTTTACGGGATCATAGATGCTAAAGGTTTTGGTATACGATCCACTGAGCAAGGATCAGGAGGTCTGGAAATTTGGTCACCATGATTTGATTACCGTATACAGCGGCGAGCCGAACTGGGGAGAGGTACTGTCCGAAGAGAAGCAGGATCGAGCAGGGAAGATATTAGTATCTGGTAATTTACCCCTCGACGATCAATCTGAATGGCGCGCTAACAGAGCCGGGTCAAGTCTCCGCCCAACGGAAGATCCGCGCAAAAATACAGCGCTTAGTGAGAGAGAACGTGAGGGACGATGTGGAGCTTTTTGAGTTGGAATTTCAGCCTTGGCAGGAAAAAAGAGATTGGCTGTCCTTTATTACGCCGTAAATTACCACTGTGGGCATAACAATCGACGCAGTCGGCTTGGTGAGAAGCCCGGGTCACTCAGACATGCGGCCGGCTAGTATATAACAATTTCTACTGGCATTGAGAGTTAATGCTATATTTGCGGGCTTTGAACCATTTTACTCCAGTTTGTCCTAATCTATAATGTATCCCGAGACTTCAAGTAAAGCAGCGCTTGGTATTCAAAAAAGGACGGATTTAAGAGTTGCCTGCTGTACTGAGCTGGCGAAGCACATCCGTAAGACATCATGATGACTAAGGCCCACGGCTGAGACTGATGCACCTCAGATGAGACTCTAGGGATTCATGTTTTGCCATCGCAAGTTTGCCTGAGGCCCGAAGGAGACAAAGGATATGCCTGGCATGTGGAGAATACGCAGATCAAGAAACTTTTTGAGAGACATTTGAGTGGACACTCTGTAAGTGGACTCTCGATGTTGATTGATGGAGTGGGGCGTTCATTCTGGGCCGTCCACGCATCGGAAAGCGTTTGTTTCCTTGTCTACCTCAGGAGTTTGGTATCTATCCAGCTACTGACTCTATGGTAGGGCTCAGCAGTTCGGTCCTCGAAAGATGCCCTCATCTCGGAGAATTCGGCTCTTGCCGAGGAACTGGAAAAGGCAAATGATGATTTGGACAAGTGCCACCAGGAGAGAGAAGAGCTGAAGGCAGAGATTTCTAGGCTGGAGGAGAAGCTGCTAACAGCGGATGAGAGTATTTAAATGTGGCAGAAAGAAAACGAGAATTGGAAGGTAATAGCAGAATACTACCAAGGTCGGATGTGCCAATGGTCCGATGGAGTCAGCCAGATCAGCCGATTCCTACAAGGACTTAAAGCGGAAATGCCAGCGATGCCTATGGGCTATAATTGATTTAGTGTTCTTACCCGGGAGCCTTCTTAGTCTTATAGGGCCTACTTGAATCGAGTAATATCACTAATGCACATTCAATTTGAAGAGACCTTGCCACTCTAATCTCTAGGTCAAATTACCACCTTATATAAAAAAGTAACCATACATATATCAATATCCCCAGGCAAGCAGGCAGGCTGGTTAAAGGGCCCTGACTTCTTACTTCAGGCGTTTTCGGTGGAAAGGCGGGAATGTCAGAGACGGTAGATGTTCCAGTAAGAGTAACACTGGTCCAGAAAGAGTCCATTATGCCAGAGATATTATATATGATAGAAGTAATATTCACCCCCCACCTTCCATATCCGCTTGAGCCTTGTCGGTCTTCCTGAAACATAGGCGGAGCCGTAATTATAATGTGCGCGACTATTAATATACAAAGAATTGGGTAAGACTGAGTACTGAAAGGGAGATGTTAACTCAATTCGACTACTTGGGGCTAGGAATTATACTGGGGACTGATGAAATATGGCTCTTGATAAAGCAATTGCACAGGCGATTCCCACTTCATCTAGTAAGATAAACAGTGTATTAACTGTGCTATATGTTCCTATTATTAGGATATTAGCTGGGTCTTATGTATGAATTCGAGTCTAAGATACCGCCAACAGAAACGAACTTTAGCAAAGTCAAATATTTTATAATACTGAGTGTAGTTGCTGATGTTTTGTAAGTAGTATCTAGGCTATTAGCGAGGGATCTCTGAAACATGGAGTTAGGGCTAGTTATTTTACGCTACAGCTCATAGCTATTCTGTTTAGACCTATATGAGGTCATAGTATATATCCAAAATTAGGACTTTGTACTTTAGCTAGTAAGTAACATAAGTTATAGCCGAGCCCTCTCGTATCTTTGAAGTTCTATGACAAGAAAGCATAATACAGTATTACAGATTTGGTTTCTCGGTAATAATCCAGGAAAGCCTCTGGATTCCCGGTCCTTGTGTAAATAACAGATAGCTAATGTAGAAGTGGAGATTTAGGAGTGCGCCTTAATACTATACAGGGACTCATTACAAACGGCGGCGAGTTTTATTTGACGACGATGCTGCATTAGCGGTAATCTATGATCTCTTTAGCCCAAGGAATGATCGTCGGACATTACTTTCCGGCGGGGGGTGGGGGGCATTTAATATACATTTTTATTTCGAGTTACTGGTGGATGTCGGGCAATTCTGATTGTGGGTCGCACTTGAGTAATTTTACTTTTTTGCTTGAATGTAAAGGTAGCAATATCACAGCGGGTTCTCTAGAGCAAGGTGGGCGACAGGCGATCTATGTCCAATCCATTACATACATCCCATTCTTCGTATTGATGGTGGGGTATAACAGATATTTGAAAGCTAGAATACTACGCTACGCAAGATACACGGGGGCAACGTGTTCTGTCTACCTAGGAGTTATCGTGGACGAAAATTTATATTACAGCGGGAGGGTAGAATGTCAAATGAAATTATAGTGTTGTCTGTTTCCAGTCAGACCGAGTGCCTCTAGATATCGTAATTGAACATGAGGAATGCCAATATATATAGAGAGACTTAAGACAGAGTACTACCCAGGGATGTCCTTATTAACAGTCTTATGTTGCTCGGTCCTGCTCACAAGGCCTCTGTACAAAAGAACTTCCCCGCCATGTACAGGAGGACCTTGGCCCAACTGCTTAATGTTTTAATTATGGCGGAAGAGTTATCGACCTTTTTCCGTGGATACGCAAGGATTAGACTGAGATATTTTCAATTCCAGTATCCCCTTTTTGGAAGAAGGATATGGAACATTATATACCTTAAGCTCCTGCAGGAAAAATTTGAAACTGATGGTTGCGCTCGAGAAGAGCCACGAAATTTTATCGCAGCCATGATCTCTGATAACCTGCTGGAACAGACTATCGTGTAATCTGATACGCGTTTAGATTCCCTGAAGGATGAAACCCATCTACAGTGGTTTATACTCCCACAGGATTGCCAGATTCTGTGTCTATATGGGAAGCATCGAGTGGAAGCTGCCAGGTGTGCCCTTCTTCCCGGCGATCGTTGGTGGTCAGTTGCGCTATACTCTGACGGTAAGTCTGTTATGGTTGCCGCCAGAACCTGCTAGCTAAGTCCTGCGAGGCCTCCCAGATGACCTCCGACGTCGGCTGTGTATGTATCGTGACCCGGAATTCTCCTCAGGGGATATCTTCCGTAATTGGAGGCACTGTGAATTAGCCGGTCATGACGATGCTTCTTTTTGGCGATCCATGATATCCGTTCGCTCCCGGAAAGACATCAAAAGCATCGAAGAAAACTACAAGGGTATCATCCGGAGTATCGATCGTCTTATTATCTTCCCAGGGCTCTGGGTAGATTTCTGCTTCACATTTCTTCGACGAATCTTGCAGATCAGCTGTCCAAATGTCAGTATTCGCATCAGAGACTGGTTGTACCTTTTTATTTACGCCAAGTCGCAGGAGATAATACACTACTTAGATCGTATATATAAGATATGGTCGAGTTCATGTGGAAAATTTCCCGGGGCTGTTGATGCTCGGTCGGCAAGATTAATAGAGAACCTGATGCCCCGACAATCGAGTATGGACCACTCCCAAATTGTTCGATTGATGGACGACGACGCCCTTTTCCCATCACTGATAAGTACCTCCGATCGCGAATTGGTTGCAAGAGCCCTGACTAGCACTTCAGGGAGGATTCTAACCCTGCATTCGATGATCCAGGACACATTACTCTGGCATCCATGTTCGGCTGCCCTGAAGAAATTGATCCCAGGCAAGCATAGAGACTTGCGACACGCGATCATGTCACGGTTTAACCCTAGTGGGGAGGACTGGCCTGTTCAGGTTGCTGAGGGTGCTATCGAACCCATGAACACCCAAGTGTGTCATGAGCACGAATTGCACTCGCGAAGGTCGAATTCGGCATGGGTGCAACTCTGGTGTTTTGTTATTCGGCATGTAGAGAATCTTACTAATACCAAACTTGCCGGGCACAAGTCGCCTACAACGGAGACTCAAGCCTTCAAACCAACTCAACGGGAGTCTATCCACCGGCTTGGTCTCCTGGCCAGGCGACTAGGATTTGAGTCCGCGCCAATTGATTCTCTTTGCGGTGACACAGCCTTGCGACCTAATGTGAAAGCGTACCTGCTCGGTCGACGCCCTGCGGACATCTATGATCTTCCCACTCGTTGGGAAAACACTGCATCCCGCAATATCATCGGCCATCTAACCCGGCTGCAGGAAAGAAGAGACTATGCGATAACCATTCCACCCTGTACTGAACAGACGTCTCGAGCATTAAAGCGATGCGGTCTGCCAGCTTTTGAGTCCCACCAAAAGGATCGCCAATCGCTCTTTCTTCCGTGCATATATACCGCCGATCCTCCAATGGGAGAGTTCCCTTCCTCTTTTGCTATCGCACGGGATATGATATTTAGCTTTCTGGGCGAAGACATAGTCCCAATAGAGTGCTCTACGTCGTGTGTGGCCTCGTCACCCGTGGACTTCGACACCTACCCACCAGGAACACCCTCGATCGAAGGCTCTAATGATCCCCTCCCGGAAGCGGCTTCAGATCTCCAGCTGCAGCCAAGTACTTCTGTCGACCTCGAGGATACACCTAGCGTACAGCTCCAGAAAGGCCTCCATACGGGCCATGAAATCATCGTTTGCCCTCCGAAAGCAGCGGGCTTTGAGGATGAGACGTCTATTGCGCCATTGAATCAACTTAGCTATATATCGCATCACCGTAGTGCGAAACACATTCTGGAGGCCTGGTCCGAATCTAATAATAGATCACTGGCTGTTTTTTACTTGTTCAAATCACGACAGTATATCAAATTCGCACTTGATGACCCCAACCTCAACTCGCAGCTTACCGATTTCGTACTTTCTGTCGCCAACGATCATTCCCTGGCGGACTTCCGAAGAGGGTTACTTAATTTGGAGGAGGTCATTGAAAATATCCATCAGACAAATATGATATTGATCTATAAAGAGCTGGAGCATGAAGAGCCGGTTCATAGGAACTTTTGGGAATACGTCTGTTCATTCAACAGCCACACAGGAAAGCGAACGCGTCGAGATGATGAAGGGGGCCATGAAAGAAATAAACGCAATGAAAAGTCACCTTCTGAAGAGACAGAACAAAGTGAACAATAGATATGAATATGCTACGACTTTTATGAAACAGTGTAAGTGCATTCTAATGAAAGTAGTCGTGCTTGGTCAGTGATTACAGTCACTGAAGGACTTCAGTCAGTAAAAGACTGCGGTAAGGGAAAGACTGCAGTCGCTAAATGTGCGACGACTAAAAGTCTGCAGTCACGGAAAGGCTGCGGTCAGTAAACGTCTGCAGTCACTAAACGTCTGCAGTCACGGAAAGGCTGCGGTCACAGAAAGGCTGCGGTCACAGAAAGGCTGCGGTCACAGAAAGACTGCGGTCACAGAAAGACTGCGGTCACAGACAGACTGCAGTCACATAAAGGCTGCAGTCAGTAAACGTCTGCAGTCACTAAACGTCTACAGTCATAAAAAGACAACGGTCACTTGAGGACTAAAACCACATGATCAGGTTTTGGGTAATTTGCCAAACTACGATACAATGATTTATTCTCTAACTAACCTCGCATCCTTGACCCATATTCCATCGCCCGGCAAGCAAAGATCCGGAGGCGCCCAACGCCAGGCGATTTGAGAAAGAAATCATCCTGTAGGCGTTAGCTTAAACCATGCAAAGAAACATAGGGGTGTTACCTCAAGCAGTTGTTGGATTGACGCTCTGTCCGTCATCTGAATGAAATTCCGACAGAGTTCGCTGACATCGCCATGTTGCAGCTGTAGACCGACCGGATCCCGCACATGGGTTGCCGGCTCTTTTATATTTACTAGCAATGTACCAACCCCCCGAACATCATCTGCAAATCCCGTTTCTCTAGAACTAAGCACTGACTCCGCAATGTTGGCTGTAAGGCATCAGTCTTTATCCTTTTCAGTGCCTAACGGATTCATACCTAGCTTCAAATTACAGGTGAATAATGAGAGAAGGACATTTTTTACATTCAGCTGCCCATAAGTTATTCCCAGCCTATCATGGATGTACTGAAGACCCTGCAAAACCTAGAAATGAAGATTAATATATTCGTTTGCTTAGCTTAACAGAATATTATTTACCTCTTTACCAATAATTGCAAGATCTATCTCGGTAATTACCTGCCGGCTGGTCGCTCGTACCTGGTATAAGGAAACTTCGAGCTGTTCATAGACCGGACGCACTGATCTTGGCCCTATGAATACATCAAGGAGACAGACAATATTGACATGGTTGTCCCGTAGCGCCTGTGTAAGCTGGTGACGTTGCGTAGGGCTCACGCGAATTTTCTGCTCTTTGATCACGACAAGCCTATGGTCAACGGTGTTGTCGTGGGCAAAGATCCCGGGGCCCGCTTGGTCAGACACAAAAAGTTGATGGTATTTCTGCCATATTTCCTCCAATGGCAAGGTTAATTCTTCGTAATGGGGAACAACAGGAAAGCGAAGATTCTTCGGAACCAGTTTGTTAGCTGTCTGAGGCAGGACCTCGCTTATTTTCTGTGGCTTGCGAGAAGTATCTCCTTTCTCATCTTCTTTACACGGTGACTTTGAAGCCTTCAATTTCTCCAACGCATCATATCTGTTTCCATCAGGCCGGGCTAGAGATAAGGGTAGTAGGGTCTGGCGGTTGGTGGGATGCTTTGAAGGTTTGGACGCATCCATGAGCAAGTATCTTCAACCGTGTGTTTCTGGATCAAAGCTAACAAAGAATGACATGTAGCAAATGCTCAAGGCCAGAATCATGAATTGTGAGGTTTAAACCAATAGCTTACTCAGAGGACCTGCTCGCCAACGTGATGTAGTTGGGTCTGGGCCGCGGCATTCATTATATTTTTAATAAACCCAAACATTATTTCTTATAAAAATTACGACACTTCCATTGTCAGTATCGGTGAGAGACTACGTTATTATTTCCTATTTGACACAGCCCAGGAAAGATCCACGAGGCCTATGTCTCCAAGGTATAGAAGAAACACAGGGCGTTAAACTAAGCAAATCCACTAATGCGACCTCCTCTTAGATCCAGCATAAGAAATAAGGAATAAGAATCAGTGTAACACATGTAATATATTTTACCCACTTCTCAAAAATACACCCCCATCATTAGATGTAATATTGTATCTTTCCTTATAAATTACCTCAAGGTTATTATTGGCTTCAATTTCTGAACGTAGCATTAGAATTATAGCTACACAAGACTGTCTAGATATGAAATTGCCAGTGGTTTTTCAATAGATACGTTATAACCTGTTGTCCCACGCGATCCTATACACCCTATACTCAAGCTCGTAATATATACTTTTGCCGTCAATATTACAGTCTAATCCTTTCTCATAACGTAAGGCCAGGGGATCTGATCCTTGGTTTCACAGAAAAAAGAAAGGCAGCCCGGTTGATCCCCCACTCATACAAAGGAGTGATTGACGATCGACAATTACAGGTGGAGATATTGTGACATCGCCTGGAGCTTCTTATTATTACATTAGGCACCATACTGCCCGATTATTACGAGCCGAGTGGCTGGTGAGCTCCTGCCTAACAGAGTTAGTTGTATGTTTGTATTTTATTTCCCCCCCCCTTTTTTTTTTTTTTTTAACTTGGCTACAAAATCCACAATATGTATTCTTACGCATCTTTAATTGTCATTATCTCAACTGGTTACTTGTCAATTGAAGGGATCAATGCAACAGAACAAAGAATTTTCTGATTGTTCCTGCATTAACCTTCGTTGTATTAAATTTAATCTACCGTTCTAATTATGTAAATTACTGGTATTATTCATCTAGTTGATGACGCCTTCTATTGAAAGGCCTAAAATATTGGAAGACCAGAAGCCGCATTCAAATATAGCGCTTGCTTGTTGCTTGTGCTACCTTTTCTTATATATATGGCTCTCCTGACTGACAGAGGAAGTCCTTTTGTACCTCCTCTCAGTTTATATCCTCTGCTGGCAAAGATGATCGGAGCCGGGCGTCAGACAACTCTCCCATCGGGGCTGAAGAACAAATTTGAAGATAGAGATCCACTTCACGAGCAGAACTTGGAGACCACTCTTCCTCTTCGGGCCGTTTGGAGCGCTCCTGATAATTCAGAACTTCCTGTGGCGTTCAAGAAGCAAAGGTTCCCCCCTGTTACCAAAAAGCTCTATCTCCCCATTCTACCGGCGTCTAGTGGCCTGAACTCGCTGGCTCTTGCAGCTGTCCACATGTACCCAGTGTCTTTTTTCAAAACATATCCGTTGGAAGTGCTCCAGATACGTCCGGACCAGATTGTTAAAACATCTCACGAAAATCTAGTCAACCTGGAAGAAGCCTACCTCGGCCACAGATCGATAGTCTTGGCATACGACAGCTACGGTATCCCACTGGAGGAGATTCGTCGAGTGTCCAACGTATTCGCCAATGATGCAGGTGCAGTAGCCTGTATCTGCAGAGAGGTATGTACCTTTTTTTTTTCTGCCTTTCTTTTTACAATATCGAACATACGCTCACATTTGACCAGCTTCTCAAGGGGCTCAAATACATACATAATGAAGTTGGCATCGCACATGGAAATTTATCGTGCAGTACGGTCATCTTAACAGATAGAGGACAAGTGAAGATCAGTAAGACATGCGATATTTCGATGAAATATGAACCGAAGCTAATCTGAAAACTGCTTGGGAAGCCGACGTTGGAGATGGCATGGTCCGCAGCCGAGGTATCGAAGACAGAACTATGGACAACCGCGCCGTGGGCCAGATCGCAGCTACGCTATTGAGGCTCGATCGTCTAGAAGAAGATCTACCTGGACTCCGTCTTGAAGCGGAGAGCTTCATAAACGTCTCGTCAACTGCAACGGTGGATGAGTTGCTCAATGTTAGATGCCCTGAACTCAAAAGAAGAGTTTAAGCTAATCCAGGGTTATTTAGCATCGCTTTCTCCAGGCGGGGGTCGAACCTTGGTGCCTGCAGTCTCTCGCTATCTTGTCAAAAGTCATACGTTATACTGTTTGAGGGTCCATCTGTCCTGAGAGCATACATGTATATAAACATAATTTGCACAGCTTAACCTCTGGTTAGGTTTAGTTGAAATTGGGAGACTATCACTAAAGAGTTGAGAGTAGCCAACGGTTAAGTCTATTCTATAAAATAATTTTTACACAGTACCGGAATGATTAATACTTCACAGCTGAAACTAGTTTCATGGCAAACTATGCCAACTTATTCCGGAATCACGCATGCTAAGACGAAACCTTAAAATTGGATGAATTCTGAATTGAGCTTAAATAGGACTTGAAAATACTTGGATGAAGCACTTCCCTGCAAGTATTCTGGAATCACTAGGACCAATTGAGTTCTGGGTCCTATGAGCGTAATCGTACTATCCCCGTTGTTTCGACATGGAACAAATGAGATGAAATCGATTATAGGGCTTCCAAAATTATTCAAAGCAGGATTCTCTTTGCTACCTGAAGATCTTTGATCTTTTTCACTAACTGGCGGCGTTTTCGCTGAAGCGATGCTTCCTCTCCTGCAATCTCCTCAAGCTCGTCTTGAGTGAGACTGTTGACGAAGGAAGGAGACAATAACTTCATCGGGGTTTCTGGGCCATTCACCAAATAATAACCTGCGGCCTGCATACATACATTGTCGACAAACCGCTTCCGAGCCACTTGGTAATATGATTGGAGAATGTCGTGAAGGTCCTGTACGGTATGTGCAGTGTTGCTTATACTTTTTTGGGGGCTCAAATCCTCCACTCGCACTACGTTCCCGTGCGAACAGCCGCTAATCGCCTTTTCTTCTATCACGGAGCTCGTGCGTTTCTGTCGACTGTGCGAAGTTAGAAATCTCACAAGTGATAAAGGGTCGGAACGACGATACCATTTCTCTAGAGTGTCATTAAGATTATGATTCAGTGTCATTAGCGTGCTTGAGCACTCGTTGACCAGAAGAAACTGCACTTGACTGATTGCGTTCTGGTATTTCCCTAGAAGCCTATCCATGATCATAGACAGTAGGTTGTGGCATACACTGGTGTCAGCGCAAGCTAGACTCAAAGCTCTGAGAATAAACCCATGAACCATAGTGATAATATCACCAATATACCCAGTCGCGATGGATGTCCATTTTGTTGACTGCTTTTTCATAATCGTTGGGAGAAGCGCCGAGTTGAAGGTTCCAATCTCGAATCCTCGTGAGCCTCGGTATTGACGTTCTATCCATGAACGTATGTCATTGCGAAAGGGCTGCGCAACTTCCACTGCCTGCGGTAGAATGTCCTCGATCCCAGATATATCCTCAAGCATTCGTGTCGCCAACCAGCCTTCTGCGGGTTTATCGATGGAGATATTAACTCCAAATTCGTCCAATTCTTGAGAATCCTCAGTCTCAAATTCATACTCGTGGCCCCATCGAGCCATATTGTCAGAAAACATCTCATTCCTATTGACAACTCTGGTGGCCAGACGAAGAATTTCCTCTTGATCAAATTCATCCCGGAAGCTATAATTTGAGCCTAGCGCATGAGATGTGATATCCTGGAACGATGACACTATTCCAAAAAGGAAACTGGCTTGCTGCTCCGGGGTTTCTCGATCTGCTCCAAGAGCCTGCAGGGCATCTTGACATTCTCGTAGTTTCTTGCTTATCTCAGATCGTACCTAGTATCCATTTGTCAGCTGTAGAATGATATCAATGGCTCCAGATGTACTGACAGATGGAAAAGATCGTCGCGCGTTTGCAGTTACTGTCTCTTGGAGATGAGTACGCAACGCTTTGATACCAAACTTGTCTCGCGGGACGGTATCCCAGGGGCGCTGCAAAAGAAGCTCATCTTCCAATACATTCCGATCCACATCACCTTCTTCCAGCTCTTTTTGTCCTAGGTTTCTTACAATAATCCATCCCAGCTTCATCTGCATCTCTCTTCCCTCAACCAGGTCAATGACTTTACCCTCTCCGCCTTTGTCCACTAGATCTGGCTTGGTGATAACACCAAGTGTCCTATCACCCTCCGGATCAAACTCACGAGCCATTTCAACAATTTCTTGAGTCGCAATATCAACATTTGCTGGCACAACTGTGAGCATTATTGACCGAGGATTTCTCATATACCCTTGAACCATGTCTCGGACCAAAGCCTTGTCATTTCTTGTCGTCAAACCTGGCGTCGTGTTCCGGAAGATGCCAGGAACATCGATCACACTGAGATGATCTTCCTTTGGACCGCAAATCTCCAGTCTCAAGACGCTACCTGAGAAAGTAGGCAAACCGTCATCTTTCGATGTCGAGAGCCCCATTACCGTGTGAACCTAAGAGTCGGTATTAGATAGGCATTTCCCGTTAAAGTGCTGACATACTTCTGCCATAGTCCTTGAGAATGATTCTACAGTCAGAGACTGTATATTTTCTGCCTTCCACGCTTTCAGTTGGGACTCATGTGTACTTTCCACGTCGGATCCAGGAATGATAGATGCGGTAATTCTTCTTTCATCGTCCTCGGTTCGACGAAAGATAATCTGTGTGGCAAATCGTGTACACAGACCGCTATCTCGAGGGAAAGCCAGTCTAGTAAGCCCTTCAAGAACTGAGCTCTTGCCACTCGATTGATCTCCGACAACAACCAGCTGAGGAAGATTGATATAGTCGCCCACATTGCATGCGAAGAGTTTGTCGATTTTTTCTAGCAAATGTGGGTCCGCAAGCGTCTGGTTATCTTTAAGAGCATGTATAGCCATGATGTGCCCCGAAGAGAAATGTCAAGAATAATGGTATCATGGACGGAGATCTCTGGTTTCCTTGGTTCTTTATAATAGCCCCAGAGTCCTTTTACACTATCAGCCATCAAGGGAGCTGCATTCATGAAAAGTATTACTCCGCAAAAGAATGGAGGAAAAGCAAACCACCGTGTTAATTCCAAAGCAGGCACTTTGGTGTAAAACCCAAAGTGGAAGTACGCGCATCCTGAATGAAAGCCACAGTTATGAAGAAACAACAGGAATGCTTTGCTACGGCTAGTGTGCAGTCCTATTACTTAGATAATTTCGGCAGCAACCATGGATTTGGACGCCTAGACAACTCGACGCGTAACGTTAGCTGTACAGCATTCCTGAGCCATCCAGCAATCTGAATATGTAAGGGGTACATTATAAAAATGGTTCCATTTAACATCAGCTCAATCCGGCCATTATAGCCTGTTAGTTTGAATGTTCCTAGACAGGAGCAGAAACTATCCTCGTGTGCCTTATACCGCATCCATACATCATAATTTCTCTGTAATCATATTTGAAAAATAAGTTGTGAAGTAGGAAGCCTCTCCTGGATAGGATGTGTAATAAACCCATTAGACCGCTGGCCTGCCTTAAAATGAACATTTAATATGTTCACATTCCTGCTATGTTGCTGATGCTTGAGGCAATCACCATTCTTGTCTTTGCTTACGCCATAAGAAACATCTTGAATTGTTGAATCCACCCATGAATGTGGCTTTCACTCAGCATATGCGTGCCTTGGAAATTCTTATTCTCTCCCAATGCAAACGAGCGAGGCCTGTTCGACCTTCCCTTGGAGAACTTGAGTTTGCGTTTCCGAAAATTTGTGAATGGGGCGTGACATGACGAGAAGATCCGATACTGGCTGCCCAATAAAACACTCTGCTAGGTTACCCTGACAGGTGTATGGTCGAGGCGGTGGCTGAGAGATGTTGTGTTACGGGACAGGATGGCCGTGCAGATGTGCAAACACACCGACTGACCTTGATGAGAATTTTGACTGGCTGTTCTAATCACGAGGTCTGGCTCTAGCTCAATAGTATTATCTGATAGAATATTTAATTTTTGCCATGACGCAATTTGAAACCTTACTGGTGATGCATCCTAATCATAAAGAGGGGCACTGCCGGTCGAGACTAGTCGAGTGACACATATTGCATCATGGGTATCACTCACGTCGTACACACTTCAAGTGAGAAAACTTGCGAAGTGGTTGATGATAATAAATTGATGGGAATATCCGAATAAAAGCAGATCGAATTCTACAGCCCGAGGCTCTTCGAACTACATTCCGTATTCCATCTTAGGAGTCGCTATTGCTATAATGATGGCTGACGCCCTCGAGACCCTAGGCCTTAGGGCGATACTGGCCGATGATAACCTTACTTTGCTCAATGTGATTGATCAGTTGCGGTCGCAAGGTGCAAGCCACTATGTCTCTCTTCCGCAACTTATTGTTTGTGGGGATCAGTCATCCGGGAAAAGTTCAGTATTGGAAGCAATATCAGGGATTCCATTTCCTACAAAGGATAATCTGTGTACCCGATTTGCTATCGAAATGATTCTCCGCCGAACAAGCGAGGTTAACATTTCAGTCTCTATTGTTCCGAGTCATGACCGAAGTGAGGAAGATTGCAAACGGCTCGCAAGCTTCAAAGAACCTCTACAGGTATTTGGTGATCTGCCCAACTTGATCGATAAAGCCAAGGATGCCATGGATATTGCAACCGCCACCTCGGCCTTTTCAAACGATGTACTACGTATCGAGATTTCTGGCCCAAGCCACCCTCATTTGACGATTGTGGACCTACCGGGTCTGATTCACTCAGAAAACAAATTGCAATCAGTTTCGGATATTGTACTAGTCCAAGGAATGGTACGGTCCTACATGGCTAATAAAAGAACTATCATTCTGGCTGTAGTGTCGGCCAAAAATGACTATGCGAATCAAATTGTTTTAAAATTGGCCAAACAAGTAGACCCTAAAGGGCTACGTACTCTGGGCATTATCACCAAACCGGATACACTGTCTCAAGGGTCGGACAGCGAAAACGCATTTGTGAGCCTTGCAAGAAATGAAGATGTTGAGTTTCGTCTTGGTTGGCATGTTCTCAAAAATCGAAATTATGAAATGCGAGATTCTAGCCTGCACGAACGGGACGAAGCAGAAGAACAATTCTTTAGCACTGGGGTATGGGAACATCTGCCTAGACACCTTGTGGGGATTACAGCACTTCGTCTGCGCCTAAGCAGAGTCTTACTTCATCAAATAGCCTCTGAGTTACCCGACCTGGTGAAAGAGATCGACCAAAGCATTGTTGAGTGTCGAAAGGAACTTGGACGCCTTGGTGATCCGCGCAGTACTTGTGACGAACAACGGTACTTTCTCCTCAAAATCAGCCAGTCGTTTCAGAGCCTAGTCTATGCTTCCCTTAATGGTGCATACGAAGACAGCTTCTTTGGGGATCCTCGTACGGAGCAAGGATTCGCAAGGCGATTTCGTGCTGTGATCCAGAAACTCAATTTGAAGTTTGCAGAGCGCATGCGACTGGACGGATGTCGACGCAAGATAGTCAATACGAAGGCCCGTGACCTTTGTGTGGACCATGACAACAATATTGAGAGCTGCAGCAGTCAAGGTCAAGAGGAAGTAACAAGAGCTGACTTTATTAATGAAATAAAAGAGCTTCTTGGGCGAACTCGAGGCCGCGAACTTCCAGGCATGTACAATCCCATGATTGTTGGGGATATCTTCCACGACCAGTCAAAGCCGTGGGAGAAAATCGTGCATCAACATCTTGATGCAGTTTACAGTGCTGCTGAGGTGTTTTTGAATCAACTTCTTTCTCACCTGACCAACGAGCAAGTCTCCGAAGGCTTGAATCGACAGGTTTTGTCGCCCTTTCTCCATAACATCTATTCCAGGTTGGTTGAGAAGGGGGACGAGCTGATCAATCTATCAAAAAATATGCACCCAATAACTTACAATCACTACTTCACCGACACTATTCAGAACATTCATGAGCAGCGGCTGGAGACTGAGGTTGCTCACAAGCTTCAAACGTTCTTTAAAGCGAAAGAGGTCAACACTCTGGAGGACCTTCGCATGAAAAATGTCAAGATATCCAGCTTAGTCAAGGCGCTTGCGACTCGGAATGAAGCAGATATGGATAGGTATGCAAGCTCCGAGATACTGGACTGTATGGAAGCCTTTTACAAGGTAGGCACAAGCTTTGAGAATTGGTTTTCTTTCCGAGCTTTGATTCTGACCGGAATAGGTTGCATTGAAACTCCTGGTCGATAATATCACAATTCAATGTGTCGAAGCAGTGTTAGTTTCAAATATGGACCAAGGGTTTTCTCCTTCACAGGTGCTGGAAATGAAAGACAACCTTATAGAAGTGATTGCCTCAGAATCAGCAGCATCAAGACGAGACCGTGCGGTTCTCTCTAGAAAGCTAACAACGTTAGAGTCCTGTCTATCAGTATGCAAGCAAGCGATGATCCACAGAGCAGGAACCGAAGACATTTCTTGCCATCTCCAGGACATCAACGTGGATATGTATTGGACGAATAAGGACAAAAGCATGGATCAGGTTGATGGCTATTCTGTAGGAAAAACATCTTGTTATACGGATATATGCTAATGAGATGAAAGAGCAATAGTGATGAGACAGATATTCAAAACGGGATCACATCATTACTGCCTTCGGTACCTATGATTGCCAGTGAAGGTTTGTGATCAATCGCCCTCATTAGCAGAGGCCAGCTGTCTTACACTGGTGTCCCAATTAGGTTCAAAGGGCAAAAAAGCGAAAGGGCGAAAGGCCATAAAATAGTCAGAGACTTGGACACGCTTGAAGCTTCTGTTTTAGACAGCAAGCGAAATTGCCGATAACAGTTGCAGTCAGAAGAGAAATCCTTGCTTCGAGGGTGATGGGATAAAAGGCCTTGTTCGTTAAGATAACATAACATTAAATGATTTTAAACCCAATATTCCAATTGTAGAAGATTAAAGAGGGAATATGCTACCCGTTCATAGTATGTGCCCTGATAGAGGCTATATCTGACTCGAAGGCCGAATGCACTGACTTTTCCGTAAATTCAGTTGGATACTTGGATGAGCAGGTGCACATATGCGACAAGCAAGGCTGTCCATTTATCAGATTCGCATCTCTTCTCTGTTATTTGTTTCAGATTTCCAACCAACCGCTGATTACCTTGTGAAAATATGAATAGCAACTGGATCATCCCCGGCAAAGACACCACCGCTCCTTTTCAAATCTTTTCCTGGCTAACCTGTGAGCGAACTTTCTATCTATATTTTAAAATTTCAAAACTAGTGTTGATTTAATCCACACCTATTCTGGGTGAACCTCTTGCCCGGGTGGCGAGGCAGAAGAGACAATTTGGGATAGGGCTTGAAGTAGCAAGGCTGTGAGGGGGCACAGGACAAGGCTTTACATATGACTCACTAAAAACCGTGAGCCTTATGCATCCTTTGGGCATGCACGCAGGCTATGACGTACGGCTAGAAAAGCTTTTTGTTGGCGAGGCTAGCTATACATCTATATAAATCAACTCAAATGATTTCCCCAGCGCTCTAAGACCTTGGTGAGTATAGTTTGCTGCTATTTATACTCGTCCGCTTTATAAATATCGGGCTCCATTTACATGTTCTAGAGCTTCTGAATAAAAAGCATGAAAGTGTTCATCATGAAGTTAAAATCGCTATTTAATAGAAGAAAACCGCCTCTTTCGAACTCCGCAGCAACTACAAGTACTCCAGAAGGTACGTGTTCAAATGTTTTATGGACTTAGTGATCTTGCTGATTATAGACAGCATATAAGCATACTGCTTACAACGAGAGCCTAGTTAACTCAGCACGTCCTGCTCTTTTCCCTTGTTACAACCCACAGGCCACTGCAGACGACTATATATCAACATACCCTGGCCTAGTCACCCCGGACCTCTCATGTGTGGGGGTGCCACCTTTTTTGCTTTCGTCGCAAAATTCGTCTGTATCTGCCAATCATCGATTTCCGCTGTGTAAAATTTGTCAGACTCCAACCATTCTCAAATTCGCAAAACTATCAAACGAGAACGGAAACGGCGGACGACCATATTTCAAATGTCATAGTTGCGAAAGATTCTGCAAGTGGGCAGACAGAAAAGGGATATTCAACAAGAATCCTTTATGCCACTGCGGCCAGCCCAGTAGACTGGAACTATCGAATAAGTACAAGGAATTTTTGAACTGCGCTAATAAGGACTGTGGGTTTTTTATGTGGAAAAAGGACGCTTCACGTGTACCTGAAATGCAGGGCACATGTGTGAGAAGGACCTGTTGAGAGAGCTTTTGCTTTTTGATTCCTTCTTTCAGGTTATCCTGTTACTTGTTACTTTGCTCCTCATGACGTTCGGGACAAAAATTCAGAAACAAAGAAAAAAGAAAAAAGAAAAAGAAAAAAACAAAAAAGGCAGTGCACTGAGATCTTTTCCAAAGGGTCTCTATAACTACAATTCCTTAGTAATTCAATGATGATTTTCTCTGAAGGCCAATTTTAATCTCTACCTGCCGACATCATGAAAACCTTATGGGCTAATCACAACCCCCGCGAACCGATAGACTATATCGATTGGATGCACGGACCATCGTCTCCGCACTAAGTCGCCAAGTCTTATGGGATGCTGCCCGCGTTCAACTCACGTGGTCTCCCGTTTCATTGTCAAGGAGGCCATAGTTTCTACTTTTCGAGCGAAATTTATACAACATAACCTCATTCATCTTGGCCAGTAAACTTGAACTGGTTATAAACATTACAATCATACGGCGCAGGCTTAACAGCGGAGGTCCATGCCTCACTAGTTATGAGAGATTGGTATAAATAAAGAGCTGCAATTTCAGCTACGACACCTTCCGCGTTGCTCTACTACTGCAGCCCGATCTTCAGTGGCTTTTACTCAAACCACACGTAGCCTTTTGGATTTACGTTCTTTAAGTCCACACCGTCGTTTGAGAGAGTCTGGCCGCTTCTGCATCGGCCGATGATCCAATGTGCATCGATGGAAGTCAATGATTAAAACCCGTTTTAGTTCGGCATTCCACAAGAGGTTTTCCAGTCGGAGATCCTGGTGGAGGATGCCTAAAGAGCGAATCTCCTTAACCGACCGAGAAATCGCACGCTGAATGGTCTTGTCGAGATTCGTATGGTCCACGCTCTCACCCCCCCAGCCCATAAGAAGCATATGACGGATTTCTCCCGCGCCGTGGAGGAAGTAGATCTGGGCCAGATCAATAGATCCTAGAAAAACTGGAACAGCCGATCCTTGGGCTCGCTGAAGGACATGATAAATGTCCGCTTCACGCGATACCTCATTCCAAAGTCGTGACGTCGTCCCTTTGCCGACAATAGTGTACCCATATGTGGCACATGTGATCTTAAATGGCGCACCATAAGACCCACAAGGACCTGTTGGAGTACAGTTATGATCTAGATCCTGATCAAGCTGCGCCTGGAGGTTCTTCGCTAAATCCTCTGCGCTGATTGGATGGCGGTCGTCACTTCTTCCGCCGAGTATATGCAGCTCTGTGTTTGGGCAGTCAGGATCAAGCGGGCCGCCTTGCTGTAGCCCTAGAAGGCACGTTTGTGTGCAATACTGGGCAAAATGGGAACGAGATTGCCCGCCCTGGTTCCCTCGAGAATGTGTTTGAGTCGCAAGCTGTTGGGTTGGAGGGGACGATGTGATTTGGCTAAACCCGCGCTTCCGTCCAGCAGATGCGGCAGGGTCTACCTCAGAATCTGACGAATCCTCTTGGAGATACTGGTCGGATGAAGGCGCGCAGCCAGAGGCCGCTCGTGCGGGCACTCGACGACCTTTGGTAGCGGGAGATCCCGCGGGAGCCCCCGCAGGCGGCGATGAAGGTATATACTCAGAGGTAGATCGCTCAGAACTGTTGTCCGGTTTCGGTTTCGGTCTCGGTAAAATATTTATCCATCGCCGCTGGATTGGCCGACTCCGATCACCACCTTCTTTCCCTGCGAACCTCCTAAATGTAGGCCACGATTCTTGACATCCAGGGCCCTTCCAAAACATCTCTATAGCTTTTCAATTTCACTTGATTTGTTTTTATTCTAATTATGTTGAAAGAATTCTTTCCCTTGTTATTTTTTCGCCACTACTGGGCATGTGATTCTGTTAATTCGCTGGCGTTCGTGGCAAAGAATCTGAAACAAAAAAGAAATCTCCAAGTATCTCAATAATGACTTTTTTCTGGGGGCCATTGATAGAATTTATTAGGAACACTATCAACTCGTAGATAGTCAATTGCATAATCCTCATGATAATTGGTCAGCTCATCGTCGGAAGACGTCATAAACTCGATGGCCTATGGATTCTTCACCAACTAACCAACCTGTGAGATATAAGTGACCTTGAGCGTTATGAGCGCACTAATAAGGTAGCATTATAGCGAACCAAACAGGAACCTTAGTAACTATCAATATCAGGCCATCCAGCTGATTACGTATCGTGGATAGTTAATCATCATATAGTTTGTTTAGAATAGTAAGGGCAGTAATGACCTAGTTAATGTCGTAGCTTGATTGTGTCTCGCTTATAGATACTAAGTGAAAGAATTTAAGAACAGCCAATCTCATAACGAAAAACTGTAATTGAACTATATAAATATCGTCGAGCAGAGCAACCTAAAACTAGGAACAGGCCCGTGCCTGCGCCTCATACAATCCACCAGGCCGACGATTGATCGTGAGCTCGTCAAGGATGCCGATATTCCAAATGACTTTCAGATTATTGAATATGGACTGTGCATTCGCCATTGATAGAAAAATTCCATCCTCGTTGATCTTCTCGTGGAGTAACCACGTATCTTCTAGGTGGAGAAAGCGCAAGGAGGCCGCCTGTTTCCGGACAAATTCCTCCAGATTCTCTAAGGATAGCCAGCAGCTTGCCAGCTCGAACCGCCGCAGAGAAGGGAGAGAAACTTGGCCTAGTAACTCCAAGATTGTAGGGCTATTGATGGCCTTAAGCTCTTCAACGTGGCTGAGCGCGTGACCCACCCAATCCAGTAAAAACGGGTCGGCTGGCTCGAGCCGAGAGTAAAACCCAGATATTGTAAATGCCCTTATTGTGACACCATCCAGTTTGGCAACCATCATGGCTGCTACCATTTTCACCAGATGTTCGGTAAGGGCGTGCATACAGTCCAGGACGCGACCAGCAAACCAACGAAAAGGTGATTGAATACCATCTGTGAAGACCATTTCCACGGTTTCCAGGTTTCTAAAACGGGGAATGGAGGTTATAAGGACCTCGGGGTCTCGAGCTTTCTCTTGGACCAGGCGCTGTTCCCGTGCCTGGGTGCTGAAGTAGTGAAAGATGTTCGAGTATGGGACTTTCTTTCCCCCAAAAGTCCAGAAGCATTCGTTCTGATCACGGTCATACTCAGCTGGCGTATAGATCCGAGACCGAAAATAGTCGTAGTTTTCGATAACTAGGAGCATCATTGGCAAGTTATCTATTGAAAGTAGGTAGTACTCACGAGGGTCAATTCTCTCGGGAACCTCATAAACAATCTGTCGGACATGCGGCGCTATCCTAGAGTGTGATATATGCAGTAGGCGGTCCATTCCCGCTATCGAGAAGGCGACCTTTAGCTTCCTGAAAATGTGGGATGCACAAAGCTGGCGTAGTGCTCGATTCGCTGAGGAGAGTCGTAACAAAGAGCTACGTTCTTGGGTATATTGGATAATATATAGTAGCAATTCGGGCGGGAGATCACAAAAGCCGGCTTGGTGCTGGGTATCGTCCATATCGAGAAATATTCTTATGTTGGTTATTAAAGGCGGTTTGTCTCAAGTAGAGAATATGAAGACATACAATATTAATCGTGGTCAACATCAGCTCACTTGCTCAAACGTAAATATATTACTCTATATCTATATTGAGATATGCGAACCTTAGGGCCTGAGACATTCAAACCGAGGTTAGACTGGATAGACATAGTACAGAAACAAAAATACCATTTGTAAAGCACACCGAAGAAAAAGCACCTTCGGTGCGGTACGAAATGGGCCGCAAACCAATCAAGTGCATAGTGGAGGTGACACACTATTCAAGGCAAGTAGTTCAGGGCCCGGTCGCAGCATAACAGCGACCGATTGAATAACTGAAGTCTGTGGAATAATGGTAAATTACATTTATTACCGTTTGGGGGCAGGATGCCCTCGGATATTACAGAATTACGGTTATTGTTAAGCTTGTGACTGGCATGATTTGGGTGGAAACTGCAATGCACGCATATTGATAAAGCGCGCGCTATTTTAATTACATACTACGTAGAAACCCTGATGCCAGGTGATTTACCCACCTCTAATAGCCCACTATATAAATTACAGCCCGCTTTTATAATCCTTGTTCCTGAGCCAAGGAAAGATTCAATAATATCTGACCCACCCAGGGAAATTACCCCGACCCCCGCTTGCGACATGCCAGTCTGCCCACTTGAAAAGTGAATCGACGAAAGTTTACAGAGTAATGTATCTTATTCCCTGACCCACTGACCTAGATGTACAATACCCCGTCTTATCTATGGTCCACTAGATAAAAATTACGCCCCATAGTCCACCAGGAATCAAGTTTATATAAATTAAAATAAAATGAAATAAATAGACAGTTTCCAAGGATACGATACATGACCCGAGGATTGTGGAACCTTGATTTTGAATGCCCATTATACCAGAAGATTATAAACAGTAATAAATTGAGCCGGTAAAACTCTAACTGCTGGACCTTATCGAACTTATGTTTATCGTATACTGTAATATACTTGACTTCAAAGACGCATCCACTATTAGTGTATGTTGTGCGATCTAGACTTGTAATCATAGGCGTGGTCCCTTTCTAGAGGCTTTACCTTGCGTATAAATACTATGCGTGAAGTAGCAAGGATCGCTAAAACAAGGCATATTGAAACACTGTTTTTAATTATGGCAGAGTCTAAAGTCCTTGCTTCTCTAATTAACTTACGTCAGACCATTCTTCCTAAGACTCCGCCCGAGAGCATGGAAGAGCCGGTCGCGAGAGGGTCGGGTTTTATCTAATATAGCTACCCGTACAAAACATACGAACATTTCTTCGTTGGGCTGGAGCCCCAGTAGGATAGGATTAATACCATTGAGTTCACAGAAAACCGTCCAGTGGCATATGTCAGAAAGTCTACAACAAACAATACAGAGAAAAAGATGGACTAGTTGAGGGCTACTTAGCATCACAACCTGGTCAACCTCAAAGAGGCCTTTGTGACCGATAGCTCTATTTTTTTTATTTACGAGCGCTGGGGCACCTCCCTGGAGGAAATTTGCCAACTGTGGCCGGTATTTAAAGTAGGCGAAGTTGAAGTGGCCACGCTTTGTAATGAGGTGAGACTTTAGGAGATCCTGTTCGGGGTAAGCAGTTGACCTCCTATCAGGTTCTGAACAGCTTGAGATACATCCACGATGAGCTTGGTGTTGGCCATGGAGACCTATGTCTGGAACATATTTTCATTATGGAGAATGGAGACGTCAAGATCGGTCAGTATATCTACTAAGCGGACCACTTCCAGATGGCTGACTGTGGCTAGGGAATATTGGCGAGAGTATGATCCGTGCGTCGAACCCACGAAGGAAGGCCCAGGATCTGCAGGCACTCTGCGGTATAACACGAAACCTGCTTCGCCTGGATAAGGCTGAAGAGACGGGTGGGACTATACGACTGCTCGCGGGAGACTTTGCTGGTGCTCCATGCTCAGCGACAATAGAGGAACTTCTCTAAGTATATATTAGATAGAATAAATACTTCTGATCAATATCTAGCAAACTAACACTATCTAGCATCCATTTCTCAGAATCAAGTCTGGAAGCTGGTGTCTTCGACCGATTAATATTATATACACGATTGTACAGAAAGCACAATTGGGGCGTTGAAAAAGAAGATATAAAATATTATATTAAGCCAAGATAATAATAACGTTTATTTTATTACTTCATAAATATTCTCGGACTATGTCGCCAATAATCCCTTTCAAACAGCCATTTTGTACCGTAACCTCTACGCGCCAACCATATCATAAAAGCCAAGATCTGCTAGTTGGGCCGCCTGCTGCATTAAATCATTTCGTTAGCTACGCGGTTAAGCCGGTTAAATATTTTACAATACAATACTTGCTAAATCCTATACCATACAGGCGATCTGTTAAGTTTACTCTCGCCTACAGTATATATTTTATATGGCTCAGGAATAAAAGGTTTTTACCCCTTCTACACATTTAGCAGCTTTGGTATGTTCCTGTTATATTGCTTTTTAAGAAAATGCAAGCCGCCTTAGATGCTCCACAGTTAGATGCATACCCCCAACCAGCTCGTACTACAACCAACTTCACTGTGGATACAGAGTACATTCATATGTATTTAGAGCTGGATAATATCCACTGGGCATATAATTTCTTAGCAAGCTTCGCTAGCTGGACTTTTCTAACTAGCTATCTCGTGGTTCCCGGTACATTTACCTCTCTTCAAAATTCCGAGTCACTTGAAAAGGAGCTTAATCACAGCTCGACAAGTGGTATTTTAAGTACTATGCAGAATCCGCCGCTGGTGGCTATCACATGCACATTTCTCGGGGTTAGTGTATTTACTATGCTGGTTCTATTTTATAGATAGAGACATAACTACATATAGGTTACTAATCGACTTTTTTTGTAAGTCGGGTGTTATTTGGTATACTTCTCTCATGGACGCCGTGACGTGCTGACCGTAAAAGGCTGACATGTCTTAATGCCTGTGCTGGGCTCCTCACTACCCTTATTAATATTTATATATCCAGGGAGGGCAATTAGTCAATTATGGCCCTTCTGACGGTCATTGCTACCGGGTTATCTGCTATCACCTCACTGGGATTAACCGGGTTCTATAAATTTTAGAAGCTCAAGATAGTTTAGCAGGAGCACGAACGGCAAACTAGTATCAGATAGGAAAGAATACTTCCCTGACTGCTGCACGGGAGCATAAGTAAACCCAGGTCTTACCAGTTAAATAAGAACTATCTTGCTATGACAATGTGATGAAGAAGCAGCAGGAGTGGTTTGCTAGCATAAAGTAAAAAGGCTAGACTCACTACACCAGTCAACAGTGTATTTCTAAAATAATATCGAGGACTCTAGCTATAATACTAAAAGAAAATCTGAGACATCAGTTACGAAAGCATTAGCACCCGGGATTTCCATGTATGTACTACATCTAGCTGCGAAATAGCCCACAAATTCTAAATCCCTGCTACAAAAAAGCCCGAAGTTACGAATCTAAGCATTCAGGCTCCGCTAAAATAGTCATACTTTATTCACTCCGGAGATCAACAAGTGGCGGGTTTTGTCCCTTTTAAATAATCTTATTTCTGTAATTTTGGTTGTCACACAATTACTTCTTATTTTTACTTCGCATGAACTGCCTGCGACCGATAGAATATAGATATAGAGGACCGATAAGTCAATAACCCTTGTTTTATAGAGCAGTTGATCCTCTTATCTGGTTCTCGGCAGGAGACACCGAGATTATGGCAAAGATAAGTAATTACTTTTACGTCTCTTTTTCTTTATTATTTCTTTATAGCAGGCTCCTGGCGCCTTTTAGTATTACTAGTACAAAAAATTCTAAAAGCCTTGTCCATCAGGAAACCTCTCTACTCTTATAGGCCATATCATCTTTAGTAGGCAAGGCAAATAAATGTGGCCTGATAGTAAGAACACAATTTCAATTTATTTTAACACGTACATAATGGACACTGGCAAAAAAGGAAATGAACATACAAAGGAAAATAAAAGCGGAAAATAAAAAATATCAAGCCGCAAAGACAACGCAGTAAGGTATTACCGTTGATTTTCAACTGCCTTTGAGATAGCACTAGTCCGACAATGCTCACAGCTTAAGAATGAACCAGTGAACTTAAGCTTGTTGTCACAGGGAGGGAGTCATAGCGCCTCAGGCCTTGGGTCGCTGCTCTCCTGTTGTTTCCGCCTCGCGGCTCTTAGCCAGGGGTCCGTAACAGAAATGCGCGCGTCAGATGGGGACCGGCGTCAGGTGATCATCCATGGTACGCCGGCCTGCTCGCAAGCGGTGGGTAACTCCCCGCATATGATAGGCTGGGACGGAGAATGAATAGCACCGGCCGACAGCGACCGGCATTATTGACAACCTCATGTGTCTCTTCGTCTGCCCAGATTCTTCGACATGGCCCACCCAGTAAATATCCAAGAAGATCGCGCCTCCCCAGCGTCGTGCGAGTTGAATGCAAATGACAGCACCCCTCCTGAGCAGCGTAACTTCCCTTTAACACCCCCACCGACCGGAGAACGACAAACACAAGACGCGTCGACTGTGGAGCGGGTTCTACGTACCTTCAAGGACCTTCGAAGCTCTTGTCCGACGTCGCTTCCTCTCACGGTGAAGCTGAAGCCAGTGCAGTATTCCAGACTACTTGGTGGACTTACAAAGGACCCAGACCTTAAGGCCTACGTCAACGACAAAGTGCGGTATGAGGCCCGTTTTCCCTCACGTATAATATGCGACTAAAAGTACTAGCTGGGAATTCGACGCAAAATCTGAACAACTTGATGTCCGGATGCCGACCCCGGTGCACGATATTTTCGTGACCTCCATCGCCGGCGAAATAGACAACCAACTCCAGCGAGTAGTTGACGTTAAAGGTCCGGCCAGCAAATTTGCGGCGCAGATCGTGAGCGGTGGATCTTCCCGCATCCTTCTAAGGACAGATACCACTGAGGATGATCAATTGGTGGATTCAGACGTGTGTCTCTGGCGCCAACCCGATGCCCAGTTCCAGCACTCTTTGGCAGCATATCCAGGCGTGGTACTCGAGGTTTCGTATTCGCAGGACGGCAAAAACCTCCAGAAGCTGGCCCGCGACTATATCATGCACTCTAATGGAAATATTAAAGTGGTGATTGGCATCGATGTCACATATGAAGGGAAGGAATCCACGTTGTCCTTATGGCGAGCGTCATATACGCCGGAAGAAGGCGAAGATTACTATAATCTGGATGTCATGCAGGAGGTCAAATCGGAGGTAATCCTGTCCACTATCTCTATTCAAATCCCAGCTGACAGAGATTAGATATTTCGAACGCGAGATGGTTGCCCCACGAACACAACTAAGAGTATCCGCGTTTGTCTTGCTGACTTCGGGCCGGATGAGATATCGGGTGAATATGAAGCAGTGGTTATATCACTCAGTTACGATACATTGCTCTCTCTTCTCACCCGTGCGGAGCAGGTGCATATCGCACGAGAGTCGGCTTCCGATAACCGCGGAGTCGAGTCCAAACGCAAGATTAGAAAGCGGAAGTTACCATCATCATCACCGGCTGAGCAGTTGAGATCCGATGATGAAGCGGAGCATCAGCGCCAGGAAATGCAAGCAGAGGAACGGGCTGCTGCGGCGGACGACGATTTCGAATTGCCATCATCCCGCCGGCGGCGGCTTACGGGTTAGAAGGAGATATGTTATGAATGTTTCTGCGGACAGGTCAGGGTTTTCCATCCAGAACTAGAAAAATTTTTGCCTCATCCGAGGAACGGTCTTGAAGCTACTTGTAACTTGGATGATATTACAAGGAGATTGTTTGGTTATTGCCGACTATTTCTACCTACGGGGAGGAAAGGTGACTGTACTTATCTGCACAGGATGGAGCTGGACACAGTGCGGAAGATACTATAAAGCAGTTCTATGAACGAGGAATACATTTATCCTGTTATCCAAACTCGCCAGCCTCTCAACGTGGATTGCCTTCGGTTTACCCTGGTTGATAGGCCGTTCAGAAGTAGAATTCTTGCCAGGGCTTATTGTAAATTCGGGAAAATGTGGGATGATCGCCCAATCAAAAAAGTACTGTCTATACAGGTGCTGTCAGGTTCTCAGAAAGATTGCGTTCTCCTGTTTTAACCCTCATGCTCTCCAGGAATTAAGGCCCATCACACTCACAGTCTGCTGGCCCAGGACTCGCTTGTGGCGCCTAGCAACTTGTCACCATTTGCTTGATACTGCCAATAAAAGAGAGGCTTCCAGGCATTGTTGCCTCAACCGTCGTTTAGCACAAGGGATGCCGTAGCTCAGATATTCTCTAAGCAACCCACCAACCCGTGGCCTTAGTACAGTATGTCGTCTTTTTATACCCGCAAGTGAGTGAGGTTCGACGAGCGAGAGCGCTGAATGGGGTGTATGCACCAATACCCCTCATTTCAAATCTCGGTGAGCCGTTGCTCGCAAACACTAGTGCATGACTCATTGTGATGCTGATAGTGGGAGACAAACTACGCAAGGGGGCAAGAAGGGGGTTAGAGTCAACCAGTCCATCCCCGACGCGCTATTACAAGTCGAACTTTACAAGCCGATAAGAAATTTTGGTAATCCAGAGGCAATAAATCGCAAGCATTTTGGCGCTGGATATACCGGTATCAGTCTGCAGATGAAGTGCTTTCGACGGAATTGAAGAATCGAATTCCACATAACACACTTCCATGGCTGCCCAGGGCACTGTAAATATGCTTTGGAACATTTCGTATCCATACTATGTACAACATCCGCTATCTACGCGCTACTCGAGGCAAGGGAAGGTCACGCTAAAGTTTTCGTTTATGGCGACATTACATTCCAATGTCAACTTGTGACTTCACCGATTTTTATCAGCAAGGGGGCATAATCGGTCGGCGACGTATATCTAGTGGGTTATATAGCATGCATCCATATCATTTGTATACTGAATTATCCTTCCTTCTGGAGTGACGTCGCCCTTAGCCAAATAATCGCCAATATGACGGAGCACAGACTGAATGATCTTTTGACCCCTCTATTTCTCAATGAGTATATCAGCAATGAGCTTCGGAGTATCTTCATTGACTTTGTCTTTCACGGTCGACCACGAAGAGACATCGATGGAGCCAACGGAATGAACTCGTGTGTCAGTGACGATATATCAGTAACTACAATATGTTCTCTAGAACCGACTCCTTCAGATTCCCGTCGATTCCAGAAAGTTTCATGGGTACCACAATGCGCATCGCGAACTGTTCTCTGGGATAAAATGAACCAACTGCTTCAAAGGCTGTGGGGTGATGCCATAGCTGCTGCTCAAAACGGAAATACATATCTGAGCACTCGGTGGGAGGTCGGCTGCTTTCGGAGGAGTGAGAATGGCAAATTGGAGTCCGCTCCTTTTGCATCCGACGATTTGGTATTGCTTCAGTAAAGAAATCCTTCCTGAATATCACCATTGGTTCCATCGCTGACGGTATGAAAGTGATATCTTCATTGAAAACCCCGTCATGGATCCTGCGTTGCTGGCAAAAATTGCCCTTTTGGCGATCATTCGGGGCCATCCCAGTATCGAAGATCTTGGTTACTGCGGTATGGCTTTTGTAAACCGATTTTCAGGGCAGTGGCCGGGAGTCCCGTGGAAACAATGGTGTTGCATGAATGATCCCTACTGTCATATGCAGTTTCACGCCCGCTATCTTCGCCGGTGTCCAGCAGATTGTGCTTCATTGCCAAACTGCGAAGGTTTACTCATTCAACGTGAATCTATGAACACCCAATTCCTAGGTGGCTGCAAACTTCGCGAGAGTCGGATAGCTATCTCTGTCAGTTCAATGATGGGCTCGAAGCCAGCTTCGTTCTCAACAGTCACTCTGCGAGACCACAAATCTGAGGAACACCATGACATGCGTAGTCCGCGCGCCAGAGAAGATGCTCGAATTCTTATGCGGGCTAACAACTGTGGTGGTTTCCCATGTGTTGCCGAATTCCAAGTCGAGACACATGTTCTGCTCCAGGACTGGCAGCAAGAATGGAACAGTACATTAGGTCATATTGAGCGGATAGTGGTATGTAACAGGCGTTCTATGATCTTTCTACATCTAAAGGCATAATGCTAACAGTAAGCCTTAGACTCGGAAATTCCGCCTACAGGACTGTCGGATTTACCATAAATGGCTCGAAATTTCCGAGAAATATATTTGCGAGACAAATGAGGACATAAGGCATCTAAGATCTAGTTTCACGTGTTGTTTTCCAAATGCACCTGACCAAATAAATGCGAACTGGGACAGCTTGGTTGAAGGGCAATTGGAAAGAATGGCGCAGCTTAAAGGAAGAGTTAGAAAAGTTCGGGATACTGTCGTTGAGCGAGAGTTGATTTTCCAGTCAAACTCAAGAACGCGCCATGCTCAGTGTTTACACAGACTTGCCGAGGCCGCTACGGACAGGCAAATCTGGTGTAGCTGCATCAGGCCCGCTCCCAGATGTGCTGCCAGGCAGTGTTTCCAGAGGACTCAAAAAGGCTCTATTTTTTACTCGGCCTATTTGGCTTTATGCTTCTGGGTCAGCACATGGTCTAGAGCTAAGCCCAACTACATACCTATCCTCCTGCTGCTGCTGATTTCCGTACCCGTTATCTTTCGGTCAACAGGAGTTAAAGCGAAGTGACTCACTTTGATACTGAGTTACAGCATATTGATCAATGTTTAATCCAATACCATAGGCAGGAGTAGTAGGAAAGAAGCAAGATACCGTTTCAGTAAACACAGTAGAGCTGCATCTCCAAAAGCAACCGCCCCCTCTGATTTAATAAACTCCCAAAAACTGGAAACGTCATCCGTAATCGCACTGATAACCTCCGTTTTGCTTCTTAAATCTTCCTGATAATCCTCCTGATCCATAATGCTCTAAAGGAGGGAGGGCTCCCTCCGACTTCTTTAGGTTCCGATTGGCCCACTCAAGCCCCACCCACTGAGCTCCACGCACTATGTTCTTGAGTTGCCACACGCGCCCACGCGACGCGTTTATCAGTCTAAATAAAAACACCGCGATTCAGCTTTTGTCGACTATATCTATCGCTAACCACCTTTTCGCGTGTCGTACTTTAATCAAACAGAAAGGTTGTAATGGAGCAATTTCGCTACCTCCCCGAATATCGAGTACTTATATGCAGGCCTTGCGGTCGTGCTATTCCACCTGCGCACCTTTAGAGTCATCTACAAGATCATCGCAAAGAATGGCTAGGCCTTAACTCCGCTACGGCAATATCCCAGCTTAAGCAACAGCTCCAAAAATATGAATTAGCCGATCCCTTTCAGAAACAAGTCCCGATTCCACCCCCCTCTGCAACCGTCTCCTCACCCGGCAGCAAGCTCCCAAACCGATCTTATTCGTGATCAGATCTACGAGCGGATCCGACAATTAGAGCAGCAAGAGGAACAGCAAAATCGAACTATCACAGCAGATAGCCACCGCACTGCTATCCACCCCTGGCTCGAAAGGACTCGATGGCAAGACTATACCCAGGACTATACCTTTACCGAATTAGCCGCTTTTGCATATATGCCGGGTATAGAGCAAGAACCTCTGTTGCAGCTCTGGATAGAGAGCCTTGATACTATTCTTGATCAGGCTGTTGAGTCCATCTCTACCCACCGAATCAATATGTTTGATCAAGCTCGGATTAATAGCTTTGTTGACGACGCATACCGGCGGCCTAGCCATCGGCCTGTTTTCTATCATGTCCAGCCCGCAACTGAGAAGCGTTATCGACGGATCTGAAGTCGTCTTCTCTGCTTTATCTACCGTCCTACGCAGCCCGGACAGTCAATTCGATTAGGCCACCGCTTAACCGGACTACAGGCAGGTCTGCTCTTTCAGATGAGACAATCAAGTCAGTAATTATGTTCTTCTATTGGGCGGCCGGTATGGCCACTTATCGTAGGGTGGCACAGGCCCAGTAATTTCCGGGTTACTATGCAGAAATCGCCAAGCCATTCAATAAGTGGCTAGCGCGTGGAGCTGGCGCGCTAGGGACCAAAATGATTTTCTTGCAGGCAAATTCCACTGTGGATGTATTATATGACAGACACTGCCGTCTGGATGGCTAGAGCTCCGGTGAAAATGCTTGTATTCAGGTAGGTGGAAGATAGAGCTGGCTAGGTAGACTAAATACACACTGTGCGTCACATGCACAATCACGTGAGCAGCCATACAACCGGCAGGTTCCAACGCACCCCCCCTATGGCTGCGAACGAGCAAGGTTCTGCAGTAAAAAAAACACCAAAATAGACCATTCTTCTTCACAGCTGCGCTTCCATATCCCGTATCTATCCGGCCCGCAAATCGGCTCGCAGATCGGTAGGTAGGCGCGAAAAATGACCGTATATCGACCGTACGGTGTAGTAATAGTCCCTTTCGTGCAAATCGTTAAAAAAAGACATGAAGAATCTCTTCAGTAAAATAAGTATTCGAATCGTAGGCAGCGATCCATACGCTCTTTTTCCTCTCACAGTGGAGGCAGCGTCCACGCGCTCTTTATTCCTAACCCATCCGAAACTCTGTATCATCCCTGATCCGGGGCCTCATCCCAAATCTAGGGTCCAAAACGATGACGAAGGTAGATAGATTTGTACTGTAAGTCGAGGTCGAATTAGTAAGAAAGAAGGTCGTCTTTTCTCGTACGCTGGTAACTCAGCGTAGTAAGCTGCATCTGCGTTTCGCAGTGCAAAACAAGGGAAACGGTAGGCAAATCGCTTTAGAAGCGTCGACAAAATCGCTCGAAACGTCGAGGTAGGTGGACGTAGTAGACGTAGTGGGGGGGGAGGGGAGTACGATCCTCCTTGTGGACCCTCTCCCCCTAGGCGTTTCCCCTAATAGGGGCTTTTGAATCAGATAAGTATGGATAGAGTAGATAGATGAAGCACTTTCGAAGAGTTGTGACTCTTAATCTGACAAGCAATGCCTGCCGATGGACTAGAAAATCGGTCAGAAACGCTTAGTATTCTCTATCTACGAGTCCTGCAGTGGGCTCAGATATGCGGTCGCCCAGTGTGGGTCATCTGATGCACTAGCTACATGCAGCCTAGCGCCGCAGCCATACAACCGAGCTCCAACAAATAACATACCATGATTATTCGCTAGCCTCTTAGTAGCTGCTATGATTCACCACTACAATTTCTGCCAAGTTACCCGCCATAAATGCCCACCCAGATTGTTCACGGTAGTTAACTACCTTGAATACATGCCCGCCTTCGCACTAACATGCCATGATAAAATACTCACCATCAAACAAGTGATCGCACTATGTAAGATATCCATCACTCCTCATTTTTTTCTTCTCAATTCCAAAACTTGTAGGGTCATCTTTTGACGATTCTACCATACCATGGATCTTGTATCCCTGATTTTTACTCCACTATATTCCACAGCATCAATCTATATAACCTCCTGGTCTTAATTTCCATCGTCTCCAAATTTCCTTCTTCGTTAGCCTTGCTGGCTTATGACGGGGTTGGACGTCTTCTCCTTGCAATCTACACCTTTTCCAGAGTCTAACCTATTGCTCCCCTGGCCTCGATCGTATCTCAGGTATATTATCGTCCTTCTTCCGTTGATATAGTAATGATCGTTGTCTTCTCCAGAGATAACCAAAGAATCGCCCGACGTTGTCTTTTTGATCTACATACATGGACCATTGCGGTGAGTTACCCATCACGTTGCATTCGAACTAGCTACTGACTTCTTCGTTAACCATGTCAGGGTTATCTCGCCTCTAGGCTTTGCGGAGATTGTGATTCCTTCCAAGCAATCTGAGCCGGTCGAGGGTTTCCAGAAGAAAAGTCGTTTAGTCTGGCGAAACAAGCCGGCCTGTCCCAGAACTTCGACTCCCTAACACGTTCAATTTGTTAGCGCTCAGGTAGGCTTCGTGCAGGCTTCACAAAATTGCCGTCAACTGGATCTCATCTGTACTGTAGAAACTTTAGAGTTGCTTTCCAGTGCAGATTGGAATCTCTTGGATATGATCAGTCTTCAATGATCCGGATATTTAAGTTACTATGCAGAGAGCTTCCAAGGTTTGAAGTGGTGGAATGCTGATATAAGAGAGGCTAAGGCACGTGCCCCACGTTGGGCAATTCCTCGTCCAGATTTTAAATTTTTCAAGCCGATGTACATGCCTCCTTTACTTATTTCCAAGCACGTTTCAAACCCTTACCATCTCGTCGAATCTACCCGCCTCAGTCCAACCTCCAATTACTATCCTTCCACAATGAAGGTCTTCTCTGAAGCAGACATTATCTGGTGGAAAGCGAACCCTTACTACATTCAATGTCCATTTTGTGAATCACTTCATCGCCATGGCGTCAACTGGAAGGCAAACAAGTTGAGATACTCGCATTGCGAGAAAATGGAGAGTTACCTTTGCTGCTTCCCCTTGAATGATCAAGGCAAAGTTGCGTATGAAATTGACAAGGTACGAGGACGATATATCAATATTTGCGTAGCCCATGGTGGGGATACCGAGTATTACCATGGGAATGATGATGATGCCAATGCCGATGATACTGTTGATGAGGGTGATGATGATGTTAATTGTCTGGCGATCGAATTGGCTCGAAAGGCTACAATTGCAGCACAGAGTGAAGAAACATATGCGAGTCTTCATGGAGATTCGAAAGAACTCGTCATTATCAATCCAGGACACGGGATTGCGCCATTTGAGCAGAAGCAAATTTTTGGGCCAATCAGCGACTGTGTCAACGGGGAAACAAGAGCGGTGCAAAGATGTTTAGAAACTCCTCTTGAAGCGACACTATTTGTTCGAGGAAAACATTATGGAAGGAGTGCTCTCATGGAGGCAGCGCTTTTTGGCCGGGTTGATAACGCAAAGGTTCTCCTAGAAAACAATGCAGACAGATATATTAAGGACGGCGAAAATCGAGCAGCCATTGATTTTGCTCGAGAGAATCACAGAAGTCGACGAGAGAGATACGATCGTTTTGGAGGCGACCTCACGTCTTCATCCAATCGACGGCTGGGCCATGTCGAGGACACGTTTCGAAGGGATATTGACCGTCAGGAGATTGTACGGCTCCTCGGCGGAGAGAATAGGAAGTCAAAGATTTTCTTTGGGAGCCCTCCCACATTATCAGTGTCCAAGTCCTATTCATTCACACCTTCACCAATGCAAGACTCGCTTGTATTACACGGGCCGATTGAAGAGTACCCAATCACTCGGGGTGGGAAGACGGTGGCGCGGCTAGAACGAGGAGGAAAAATTCCCGTCCATTGGCGCAATGAGCGGCTGGTCACATGGCTCGGTGTAATCCATCAGAGTTGATGGTCGACAGTGGACGGATGATGTATTTTATATCTCGGAATCAGTGGGGCATATCTTGCCTTCTCACCCCTATGATTGGGGTAAAGACGGTCGATTCAGTACATGCCACGCAGAAAAGCAGTTGATAGCATACTTTATCGATCGCCATGTTTTCCTCCCACGCGATGGCCTTCCAGACTCGAAATTGGAGAAAAAGATTTTGCGGGTAGAGGAGTCGCATGAGCGGTTTCTTTCAGTCACTGAAATTGGTCGTCAAGTGAAATCTCTCAGAGAGAGGAAGGACGCTCTCTATCATGAGCTATTCGATGGAGACGAAAAGCTCATCGGAAAATAGGATAAGATCAAGGCACTGAAGCTGGAACTAAAATCGGTTAAATCAACCCTAAATGGGCTAATCGCTAGTACCCGTTCCAGGCCATTATTGAAACTAGAAGCCCGACTGAAGATACTACATCAGCGACGGGACAAACATGCTGATCTGATCAGCATGGCTTATGCGCCACCACCAGCTTCCTTAGCCGAGGCTATTATATTGATCAGTTCGCATCCCTGTCAGGACTGTATCGTGTTCAAAGACAAAGTTAATAAGCGCTTTGGTCTATCTATACAGCTATTCGCGGCACTCTGACTTAGTTCTGAGTTTCATCAAGGTGGGAGGCTCTGATTGTTTGAAGTGAGGTACCCGGTAGGCGTTTTATCACACAGGGTATTTCATGTTACCGGGATTGGTGTTGACTATTAGGGTCTATTAACGTTCTAACGTCCGTCTGTGGTGGCATTTTCCTTGTCGGTTCCTCCTCAATCCCAAATGCCACCCAGCAGAAATGTTCAAAGTCGATAGGGTCAGCGTAGCCTTCCCAATAAGCGTACTGGTATTGGTGATCGACAAAGCTAAGGCGAGGGCAATCGGCCATGATCTGCGACGCGATCTCGGGCACGGGGGCCCTCGCCCCGAAACATCGCGCCATCCGTCCTAAGCTCCGGCTGATATTGTCACCGGTGAAGTAAGGGTTCAGACGATGTTCTGTCATCTCCTGACGTAGAGTTTGGAGGTCAGGGAGGCGTTTCGTGTCATCGAGGTAGTCCCGCAGGTCCAAACCTCGGTCGAGAAGTGTCTGGAGCGAAACTCGATGTTCCACGTACTGTTCAGGAATTTCCCATTCAAATATGTATTCGTGCTCGAAAAAATTAGGGTTTTCGATTCCCTCCACCTGTTTCGCAAGCATTTTCGCGTGGTGATAAACGGTTGATCTGGTTTTGGCGTCTGTGTCCGGAACAAAGATAATTGCAATCCAGATCCGTCTTGGGGTCTCGCCAAAGTTGCAGAACTTCCCGAGGCCGCGATGAAGGGCTTCAATAGGGCGGTCACTCACGGAGACAAGCGTAGTAGGGATCCTATTCGCTCTGTTCCGGTGTCGATCAGATGCGCAGAGGAGCTCTGCCTGCGATAGGCGAGAGCCAACGCGGTCCCTCCCACATCTCAGGAGACCAGCGCAGCGTGAAGAAAAGCAGCGGTGAAAGTATCGGCCCCGGCGGCGTTGGCTCATGTTTGAAGGACGTTTGATGTTGAAATTACCAGGGCCGCGAGGATGAAATCTCATGTGCTCTACGCACAATCGGCAGCTTATTTCCCGAGCTTTTTCTCAAGGGCTCATCATCCCTTAAATACAGATTCCTTGCGCTGTACAGCACCTAAACCCTTACATTTTTTTTCTCCCTTTAATACATCTGACCCAGGACGACAAGTCGGGTCGAACTGACCGATCACATCAACGCACCCAGGCAGGTATGGGACATCTGGACCTATTCGGGCATCAAGTCATGATCGAAGAACTTCCATCGAGAAACCCTCGTTACTAACCACACAGTGATGGACTCATTCATATATACCATACTCACTGAATCCGTACGCTGACATTATATTTGTCATCACTATTCGTCTAAATTAAACTTGTTTTAACTGTCATATCCCCGATCAAGTTCTGGCGAACAAGCAAAAAGGCTCGCCAGACAAAACTGGAATCTTGGACCGAAGCTTTAAAGAACAGGCTGCCAACGTCCAAGGTCTAATGAGTAGACTGGACAGGTGTGAGAAAAGGGGCGAGGAGTTGTGAGATCCTACGATCTAAACGGATCATCGGATGCACAACGACTGGGGCCGCAATGCCCTCTCGAGATCTTGGTGCTGTCTCCCCTGGAATCCTGTAACACGATAATGACCGAGAATATTTAGCACATGGAGAAGGTCAAATCTTGGTCGTCAACAAAGTGGATGTTGGATGTCGGGAATGGAAGAAAAAATAATTGGGTCCCCATTGGGGGCCCATCGTGGGCTGGGGGTTGGGCCATGGGCTGCGTGGTAGGGCCCAAGCCCACCGTGGGTTGGGCTATGGGCCGAAGACTTCGGCCCATCCGTGGGCCCTGATGAAGCCTAGTCACGACCAATAAAAATTTCACCTCCGCTAACACCAACATTAATCCAACTGGGATCAAGTCTTGAGCGTATCGTGGAGGTAAAAGTAGGCAGATCCCTGTAGGCTACGAAAATAACCTGGGTAGGCCATTGTTACAGTACCAACCCGTGATGGCAATATCTAACTATTCTCAACCTCTCCTCGGAATTCAGCTTAGTGCTGGCGGAAAGATTTCAAAACCAGCTGCATCCCCATTTACATGATATTGTGGTTCGGCCAGAGACACCCTTCGCGCCAACCTTAGCACCGTACTGGAGTAGCAGTTCAACAGTAGCTTCATCCCCCATTTTAGCAGCCAATGATAGTGGTGTTTCACCTCCCTTATCTTTCGCATCAACTTGGGCACTATGCTGAAGTAACATTTCAATAATAGCTGCACGCCCGTGTTGAATAGCTAATATTAGCGGTGTTCGGCCAAACACATCTTTCACATTAGCGTTAGCACCGCGCTGGAGTAGCAGTTCAACAACAGCTGTACTCCCATATTGAGCAGCTACCAATATTGGCATTTGGCCATACGCATCTTCTGCGTCAACTATAGCACCGCGCTGGAGTAGCAGTTCAACGACAGCTGCATGCCCATGCTGAGCGGCTAGTGAAACCTGTCTTCTGTCTCTCTTATCCTTCATGTCAACCTTAGCACCGCGCTGGAGTAGCAATAGGATGACACCTTCATGCCCCTCAGTAGCAGCACATGATAGCGCGGTTTCACCAGATTTATCTTTCATGTCAATTTTAGCACCGCGATGGAGTAGCAGTTCGATAACAGCTGCATGCCCATGTTTAGCGGCTAGTAATAGCGGTGTCCGGCAAAACATATCTTTCGCGTCAACTTTAGCACCACACTGGAGTAGCAGTTTGGCAACAGTTGCATGCCCCCATGTAGAAGCCCATGACAGCGGTGTTCTGTAATATCTATCTTTCGCATCAACTTCAGCGCCATGATGGAGTAGCAGTTTGGCAACAGCTGTATGCCCATATCGAGCAGCAAAGAATAGTGGTGTTTGGCCGTTCTCATCCTTTGCATGAATCTCAGCACCATACTGCAGTAGCAGTTTAATAAGCGCTGTATTCCTATATCGAGCAGCTAAGGATAGTGGTGTTTGGCCAGACACATCCTTTGACTCAACTTTAGCACCGCGCTGGAGTACCAGTTTGACAACAGCTATATGCCCATATTTAACAGCTAGTGACAGTGGAGTGTTGCCTTTGTCATCTTCTGCGTTAATATTGGCACTGCACTGGAGTAACCGTTCAAAAACAGCTGCATGCCCATGTTTAGCGGCTAGCGATAGTGGTGTTCGGCCAGACACATCCTTTGACTCAACTTTAACACCGCACTGGAGTAGCAAATCAACATCGCCTGCGTGGCCATTTTCAGCGGCTAACAATAGCAGTGTTTTCCCAGCTTCATACGTCGCCTCAACGTCGGCACCATTTGCAAAAAGCCGCTGAGCCCCAATCCATAGCCCCTTCTCGACCGCGAACCGCATTGGACTCCAACCTTCATCTTTGTGCAGGAAATCAAACCCAGTATTGTCGGTAAAGAGTTCCATCAATGGCATTTGGTTGCTTATTGCTACACAGTGCAGCGCTGACAAGCAGTCCCTGTGTGCAAATACGTTCGTGCTGTCCTCAAGCGATGAGTACCTATTTGATGTTGCCGACTCGTGGAGCGTCCAGTCCTGAATCTCTGGTGAATCCGCATCTTCTTTCAGTTGAAGACGCTCAGCTACCTGCAAATGCCCACTCGCTTCCGCTAATCGACGTGGCGTCCAGCCGTATTTGTCCTTTGCCCTGGGATCAGCATTTTTGACAAGTAAAATTTGGACCACCTCTTCTTGTCCAGTCATTGCTGCACAATGCAAGGGTGTCCAATAGATGCACTGGTAATTGGTGTTAACATCCGCGCCGCTTTGAATTAGTATTTCAACCAACTCTCTGTTCCCGTTTTCAGCAGCAAAATGTAGCGGAGTCAAGCCAAGTGTGACATCATTTGTCTCAGTATTTACTTCATCTTCTGCCTTGGACGTGGCGCCGTTGTTGATCAGGTATTGTGCCACTTCTGTATGTCTGTTCATTGACGCATAGTGCAGGGCAGTCAGGCCTTTATATCCTTTGGCATTGATAAAGTTTGTTCTGTCTCCTCCGGCTGGGATCTTGTTGGCGAGCTTCTCTATGATAGGTCGAAATCCCATTTGTGCTGATATATGCAGTGCAGTATTGCTGTAGTGGTCTTTTGTGGTTAATTGAGCCTCCTTGCGTAATAGCAGTTCCACAATAGCAGTGGAGCCACTCCAGGCAGCACGGTGCAGGGCAGTCTGATCGTTCTTGTCTCGTGCCTCCAAATCAGCTTTGCCAAGCAAAATTCTCACAAACTCTTCATTCCCTCTCTCAGCAGCGAGATGCAGTGGCTGCTGATCTAGTTTAACCTCTGTTATGTCAGCATGTTCAATTAGTTGCGAAAGCATTTCATGAGCCCCTCTCCATATTGCACTGTGCAAACTTTCAAATTCTGAATCATCAGTTAGCTTCTTTTCTTTGCTCTTTGTTTCAATGTTGTAGTGTGTCATACTGTCTGCCTTTTCTGATGTAATCATGTCTTGAGAGCCTCCAGGCACACCATTCCTATCAGTGTGGCCACTGATTATTTCGACCTGTGAGTCTCTGCCTTCTGATTTTGGCTGCGCCGAACGGAAGTATACAGCACCAACATACTGACACAGGAGCTTTCCGTCCGTGCTGCCCTCTTCAGTCACGAGTAGAGCTCTTTCCACTTTCTTAGCATCGCACTCGACTAAGAGATAGCATGTTTTGCGTTTAAGGGCACCCTGGAGCCGCTGTTTAACCAGATCATTCATACCGCTCCACGAGATTTTCTTTTCAAGCTCATCAGTCACAGAGATAGTATACCAGTTTCCGCTGATACTGCCATCAGAGTGAATCTCAAGGAGGCATTTTGAAGGACTAGTAGATGGCATGCGAAATATATCGCTCGGGCACCAGCTGGATCCTTTTGACATGGTAGAAGCGTTATGGAAAAGATGTCCTGTTGAAAGCTGGGGCAAAAGTTGAGGTGAATCAGAAAACCTTTTTAAAATGTCTTTGTAAGTCTCCTGCTGCAGCTCATTTGGTTGAACATTCATCAATAGCCCACAAATACGAGACATGTTCTTGGGCTTAGATGTGTAGCGCGGACGTAACACACACAAAAGTTCATCTAGTGTCGTGATTTTCTTCCGTAAGTTCTGAATGATCTGAGTTGCCTCTTTTCGGGCATTGTCGGGCTCGTCATATTTCGCAAGGATATCTTCATCAAGATCTTCTATAATGGGGCCACAGTGCCCTTTGAAAATCACCTTTACCTTGCGCGAATTGGCCAACTCTAACGCAGTCCACCCTCGGCTAAACCATGGCGACATAAGTGTGAGAAAGCATGCGGTTTCAGGATCCCATTCCCAGTTCCGAAAAAAGCAGTCGTGTACCAAGGTGATCCGCGCGTCCTGGTAATTGTTCTGGATCATTAGGAGAGCTTTTTCTCGGGCACCTTGCTCTTTAGGAATACAGATAGTGCCCCACCAAATTCCTTCACAAGAAAATTGTTTTGCAATGCCTCGGAAGAATGTGTATAAACACTCATTAACTTCTCCATTTTTCCAAGCCCCAGAACCGGTTCCATCTGCCCAGACGTGGGAAATGGCCATGTATGGCCGAGAAGGTTCGAGCATAGCATTTCCGGATAACTGCCACACGGTCGACTTTCCCTGATTTGCAGCTTCTTCAAGTATCTTTTGGGAAAATCGATGTAATAGCGAGCAGTCATTTTTCTTCTTGCACTCATGACGCTGGCTCACCGAAGTAAAATCGCGCTGGGAGTTTTCACAAAAGTCAAATGTACACAACTCATGATCATTCTGCTCCCCATTCGATCTTGGTATTGGAGGCGGCTTAGGATGGGGAAGCAGATCTGGTAACCTTGGTCCTGCAACAGCCCATACACGGTTTGGACAGAGGCCAAGTTTTTCTGTTGCATACTCGAAGTCCGCTAGGATATTTCGGTGATCTGAACCTTCTTTCATTGTAGTGTGTTTGTAACGCGCTCGAAATATCTTGGGGAGGATGGTTGGGACTATATTGCCTTGTTATTATGATAAGCCTTTTAATCGGCTCATACCAGAATTGACTTACTGATGCTTTGTAGAGTATTATAGATAAACCTGCTGTGCTGAAATTGGGAAAGACTGTTGCCAAGGTGGGGCCAGGTAAAGACTTGTCGTATACTGAACAGCTGTAGGACCAAGAATGTATACTTCAGCCTGATTCAGGACAACTAGATGAAGAGAAAACCTTTTCAACCAGTGAAGCCTGACTATATACTTATAGTATAATATGGATCCTCTCTTTCTCCAGTCGAGTAACAATCTCCTGTAAGCTAGCTGACTTGTGAGATTCTGATCTGTCAGGTAAAGAAATGCTGGCGGGGGTTCCTGTATAATTGAGAGCTGGGAAGGGTAGAACATTCATTTCAGCACTAGATGTTACACAAGCTTCGCCCTCTTGACACACACAGTGTATAAGCTCTGCCTCTGTGGCTGACTGTAACCCGGTGTCAGCAAAGTGATACTTACATGGAACTGAATCCGAGTATTTGCAGCAATAAAATGTATTTTGCTTTTTCCAGAATGTATATAAATAATGTTTGTAGAGATTTGTATTCTTCTACATACTATAGCGGATGGAGAACATGTACTGGGTGAGTGTGAGTGGTTCGGAGGATAACATGCAAAGCTAAAGCCATGAAAGGAATATACCATTGCCCGATAACTTCTGGTCTGACAGACGTGTCCTAGTCTTACTAGTAGTTACTTTGTATTTATTCGAAGGACGATTATTGTTATTATTATTATTATTATTATTTTCAATTCAACGATTCGCTAATAAGTAGAACTGTCAGCCGCGAGGATTAGCTAAGGCTTCTCGGGATTCAGCCAAGGCTACTCGGGATTCAGCCAAGGCTACTCGGGATTCAGCCATCGACACGATTTCTTTAGAAGGCTTACGAGGTTGGTTGTTTTCATTTACCCCGACCCCTCGCAAAGTAAGCGATATGCAGGCTACCACAATTATATATAACCTTGTATATACATGTAAATCGACCCACTTCCTGAAAACGAACTTAGAGCCTCGTCACGGCCTATCCTGGCCTAATTGCCGTTCCGTGTGTTAGGCTGCCCCTCTGGCGCACGACTCCGAAACCGTTGTGACACCTCAGCAAAGTCTAGCACAGCCTTGACTGTTCTAGCCCGCGAGATGATGCCTGGATTACCTTTCTTACCTTCGGTTGAGCCTCCCAGCAGACTCGAGACGGTGCTGAATGCGTCTCCTACTTCTCTCCTCAACTTCCTTCACGGTTCCTTCAATCTTGGACAATCCACCAGCACATGGGTAACTGTCTCTTATGCGCCGCACGCGCACCGGTCGTCCTCGCGGAAGCCAAAGGTTTTGGCGTGGCTAGCTAGCCAATTATGGCCCGTGCGCAACTGCGTTAACAGGTACGCCTGGTTCCTGAATAGACTGCAGTACAGCTTTCTGGTATAGATTGCCGGTAAGGTGTTATCCATCTTCTTCAGGTGGTCACCTTTACTAGATGCTCTCCATTCCTGCTCCCACTGAGTGAAGATGGCGCTTTGAATACGCGCTCTCTCTCGAGAGAGTAACGGGCAGAAAGGATGGGTTTTCCCAGGGTACGCAGCGTTCTTAGCGAGTCGATCTGCAGTGTCATTCCCTGGGTTATTGCAATGCCCTGGTACCCACTGGAGGTGGAGCGCGACTCCCTTAGCTTGGATTTCGGTGGCGGCCTGGAGGATCGCGTGAACGATCCGCTGACCAGACTGATTCCTCGCGCTTTGAACTGCCTGCAGAGCTGACCTGCAGTCACAAAGGATTGTTGCTTTTATTTGTCTGCCCGCTGAGCCTCTTAAATAGTGGTGGGCCAAGAGACATAACTACACAGCCAAGGCTGCCCGTGGCTAAGCCTTAACGAGTCCTTGCAACTGATGTAAAGCAGCTTCACCAGGCCCGCTTGTACAGGCCACTGCCCTAGTTTTCAGCGCGCTCATCCTTCGACAAACGGCTTCCAGATCTTGAGGCCCCGGCAAAAACCTTTCACCCCAGGTGTCTCCAGGTTTGCTCCTTAAGCATACATCACCGGCATTTCAGCTAAAACGACATCACTTCCGTCGCCCAGCCGCAAGTTCTCAATGCGAGTGAGATAGTAAGGAGAGTCAGAGCCGTCCCTACTAGGACGACACCACTTTGGCTGTTAAACTTCAGGTCCCCAGTGCGAGTAAGATAGCTACTTTCCGTCTGTCTATATACCGACACACGCGTCCGTCCTCTCGGGCCACATAGACAGTCTCGTCGAGCCCCAGGGGCCCTTCCGTCACTGCCATTATGTGCCACACCCCACAGAAAAGCTTCCTGCTTCGCGTTACCAGCGCAGATCTCTCTCCGCTAGCCGACCGTATCTCGCAAAGGCTGCCCTCGTGGTATCCCCAGGTTCCCTGCACGATACCAGAGCGATCCTTCACTAACCAAACTTGTGTCCTCGGCTTCGCAGGCCTCTCGATCACCCGTGGCTGCGCCTTAACGAGCTCGTCGAGGTTTGTCGCTGGATCGCACGCCCCTAGCGGAAGAGACAGTCGGTGCATCTGACCAAGGCTGCCCGTGGTCGAACCTTAACGAGTGACTTGGAGTCAGAGTACCGGCAGTCCTTCCACCAGACTCACACAATCCACTGCTCCGCTGATTGTATCCTCCCTCGCCGCTCGACGCCAATCCAAATTGTGTTCAAGTTTCCTGTAGGGCGTCTCGTTTCAGGGAGTATTCAAGTTCAGAGGTGTCCTGTCTTCTGTCTAGGCGATACCACATTCACTAGAAAAGCAAGTCTAGCTCTGGTCTCGAGTACGAGTCGAGTAGACAGTCGTCGGATGGTTTTCATACCCCTTTTCCTCTGATTTGTGTGGGTTTTTGGGAGGGCTCGGCAACCACGGAAAACTCTGCGGCTCGGCCCTACCCGCACCACCAGGATTCTTTTGGCTTCCCCTCCACGCAAATGGAAGGTACTGACACCGGACACCACGAGAAGGTAGAAATCCATCGTCCTAACTGCTTGACAATAGCAGTCACCCAGCGTGCTCGCCAGGGGCACACACTACAGTACTAGCAGTGGCGTACGCTCCCAATAAGTTTGTGTCCGTTTCTTCACCTCCATTTTAGAGAAGCTCAAGACCTATCCAGGCATAATATGCATCGATCTTTAGGACATTGAACTTCGACGATCGAGGAGACCACCAACGTACTGGACAATGATATATCTCTGAGATAGTGATCCTACATAAAAGGGGAAATGACACTATTCAATTCGTTGTTGAAAATATGATGAAGAATTTCAAACTATTCACGGGGTTGGATTTATCGAAACCAGCTTAGCAATGTTCACGTGCCATTTCGTTGCGGTAAGACAGTGGAATTCCAGTCCAGATGTATTCCTATCTTTCTCTGACTTTGCAGAGCAGCAGTAAAATAATTAGAAAAATCAAGATTGACTGAAGACACATGACGAATAGCCTAAGTAGCTCCATGGTTGAGCAGAACTCTCACTACATCAGCATGCCCATATTTCCTCGCGCGGACCAATGGGGTCCACCCGTAATAGTCTTGTTCGTCGATATCAGCGCCATGATCGAGCAGTAGCTGAACGATATTAGCCCGGCCGGTATATGCAGCAAGGCATAATTCGCTATGTTGCGCAGTGACATGCAGAAGCACTCGTACTATATCTTCATCTCCCTGAGCTACGGCCATGTTCAGAGGCGTGATGCCGGCAGCTTCCTGTCTGCCCGCGTCCACACCAGATTCGATAAGAAGCCGAACAGCTTCGTAATTTCGCCTGCGCACGGCGTACCCCAAGGCGGACCGCCCACCAGCATCTGTAGCATCGTGGTCGAATTTTCCTGATTCAAGTAAGGCTTTGAAGATGCTATAATGACCTTTATCCAGTGCAATTATGAGTGGAGACAGGTGTTCGTTCTGCGGGCGGAAATCGATGATTGGGCACTGGAGGAACCGGTTGACAACAGCCAAATGACCCCGAGAAGCTGCATGTCCT